ACCCGGATTCTCGCGCAAAAGACTTGATACTGGAGCACATCAATAACAAGATGCAGTATCATCGGTTCAACCCTCCTCGATGAGCCGATCGTCTTGCCTGGTCCCAGAGATCTCTGACGCCGCAGGAGAAGGACGTGCAGTGTGCAGTAAATCAGTTCACAGACGTTTTCTCCACTGCTTGAACTAGAAGTGGCCGGATGACCCCCTCCTGCACTGTCAACCTGCATAGCGCACACAAAAGATTAGTTTTGGACTTCAGAACAGGACAGACAGACTTCACCAATTCAAAAGTGAGATCCAAATCCTGCGCGGCGCCGATAACGATTAACCTCTCCGAGACCTGGGCTGAGGCAGTTGGAAGGTTTCCGGCTTCTTTGACAAGAAGCTGGAATATTTCTTGATCAACTACCTCTGCCTGGGCGACTCGCAGGGCATCGTCGAGATTTGAAGTGTCGTGATTCCTGACTGAATCAAAGACACATATTTCCGGGACAGCTGTCCTGGTCGCCGAGGTCGTGATTCGCAAACGTGTCCTTTGATGGAAGGGAAATACAAGGTCAGGAGAGGAGCCATCTAATGTTGTTAATTGGGCAATTGCGCGTCGTCTGAACAATGTGGGTGCTGTAAGTTGGGCTGTTAGCCACGAAGAACGTCCTGCCGCATAGGTTTGAACCCACATCCTTCTAGTCCGTAGGAAATTAGAAAATCCTTTGACGTTTTATCCGCACCTTTTCCGGTAGGAGAGCCGTAAGGAAGTGGGGCCGGTGTCAAAGCCCAGTTTGCACGCCTAATTCTCAGGGCGTCTACCCAATACTTGTCGCCCTTAAGCCTGCTACGCTCCATGCTCTCTGCCGAAGATTTGAAAAGGCTCGCGGCCTTTCGCAACGCTTCGTCCTTACTCCCGATAATCAATTGGGCATTGAAGGTTTGAACAGAGACAATGGGGGCAGGCTTTGTCACCAACGTCCCCGAAAGTAATTTCAATGGTTCCGCCTGTGGTTCCTGCACAGCTGGTTGCGGCGAAGATAGGATCGAATTCAGTAGATCCCTGGCGTGAGACATCTCTCCCAAAGCAATGCTGCGAAGAGGTGTAAGTTCGGGTACGGAAGGGTCAATAAACTTACTATAGTTGAGGCATAATTTCCATTCTCATCGCGTACAACTCTTCCACCGTCATAATTTTTGATGACGGGGCTCCTTCATTAGGTCCGCTCTGGATAGATTCTCCGGGAAGGCCTTGCTCTCCCTCTACTTTCGCGAGATTACCTCTGCGCTCAAAGAAGTCGGACCCTCGTTCCTGAAATATTCTTCGAAGGTTATGCTCTAATCTGGCTGAGGGCGTCTCTTTTCTGTTGAGAGCGAAGAATTGAGTTGCAGAAGCACACTTGCTACCAAAACTCACGGTTCATATATCCGCTCGCCTTCAGGTGTGAGATCGTACAGCACAGGAATACGATTACCGACATCGTCTTTATATGGCCGTTCAAGAGAAAGTCTGAGTTGCTTCCATTCAGAAACCGAAGAACTAGGAGTGGTTGACATGACCACAGATGCAAGAGCACAGCTGTGTTTTCGCAAGCGGTCCTAGAAGAGAATAAGTGAGGGCAGATAAAGTCTTTTCCAGGGGTTACTTGAAGCGCTCGCAGCCTTCAACAGTTATCCTGATGATGAACGGTTTTGTGCTTTCGTTAAATTGGTTGCCGCCCGCGGCCATCAAAACCAGCACGTGAAGCTCAATTCGCTATCAGCTCACCGTTTTACAGTTACTGTTTGTAGCTAATCTCGAGTCACTTCGCTTGTCCTCCTCCTCATTAGCCGACTTTCTACTTGCACGTCTGGTCTCTCTCTAGAGACCACTTTGTTTCTTCATCATCCCCCGTCCCCAGTGTCTATGCTGATGGTCAAGACCGCAGAGTACACTCAAGTAGAGCCTTTGCCCTCAGGGAAGAGGAGGAAAGCAGAGGATGATATGAACGGCATGGTTTCGAAGAAGCAAAGAACACGAGTAAGGCAAGTACACACTCTTACACTTTCAGCCCGTTGCCTTACCCACTTTTAGCTTCTCCTGCGGCGAATGCCACCGCCGAAAGCAAAAGGTAGCCTCGCGATAGCCTCATTTTCACTGTAACTCTCTAATTTTCGACCCAGTGCGATCGCCAAGTACCTTGCTCGCATGTGAGTGCCAATCGATTTCTCTTCTGGGATGAGGTCTATATCTCTGGTTTGCAGTGCATTGCCCGTAAAGTGCCCGAACTATGCAAGGCATACACACCCGGCAAGGCCGATCAGGACCTCAATGCCCGACTGTCCAGGCTGGAACATATCATCGAGATGGCCCTGCCGCAGTTTTGTACTCCTGGTAGCACTGCAGGGACTCCCGCTCCGTATTCAAGCGAGCATATCTCGAATACCCGCCACAGAACGCCATCCAACGGTGACGATGACACCAGGTCGCAGACGGAGGAACAGGACCCAAGTGGGGGGATTTTCCAGAGTGGAAAGTGGTACGGGAATAGCGCCTCGGGTAGCGTAGCGCCGGCATCCGTGATTGAGCAGGTTTGTGCCCAATCACCAAACATAATACACTACTAATCTTTCTCAGATTGAGCATGTAGCCATGCCACCCTCGGGTCATGATCACGATAGCAATGGACGTTCACACTCTGACGATATTGTGCCTTCTTTGGCGCCAATTCAGACCGCCACCACCACTGACGACCTTGAGCCCTCCGCCGCTGATAACTTGAAGTCACTAGTGCAAGAATGCGGCGTCTCGCCTCATAAAATTTCAGAGTTATTGCAAGAACTTCCACCGGTCAGAGTTACCGACGTTTTGATCGATTATTATTTTACTTCGCTGTGCGTGTTCCCCGTTTTGTGACCGATGAAAGTTTTAGGAATCTGAGGCTTTTGCCAGAAATTGGACTCGATACCCTGTCTCTGAACGAGATTTCCGTGCGGCGTACTCCTCAATATGTGCCTGCAGTCGAAATGGCATAGGCGCAGCAAATCCGCAAGATGTTCGTTTCTTGCCGCTTCTATTTGTTGTATTGGCCATAGCAGTAAGGTTGGCGCCTGAGCCCATAGCTGGCGATGCGCGGACTCGGCGGGTTACTTCACTCCGCTATTATTGGTCATGTATGTTTTGATTACTTTCTTGTGCACGATCTCTTATGGTTGTGACAGCACGACGATCGCTACTCATCGCGGCGGCCATTCAACCGGACTCTCTTGATATTGTCCTCACACGTTTACTGGTACGATGGTTTGTGTTACACAGGTGGACTTCCTTCTTATTTTCTTCAGAGCGCTCGTTTCTTGACGTTCGATCGCCGAATAACTGAGTGTTGGAGCCAGCTTGGCGCGGCAGTACGCACTGCTCAAGCTCTGGGACTTCACAGGGATGGATTGGCAATGGTACATAATGTCATGTTAACTTCTATCGAAACTTCTGTTTAAAGCCCTGCAGGGGATGCCGGCTGGTACGGTCGAATATCGCCGACGCATTTGGTAAGTATAGCAAGCACCTCCGCCATTTCATGGCTACTAATCACGACGGTATAGGTCCTATCTGTACCATGCCGACAGATCGTATGCGCTCGTTCTGGGCAGACCAAATTCCATCCAAGATGATTACACCTCCACAAAGCCACCATCAAACATTGACGGCGAACCGCGAGGGTCTCAGTCCGTGGAACCTCTTCCTCTATCACGGCCGACTCCGATGACATTCGTTATTTTGCGACACCAACTTGCGGAAATCATTGGTCGCATGGTTCATCACTTTCAGCAAGTCCGAGAAAAGAGCCATTATTCTGAAGTCCTCGCTCTCGATGATGAACTGATCAAGTTTATCAATAACCTTCCGATCCACTACTCCCTACAGCCGGACACTTCTCTGGATCACACATCCACCTACATTCCTGTTCATCGATTCCTCTTGATCACAGAGATACTCTTTGTCAGGATCAGCCTTCATCGACCGTACATGCTAAGGCGATTGAACTCGGAGCGTTATGCGAGATCTCGCAATGCTTGCTTCGAATCGGCCATTAAGGATTTCGAAGTGCGGCAAGCCTTTCGCGAAACCATGTCGCAGGAAGTGCGGGACTCCCTTGGCAATGCCTACCGGGAGTTTCAAACAGCAATGATTTCAGGCATTTATTTCGTCTTGGAGCCGAATGGTCCGCACGCCGACGCAATGCATGCAATACTAGATGGATTCATGAAGGATCACGAAGGCATGCGTGAGATGGATGAAACCACTCGACGGGAACTCAAGACGATTGAATTCCTCAAGAGCAAGGCGTCCCAAGTCGATGCGCTTGGTTTACCACCTCGGCGCTTCTCAAGGCTTCATGACCAATCGCTTAGTCGACAAGAACAACAGGCCCAGTTGCTATTAAGCATGCAACAAGCTGCATCCCCGTCCTCCACCAAGAGTTATACACCGCTTTCAAGCGCAGCGGGCAAGGACGCTGCTTCTCCTCAATCTCCACTTCAACGATCCCTTGTTCAGTCTCCGACGTTGCAGCGACTTCAGCAATCCAATCAACCGGACAACATCCACTCCCCAACAACATCTGGGAGTCCGCATGCAGATGACGAATCTCCAGCCCAGTCTCTCCTTGACACATGGTGCAATACCGTTAGCAATGTTCCAATAGATATGTCAACTGGTGGCATGTCTTGGGGTGGCTCAGTGGGCACCGAACTATCTGGGTGGGCCGGTATTACATATACTGTTACAAACCCAGACCCGCGGCTCCTTTCCACCTTAGATGGCTCAGATTATGGTTACTGGGAGGCGCTCGTAAATCAGATCCACCGTGGCCCTTAATTCTTCAGTTGCTCCCAGAAGTAAGACACAGTTCTTTGGAATAACTTCACTCACATTCTTTCAGTCTGGCATATTTTTTCAGTAGTTTGGCTCGATCTTATGGTTTTATATCCCTTTCTGGCCCCTTTCTTTATGAATCTCGAGAATGTAACCTGACGATTTGTCCTGATTCGAATATGTAGTTGATATCAGAGTTCTAAGTGTAAGCTTAATTGAGTTTTTTGTGTAAAGTCGCCCTCCAATAATCGTGCTGCAACTGTCGGTAACGGCCGAGTACAGCCGAGTACAGTAAATGCTGTAAGAGGCAGTGTGCACCAACTGACTCGTTTTGGGCTCACCATCTGCTCTACCACCTCACCTGCTTTTGCAGGCTCTTAAGCTGCCCCAAGTGTATGCGTGTCGCTTTCCCTCCTACTCCTCCATTTCCATCCTCTAATCTCTAACGGGAGAAAGGACTCGCCATACGCAATGCAATCAATCAATCGTTTCTTGTATGGACCTACACCAGAAGAGCGTGTTCGTGCATGGCAAGCAAAATTGCGTGCAGAGAGTCGACAACTTGATAGGGAGATGAGGCAGGTTTGCGGTCTGTCTCCGTGGTGTGGTGTATTCATTCTCAATCATGAGGCCGCCGCTAGTTAGATGTAGCGACTGCCAAGGCTCGTCAAACTGTCAAGCAGCTGGCCGCCAAAGGAGATGTAAAATCTGCAAGAATTCTGGCGAAAGAGGTTGTGAGGAGCAATAAACAGAAGGACCGCTTATCGGTAAGTAAAGCGCGACTGGGGTCTATTGGCACACAGTTGTCGCAACAAATGGGTTAGTTGCTGTGGTTCATCTGGCTTGACCCCACGGTTCATCAATTCATTCGCCGATAGCCATGATCAAAGTGACGGGATCTCTTCAAAAGTCTACAGAAATCATGAAACTTTCAAACGCTCTTATCAAGTTGCCGCAAATTAGCCAGACAATGCGAGAAATGAGTATGGAAATGACCAAGGTAAGCGGAGCCTTTCGTGGATTGTTGTATGACTGAGGTAGCCCGAAAGGCTGGCATTATGGAAGAAATGCTGGAAGATACTTTAGATATGGAAGAAGATGAAGAGTTGGAAGAAGAAGCTGATGCTGAGGTTGATAAAGTCCTCTTCGAGCTCACCAACGGGAAGCTTGGCGAAGCCGGTAACGTTGGTACTGAGCTACCAGTAAGTATTTTATACAAGAATCGAATCGAGATGACTTATCCGATACTCTACAGACTGTGCAAGATAAACTCGAAGACGAAGAGACCGATCGAAATATGGAGAGATATCGAGAGCAGCTTAATGGCCTGTTGAGTGGGTGAACCCCAGCCAGCCCTGAATCTGTCGTTGTTCACATTGCGACCAGTAGTTAGTTGCATCTCTATACCTTGTTAAGAAACGACTTTTCCTAGTGGGAAAGAACTGAAAGAATCGGACATTACTTAGACGACTTAGCTGGGCTTGGGTCGGCTAAACTACCGACATTGACCGGGTAGGAACCCATGCGGTCACTGACATCAATGCATCAAGGAGCACGTGATACAAAATTCTGTTCAATTTTAATCTTCAACGTCACCGTGGTCAACCATTATCTTCTCGACGAAATGTTGGCCTGCCGCTCGTTCTCTAGTGTCACTCAAAACACCTTGAAGCGTGTAAACGTGAGTTGAGCTGACCTCTTTAGAGGGAGTTCTTTCCTGATGGTGGACAGCCCATAAGACGTTTCGCGTCAGCTCCCCCGACAGCTGCATTCGCTGGCCAGAAAGGCAGCAACGTAGGTGTTCTGGAGCACACGACTGTGGGCGTTATAGTAATATCGGATGCTGCAGGGGAAATATACTGTCACTCTAATTCCGGGAGATGGTGCGTCTGTCTCTTACTCCCTGCACGTTCGTTGCTCATCTTTGACCACCATAGGCATTGGACCTGAAATCAGCGAATCTATCAAAAATATTTACGCTGCCGCTAATGTCCATGATTCTCCGACCACGGGTGACTGTCGAGTCTAAATGCTTCCCTTAGGTGCCAATTCAATGGGAGGAAGTCAGTGTAACTCCCATTCTCAAGGGAGGAAAGACTGTGATTCCGGACACCGCAATTCAGTCCGTGAAGCGCAACACAGTCGCACTTAAAGGTATGTCCCTACCGATACCTTGTCCTTCAGACAATCCTGACTTTGGTCATCGTAGGTCCCCTTGCAACTCCTAGTACGTATTGGCGCCACCTTTGACGGGGATTAACCTGAATAAATCGCGTCCAAGTTGGAAAGGGCCACGTTTCGTTGAATTTGACCCTCCGACGAACTTTCAATCTCTTTGCCAATGTTCGACCTTGCGCCTCGATCAAAGGTTTCAAAACACCCTACGATGACGTCAACACGGTTCTCATTCGTGAAAACACGGAGGGGGAGTATTCTGGTATCGAGCACGAGGTGCCTCCATTTATTTCATTTTCCCGTCTGTTGTGTACTTAGAGATTTCAGGTCATCGATGGTGTTGTGCAATCCATCAAGCTTATTACTTGGGATGCTTCTGAACGTGTCGCACGTTATGCTTTCCATTACGCTCAGTCCAGCGGACGAAAGCGCGTCACCGCAGTGCACAAGGCCAATATCATGTAGGTCTTTTTCTCTTTTTCGCCTCGTGCGCCTCTACTTTTATTGACATTATATCCAAGGAAAATGTCCGACGGCATGTTTTTGTCTGCCTGTCGTGAAGTCTCGAAGGAGTTCCCTGATGTTGCTTATGACGAGGATTTACTTGACCGCGTCTGTCTCCAGGTAAGTGCATGAACCCTCAACAACTTGTGTAATAACATACGTCCGCAGATTGTCACTAACCCCAAACCTTACTCTGACCGTGTGATGGTCATGCCCAACTTGTACGGCGACATCTTGTCCGATATGTGTGCCGGATTGATTGGCGGGCTGGGCCTCACCCCTTCTGGCAATATTGGTCGTGTAAGAAAAGCTACTTATTCTCGTGATCTTCCAGCGACTTCATGATATTTCAACTCTAGGATGCTTCCATCTTCGAAGCTGTTCATGGGTCAGCACCTGACATTGCAGGTAAGTGGCACTCCGGTGTTCGAACTAGTCACTGACTTGATAACTAGGCAAAGGCCTGGCTAACCCAACGGCGCTCCTCTTATCTTCCCTTATGATGTTGAGGTCTGTTGCTGGCACCTGCGTCCTTCCCATCATATTCAACCTCTCTTTGTCAGGCACATGAACCTCAATGAATATGCGGACAAGATTGAGAAGGCCGCGTTGACGGTATGCCTCATAGGGCTTCCTTGAGGTCACTGCTTACGCGTCTTCCTTCTAGACTATCGCTGAGGGCAAGACGATCACCGGCGATTTAGGGGGCAAGGCAACCACCAAGGAATATACCAACGCCATCGTCCAAAAGCTTTAGGCGTGATACCTCCTCGACTCGTAGCAGATGGACAAACTAGATTATAGAGTACAGTGCTATAGAGTTAGTTAAATTTCCATGTTAAAATACTGCGTACTTGTCTACTCAAATTGTCCTTGCGATTTGCATTCTGTCTTGGCATCATCAACACTCACCATGTACACAGGAACAAGCAACGATGCGTGGGAAGTATCTGACAGTGAACTACGCATCGCCTGGTTGCAGTCAGCATCAAGTGTCCTTCGTTTTCACTGCCAACACCTGATAACCACCCAGCTCGCACTCCTTCTTCTCACTCGCCCTACAGGGCAAAGCCGCTCTATTCGTATCACTCCAGCCTCCAGGTATGTCCATTTTCGACGGTGTTCCACCTCTTGCCCCACTAGTGCCTCATGCCGTGTACTCAGGAATTCAACCCACAATCCAGTCTATAAACACAAGAACAAAGTCCTAATCCAATAATCTCTCCGCTCACAACCACGTTACGAACGACATGACAGACGAGATAACGCCGCAAACTCAACCTCCTCCGAAGAAGGACGAGAAGAAGCCTTCTTCATCGGGCAACAATCGTGGTCCTAGGAGGCAGCCTTCCAACCCGTCTAATTTACGGGGAGGGGCCCCCGGTGCAAGACCTTCCTCCCGAGGAAGTAACAAGAAGGCTTCTGCCCCTGCCAACCCAGTAAGCGTTGAAGACGGATCCGACACCGCCTCTCGAAAAGGCCCTGAATCTAGCAAAAAGCAGGAGCAACCTCGTAGCAAGAATCAAGGTGCTGGAGGTCGCGGGTCAGCTCATCGCAAAGGTCAATCCTCGGCTTCGCACGGAACACGTAGCACGAGAGATCAACGTCCCAACAAGCAGTCTCCTTCGCCTGGCCCCACTCTCACGACTGAGTCCAGTGACGCACTCTCCTCTCTTCAACGAGTTATCGCAGATTTAAAGACAACTTCCCCTGTCCAGCCTCCTGCGAATGCCATGAATTCAGCAAATTTCCCCGTTTCTCAGGTTCAGTCGAACTTGACCCTGCACGCACCTGTATTCAATCCAGGCGCAGGCACTGGCCAAGGCTCCAACGTCGACCAGAAGCATCGCAAGGCCGTCTCCCTAGGTAATTCCGGTCTTTCAGGGAACTTCAACTCCTTCTCACCTCATCTTGGTGCCATGATGGAGGACCCAGAAGATGGGCCTACCGAAGAGGGCGAGATACAAGAGCGCTTTTATCCCCAGCCAAATCACCAACTGCGCTCTCAGTCCCAAAGTTTTATGGCTCCTCGTTTTGCTGCGCTTGCAGCCCAGCAGGACCAGGATTCTGTTGGTCCAACTGGTCGACCCCAGCTCGCTCCCGGCTTTATGTTTGGTGCGCGTAAACGGGGTCCTCCTCTGGGTCCTCCCATTAACGAGGAGGACATTGGTTTCCAATTCCCCCAACAGCAGCAGCAGCCTTTCCCGTCAGATATCCCCCACCATGACCAAGGACATCGCAAAGCAGAGAGCGGTGAAATCACTGGCATAATGGCCGAACAGGTCTGTATTTCGTCGAGCCCGGTGCCGCTCTTATTCTGATAAATGTTCTCAGATTGCTATCCAGAACCAGATTGAAGCATTACAGCAACAACAACAAGTCTTATACCAGCAGCAGCTTGCCTCCAACCAAGTATTGTCTTTCCAAACCCCAGGACTGGCTCCTCAACGTGCTGGCCACAGGCGTGTGCAAAGCACTGTCCCGATGAGTCCTGGAGCAGTGGCCACTTTTGGCTCTGTTCAGCACCCTATGGGCCAATTTGGCAATCTCTCTGGGTTAAATCTTGGTCTGGACGGTCAACCTCCAGGCGTTCCCCGTGGCCATGGGCGAAGGCATAGCGTAAACGTTGTCAATAAGACCGTCAGTCAACCTGCTCCTGGATCTAATAATTTGTTCGATGGCTTCGACGACGGCTTCACTCCCGCAGCTGCTTTAGGCGGACATTCGAGGCAGGCATCACGGGTTGACTCCAGTTGGCGCATCAGTATGTGTACCTTTTTAACTTGTGGTCACATAAGGTCTGATTTGAGGATTGCTTGCTAGATGGTGGTGTTGGAGGTGTTCAGGGTGGCAATGGCGTCTTTACGGCCGATCTCGCCCAAGCGCAAGCTCAACTGCAAAGCTTGCAGCAATTTCGCGCAGCTGCCGGTGGACATCACCATAAGATGGCTTCGTTCAGCTTCCCCAATATGCTCCCCAATATGATGGCAGCGAACATGATGGGGCTCGGACTCGGTGGCATCAACCTCTTGCAGCAACAGCAGCAACAGTTCCAGTCTCAACTCCAGCAACAGTCTAATCAGCCACAACGCAAGTCACTCTTCGCTCCTTATCTTCCTCAAGCTTCCCTCCCCCCTCTACTCGCTGCAGGCAAGCTTGTTGTCGGGATCCTCAGAGTCAACAAACGTAATCGTTCGGATGCATATGTTGCCACCGAAGTTCTGGATGCGGATATCTACATTTGTGGATCTAAAGACCGAAATCGTGCTCTTGAGGGCGATATCGTAGCTGTTGAACTCCTTGATGTCGATGAGGTCTGGGGCACGAAGAAGGAAAAGGAAGAGAAGAAGCGAAAAAAGGAGGAAAACGCTGCCTACGACCTCAAGTCAAACGCAGGTCGTAAGGACGACAAGAAAAAGGACGATGTCGAAGTTGAGGGCCAAGGCCTTATGCTTTTCGAAGATGAAGAGTAAGATTTTGTTGGCTCTAACAGCCCATTCTGCTGACCCCTGTTAATTAGAGTTACCGACGAGGTCAAGCCGCAATTCGCGGGCCACGTTGTGGCTGTTGTAGAAAGGATGCCCGGACAGCTTTTCTCCGGCACTCTCGGACTCCTCCGTCCATCGTCTGCTGCCACGAAAGAAAAGCAGGAAGCAGAACGCCGCGAGCGTGAAGGAGATCGAGGGGATGAACCTCGACGGACGATCGAACGTCCGAAGATTGTCTGGTTTAAGCCCACTGACAAACGTGTGCCCCTCATCGCCATTCCAACGGAACAGGCGCCGCCCGATTTCGTCCAGAATTCCGAAGCCTACGTCGATAAACTCTTCGTTGCATGTATTAAACGCCACGTGAGCTATGTCCTAATTCTTTGCTTCTTTTTTAATTAATTCGCGAAAAGCCTATCAGCTCCCTCCATCCTTTTGGCACGCTTGTAGAAGAGCTTGGCCCAATTGGAGACATCGAAGTAGAGACGAGTGCGCTGCTGAAAGATTGCAACTTCCCTACTGAAGATTTTACGGACAATGTTTTGAAGTGTCTGCCGCCTATTCCCTGGACGTGGGTCATATTATCTCCCTCTCCATGATACTGAACAATCACACTATTTGCACATATCCAGGATTCCTGAACGCGAGTTGGAAACGCGCAAGGACCTCCGCGACGAACGCATTTTCACCATTGACCCAGAGACTGCCAAAGACGTTGATGATGCTGTCTCCATCAAGTACAATGAAGATGGCACGTTTGATATCGGTGTCCATATTGCCGACGTGTCATTCTTCGTCAAACCCAATACGCCTCTCGATCGCGATGCTCGTAAACGAGCGACCAGTGTTTACCTGGTTCAACGAGCCGTTCCCATGTTGCCTCCAGCATTAAGTGAACAGCTTTGCAGCTTACTTCCGGGGCAGGATCGTTTGGCCTTCTCGGTCGTATTCACTATGGACAGCGATGCCAAGGTGCTTAAGAAGTGGTTTGGCAAGACCATCATTCGGTATACTTTTTTTGTCTCTAGTATCGTAAGTTTATCCTAAAATTTCGTTAGCTCTGCCGCCAAACTTTCCTACTCTGACGCGCAACGAGCTATCGACGGTCAACCCTTGGGAATTGTACAGGTCGATCCTTCTCACCAGTCATCTGATATTGAACATGACATCCGACGCATGAACGTTTTGGCCAAACACCTCCGAGCCAACCGGTTCCAGAGTGGTGCTCTGAGCCTGGAGACACCCACCCTCTCCTTCCGACTTGACGAGAATGGTCTCCCAGTTGACTGTGGTCAGTATGAACGCAAAGAGGCCAACACAATGATCGAGGAGGTAAGTATTTTGGACTCACGACAAACGAGCTAACTAAATTCGCATTATTACTTTAGTTCATGTTACTGACCAACATCACTGTTGCACAACAAATTGCTGTCCATCTTCCTGAGCAGGCCCTCCTTCGTCGCCACGACACCCCGATTGAACGTCGTCTAGTAAGTGATTTGTTAGTTTCTCCTTAGGCGTAACTCAGATGCCTCACAGAATACTTTCAATCAACGAGCAGAACGTCTGGGATACAAGATGGACACCTCTTCTTCTGGGGCTCTTATGCGCTCCTTCGATGCCATAGACAACCCTACTGCTCGGAAACTTTTGGAGTTGCTCTCGTTCAAAGCCACGCAGCGGGCGAAATACTTCTGTGCTGGCATGCTCGATATTGCGAAATACGGCCACTATGCATTGAATACGCCCTTGTACACGCATTTTACTTCCCCTATCAGACGCTATGCGGACGTTCTGGTTCATCGTCAGCTCGAGGCAGTCCTCCAAGGTGGAGGTGATTTTATCTTTTTATCAATCCTGATATACAAGCTTATGCGGTATGCTCAGCTGAAACCAAGTTTATCATGGATCGTGACGCCGTTGCCAAAGTTGCTCAACAATGCAACATCAAACGCGATTCCGCTGTCCTTGCCCAAGAGCAATCGGCACATCTTTTTCTTTGCGTCTTGATCGCAGATCTTACCCATCGATATGGACCTGTCGTTCGTCAAGCAAAGGTTGTGGGTGTTCTGGAAGCTGCTTTCGATGTCCTTGTTCCAGAGTTTGGCATCGAAAAGCGGGTTCACGTCGATCAAATGCCTATTGATGTCAGTCCCTCCGAATCTTCTTTCTCTGGTGACGTCCACTGATTTATCTTCCAATAGAATCACGTCTACGATGAACATTCGCATACTCTGCAGATCTACTGGTCGTCTCGTGACGTGATTACTTGGTTAGCGGAGAACAGCGACGACGAGCATCTAAAGAAGGTGAAGCGGAATGCTGAGCAGCACGCGTTGAACATGGAGGTTGCGTCGCGTTCTGTCCATGACGAGAAAGCTCTCTTCGACGAAGACGATGCAGACGACGATGAGATCGTTTTGGGGCGAAGCGAGGTGGAGCCTCCTAAGCCAGAAACATCCAAGCAACGCCTGCTCTCTATGGCGAAGGTTAAGCCCGAATTCGAGGGCCTACGTGTGACCCCATCTGGACACAAGATCCAGGACATTAAGGAGTTGATGACGGTACCGGTGGGTTTTGCTCTTCTATCTAGCTTCAATCGTTGCGCTGACAGGAGTTTATCTAGGTTATTGTTACGGCTGACTTGACGAAGAGTCCGCCCGTCATCAAGGTCTACAGCGTCAACCCTTATGCCGAACAAAAGAAATAAAGCTCCAGAAGACACCGAACATTCCACTTCCCACTCGATTCGCTGCATTGTACGCCTGCCGCCTCCTCTTTCGAACCCCTATGCCAAACTTCTCTTCTCTCATGTTATTCGTATGGTGTTTCTGTCCGACGACGCCTTTCCTGCTACGTCCTTCCTGTATTTCATACTCTCGATACGCGCTTTTCTGGAAGAGCTCTCTGCTTGATCAACTGCGTTCTGTGATCTGGTAGTTAAAACTCTACCCACCTACCTCCTGTAAGTACATGTGACGCAACTTATGATTCACGTCTCTTCGGAATGAATGAATGTTTAACTTTGTGATTCATGCATTGTTATTGACAGTGCATGATCAATCAGTGAGTAGTGCTAAACAGTGGATAAGTATCAAGTAAATAATGAGTGAGGATGTGGAAGTCGATTCGTCATGAATAAAGATATCAGTAGTACTAAGGGAGGGTGGATCGCAACGGTGCGATAATAGAACGATAGTACCTAATCAGATCCAGCCAGCTGGAGCAGATTTTGGGTTTGAATGGGATTGTCGGCTCTCGCTACGCTGGAACAGCGGACCATCCCAGGATTGTGGGGTTGGCGGCAATTTTGCAGTCGTCTCTCCAGAGGGACTGGGCTGCTTGCTCCTCCTGGCAGCAAGGCCAACACCCGCTTCAGGCGTGCTAATACTCTGCCTGATGTCAGTCTCCACCTTCTCGAGGAGCGTGTGCAGGCTGTAGACAGAGGCATGCAGGCTGTGGATCGACGCAGAGCTGTTGCCGCGGTGGTGATACCGGGGGCCATATCGGTGCCGGATCTCTTCCGCGCAGAGCTTGTACAGGCCCTCGAGGTTTAGGTAGGCTGCCTCGTCACGCACCTCGATCAGCGTCTCGAGACGCGACTGCGAGGGAGAGGACCCCAGGAGCTGCAAGGCACGAGGGAGGGAGTCCGGCTGACCCTCGATGGCAAGCGACCGGAGATAGCTGAGGATGTGAGCATATCTGCGTGGGGAATGTAGAAGGTTAGCTATTGTGTTCCTCGTGTGTGTGTGTGAAGAGAGGACAATAACACGCGACGACTTACGGAGCACTGGGACGATCCAGGAAAATGTGGATGTTCGAGGATAAAGGCGCAAGGCCCTGAGAAGTCAGATGACTGCGGTACATGGCCATGTCGTCACTTTCTGTAGAGTAGATGGAGGAAGCGACAGATTTGGTGTCGGATGCGCGATAGAGGGATGAAAGATAATTGGAGAGATGGGACGGCCGTGAATGGAGGGTCGTTAGTGTCGTTCTGTATGTTGTGGTGCATGTCTCGAGCGTGACGATTACTTTGGACGCGTCTACGATCATCGACGGCTCGGCGATGAGGATAGGTTGGAAGGGCGGAGGTTGGGTGGAGGCGGCGACATGAGCTGGTATTGGGGGCACTGGTACAGGCTCTTCGGAGGTAGACATTGAAATAGAACGAGGACCTTTCAGCGATGAACGACGCGTCGGAGAGAGTGGGGCTGGAGGAGGCGCTCTGCTAGGCTTGGAAGGTGTCTTTGACCCAGTACTCGATGTTTCGAGCAGTCTGAATTCATCTTCCTCTTGAAGTGGCAGTGGAGGGAGCGGGGGGCTTGTGGGCGGTGATATAGGCTCTTCGTGTTTGGCAGGAGATACAGGACGCGGTTTGGGGGGCTTCGTAGACCTCTCTTTCTTGTCTACGGAGCTGCGCGAGCTGGTGGACGCAGACTTGTCCTTGTCCAAGGTTAGTCTTACGCCGGTTTCGCGTAGAGCCTCGTCCGGAGTGCGGACGATGGTGGCACCCTCGCCTAGAGTTCCGCTGCGCTGTGGGGGCGTCAGGGAGTCGATTTTGCGGGCAAGCTTCGGCTCCGAGACCTTTATGGGCTTGGTCGGCGTATAGGCTGTTGACGATGGTGCTTGTGTAGAGCTACGCGAGAGCCAGTGCATGGTGCTGGACACAGATGGACGACGAGGAGTGTGGCTTGAGGATGGAGGGGATGTTGAAGGGACGATAGTTGACTGGGATGCCGGCCTGGGCTGATATTCTGTGGCGACTGGAGGGGGAGTGCGGGAAGGGCGTGTATTCTGCGATCGGTGCATTGTTGAGGTGAGTGTGGTGGACGACATTGGGGACTACAAAGGCCTCCATCTCGCCGCCTGGTCTTTTCAACCACGAGAACAATAGCATTACCCCCATTTTGGGAACATAATGCTTCTCGCGTAAAGTCACGTGCATACCCGCTTCTTGTTCTCCCCCGTCGTGCCCATGGATCCACCGACGGCCAAGTTCGCTCATGCCCTCCCCTTTACCCTCTTCTCAGTCTCCCCACAACTCGCTGCTCTTCACAATGTGCGGACTGGCAACCAATCCCCTCATTCATGCCCCAGATGCGGGTCAGAACTCGCCGCAAGCACGAGACTCGTCCGCACGCGTTCCAGCACTTGTTCTGGCCCCTCGCGTGCCGTATCAGTGTCTTGTTCAGCCTGCGGGGCTCGTTCCTCTATCAGTGTCGAGAACGGAAACGCGTCTTCCTTCCCATCACGGAAGCGAAAGTCCCCTGCTTCACCATCGGTAGTTTCCCTATCTAGTGCAACACCACCACCTGTAGTCCAACCACCTGCTCCCTCTCCATCGACGCTAGTGAAGCCTTCGAAAGGTCGTCCTGCCACAAGCCCACAACACACCTCAAAATCGAAAACCAAACCTGGTTTGCAAGAAATGCTAAAGCGAAATCGAGAAAAAGAGAAAAAACGTGCAAAAACAGAAGAATCGAAAACGACTGGCTTATCCGCTTTCCTGAGCACACTGTGGCCTTAATCCGTGCGTTGTAAAGTATTCTATACTGTACACACCAGGTCTCTCAATCGATACGTCCTCAAAGTTACTTTACCAGAGAGGCACGAATTCAGTGATTACAATGAACAACGTGCGCCAATGTGTCCGCCGCGTAAAACCCGGCAGTCAAATACCCCTGGAAACCTTCATGACGTCGGCTCTCACCACCGAACGGACCTACAAAACACAATCAATCCGAGACGTCATTTAGCAGCCCCTTGTGCGGCAAAGTACAACATTCATTTACTGGCCAAGATCTCTAAGCAACTAATGAACAAGATTACGAGAGCCTTTCACCTGCCATACTTACCATTCCTCGTCGACATCCAGAATCGACATCTCGCGTTCAACACACCTAGATGGCCAAGACACTAAGAAAACCCTACATGAATAAAGCTTATTTCAGCCTTTCCTCGTCGACATAAGCCTGGAGAACAGTACCTGCCAGTCCAGATATGACAGTCCTGGTGACTTTTATCCTGAATGTCGTGAGGTCAGACGCAATGAATACCAGAAGTAGTTATCTTGCAGGGCGAAGCAAGTAAGATGCTCGCCTGCACCCTTCTTCGCCCCACCAGCATACACTGCCGTAGTGAAAGTACACACACAGCCTGTGCGTGGTCCTTATCGTACGTTTGAGTTTCAGAATACCATGTAAGAACCTTTCTGAAAGGACAACCAAGAGGCACTAAACGGTGAGACTGAGGGTGCGAGGCTGACCGTAAGGCTGGGGGATGGGAATCCGGCCTCTGACAGCAAAAATTCTTTCGCCTGTTTTCTCCGAAAGCAACCTGAAAATTCGAAGGAGAGTGCGATTGTCGAGCTTCTCGAGGCGAGCTGTTTAAGGGGAGTGTCGATGCCACTTTTGGCATTTCTAAAGGTCGCGTCGTCGAGCTCTTGACAAGTCGATTACCGACCAGTCCAAATAGGGAGCGGCGGGTGGTCTGGCATGCCTGTGTCAAACTGCCGTGGGGGACGTTTGAGCACATCGCAACTACCCGGAAGCTCTCGCCCTGATTTAGGAAGGGTAATGTGGCGCATGTCGTCTGCCATTTAGCCGCGCAATTGAGCCTTAATAGGAAAGAACCATAGAATGTTACGACACGATTTGCCAGGCCGGGTACAGACGGTGGCAACACAGAAAAGTCGTTGGGTGATCTCGAATAACACAAAGGCTTCAAAGAAAACGCCTTGCTTGGTTTCATCGACTTGTTAGCCATTCAAAAACCACAAAGTTCGAAGTGTCATCCTATTAAACACATGATTAAACCCGACACCTGGATTGTATGTTTGGAAGGTTCCATTAAGATCACTATTGTCCCAGCCAGAACGGCCACCTCTACACCGTTGCTTTCTCATCCTGCGAGCCCTTCTCCGAGTCGACCACGGCGTCATTCTGTACAGGATTCTCCTGGGGCCGAATAAATCGGCCTGGCCAGAATGGCACATACACCACGATTGCGACAAATAACGGTAGGGTGTCCAGAGCGTAAAAGAGAGCTTCAGAGGTAGTTAAAGGCCCCTGGAAGCCTTCCGAGAGCTCGATCACCCTGAATACTGAACGGACCTACACGAACAGAGCATTGATGCAGTCTCGTCAGTGCTCTGTGAATAACAACAAAACTCCATGAACGTACCATGATGCCCATGCAACTGATGAACAGCACCACAGCCAGCGTCTTCCACGAGTTGTACCACTTCTTATCTTCGTCCATCGCCCACGCCTTGGGCTCATATTTCCGCACACGATGGAGGAAGCGGATGAAAATGCAGGTAAAAGACGAGAAAGACAGAAGTTGCGCTGCTAGGCCCGCAAGGAAAACCTAAGGCGCGAGACATGTCAGCTTCTAGTTCCTCCGGTCAAGATGGATTCGGAAGACATATTTACACGGGATCCTGCCAGTGCTCTATCGTAGTCGTTGGCAGAGACTGATATGGAGCCCCCGATAGCTTGGATGAGGAAGGTCGTTATGTCTGACGAGACAAAGACGAGTGTGATATTGTGAGGCGAGACGAGGAGGTGTCGGTCGGACTGCACGTGTCTTGCCAATCGTCCTAAGAGGACATAATCTGCTGCAATGAAAGCACAAGGCTGGCACATGACGTCAGTGGGCACAGATTTTCACTAAAGCGTCTCGACAGCAGCTCACAGATAACACGACGAAGAGGTATTCAACGATATAAATCCCTTTTGACTGAGGGTGGATCGCCAGACCGAAACGGAATGCGAGTCCTATTGCAAAACCTTTTGCCATTCTTATCAAATAAAGTCTGAGAGATAGAGCTTGACACACAGTACGCCCCAATCGTCATAGCAGACATCCACCTCGCACCCCATCGTTTAATACACCATGTTTGTAAGACAGCGACGACGAGAACGAGTGCTTTGGGTGTTCTCGTTAGTTTAGCACCTGGGCTGAACACACTGCTTGCTTACCCACTGAGATGCCTGTCAAGGTATTCGAGACGATGTACTTGAGAGGATTATACGGATCATTCTTCGGGTCGAGAAAAGGATCAGGCCGAGGAATGTCGAATTTAATGACTGCAGCAGCCTGCGACACCAATCCCAGCAACACTAACGGGAGGGCAGAACGCATATTGGCCATGGGGGTGGCGGCGATAATTACGGGAAAAACGGCGTCGAATGCAAGGAGCTCATCGACCGGGGGAAGTTTATGTAGGTGAGTAAGGATCCAAGCTAATCAATGGGACCCATTACCCATATTGTCTGGTCTCGGGCATTCCGGGGGCACATGCTAACACTTTTGCATTCAATCCGCTCCTATACGCGTGGCCGCGAGTCGCCGCGACCAGGCTCATCCTCGCTGGAAGAGGAAATAACTTGACATCACTCGGGGGCCGTGCGTTCCGAGCAAATGCCGAAGAAAAATGATCCCCATACGGTAGCTAAGGACACAAGGATAGTTTAGATTGCTTCGAACGGGAGGTGCCCAGGGTGAAGGAGATGCCTATCGTGAAGGTGCCCATAAGTCGTACAGTTCCTTGTCTGCAGGGTCGAAACAGGTCAACATGGAGGGGTCTGCGCGAACGACGAGTGCCCGCGTCGGGACACCAGGGATGTTGCGCATGCTTAGACGTGTGTCTAGTCTCAGAGGGCCTCCAGAAACACTGCCGGAGAGCGTCGAGGAAGGCGAGGTTTCCTGCATTGCATTGCAGAGTTAGTACGCTGCGAATGCTCTCGAGAGGTTGTTATGAACAGGCTAACCTCTACAGTTCTTGGGAAAATCGAAACGTTATTCAAGTCTCGTCTTGGGCCAGTGTTGGGCGTCCCGGGCGTTCCATGTGTTCCTGGGAAAGGTATCGCGTGTGAGTTCGCGCTGAGTCGCTGACGTGCAAAGTAGACGCCTTTACGGACTTCCTGGAGAGATTGGAGAAGTCAAACGTGGTGGAGTTGCAGACATCGTGATCGTCAACTGGCCTGCCAGTCAAGTTTATTCGTTTTGTTTGAGTGAGTTAGGGATCGTTCGAGCTGTAAACCCTACAGAGCTCGAGTGGTGAGAGACTGGCAATGAGAGGATCGGACGAGCGTTGTTGAACATCGCGTCTGATGTGCTCTGACGTGACATGGAGTGACGTAGATGTCGTGACCTGGTCACGACGTGAACTGAAAGTCCCTTTGTATTCAACGGAGTCACTGCACTCCTTAGAACTGCACCATCAGTACTTGGCCCATCCTCTGACGTCTCTACAGCTACGACGAACTCGAAGGTACTATGAACATCTTCCGAAGCTGTACGCTCATCGATCTCTCTGCCCTCCGTTTACGCTAACCCCTGGCACCCTTCAAGTAATCGGCAAAGTCTGGCGTGCGTGTTTTGAGATCGGTCCTGTTTCCTTTCATCGCGGCTGAACGATGCCACAGAAGATCCAAATGCTGCAGAGGTTGTGAAGATACCTTCTGGTGCGCCAATCGTGTTCATTGTTGATACTACGCGCTAAACTAGGGATCCAGGCCAACTTCATCTCGTGCGACCGGGAAACATTAGAACATCGCGCGAATGCATGTATGCCAATCAACGGTCACCTCTGTTCCTGCGACCTACTAATTGCAACATCTTCAAGCTACAACGATTGCATGGCAACTGTTCGCCGCCTTCCCTCGATTGAACACAATTTCCAACTTGTGATAACCAAAGTGTATGAAGATGGAGACCAGGACCTGCTGGAGGATGAGGACGAGAGTGGGTTTTACACGTTTCCGATAGCCAACTTTTGCTCCTGCGACTTACATTTTCTCGATTGCTTCAGCCGATGAAGAGAAAGTATTCCTGATCAGTGAAGAGCTCGAATTCAGGCCTGGAGAGACAGACGGCGAACCTAATTTTATGTGGCGCGACCTTCATGGAGATGTTGACGAGTTCTATGAATTTGTCGCGGCTGGCACCAACGCACCAACTTGCGCCTTTTTCGAGACGTGCATGTATCGCGCCATGTACGAACGCAAATACAAGAAGGGTGCGGACAGTGTCCCAGATGCAGCCTTGGAAGAGTTTATGTGGCGGTATGTCTTGTCATATTTTCTCCTCCTGTGTAAGGTTCTCATAGCTTCCTTCGTAGCCCTCCTGCAACACCTAAGGCCAACCCAAGACGGAAGGTCTCCAAGAAAGCAGAAACTACTGTGGTCGACTCGTCTCCGCAGAATCCCATTGTGGTGGATGAAGAAGAGCAACCCTCTCAGTCCTCTCAATCGATAAACCAAGTGGACCAACAGTTCATGGCGAACATGAATGTTTTCTTCGAGGAAGAGGCGGAACTCTATCTTTGGGATGCCGACAGCTGGGATTTCCGTAACGACGGAATCGTCGTTGCAAGGATCATGCAGCAGAAGGATGCTGAATTTGTGTTCTGGCTATCAGCTTCAAATGACACGGGTCTGCTTCTTGCGCACACCATATGTTCGGAAATAAATCAGCGTTTCTCCCACAAAATGCTCTCGTTGACTTGGAACCACATCGACAGCAACGGCACTCCAAGCAGCTGGCTGTTCCGATTCCTCAACCAAGAAGATTTTGGCAAAGTGTTCGAGTTGTTCACCAAGTGCCAATGGCAAACACTACACCGGGTTCCATGGGGCAAGATGAAGGTATGCCTCCTGTCTGTTACTCCATAGAGTCACATTGACGTGTATCAAATAGCCCGAGGAGCAAAGCTATGTCTTGAGTTCCAATGAGGATGTCGAAATGAAGGATGTCGACGATGAGGAAGAAGACGAAGATGAGGTTGCTTCTGACTTGAACCCTGATGAGGGTACGTTGGCTTTTTGTCATCTGTTGGTTCTGACCTATAAGCATGTCTAACAGAGGCGAGCGACGAAGAGGAAGAAGAATATGAAGATGAGGACGAATCGAAGGCACCAATCACTGGCGACAAGAACTCTCAGTTAACTGTTGGCTATAAAGGCGATCGTTCTTATGTCCTTCGCGGGAACAATATTGGTGTCTTCAGTCGTTCTAGTGATGGCACGGTCAAGTATTATGCAACAGTGAGCAATATTGCTACACCGAAAGGAAAGAGCTTTAAGCCCAAGAATGTAGGTGATGGGAAAAATCTATTCAACGTCGATATTCACTTTTTCTTCATCATAGGTCATGTTGCACGACCAAGACACGAAGATGATTCTTCAGAATCCATTGGATCCCAACTCTCTGTATAGCATGGATCTCGAACGCGGCAAAGTGGTTGAAGAGTGGAAAGTACACGATGATATCACCGTCGACCATATTGCTCCAGACCATAAATTTGCGCCAACGACCCGGGAGCAGACGCTGGTTGGTTCATCCCATAATGCTCTCTTTCGCATCGACCCTCGTGTATCTGGCACCAAGCTGGTGGAAAGTCAGTTCAAACAGTACGTCAGCAAGAACAAATTCTCCGGTGTCACGACCACGGCGTCGGGTAAACTGGCTGTGGCGAGCGAGAAGGGCGACATCAGACTATTTGATTCCATTGGAAAGAACGCGAAGACAGCTCTGCCGCCACTGGGTGATCCTATTCTTGGCATCGACGTGACCGCGAGCGGACGTTGGATTGTAGCAACAACTCAGACTTACCTCCTCTTGATCGATACCCTTATTGGTGAAGGGCGCTATCAAGGACAACTTGGGTTCGACCGAAGCTTCCCGGCGACCTCGAAGCCCCAGCCCAAACGTTTGCAATTGAAACCTCAACACGTGTCCTATATGGGCGACATTTCATTTACACCCGCAAGGTAAAGCGTTTTTTTCCGTTATTGTCTTCAACAGACCTAACTTCTTTCTAGATTTAATCAAGTCGAAGGCCAAGAAGAGAACGCCATCGTCACTTCGAGCGGCCAGTTCGTTATCGCTTGGGACTTCGCGAAAGTAAAGAAGGGCAAGCTTGATCAATATGAGATTAAGAAGTATGAAGACCACGTCGTTCAGGATAATTTCCGATTCGGGGATGACAAGGAGATTGTAAGCCTAGGGGAAAAAAGTCGAGCTGGACGCTAACTGACAACTCTCTTCTCAGATTGTGGCTTTGAACAATAACGTGTTGGCTCTGAACAAGAAGAACTTGAGAAAACCCAACAGGCATTCTCTTGCACCTCAGAGCCACTCTTCCATTGTCAATGCACCATTTTAGATACCCCGCGTCTCTTTCCCTTTCGGCCCATTTTTGTGCGTATCCCTGAGACGGAAGACTAAGAGAGTGAAGAATTCAACGATTTTGTACAAGTAATGGATAGAACTGTAACTCTTGATTTATGAATCGACCTTGTTTATCCAAAACGAGCGGTGCCGATATCGATAAACCCTGGTCCCACATAAACAAATGGATCTATCTAATTGTCCCTGAATAGCCCATTTCTCCTAATCAGGCACAGGAGATTTGTACTAGGTACGAAAGATGTATTTTGAGTATAATATTGGTAAGTAATGTAATCTAGGAGGAAGCAGGAGAAGCGGAAAACTGTCTCTTTTCCAGTGAGGCGTGGCCGATCCTCTTGAACGCTCCGTCTCTTGAATCGACATAACGCCCAATCCCTAAGTGCCAGCATAACCGCGGTACGAGAAGGGTGATTCCCAGAAGAAAGGTCGTCCATAACATGGGTGTCCAGCTCGCAACGTTCCATCGATCGTCTCCCAACGCCCAGAAGGTCAGAACAAGATGGACGATGTCACCCATGAGGAGAGGCGTGAAAAGGGCAAAGAGGATCTTCTCTTGTAGCGCGGGACTATCGTGCAGGTGATTTCGAACGGCGGAAAGAATGAAGAGGTTGATGAAGCCGAGGAGAGCGCAAGTATGTGCGAGCTGAATTATCGTCACGAATGTGGCAGCAGGCAGCTCTGTGTGAGGCGGTCCACCTTTCCAGGGAGCTTGAGAGTTGTGTGTCTGAGAAACAACAATTAAAGGGGATCCCGGGAAGGAATGGCGAGCGCGTTCGTACAGTTAACGGGTCCCTAACGAGAGGGTAAGATTAGACCACGGATGATAACTGGAAAGGGCAAGATACTCACGCGAGAGCTCCAAGAAAACCGATGGTCGTCAGAAAGGGCTCGTAGGCGCCGAAACAAAAATAGTAGAAGTCTGGCAAAGCGGATTGAGAAGACATAAGACGCGATTCTAGGTGCCGGTGGGAGCTGAACGTCTTAAATAAAAGGAGGGAACAGGGTTTAATATCTCTGGGATGAATGAAATCCGGAAAAGCGTGGAAGAGATCAGAAGGGCGCAGCTGGCCCTTAAGGTGGAATCCCGGTCCCATGAAAGTTGAGGGACTCGGAGGTGTATGTAAAGCACATGTGGAACACCCCTATGCTTGGACCTTCCTCTGATGATCGACCAGTGATCGACGCGAGTCGACCGTGTTCTGATCCGGCATCACGCGCCGGCCCTCAACCCCTCTATAAATTCTCTCACTTCCTTTCCCTTTTCTTCACTTACATATATGGCCCATCTACAACCAAGGCTGGCAAACATGCCTCCATTTTGATACCAGCCTAATGGCGAGGACCAAGAGTACTCTGCGACCCGTAGATGTAGGATATAATGCTTGCCTGGTCGGACTCATACCGGAGGAGCTTCGCTTTCTGCTGACAGATTACAGCATCCAGTTCGTATTGTACTTCGTTGGGTTCGGGGTGAATACATGTGCCGAGCTTCGTAAGATTCTGCAGGAAAGTCATTATTCAGAGCATCTGTACAGTCATCCCACCTTCTCCATGAAAGCCTGAGGTTCTAATTGCCAAGCCTTTCAGGCTGAAATCCTTGCTCCCCACGTCTGTACTTCTCTCATTGCTGCTTGACTTCTATCCTCTCCCCTCCTGCATGATAGGTGCACGTTTTTTCTTCGACTGCGCCGACCGACACGGACACAAATGGCATCCACATCATGTCCGTGAGACTCCGCGGCCTTGTAGGAGTCAGACGGTTGCGACACAGTTTCTTTCATCCATGATCACATTGAACGCCGTGCACGCCATCCATGAACGCCAACGGATGGGCTGAACCTTCCAGTTCATGGTATACAGCTGCAGAGGAGCAAGAGGAGGATCTACACACGCGGCGCGCGGAGAGCATCGACATACCACCCGGTGCTGAAGAGGGCATTCGACCATCGAAGATTTACAAGTCTCTATCGTTCCCGATAATTGCCGTCCTCATGCCAGCGTCTGTCTTTGGCGTCCTTGCTCGCCTTGGGATCAATGCTCTTATGGACTTCAATGGCAGCAGCGTGTTTTCTCTGGTCTACGCACAGGCCGTAGGTTGCCTATTCATGGGCTTTGGTTTGAGGCTGAAGGAACCGATCGGACAATTGTACGTGATCTCTGTGCAGTGGAATACTTCACAGCTTACCGCTTTTACAGCTATGCACCCCTATACACTGCTATAACTACAGGTTGGAACTCGTTTCACTCCCTTGACCCCTTCTGATAGTCTTTCATAGGATTCTGTGGATCCTTGACTACCTTTTCAAGTTGGCAACTCGATGTATTCAACGCGTGGATTAATGCAGGTCAATTTGACCGGGGAGGTTTGCAAGACGTAAGCCCATTGGTAGATGTTCTGCAACGGCGTTCTAAATTTCCATTCAGTTCTTGGACGGTGTGGGCGTTTCAACCGTCACACTATCCCTCTCGCTTGCTTCTCTTGCCTTCGGATATAACATCGCCTCAGTCATTGCACCGTTCATAGGCCGACCGCAGTTTGCACCTCGCGTGTTTCGCTACGGCTTCAGCCTCGTTTCGGTCCTGGTTTACGCAGCAACATTCCTCACGTATTTCCTCCTCCCCGAAAGTTATCGCCATCAGGCTACCGCTGCGCTCCTATTCTCATTCCCGGGCACTCTAACGCGGTATCTTCTTTCCATCGCTCTCAACCAGCGTATTAAGGCATTTCCACTTGGCACACTGGCTGCGAACACGTTAGGAACCGCGTTATTGGCGGCATTTCACGTTATTCAGAGTACATCCAATCCCCACTCTCAGAACGCCTGTTCTCTGTTACAAGGGCTGATTGACGGTTATTGCGGATGCTTGACGACCGTCAGCACATTCGCAGCAGAGATTCGCGACCTAGCAGGTAAAAAGGCTTGTAGATATGCTCTTCTGAGCTGGGTGTTGGGGCAGGCTATGATGGTCTTAATCTTCGGATCTGCAATTTGGACGGGCCATGCCCGAGAACAGCTTATTTGCACCTTCTAGTAGAGTACATTCCAGTAGAGCGAAGCAGATTAAATTCCTTTCTGAGCAAACGTGCGAGATGAACATGTGTCTGTTATCAGGTGTGATACATCGACCAGCATTTGACGTTTAGAGGTGATGCTGATCGGAGTTACAATTCTTTACTACTTTCATCCATCCTCCTCGACGATTTACTATCCCGAGGACGAATTCGCGCCACCAGCATGGCATCACGACAAAAGCCGGCAGCAGACGTCCCTCCGCAGGGGTTGGAGGAGGAAGAAGCTGTGAGCGGCGCAGGAGAGGGGGACGAAATCATGGAGGAACCCGATGAACAAGAAGATGGCTACAGTGCGTGTTTACCCGTCGTCCCTCTCGGATTACCAGTGGCTTTGCCACTTGGTCGAATTTGGGTCTGATCTTTTGAATGGAGGCAACTCACGAACATTTTTGCTATAGCTTCGTCCACCCCGACGTCTACACTGACTTGGATCAGCTGGTTCTGTTCCTTGCCAGGACACGAATATTTTTGTGAAGTGACAGAAGAGTTCATCGAGGACGACTTCAACCTCACAGGCCTAAACACGATGGTGCCGTTCTGGAAGGAAGCGATGGAGATGGTCTTGGACGTTGAACCAGGTGTGGGTTCTGAATCATGTCTCCAACTATCGTGCTTATTCCCTCACTGAGGACGAGGATACGTCCAAGATCCCCGACGTTTCAATCGTCGAGTCATCCGCGGAGATGCTATATGGACTCGTCCACCAACGATACATCCTGACGCGCGCCGGCCTGCAGGCAATGGTGCGTGTTTCTGCCCAAACAGGCGTTTGAGAAGGCAATGCAGATCCCTTTTAGGCCGAGAAGTATGAGAGCGGCGTCTTCGGGTCCTGCCCGCGCGTGTATTGCGTTGGTTGCAACGTTGTGCCGTGCGGGCGCGTCGATATCCCAGGAAACGATACCGTGAAGCTCTTCTGCCCGAACTGCAACGACATCTACGTGCCCCCGAGCAGCAGGTTCCAGGGCGTGGATGGTGAGTCTCACGCCGCACCTCCGACGCCATCGATGACTCTGCTTATCCGTTTTTATCGAAAGGCGCGTTCTTCGGGACCACCTTCCCACATCTTTTCTTCCAGACGTACCGTGAACTTGCACCGGCGCCTTTCTGGAAGGCGCCGTCGAGTGGTGGATCTCCCCTGTCGCCGCGGAGTGTCTCAGGCTCAGGAGGAAATGGTTCGCGCCCATCTCCATTCGTTAATCCGAACCCACACGGTGGACAAAAGCGCGCGGCTGGATATGTTTATGTACCGAGAATCTATGGATTCAAGGTCAGCGAACGAGCGAAGAGTGGGCCTAGGATGCAGTGGCTAAGGCTACGACCAGAGAGCCCTGAGGAACTTGATATGGTTGATTGGCGTGGACGTTGGATTAATGACGAAGAGGATTATGATGACGACGAAGAGGTTGAGGAAGAAGATAGGCAGATGGAAGACTTCGATCCCGTAGGCGAATTTCTTTCCGAGCTACTTCTTATCTGATTCAATTTTGTGCACTGTAGGATGCAGTAGATGGTGAAGACGACGACGATGAGGAGGAGGAAGAAGAGGAAGAGGGTGCTCGTCCATCTGGAAAGCAACATGGGAAGCAGGTCGCCGATGGCCCGATGGGCTCACTGCCAGCCCTCTCCCCCTCCCACCATTCCGCACGAACTTCGCCAACATCACCTGGCGCACCGCGCACGCCGGACGATAAACCTTTGATTGATTTGTCGGTATATGCCCTACCCTCGTTCGGGCGAGTATCAAATGAGGGTAAAGTGAGGGTATTGAGGCAATGGTCTGCCCCAAGAAGCGACACTGCTCAAGTTTAACGTTACTGGAACTGTGATTCTTTGTATTTTTTGGCTTTTTTCTCTCCTCTACATATACACAGGTTTCCCATCTATCTGTAGCTGCCTGCCCACACCTTTGTAGCAGATTAGATTAGATAAAGATTATCAGCTACTATAGGCTGCCGTGTTCGGCATTGGTTGTGTGAACTAGAACTATACAGTACCTCAGCCTCCGCACGCACGTGACTCAAGGAGAAGAAGCAGGCAAAATATCTCTTTCGCACCGCCCACAACGACCTCGTCAAGACCTCAAGAAAAATGACCCGTACCAGTGAGTACTTCTGGTGCATTTGGAGGGCGAAACGCTGACGGTTCGAAACGCAGACCTTCGCTACGGTCTTAACCACGGCCACCCCACCACTGCCATTCCCAAGGCTGTTCGGCCCAGCCAGCGCAAGGGCGTGCAATCGACGAAGACCAAGTTCGTGCGCTCTGTTGTGAGAGAGGTAGCTGGATTCTCCGCGTACGAGAGACGGGTCATGGAGCTGTTGAGGAACTCGAAGGTCCGTCCCGATGGTCTGTATTTTGGCAGACAATCTGACCGGTTATCGTATTTGGGTGCTACAGGACAAGAAGGCCAGGAAGCTGACCAAGAAGCGAGTGAGTAGCGATCATAGGCATGGTCGTAACTGCGTATTGACTGTGCATCTACCGGTTAGCTCGGGACGCTCCTGCGCTCGAAACGCAAGCTGGAGGAGCTGTCGACTATCATCCAGGAGAGCAGGAGAGCAGGACACTAAAACCTGGGCGAATATCGTTGATATGGCAGTAGCACTATGTTCTCGCATTATAGTAACCCCCATTGCGCCGACTGTAGAATGCGAATCGACTATGACTATATGCACTTGTATGAGATTGACAGATGGCCGCGCCGAAGAGCCAGGGAGACAGGTAATGCAGTGTCAGCGTGATTTGTCAGTGCCAAATGACCTGATGTGCATGACAGTCGCAGTCTTAACCCGCGACCTTATTTTCGTTCCGCGTATCCCATGTCCGACTCCCTCTCCCCGCCCAAGCTCTCCCGCAACCGCGCAGAGTCAACCACCCTCCGTCCTAACATCACCATCCACACTCTTGGTCGCCGTCGCTCCGCCTCCTGCCTTAACTGCCCCCAACACCCCGCCGTCGACACCGCGGCCGCTGTCTCACAAGCACAAGACCAGAAACCCCCCACCATGATTGAATGGCTCATCTCCACGTTCATCCAATGGCTCCAGTACCCCCAGAAACACGCACTCTCCTGGTCAACACCCTCCTCCCCCCGCTCCAGCACCGACGAGTTCGTTCTCCCACTCTCCGCCTCCGCAACCGCCGTGTCCTTTACCGTCCCCGAGCCTCCCTCAATTCCGACATGGCGCCTCCGATTACCCTCTGTATGCGCTTCGCTTTTCCCTGGTCTCACTTGTTGTCTAACCGCGTTTCAACCAGATTCATCTACCAATCCTGTTTGTGATCTTGTTGTTGCCCGTTTCAACGGGATTTGTGCTTTGGTGTCTTTCTACACTTCCAATATCCCAGTCATGGCCCCATGACATTGCAGACTTAGCCCAGCTAGGTCGCGAACTCCATGGCTACTCACAAAGCGGCCCCGGTCCTCTCTCTCATGTCATTGGTGTTATGGCTATTTCTGCCGTCTGGAAACACGCTTGGTCTATTCCGGGAAGCGTGTTATGGGTATGTCTTCTTTTTTCGGCCTAAAAATCTTACCAATCACCTCATTTTTCGGTCGTGTGCAGAATGTCCTCGCCGGCGCTCTTTTCTCTCCCCTTTACGCGACCGTCCTCCTTACCACTCTCACAACCGTCGGTTCCGTCTGCGCAACGCTACTGGCCATGCCCCTCGGTCCCTTTCTCGCGAATGTCTTTCCGCGGGCCTTGGAGATGACCCGCAACGCCTTAGAGGGCGACTCCGATTCCGATCGTGATATCTCCGGAAATAAATTGAAGCCTAGATCCTCCGCCTGGGTTCGGCTTTCTGTGCTTCGCCTTATTGGCGTTGTCCCTTGGTCAGGCATAAACATAGCGTGCGGCGTCTGCGGAGTCTCCCTTACAGACTGTATGCTGGGGACGTTCATCGGATGCTTGCCATGGACCGCCGTAACGTGTCAGGTGAGTCAGCGAAACGCGTCTCGACAAAATAGGCGGTTTGACTAATTCCCTCGTGACGTCAGATCGGCGACATCCTTCAAACAGTCGCGTCTACACCCTCAGCATCACCGCAAACGGTCACGTCTCTCCTTGCGACCCCGGATATCGTTTTGAAGCTCGTCTTCCTCTCCGTGCTTTCCCTCGCACCCATACTCTTGCGGGGTCATCTTCACTCTATCATTTCGGATTCACCAGCTGCTACATCACCCGACTCAGATGATCGACAGTCAAGGTGGATATGGGTGCAGGAATGGCGAACCAAGATTAGATTATCATCCCGGTCGCGCGCACGCGAGCAGAAGATGGAACAGCACACCCTCGACACATTGATTCACGAGAAGAGAAGACTAGAAGACCTTTCTTCGTAATCTAGGTTTCTCTGAATCAGCATACACACCTCCTATCACGGCGTTTAGCATGCTTTCTTGCAATAGCCTCAGAATTGGAGCGATCACAGCCGGCAAACCGTCAGTCCCCTTCGGTCATCATTTCCCCCGACCTCCAACCGTTTCGTTGTACCATCCCTCTCCTCCCCGCTCCAACAACCCACTTGTACGTCGACCTAATCGGATTGATGCCCTGCCATCCTTTAACCCGTTTTGTACCCCACCAGACCGTGGTGTACCTCCAACCCCCAACGATCTGCATCCATCTCGCATGCTATTTGCTTTCATGATCATGACTTCGCATTCATACCGTTCGGTCTAATTGTTTTCGCTAATACGACTAACCTGGATGCACTTACAACATTTTTTTTCGTTTGCTTCACCACATTGGATACCCACATCCACTCATGTTAAATATAAAGGCATTGATTTTGTGATCTATGTCGAGCGAATTAAGATGAGATAGTAATGCGAGAGAACAAGCGATGTGGACAAGATTTCTACTACTAGATACAGTGCATGGATGGGGCGTGCTGCCAAAATGGTCCTCTAGAGATCGTCAAACGAAACAGTAGATATGGATAATTCAAACACCTAGTCTACAGAGTTTTGTTAGCGTTTGTTGGAGACATTCACATGCGGCTAGCTGATAAGAACCTTCGTTTTGTATGTTCGTAGACAACATACGAAATAGACACGGCGGGAACAACCTAGGGCCATAGTTCAGATGGTCAAAATCAGCTTCTTGCAGGCGATGCTGACCTTCGCCAAAGTAGGAAAGAGCCCCCGATAAAACCCTCTCCATCCGTCATGTTCCCAAGTCTTATGTACGACGTCCAAAACTCCCGTATATATTTGCGGGTGGCCGGATGACCCCGATGCCTGCAAACGCGTACGGACGAGGTTCAGAGGATACACGCTCGTCGCACCAACACTGCCGGATATGCTTCCAAAAGCCAATAGGGCGAGGACACCCGGCTCTTGCTTTCCGGTTGACCGCTGATAAGCTAGCTTGAGGGCCTCGAAGGTGCTCATATCTATGGCAGAATATCTGGACACGACATAAACGTCATTCATTTGAATTTGAATCGCTGAGAGGAGATCAACTGTACGGAAAGACACCGATTAAACCAATCTGGAAGGGAGTACGGGGTAGAACGTTAGCATGCCGTCATTATCAAATGGAGATTGCAAGAACTAACCGTAAGACCACGATAGTACGCCCGTACACCCCCGAGCGAATAGATATGACGCATAGCAGAGAATATCGTCCGCTTATGCAGCCCCGTGTTGCTCATCATTTGCGTCTAGAGCGGCCGAGAGTTCACATGACAAAAAAGGCGCAGTGAAGACGAGGAGTACCTTCAGAGTCTCGATAGGGTATATACCTGTGAATAGAAGGTCCATAAGGCACGGCAAGGTACGGGATAATGACGTATGCGAACGCACTCAATTGACTGCTGAGTCCACCGATGCCGCCAGAGAGAAACCGACTGACGCCGCTGATGTCCCGCGAGTCATCCACTTTGTCCCAATACTTCGCGAATGCTCGTTTCTTGGAAGATGAGAACGAAAGACAACAGTCAAGCTAGTCGAGAAGACGGAAGTGCGGAGACTGACAGAGGATTCATAGGCAAAGAACTTGATTGCTGATTCTGGGAAGATCTTCGCTACGGACAGACCATTGCCTGTCCAGAATGCCAAAAGACCACCTTCTGCGTAGATGCGCCCGATGGCGCTGGCGAGTACCCTCGTACCTGAAGCTTGACTGTTCGCGGGCCCCACGACTTCTGGCGCTCTTGTTATCAAGAAGATTTTGAGACGGTCAAATGGCGCAGTGAATGTCCGTGAAACTATAGGTTTTGAGTCGTTAATACAACGTCGCTAGGACTAGGAACTTACCTGCGCCTGCAACACCTCCAGCAAAAAGGAATTTGAGAGCCGTATATCCTTCAAGAAAATGTTGGGGCTCCACTTCTTCCTCGGCGTCTTCATCAAAGTAGTCGTATTCCTCTTCATCTGGCTCTAATGCTGTACTCATAATTCTGTAGGTGGCAGGATCTGGAGGTTTGTCTTCCGCGCTGAGACTCACGTCACCTTGGAGTCAAAACATTATCGTGAGTGCAAAACGGAAAAATCTAAGTTTGTTACCTTCCATGTTTACACGTGCTGGACCACGTCCGTCATCGCCCATGTACTTCCGAACCTCATAGTACTGGTAGATTTCCGCCGGGGAAACTTTGCGAGGGAGAAGAATGAAGTAGTCGCGAAACTCGTCGAAAGTTATGTGACGTGAATGCGGATGGACGGATAGTGACAAAATGAACTCCGAAACCGTTGACGGTGATAACGCAACGCCTGGACATAGCACGTTCGTAATAAGGTCAGATTTTGCGGACAGATAAGAAACTCACCAGCTCTGTTGAGAGCAGCGTGTAGTTCAGCCGCGTCAAGTCGTCCATTTCCGTCCAAGTCCAGTTCATCATGGAAGATGTGCCAAAGCTCTGATGATAAAAGACTGTTAGACAGCAGACCTTCTAAGGACACAGGCGGACGCACCAACTTCCTTTGCGGCTGCATACTCTTTGAACTCCTTCCAGCCTATATGTGGTGGACGCGATCCAGATGCGCCAGGTGTAGTACAATGACGTAGGAGTTCACTGTCATACATTGCTTGTAGTGATTCTGCCTTCTCCATTGTGAGCTGGTCAACGTTGCTGGTGCGCTGTAATGGGTGATTTCGTGGTACGTTTAGGACCTCCGGCAGAGATTTCCATAGGTGCATTAGCCTGCGTTTTCTGTACTCCTTCCCTTCGGCTTCGCGGAATTCTTCTAACGAGTGTGGCTGAATGACTGGCGGAGGATCTGAACGGAGGCGGGGTATGAAAGAGCGCTCCTGAGTGACTGAAAGTTCATCCTCATCCCCCTGGGGTGAGGAAAATAGGGCGACCGCCTTTCCCTTGTCCTTGGGATTAGACATTGCCAAGGTAAACGGGTGTTCGATGGAGGGAAATTTTGGAGGTGTGCTATGACGCGAGACTCAAATAGGGTCGGTGTCGCGTTCGATCACGAGGTCTGTGAGCGCGGCGATTGAGGGAAGAGCCAGAAAGCTTCGCACTCATCAGTGCATGGCTGATAGTACAGTAAAGGAGCTCTCCACTTGGAGGCTCTGTCCGTCCATTAGCCGGATTGGGATCCCGCGCTTACATACAATATTGATCGCATTGGACCAACTCTTGAACCAGGACATGCAGGACATCCACCACTGCCTACACCGTTGGTCCTCAAGGAAACTTTGAGTGAGTATTCAGGACATTATCTTCTCTGGAATGTCGCCTTAACAGAGTGTCTATGCAGGATCTACGAGAAATACCTCAAAAAATACAAGTGTCGAACCTTCGTCGAACCTCTAGATCTGTGTTTCCAAGTTGAACACCTCTCTCGCGCATTACGTGGAGTGGGTGGAAGGCTTAATTCACGAATGTCGCCTCTTTGAGAGCCTCTAATCACTTGGCCCTCTCCTCATTCCGCACGATTCCTCGTCCTCTTGCCGTTCGCTTGCCGCTATCACGAGCAACGACGTTTACTTCGCAGATTCAGGCCATGTACCGACGTTCTGGCCGAACGAGACGAAGTTGCGATATCGTTGAGCAGTTCCTCTTCCCTTCCCTCCAATAATCTGCCAGCTTTATTTACGTGCTGCAAGGTTGGTCAAGTCGTGCACTGTAACTCGATCAGGTCTGCTATTTTCTCTTTCCCCTTTGTAGGCAGTAACTGTGGCTGTATGCACAACCTCTAGGCCCTAGGGAAACAAGACAAAAGACGGAATACCGTCTCTCGTGTCGTCATCCTTCATGAATAGCTCTTACTTCCCTCATCCACACCAAACGACCATCTATACTACTCTTTTTAAGAAGGCTGCGTCAGCCCCATGTCTCGCGATAGTGTACCTTTAGGACTCCTCATTGGTGAACACTTTCTTGTCGTGGTTGAGAATGAAGAGGGCAGGAGAGACGCAGCAACTTTGGATTGAGGGCAAGAATTCGGCTATACAATAGTTTTGACCCTCGAGGATTTCAATCAAAGGCGGGGGACTAGACCTCGGTATACAAGTAATTACAAGCGTACATCCTCGAAATGCGATCCTATGTGACACACGGCCAGATGGTTTACAAGAGACAAGTGGCAGGTGAAGTCTGCGAATCTGGAGCTACAAAGTCGGGTCGCAGAACCGATGCACGCACACGAACGCTGTTCGCTTAAGATACAGAGCTCCAGAGCCTTTTCAGTTTGAAGAGATTGAAAAGCCTTGAGCAACAAGCGCCATTTCGAGGGTCAGGCTCATCGTCCGAAAGACTCAGGGTGCCAGTGCTTTGCTTCCTGAGCAAAGTAGGATAACTGCGAATTTCTCTGTCGGATCCAGAACCATACGGCCATGCTGTGGCCCCCATCGAAACCATGGTCTTTTCGGTTCGAAACGAAGAGCTAGGTTTGAGAGAGGCGTTGCTCAGAACAGTCCCTGAGGGGGGAGGAAAGAATCCTGAGGGATATACCCCACGAATTTGGCGGAGTTCCGGGGTGCTCGAAGGCTCTGGCGTTGAGTTCCGGCGTTTGTTTTGCGAAGGCAAGGGTGGAGTAGGAGGGCGGTAGTGCTAAGATATCGGACCTCGTCAGAACGAGGACTAGGATCAGATAAGATCTCTACGCACTGTCGGCAAACCACGCGATTGCTTTTTCCGCACATTTAGGGACGGTGCTCCGAGAGTCGAGGGTGGGGTAAGCGAGTCTTTATCTGCGTCAGAATCTGTGGTAACCTAGTGCACGTGCGTTTATAACCTGGTGCATTTATTTAAAGGTAGTAGACTGACCTTAGGAGGAGTTGCCAGCTCCGTGATGTCCAACTCTTCGACTGGTGTCTGACTTTTCTCATTCCACGTTACTGCATCAAGGTCGTTCATCTTCGACGACTTGATTTCTAGTATTTTGGCGTTAAGGACTTGTCTCCAGTTCCCTGGTAGCTGCAGGATCCAATGATGTCAGCAAGTTTTCCTGTTAGGAAGAACAAATAGGCATACAGGAGGAGCATCGTTTCCAGACGCGTCGGCTTCTTGAATACTCGGATGAGGAGAGGAAGTGACAGGTGATGGAGGCGGAGAGGGGATATAAACTGGAACGGGCTTGCGGTAGCTCATGCTGCGCTGCACAGGTTGAGCCATACTGCCAGTACTGCGTTCAAGAACGGGTCAATGACGGACGTGGCGAAGAGAAAGGTAGAGGCCAACTATGTGGCACAGGCGAATCCTCTTAACTCGAACGAGAGGCGACAAAGCGTGATTCAGGGTAGAATGCCCACACGAGGTCACAAAGCCGAGTGGCATTCCTGTGGCACAGTGGCTACGCATTGCACAGTCGTCCTGCATGTACCTGTGGCAGTTTCCTTGCGAAAACCATGAGGGCGTACCCAATGGCTGTGACACGGAATGTAATCCAACTTTCATAGAAGGGCGTCAATAGGCATGGTGGTGAGCATCTTTAAGCGCCCAGTCGAAACCGAACTGAAAAGGCGTGATTTGGACAACGGTCAAGAGCTGCGAGAACGGTTTCAATTTCTCGGGCCAACACTGTATTGCGAAATTGTCAGAGGGTGAACACACCGTAAACATAATGCATCGAGATCCCTTCGATGCTGGGAAAGTTTGTCAGGACGGAGATAGTTGACAAAAGGAGGAATCCAGAAGTAATTTGTGCGCCTGCTACGAAAACATGCCGGAAAACAGACAAAGCGAGCGGGGCTATTGTTAGACAGACCATCATGAAACGGGTTCCCACGCGAAGGGTAATTAGATTCCGTCACACCTATCTCCTTTATCGATCGCCACCAGTCGATACAGCTACACAAAGGGACCAGGACTCGTCCGACTGTCCTTTGTCTCGCACCTACACCTCACGCTCCTCAAATGCCCCCCCGTGCAGCAGCACCTGGTCGTGGCGCCCCTCGAGGTGGAGGCGGCCCTCCGGGTCGTGGTGGTCGTGGAGGTTCTGCACGCGGAGGAGCGCCAATCCAGATTGGATTACCTACCAGTGGCTCCCATATTACAACCGTAGGGGTCAAACGCCCAAACTTTGGTACTGGTGGTAGAGAGCTCCCAATATTCGTCAACTCTTTTCAGACAACGATACCCGACGGTGTAATCCACCATTATGATAGTAAGCACTTCACATCTCGTAGCTTGTAGATCTGATCGCTCAAATCTCCTCACGCTCAAATCTCCTCACATAGTTGGTTTGTCCATAACATCTCCTGCTTGTATGTCGCTTTGTAGCTAACCTGTGGGCCAGTCATCTCTCCGTCTGAAAAGACGCTTCCCGCGCGTCTAAACATGCAGATTATAAAGGAACTCCAAACCAGAGTTGCCCCTACAATCTTCACTCCAAGAGCTGTATACGATGGCCGGAAGAATATGTTCGCTATTCGGGAACTGCCGTTCGAAGGAGGGATCCAAGAGGCACGTCGCAAACATTTTTGTCCGCGGTGGTTCCTTCGCTGATGATTGCGAATTGTCTGTAGTTTGAAGTCAGCCTGTCCGAAACTCGGAGCGACAGCGCCAAGGCTCCGAAAGTCTACAAAGTTCGTTTGAATAAAGTCGCAGAGATCAATCCTGAGTAGGCGCCATTTCTTCGTTTCTTGCAGATCTTTCGCTTGTTAACTCTAAGCTAGGGTCCTTAAACGCTTCATAGAAGGTGACCAATCACACGATAACTCAGTGATTACGGCGATAACTGTGAGTCTGGCTCCCCATTATTCATTGCTGGCAATCAAACAATTCGTAGGCTCTGAATGTTGTGATCCGCATGGATCCGACCCTTAGGTTCCCTTTTAATGTCAGATCCTTTTTCACTAGTCGTGAAACTAGGGAAATCGGTGGCGGCATCCAACTTTGGCGGGGATACTTCCAATCTGTCCGGCCTGGAATAGGCCAAATGCTCATCAACATCGACATTTCCACCGCCACCATGTATAAAAGTGGCCCCCTCATTCCCGTCTGTCTCGAATTCCTACGGAAAAACCAACCATCTGCTCTCTTTGCACAGACTCTCCCAGATCGGGAATTCCTTCGCCTTCAAAGGTTCATCTCTGGTTTGCGGATCACGACCAAGACGTCAGCTCAAGGCGGAAGAGCCTCGACTCCTCGCGTTATCAAGAGGTTGACGCGTCCCAGCGCTAGGAAGGAGGAATTCACTCTCAGAGAAGGCGGGAAAATGACAGTCGCTGCCTATTTCCAAAAGGCCCTGAATAAACCACTGCAATTCCCCGATATTGGTTGTGCAGAGGTTTGTAGATTCGTATATTCAACACATCATCTGCCTGACTCTTCCTCCAGGTTGGTTCCGGTGCCAAGATTCCCCTTGAGCTCTGTGAGGTTCCCCCAGGGCAGATCATGCGCAAACAGATACCCCCCGAGAAGACTAAGGACGTTCTTGACTTCGCGACCAAGAAGCCAAGAGAGCGGTTGGAGAGTATCAGAACTGGCCTAGAGGTGCCCTTCTACCCTTCATAAATCGCTGTCAGTCTGTGCTAATACAGGGGTACAGGTGCTGGCCTACGGACAATCGGAATATGTTCGGCAATTCGGCATGAACGTGAATACGGCCAACCCTCTCAGGGTTCAAGCTAGAGTTCTGAAACCACCTACTCTTCGCTACGGTGCAAGTAGTAAGCAGCCGACCATCGTAAGCTCGGCCTGCTACATTTCCTTTCATTTGTGGCCTGACACTCTTGCAGGTCCCCAACAATGGGGCATGGAATATGTATGTAGTCCTTTTTCCTATATCGCCGTCCTGCTAAAATTCACCAAATAGGATCGACAAGAAATTTTACAGACCGGTACAGCCCATCCAGCGATGGGCCCTCGTAATCTTCGAATCGTCGTCGAAATTCCCGCTTCAAGCCGTCGAAGATTTGACGAAGGGTCTCATCGACGGCTGCAAAGAAGTTGGTAAGTTGCGTGTCGCATCGCTGAGTAATTGTGTGGTCTTAAGCATATTATAGGAATATCGCTTGCAACCACGAAAGTACTCAAATACTTCAATGGACAAGGTCGAGTGAGGGATCTTTTGCGTAGTGCTGGCGCGGAATGGGTCAGCAAAGCACAAAAACCTCCAGAATTATTTGTTGTTGTGCTACCGGAAGGCGGCAACGAGATATACACCGAAGTCAAGCAGTACGTGTTCTGCAGCCTTCAATCAACTTCTCTAACACCGTTCTCACTGTTAGCTTCGGAGATATTGAGGTAAAGAGAAACGTGCCCAAACCCGTCTTTCGGTCACTAATTTGTTGCTTGCAGATGGGCATCCCAACGCAATGTCTAAAGTCTATCAAATGCTCCAAGGCAAAGCCTCAATACTGGGCAAACATATCCTTAAAGTACCCCTTTTGTCAAGTCGCTAGACTGTAGTCTGATCTCAGTTTTTTCATAGAATCAACGTCAAATTGGGTGGCATCAATACTATCCCGGACCCATCTTCAGTGTCGGTGCTAACTGATCCTCACATGCCTACGGTTGTGATGGGTAAATATACCCTCTTTCATAATTGGCAGCAACATTCTAATACCTGGAATGAAGGTGCCGACGTCATCCACCCAGCCCCTGGCTCAGACGGAAGACCTTCCTTCACCTCACTGGTTGGCAACGTCGACAGCGACACCGCCAAGTATGTTGCAGGTTGGTAATACACTTTTTCTTTTCGTCGGAAATTCATCACATATCCCCTTCAGATTCTCGTGTTCAGACCTCCCGACAGGAGATGATCGCGGATCTGGACGAGATGGCGAAGGTTCGTGCACCAATTACCCAATGACTTCGACAACTTGCTCAGTTAGATGTTCAGCAAATTCTGAGCCTTTATATGCGATACCGACAGGCTGTCGAAAAGAAACCCGGCCCCTCGGTCAAGCCGAAGAGAATCATTTTCTACCGAGGCCCGTTTCCCTTGCTGTGTCTTATGCAGCCTTTTAGCTGACTGGTTGAATGATTTAGATGGTGTTTCCGAAGGCCAATTCAAGCAGGTCTTGGAGCAAGGTACGATATCGCCTTTCGCAGAGCACGCTCGTTGCTGACACCGTACTCAGAGCTCCCTTTACTGAGAAGTACATCCGCTCATCGTACCCGATCAATTGGTCTAACAACACTCTCTAGAGGCCTGCGCTGAACTGCAGATCGACCCCAAGATCACCGTCATCGTCGTTGGAAAACGTCATCACGTCAGGTGTTTCTTCCCCTTATGAATAATTCGTGTCTGAATCTGATTACTCTTTCCCACTAGATTCTTCCCGCAATCCGAACGGGACGCTGACAAGAGTGGTAATTGTCCTGCTGGAACCGTCGTCGACCGCGAAATCGGCCACCCGCTTGAGTTCGACTTTTACTTGCAGAGCCATGGAGGGCTCTTGGGAACCAGCAGACCAGCTCACTATTCGGTTCTGTACGACGTAAGATTTTTCTTTCCAATCCAAACCATGAACAGTGGGCTGATCTCGTTGTATCCCCGAAGGAGAACAACTTCACGTGCGTATATTCCTAGGGAAACATGCACCTATGTGCTGACATTTATACAGAGCGGACTCTCTCCAATCGCTTTCGTTTGCATTATGCCATGTGTACGCTCGGTCGACGCGCTCGGTCTCTATCCCAGCTCCTGTTTATTGTGTGTTGTTCCCACTGGCCAACGAACACCTCTTCTGAACACCATTATACATCCTAGATGCCGACATTGTCTGCTCTCGTGCCAAGAATCATTTCGATCCCAATGAACAGTGGGACTTGACGGGGTCGGAGGAGGCCTCCGTCGCAGGCAGCAACGTTGTGGTCACTGGCGCCACGGAATCCCTGGACAGATTCCAACGAGGATTCAAGCCGCTGCACAACTCACAACGCATCTTGATGTATTTCTCGGTGCGCTCGTTCCCTCTTTTCACTCGACTTCAAGTTGGTTTAATCGTTGCCTGTCAATAGTAAACCGTGGTCAGAAGCGACCTTCACAAATATTGCGTTGCCAAAGCACTCGGCGCTTCTCACATTAGTTCTGTACTTGTAGTTGTTATTTCGTGGTTTCTTCTTTTCTGGCGTGTTGTATTTTGTAAAACTGGTATAAACCCTGATTTCGCTCCGCATCATCTATATTTGAGTTTCATAGTGCTGTGATCAACTAATTTACGGGCCAATCAAAGCTTCTATGGGCAACAAACGACCGCAAAGTCCTTACTTCTCAGCTTTTCCCGCCCGGTTTAACCACCAAACCCCAGCATTAAGGTAGGTGGCGTACGCCAACCAAGCGCAATAGGGAAGGAGGTAGTAGCTCGCCTCCCCGTTGGTAGGACGGTCGAGAAGTTTCTAATGCCAATTGAGAGGAGAAAGGGGAGGGGTAGATCAGACGTACCGTCATGTACCACGTAGTTCCGGTCAAGAGGACACTATCGACGAGCGCTAATCCGGTCTGTAAATGCAATTGATGAGCGTCTAGTTCGAACAAGCGAAGAGGTAACCACCATGCGCTGTCCGAAGAATATGGGGCTCCAGAGGCAATTCAAACCTAACTGAGCATAGTACAATGCAAGGCCAGCCGACAGGGCATTCCTGGCGGTCCGTAAGAATTTTGACGCCCTGCCCGTTGTAAAGAACGCACCTGTTTCCCTCGACCACGCTCGAATCCAACGCCTTCACAGCGACATGGGAGGCGTATCCCATAGACAAGTAGAGTAGCAACCAGGCAAACGGGAATACCTCACGAGGAGGTTGGCCGGGTGGTGCGTGAAGGTTCTGAGACCAGTTCAGGGCGGCTGAAGGAATATGAAGACCTATCCTTACATGATACCAGTTGCTATTGGCCACTTTAGAAGAGGGAGAGCCGCTGAGGAAGCCAAGGGCAATGGGAAGCCCCACAGCTGTGATGGGGTTGCGGGGAACAGCAAGGAGGATGTTGGGGATGTGGACAGACATGGTGCGTTGTCAGAAGAGAAATTCTGCGCGAACTGTATTTCTCGACATTGATTGACGTCATATGGGTCCACTACGTCATGTGGAACCGACGAAAAGGCAAAATGAGAGGCACCGCCCGGAATCGAACCGGGGTTACAAGAACTCAGACCAAGTCAGAATCTTGAGTGATAACCGCTACACTACGGCGCCTTGACATAATGTGCGGAAGAGAGTTATACCTTCTGTGCAGAAGCCGTAAGCGTAATCTTATCTTCTTATAACAGCCAGAAAGATGTTAAAGCTGGAGTCATCTTCCACTCTTCGCAACTAACTTCTCTGCGATGGCAACATTCCTCCCCCTCATAACAGAGGAGAATCCAACTCTCTTTCAAGCCCTCGATCGCATTGGTCCAATCATCTTAGACGCACAACAATCTGTCCCTCTCCCTCATCCACCGCAGCATTCATATCTCTTTGTCAAGCCTGGCACTCCTGTCGATGTCGATGCTCTTGCTTCTTGGTTAGACGAAGGTATCGAGAAAGTCATTCTTCCTCTCTCGTGGGCGAAGGAATGCATTGGCTCCATACCCTCCGAACGACTCATCCTCCTCCTCGAAATCTCTGGCGTTAGCGCCGTCTCCGAGAATGTCAGGAACGGTGTTTCAGGCCTTCTTCTTAAGACCCCTTCTCTCGATGTCAATTTCATCTCTTCGATATCAAAATTCTTCGCGGGTTCTGCCATCTATGTCCTATCCACCGTTGATTCATCCCCAACCCCTTCAAACATCCGCGAATTGAAGAGCATCGGCGCAACCCTCGTTATTCCCGATTTACAACTCAGCCTTGGACCGACTTCCGACGCCAAAATAAATATTGGAGATGCCTTCCTAGCTCCCGTGATTTCTGACCGCTCGGATGGTCTCTTCCCAACCGTCGTATCGTCTCAAACAGGACAGAGCCTCGGTCTCGTATATTCTTCAAGACAGTCTGTGAAGGAGAGCATTGCCAGTGGCAAGGGGGTGTACCAATCTCGAAAACACGGCCTTTGGAGGAAAGGCGAAACGTCAGGTGCGACACAGGATGTCCTTCGCATTCGCCTAGATTGCGATTCCGATAGCCTGGAATTCCGCGTTATCCAGCACGGTGCCGGTTTCTGTCACCTCAACAGACAGTCATGCTTCAGTGAAATAAGCGGCCTCCCAGCGCTCGAGAGTACCCTGAAATCAAGGTTAGCGTCTGCCCCAGAAGGATCATACACGAAGCGCCTGTTCAGCGACCCCGAGCTACTGAAGTCCAAAATCATGGAAGAGGCCGACGAGCTGTGTCAGGCCACTACCAAGGAGGACGTCGCCTTCGAAGCCGCAGACCTTTTCTATTTTGCGCTTACTAAGTGTATCGCGTCAGGAGTCAGAGTCGTGGACATTGAGAAGGCACTGGACAAGAAGGCGAAGAGGGTCACCCGCAGGCCTGGTAACGCCAAATCACAATGGACGAAGCCTACCACTGCAACTCCACCACCTACATCTGCCCCTCCAGTGGAGAAGAAAGTTGCCAAGGACGGACCCATCCGCATGCGGACCTCCGACCTATCCACAACCACTCCAGAGGAGCGCGCACAGCTCCTTCGGCGACCTGTCTTACGCTCAGATGAGATGATTACGAAAGTCAAGCCCATCGTCGACGCCGTCCGGCAGCGAGGGGATGCTGCCCTGCTCGAGTTCACCGCCAAGTTCGACCGCGCGCAGCTCGCCTCCACCGTCGTCTTCCCGCCATTCGCCCCAGAGACGATGCGTATCGACCCCGAGGTCCAGAAGGCGATCGACGTCGCGTACGCGAATATTTACAAGTTCCACGCGGCGCAGACAACTGGAGAGGCGCTCGTTGTTGAGACGATGCCAGGCGTTGTGTGTTCGCGCTTTGCACGTCCGATCGCGAGGGTGGGGTTGTATGTGCCTGGCGGCACGGCGATCCTACCCTCGACGGCGCTGATGCTCGGCATTCCGGCCCAGGTTGCGGGGTGCAAGGAGATCGTCCTTGCGACACCCCCAAGGGCCGATGGGAGCATTTCGCCCGAGGTGATGTATGTCGCGCACCTCGTCGGCGCGTCGGCGATCCTGAAGGCGGGTGGTGCGCAGGCCGTCGCTGCAATGGCCTACGGCACTGAAACCGTTCCAAAGGTCGATAAAATCTTCGGTCCGGGAAATCAATGGGTTACAGCTGCGAAGATGTTGGTTCAAAACGATACCGACGCCCTGGTGTCCATCGACATGCCTGCTGGTCCTTCAGAAGTACTTGTGAGTAACAATCTCGACGTGATGACTCTTCGTCATCCTGACCCAAATACGATCTTCAGGTCATCGCCGATCACACCGCCAATCCTGCCTTTGTAGCAGCCGACCTCCTCTCTCAAGCCGAGCACGGTGTCGACTCTCAAGTCGTGCTCGTCGCAGTCGCCCTGACGCCAGAGCACCTAGGCGCAATCGAGAAGGAAGTCGACGATCAGGCGAATGCACTTTCACGGGTGGAAATTGTACGCGAGTCTATCTCAAAGAGTATCATCGTCAAAGTGGCAACTGTGGAGGACGCCATTGCGTTTTCGAACGACTACGCCCCCGAGCACTTGATATTACACTTGGAGAACGCCAGTCAGAAGGTGCCATCTGTCGAGAATGCTGGCAGTGTCTTCGTTGGACCCTACACTCCAGAAAGGTCAGTGACAACACCTGGAATTGAATCGAAAATACTGACCTGGTCTGGTCTTGTAGCTGTGGCGACTACGCATCTGGTACAAACCATACCCTTCCAACGAACGGTTATGCAAGACAATTCAGCGGAGTCAACACACTATCGTTCCAAAAGCACATCACGTCCCAGGAAATTACAGCTGCAGGTCTTGGAGGTCTTGGACCCGTCGTCGCCACACTGGCAGACTGCGAAGGCTTGCAAGCTCACGCCAACGCTGTCCGAATTCGCCTACGCGACACATCGAAACAATAGATAATCTAATTAACTCATAGGATCGAGCTTGGATGCATGGATGATTTTAATGCGGCATATTAGAGTATCTATGGGTGGGTGAGTACGATGTAGCAAAGAGAGGAAAACAAAATGTCTATAAGAATAACCCATCTACCCTCGTCCTCTGCCATGTCCCGTCCGGCACTGACGACCTCGATCAGTTCGTGCGGTAAAGTGCACGTTTTGCGACCTTGACGATCAGAGGAGTGTCGGGGAATGCCAGAGTCTCAAGGTTGGTGGCGTAAGGTGTAGGGATATCGGCGCCGGTTACCCGCTCAACTGGGGCATCGAGGTAGTCAAAGGCCTCGCTCTCAACTATTTGTGCACAGATCTCGCTGCCAACGCCGAAAGCAGGGAAGCCACCCTCAACAATGACAAGGCTAGGAAATAAAATGAATAAAGGTCAAGAAAAACCCACGCAACAGTGTGAACTAACCGGTTCGTCTTCTTGACTGACTTGATAATGGTATCGATGTCAAGAGGGCGAATACTGCGGAGGTTGATAACCTCAGCCTTGATGCCCTCCTTGGCGAGCGCGTCAGCAGCCTCTATGCTGTGCGTCACCATTTTGCTGTGGGCGACAATGGTGACATCGCTGCCCTCCCGCTCAACCTTGGCCTTGCCAATGGGAATTAAGAAGTTGTCTGACATGGCCTCCTGCGACATCGGGAAGGAGACGCCGTACAACATCTCGTTTTCTAGGAATACGACTGGGTTGGGGTCACGGATAGCGGACTAGGGTAACGGAGATCAATGCCGAAAGGTTCGGACAAGGAAAAATATCGCACCTTGAGTAGGCCTTTGCAATCCTCTGCACTCCATGGACTGACGACCTTCAACCCGGGTACCGAACCGTACCAAGCCGCGTAGTCTTGTGAGTGTTGGGCAGCGACACCAGCAGCTGCACCATTGGGCCCACGGAAGACGACTGGACATGGCACATTTCCGCCGGACATGTAGTATGTCTTGCCAGCCGAGTTGACGATTTGGTCAATAGCTTGCATGGCGAAGTTAAAGGTCATGAATTCACAGCTGCATTCGAAGAATGAGGTCTTCGAACGCGGCGCGTAGATGTGTGACGTACATGGGACGAAGACCCTGAAGGGCAGCACCGACGGCCAGGCCAGCGAAGCCCATCTCTGTAATGGGGGTGTCGACGACCCGCTTCTCGCCGAACTTGTCCATGAGCCCTTTGGTGACCTGGCAAAGAGCAGTTACCTGAGTCCGTGCTCTGCTGACTGGTGAAGAGGGACCGCACCTTGTAAGCACCGTTGTAACGCGCGACCTCCTCGCCGAGGATGAAGACCTTTTCATCGCGAGTCATCTCCTCCTCCATGGCAAGGTTTAGTGCGTCGCGGACGGTCATCTGCTTGTTGGCTTAGCACTCGGAAGCAAAAAGTGGTATGACGCGACGCACTGTGTTTTCATTATCCGCGGTCGCGTAGCCGCGAGCACCGCGGAGCGCCCTTGCTGCAGCGGTGGATGTGGAGGGGCGGGTGACGTTGAGGACGGGCGCCAGACGGGCGAGGACGAGACGGGAGACCATGGTGGATGGGGGAGGGCTGAGAGAGCAGGGTTCCCATTTTTTACGCCAGGTCATTCGTTTCGTTGGACTGGGGTTTCCTTTTTGAGCGCGATCTCACTCCGGGACATCACCTCATCACAACCCATTACACATCTCTGCAAGGTTCACAATGAAGCCCACCATCGTCGTTACTGGTGCCTCCAAGTCAGTCCCCCCAGTCCCCTCATCGTGCACGACATGACACGCTCTACAGAGGCATCGGGCTCGCTGTCACCCGTCATCTCCTCCACAGGTTCAACGCGAATGTCATTGCCATTTCGCGTTCGGTCACCCCAGAGCTCTTCGCCCTCAACTCGGAGGCCCTCCTCGTCCTCGAATGCGATGTGTCAGTGGCTGCACTCTCCTGCCCATAGTGTAATCCCTTATTTTTTCCGCGATTACCCCGGCCCATGACAGCACAGACGAAACAGCATTATCTAGCGCCATATCGCATGGTGCAGCGCATTATCATGGAATCGACGGCCTGATACTGAACGCGGGCACCCTTCACCCTCTGTGCCGCATTGGAGACGATACGCCTCTGGATTCGTGGAAGAGACATTTCGACGTCAATTTCTTCTCACTCGTTACAGCGACCAAGGCCGCCTTGCCGTACTTGCACAGAAGCACTCGCGGCGGGCGCATTGTCTTCATGAGCTCAGGTGCTGCTGTGAAAGGGACACCTGGCTGGGGCCCTTATAATGCCAGTAAGGCAGCCATGAACTCTCTCTGCAGGTATATACCCATCTGCTCTTGTATTGCCTCTTCAGTTGCGATGTTATGTCCATGTAGGACCCTCGGCGAGGAGGAACCCGATGTTATTTCTGTTGCTTTACGTCCTGGCATGGTCGACACTCATGTAATTCTTGTGTCTCTCCAGACATACAGGTCATGACCTCATGCTCCGAGTTTAGATGCAGCATACACTTCGTCTGGTTGGCGCCTCCTCCATGGACGAAAACGATTACAAGAAGTTCGTGCAGGTCCACGCGGGTGGCAAGCTCGTCAAACCCGAGGACTGTGGACATGTCATTGCGGCGTTGTCGTTGGAAGCTCCGAAGACCCTGAGCGGGCAGTTCGTGAGCTGGGACTCCGAGGAATGTAAACCTTTTAGGCAGGAGTAGCTTCTTTCGCGGATGCCCGTCAAACCGGTTACTTGGGTGCTCGGACGTTCACTATGTACGATAGAGAAGCCCTTCTGCAAATCATAATCAAGAGCTGACAGGGTCAAGCATTCCATGGTGCTTCTTGCCAACGCTAAGAAGGCTAATGCCAGTAATGGCCCTCGTTAAATAACGCCTATAATTAAGAACACCCCTCGAATTCTCCTTCTTTTTCCCCAATGTCCACTTCCTCGCGTGTCGCCCTCCTCAACCCAAACATTCGCCATATAGACATTCACCACCACTACTTCCCTCCCGACCTAAAGAAAGAAAACGCCAATGCCAACATCGGCTGGAAGACCCCTCCTGAAAACCTGCCTTGGTCACCCGAGATCAGTCTTCGAGCAATGGATGCGATGAAGATAGACTTTGCCATCCTTTCATTTCCCGCTCTGTCAAGCGGTTGCATCAGTGACGAGAACCGGTTAACGGCGAGGAGGCGGAACGAGTTTGCTGCTAAGATATGTGGCACACATCCTCACCGTTTCGGCTTTTTCGCCACTTTGCCGTTCTTGGATGATGTCGAAGGTGTGTCCGCGTTCTGTGCCGAAGATTCAACGTAATTTTCTTTGATTTCAGGATGTTTAGAAGAGCTAGCATACGCCTTGGACGAGCTAGGCGCGTCTGGTGTCTCGGTTTCCTCATGTTACGGTGAAGGAGCTTCAGCAAGTGAGCAACTTGCCTCATTTTAGTTCTGATTTCTGACGATAGGACAAGAATACGTCGGGGACGAGTTATACATACCGATTTGGGCTGAACTCCACAAGCGCAAAGCCGTTGTCTTCCTCCATGGTAGTCAAATAACTTCAATGCCTTATCCTCACCCATTCCTCGGCATTCCAATAACAGAGGTAAAGAGCATCCTTCCATCAACCATTTCTCACCAACGAAATTCTCTACCCAGGTCCCAAACGAAACCTTCAAAGCGGCCGCCTACCTCGTCGTTACAGGTCGCAAACGCCAATTCCCCTCCGTCAAGATCATTCTCGCCCACCTCGGAGGTAGCACGCCATTCCTCTCCTCGCGCGTTGCGGTCCTTTCGCACTACATGGGGTGCGAACTGACCCCAGATGAAATCATGGGCGACTTCAAGACGTTCTACTACGAGACAGCACTCAGTACCTCAGAACCAAACTTGGCTGCGATGGAGCGGTTCGTCTCTAATACGCAAATATTGTTTGGCAGCGACTTTCCGGGTACGCGTCCTTTTTTCTGTTTTTTTTTTTTTGTATGCGAAAGCTGGCTGACATTGGGTGGGACGTGGATGAAGCGGTCAGCAAAGACATAGTCGAATGGTATACAACAAATCTCGAAAGATATTATTCGGAGGACAAAGAAAAACTGCGAGCGATAATGCGTGATAATGCGGTAGAGTTGTTTCTAGGTGTCAAAGGTTAGGCATTCACATCTACGATAACAGATATATAAGATATTAGGTTGTCTAGCGATGTGCATGGAAAGCAGGTGTATGTGTTGTGCTGTGGGGTATCAAGATGCGTCAAATAAACGACAAAGTCAGTGTGAAAGAGCGACGAGAAACAAAACAAGTAAGGATGATGGTCCAGAATAGTGTTCGTATTCAATGCTCGTGTTCCGTCAGCCAATGAAGGACTTGTTGGAGGCCTTTGCCTCCTCTCATAAGCGCTTGCCCGTGTCTCCCTTCTGGATCGTACCAGAGGCCTTTGCGGACTCCATGGGACGTTAGATACTGTTTGACCCGCTGCAGAACTTGGTCAGCATGGGACGACAAAAAGCATAGAACAGAAACCAACCTCGGCATGGATGATGTCGTCCTTGCCGCCGAGAAGGAACAAGGTCTTGGAGGGGTCGCGGGCACTGGGGATTTCTTCGAACCACAAGGAGTTGGAGGTCCAGCAGAAGTGTCGCTGCAGGAGGTTTGCGACACCGATCTCAGTACCAACGAAGTACCGTATGATCAACTCCATGCCCTGCGGAGGAGTCAATCAGAAACACAAAGAGGGCACGCTGAAGCCGGGCAGACTTACTGTCATGCAAGGCCGATAGAAGAAATTGTAGCAAACGTCTAGAGGACTTTGGTTAGAGAGAGCACGGGCGGACCAAGGGTCAATGAGCACCAACCTCCTTCCCATGAGCAGAAGGTCACTGGGTCAACAAAACACGAACGAGCGATGATCTCCGAATAACCTTTCAGCATCCATGCATGGACGTATGAGCCACTAGCAATAATCTGTAAGCACATATTGATGCATACTTGTAGGCAAGAGGACAACGCACTTGGAATGGCTGACGACAGTGACACCTCTCTGCGGTTTCTCCATGAGTGTGGATGCAACCTCGTCTTCTTCCGTTTCCATATCACTTTCATTAGACGGAGTGGCCCACCCGAGTTCCTGAATGAGACCGGCCAAACGTTCAGCCATTTGAGTTCGACTGAGTGGCTTGAGGAAGTGAGGGTGGAACAAGTCTTGGCTTATTTGTGGTTGGAGAGGAACCAGAACTGGGCGGTCAGAGAATTCGTCTAGGAGGTGGGAGACGACGCTGTGGTATTGTAGGAGCCCAAGACCGAGGCCGTGAAGGAAGACGACAGGTCGCGGAGAAGTGGCGGGGTCCCATTCGCGCGGCATTCGTAAAAGATATCTAGAAGAGAAGGTTGGTTAGAAACGACGACACGACAAATGGGTAAAATGGACCCACTCTATGCCGTTGTAGTATCCATGCTCCACGTCCCACCAGGTGTTGTACAGCTTCCTCAAGAGCCAGTTGACGGACCCAACGAAAGCATAGAAAGTCAGGGGCCGCCAAAGAATATTAGTGTTGTCTATCGTCAAGCGCATTGGCGAGATATCAGGATTAGAGCCTTCTTCTATTTTACAACCGAGTCGCTTTTGAAGCAGAGTGAGGGCGTTATCGATGGCGTTAGCGTGAGGTGTGGGTATACGTTCTTGAGGTGGCAAATCCGCATTATACATTGCCCAGTAGAGCCATTTCTTCATTTCATGAGTACGGATGGACGACCAGGGGGCCTTGCAGAACCATGTTCGGATGGAGTGCCGGAAGTCGATGGCACGGGGATCGTGCCGTTCGAGTTGCTGGATGGTTTCTGCTGGGCTGCCAGGTCGGTCGGTGACGAGGGTCTCGATGTCGTCCCCGTCTGCAGGTAGATTAGACAAACCAGTTTTCAATAAGCGCGCATATGCGACCTGGATCTCTTCAGGATCCCCTGGACCGATAGGACATGGACCAGATACGCGGCGGGCTAGATAAAGGTGATACAGGCTGAACACGACCTGGGAGGGGCGTAAGGCCAAATGAAATGGGACGAGAAGGAACGAGCAGACCTCGCAGCACGCGACAAAAAACAAAGCTCTCCCCATGACCCCATACGAGTGATATCTACCCAACCAAAGCCCGTAGCCTGCAAAGAGCCAGGCGAGGGGGACGGCGGACCAGAGTGGGAGGACAGCGCAGAAGAAGACAACGTAGAACGAGAGGTCGCGGGTGCGCTGTGGCGGGGGATGCTCTGAGATGTCGTGGGGCGTGTCGGTCATGGCGGTCGTGGGGAGAGAGGCCTCGCTAAGCTCGTCCGACGCGACGACGGTGGAAGCCTGAAGGAGCAGTGTCGCGTGAAATAATTTGGACGGAAAACCCACGTGGTGTGGCGGAACCAAGTTGATGAGGGAGCACTTGAAGCAGTGCCATCATCTTTTTTTCTCTCCCCTCCACCGCCACCGTCCGTGATGTTGCGCAATGCCCTCTCCTCCGTCTCCCGCTCCCTCGTCGCCCAATCAGTTCGTGTTTCTCCCTCTGGCCGTTGTATTGCTTTACTGACCCATCCACCAGCGAACAGCGACCACCCTCTCCGCCGGTTTCCCGAAACTTGGCGATAGAGTATGCTCATGCATTGCCCCTGATAACTGTCTCTGACGCGTTTTCCAGCTGCCCCCCACTAAATACGGCGGCGTACACACCGTTCGTCTTCAGCGCTTCCTCTGACATCATACGTTCTCATCCTCTTTCTAGGTCACCCTCATCCCCGGAGATGGTATTGGTGCAGAGATTACGGACTCGGTCAAGGAAATCTTCGAGTACGTCAATGCGCCCATTGAGTGGGACCAGTACGACGTCTCTGGAATGTCCTCCTCGGGTGAGGCGCTCTTCAAGCAAGCCATGGACAGCTTGAAGCGCAACCGTGTTGGCCTCAAGGGTACGAACGCGAACCATCTCTTGGCCCTCCACCTAACCTTCGGACATTGTAGGAATCCTCTTCACCCCCATCTCCCAGTCGGGTCACATCTCATGGAACGTGGCCATGCGTCAGCAGCTCGACATCTACGCCTCCGTCGTTCTTTGCAAGTCCCTCCCTGGCTTCCCCACCAGACACGCCAACGTCGACTTCGCCATCATCCGTGAGAATACAGAGGGAGAGTACTCTGGTCTTGAGCACCAGTCGTACCCTGGCGTCGTCGAGTCCTTGAAGGTCTCCACGAGGGCCAAGGCTGAGCGCATCTCGCGATTCGCTTTCGACTTCGCCTTGAAAAACAACCGCAAGAAGGTTACATGCGTTCATAAGGCCAACATCATGAAGCTCGGTGATGGTCTCTTCCTCAACACCTTCCGACGGGTCGCGGAGGAGTACAAGTCCTCAGGCATCGAGTTCAATGACATGATTGTCGACAACACGTATGACATCTCGCTTAACTTGCCGTGCTTATCTGATAAAAAATATCTCTCAGCTCGATGCAACTTGTTGCTCGACCAGGTCAATTCGACGTCATGGTCATGCCCAACCTTTACGGTGCCATCGTATCGAACATCGGCGCTGCCCTCGTCGGTGGTCCCGGTATCGTTCCAGGATGCAACGTTGGACGTGTAAGTTTCGGCTGCCTACCCGCAATCTTCGGAAGGCGTTCCTGACGAGCGAATAGGAATACGCCCTCTTTGAGCCGGGCTGCCGCCACGTTGCCTCAGACATCATGGGCACCAACCGTGCCAACCCAACTGCCATGATCCTCAGCGCAACAATGATGCTCCGTCATCTCGGGTAAGGCCAACCCTTTGCCTGAAGGTTCCCCAGCTGACGCGTCTCGTTTAGCCTTGATTCTATTGCGAACAGCATTGCCAGCGCCACCTTCGGTGTCATCAACGAGGGCAAGGTTAGGACTGCTGACATGGGTGGTAAGTTGCCTCTCGCACCTTTATTTTTCGCTTGCCAATTGACGTCATCAGGCTCGTCAACCACCTCGGACTTCACTGCTGCCATCATCAAGAAGCTCTAACTCCAGAGCGCGTATTCCCTCTCGCATAGCATCCTTACAATCTTTGAACTATCCATCCGGACGCATCTTGGCATATAGATCGGTTAGACTATCTTTACTGCTCGCTCTTATTACACTAGATTGGGAGCACCCCTAAGTTCGTCCTAAAAGTATGTACTGAATGGTAGGATTTATTGTGACGGACGATGCGATTTCATACTGTTCCCAGGTTTGTATCTTCAGTTAAAGGTGGATCGACGACGACGAAATCAAGATCCACGTCGTCGAAGGTGGTATCGTCGTCCAAGATGGCTTCGTATTCCTCGACCGTCATGGTTTTCAACTTCTTGGGTTCGGGCTCTTCTGCTTCATGCTGACCGGCCTCTTGGGAAGCTTCATAACGTACATTCGGCTGCTGGTCGGCTTCTTCTGCCCTCGGTTGTTCAACGTTCCGTTCTGGGATCTTTCGACGGAGGTCGAGTATGACCGAGCAATGAACTTCTGACCGTTTACCCCATTCATTGACCTCGGGGCGGAAGTCTGCGTACAGCGACCAAGCTTTCCCGTTGAGCTCTCCAGAGCTGTAGCTTTCTGCCAGTAGTCTGAGAGAACCCATGACATGTGGAAGCGTTTGCCGGAATGCCCGAGTGATATACGAGAACGCAGACATGGGAGGAACAGGCTTGTTGTTTGCGAGTGCACGCCATTGACCTAGGGTGTTTCGGTAGAGAGGACTGAAGGGGGTCAATACGATTAAGCCACGTTGCAAAGAAGAGAAGCATAAATCTCACACTCTGGTCAAGAGTTGTCGTCAAAAGACTTATTTTATAAGAAAGATAGGTAGTATACATACCTTCGTCCCATAAGTTCGACATAGGGTTGAGGGCCATACTTCTCTGCCTCAATTCCTCGTTCCTTGTCTTTGTTATATATTCCGACTGAGATTCCCTTCGAGATCGCGTTCATTTCGGTGTATACAGACGCTGTCAAGATGACACGGTCAGGTAACGGTAAATGAATGAGGCTACATTGGCGCACCAATACTCAATGCTTCTGATCTCGAGAAATGCATTCGTTCAGCGACATACATTGCCCAGGCCATCATAACAGGAGCACGATTGACAACCGTGGATTTGGTCCTCAGAACCTGGGAGAAAGGGAAGGTCAACATAAATGAATCAAGGGAGAGATTAGTTGGCTTGCCTCTTCATCCAACACTTCTTGGAAATCCCATCTTTCGTCGTTCTCGATCTCTTCTGGAGGAGCACCTGGAAGGAACTCGTTCGCATCACCAGCAGGTTTGCGCTTTCGCTTCTTGGGAGTTGTCTGGCAGATCTTTCAATACCTGGTAAAGAATGCTAAATATCGAAAGCATACCGACTGGATGGCCTTCCTCTTTGCAGGAGACGTAGGTGCAGATGTGGATGCGACGGGTCCTGGGAGTGCATGGCTCGACGTATCAGCAACATCTTTGTTCAGCTTGGGTACTTTCTGCCGTGGTGACTTCGCAGTATATCCCGCCTTGCGCAGGGCATTCACAACGAGTTTCCGGTCCTCTTGGCTGTCAATTCCCAATGCCGTCAATTTAGCTTCAGTCAGCTGCCGCAATGCTGCCGGAGTGTTATGCTCTTTGTAACTGTCGTGGTAGGCGTCAGAAAGAGGGCGTGCTGTGTGAAAGAGAACGAACACTTTACCAGCAACAGCCATGGCTTTCGGCATAGGGATGTTGTTGCTCGTAAGCAGCTTCAAGAACTGGGGTAAAGGTATCTTCGCTTCGTCTTCTTGAGTATCCATTTAAGATACTGCTCAGGATAAGAATATGGATGCCTGAGATTCCAACGAATTGGGAAGAATTGAACGAGAAGGAGCAGGTTAGAAGGAGACGTCCGAGTCGCCAAGGGCCAGACCCGCGTCTAATTGACTGCCTAATCTGGACTGCCGTTTACCCACGCGTGGTTGCGGCCCGCAGAGGCGAACCGTGGGGAGTCAATTGTGCAGTGTTCAATTTCACCTCCCGTCATATTCCTTCAAACCATGTCCATTGTCGTGTCCGCCGGCCCTTCTTCCTTGCCAGAGGCAGAACCTACTACCATGACTCCGAAAACTGAGGAGATCGACGAACTATTGCACGATGATTCTGGCGAGTCGGAGGTCTATTTCGAGGAAGACGAGGACGAGGACGATCCGAATGCGTTCAGAGTGCGGGGTGCTCTGAAGCAACATACCGTTAAATACCTCACCACTCTCCAGCTACACGGTCTTTTTCAATGCCACTACATCGCCCAGTTTAACTCTGATTCCTAACCCCCAGAACTCATTCATTCCGGAGGTGTTGACTTAGAGCCCTCATATCAACGCGGTGAGCCTCTCGTAAGCTTCACATATTATGCACGTTACCTATAGCGTGTGCAGAGGTTGTATGGCCAGAAACGAAGAAGATAGGGCTCATTGATTCTATCTTTCGAAACTTCTACATTCCACCAGTTGTCTTTGCGGTGATACGCGACGAAGACGGGGAGGAAAGTCGCGTATGCGTAGATGGAAAGCAGGTCTGTTTACCCTATTCTCTTACTCGGTCGTCCCTTATACGGCCATCTGCTAGCGTTTGACATCCATAGTAAGGTTCCTCGAGGGATCGGTAATTCATTTTCATTCTTCACTGGTCGCTGTGCTGAAACCCTACTAGATACCTCGTACGTGTTCATGTCAAATTCTTCCTCACGCGAGTAACGCGCTCCTCTAGATAGGGACTCGATAACGAAGAAGACCTGGTGGTATACGACGCCCGACTCTTACAAGGGAATGAGGAGCGAAATCCCACAGCTTCACAAAGAATGGTTCGCTGAGCGAGTCCTCACAGTTGGTACGTTGGTTGATTGCGCTCATCGGACGAAATAACCAGAGACTTTCTTTTCAAGTCGAGTACGATCATCTCACCGCATCAGAAGAGCGAGAAATCTTCCAAAGAGTTCAACTCGGCATGCCTTTGACTGCTGCAGGTGGGTTGTAGACGGTTATTGGTCGATTTATGCCCTACTCACGTCACCTATCAGAAAAACTCCAGGCATTTGCATCGCCTTGGGCAGAGTGAGTCAACGTTTTCAATTCAGTTTCCTATCGCTGAAGAGCTCGTGTCATTTCAGGTGGATCACACAGCTCGAAGCTCGACACGTGGCTGTCGAGGGCGGCCTCTCGACCAAGCTCTCCTGGGACACCAAACGCAGTCGCGATTTCCAGAACATCGCCCATATGGTGTTCTGCTGTGATGGTCTGCCAGACGAGATGCTGCCCACGTCGCAGAAGATCGAGAAGTGGATCGCACGTTGCGACAAGCCCTCCAGTCAGTTCCAGAACGACATCGAAAACGTATTGAGGACGTTGTGGGTAATCGCCAATGATGATGCACTCAATGAAGGTTTCGTGAATATCGATAAGAGGATTGCTCCTGTGGAGTTTATTTTCATAGGTGTGTTCTTCCAGACGCATACACGGACCCTTGAATCTGATCTGGTGATGAAGGCGTCCTTTTGTATGTCCTCCGTGACGAAGCTCGCGCTGTTCAAGGGCGCTCTATCTACCTGCTCAGAAAGAGAGTTCGTCAGGAGTTCAGGGATATCAGAAACAACGGCGATGTAGGCAAAGCGATGTGGAGGAACATTCGACGCTTGCAAGGGCAACCTCCCACAGGCCCGTTCGAGGGCAGGACATCTCCAAAGAACAATAAAAGGAAGAGAAACAACGACGATGACGACGAATTCCATCCAACGCCCATCAAATCGCTGGGCAAGGCGATCAAGACACGATCTAAGCAGGCAAAGGCTAGCTAGGTTCATTCTACCGTCGTCCACCACTCGCCATCTCGGCTCGATGTTTTTACCATCGTTTTGGAAGCTTGCATTTTGGAAGTATTACACCTGTAAATAGTCGATATAGTAGTACACATTCACAATCACCATGGAAGGATGAACGAGAAGGTATTATGTAACGAACGTGAATATTCAACCGTTGTACTGTGCTCTGGCAGTATATCGTATCCCCTGCGCGTCTGTCACCGTTCTGCAATATTTAAGCAGAAGCTTGTCGCGCTCCTTGGAATTCACAGCAATGTCGGACAGGAATGGGGTGATTTCTTCGCCTTTCCACTTCGTCCGTGTCAAGAAGAGATCGGCAAACCGGGCAGCAGGGTCAACGGGAAGAGCAGATGAAGGGAAATATTTCAGGACAACTTCGTCGCTACCCAGAGATTCTGCCTCTATGTAGTTTCCCTGTGAGGAAGACTTAATCAATCTAGCCTCCAGACATCCCAGAAACACAGGGGAAAGACTTACGGAAAGAAGATCCAAAGAAACAGTTTCTTCGAAGGTGTCTCCAACTTGAGATTTCCACTTTGCCAACAACTCATCCTTCTCGATAGGTTCATGCTGTCCACGCTGATTTAGCAAGCACTTAAATCAACCCTTCTCGCGGTACTTACCCTATGATTCCTCAAGATACCCAACCCCAACTCTTTCACGATCGCCGGAACGTCCATCGCCCACTTTCCTTCCTTAATCTGGCCAAACCAATACATAACCTGGATTGACACCGCGCGAGAGACCTCATGCTCGTCGGCAAGAGCAGAGAGCAGGCGCTCGACTGGGGCCGCGGTGTGCTTCATCGAGAGGGAGACGAGCAGGTTGAGGATAAGCTCGAGTAGGTGAGTGAGATAAATTGGGGTCATGGGTCGCAGTTCATCTTTTGAGGCAGGTGTTAGTCGAATGAGGGGAGAAGGGGGAGAAACTGACTGTTGATCACGAGTATCCGCCGTTCTCTGAGCCCTGCATCGAGCTCACCGGGGCTCGCCTGTATTTGCAGGAGGGCATCTTCGTACGTGAGTCGCGTCTGACACGTCGATTCAGTTAGTCCGTCGCGAAAAGACGCGTCAAGTACTCCCAACGGGACCCAATACTTACCCTATTCTCATCGTCCTCCAGGTCCTCCTGCCCTTCATCATACTCCCGGTCCTTGATCAGCACCGACAGCTTGTGCAGTTTCGGCACAGCAGGGACGAGCTCGATGATCTCGTTTAGCTGGTCGCGGATGACGACCGCGTCCTCTGCGAAGTCCGCGGCGTGCTCGTCTGGCACGGGTGTAACGACGAGCAAGGTGTTGGATAGGCCAACGGAGCGCATCGCGAAGGTCTTGTCTGCTGTGCAGAGAAAGGCATCTTCGTTCGAGTGGCCCTTGATCGAGAAACTGCAGTAGAGGTCAGCACGTACTCAGAAGGTGGGCGTGTTGGAGGCAGACGCACTTCACTTCTTTCTCATTAGCGATTGCGTCTTCCAGCAATTTGGTGAGATCAGGCGTAAGCTCTATGAGTCTGTAGCACCCTGCATCGTTGGAAGATGAAGGAGAGAAACTGAGCTCGTATTCAGGCATGAGCTGAACAGGAGATGGTCATGGCCGAAGTTAGAACACTAATCAGGGTGGATAACCAACCCCAACCCTCTCACAAGTCACACAAGAGTATTCAGACGTATAGAAAATGGCATTGTACAAGGAGTTGATCTCCGATTATGATTATATGCTAACTTCCGCCTCCACGAGCAACCTTTTGTCTCCGATTTATCCAGCAGTCCGTGAAGATGACCCCAAACAAGGTAACAAGAATCTATAATCTAAGCGTTGAGAATCGTGGTCTCGACGATGATGCCTGTCACTCGGTAAGGATCTACGAAATCAAGAGATCAATGAAGGGTTTCAAGTAAGCTCATGATATGACATACCGATGTTGGAAGCAGGACGTCTGTCTTCGAGGTAGCCGTAGCCTTGCGCGGCAACATGTCTGGGCACACGGATTGAAGCACCACGGTTGGCAACACCTGAGCTGAAGTTGCTAATGTGGCCGGTTTCGTGACGGCCAGTCAGACGGAGGTCGTTATCTTCACCATAGACGGCGATGTGCTCGTCATGTCGTTTGGCGAGCTTCTCGATGGCCTCGTCAATAGCCTTCATGCCTCCGGGTTCCCGCATAGCCTTAGTGCTGTAGTTGGTGTGGCAACCAGCGCCATTCCAGTCGCCTTGTAGGGGCTTGGGGTGGAAGGAGACCTTGACGCCCCATTGCTCGGCAATGCGGACCAGGAGGTAGCGGGCCATCCAGAGGTGGTCACCCATGGAGATACCCTCACAGGGACCGACTTGGAACTCCCATTGAGAGGGCATGACCTCGGCGTTGATTCCACTGATGTTGATGCCGGCGTAGAGGCAGGCGCGGTAGTGGGCCTCGATGAGATCGCGAGCGAAGACCTTGCCAGTACCTGATCACGTTAACCGAGATTAGATAAAATCAAGTCACGCCGCCTAAAATGGGGTACTCACCAGCACCGCAGTAGTAGGGACCCTGGGGACCGGGGAAACCACCCTTGGGCCACCCAAAAGGAGTGCCATCGGCGTCGAAAAGAGTGTACTCCTGCTCAAGACCGAACCAAGGAACCTCATCCTTGGCCTGATCCATGACCTTGGCGGCATGGTGGCGGTAGTTGGTCCTGTTGGGGGTGCCGTCGTTGTTGTAGGTCTCAGCCAAGACAAGGATGTTGTCGCCACCACGGAAGGGGTCCTTGAAGATGGAGGCAGGACGGAGGTAGACATCGGAGTCGTTGCCAGGGGCTTGGTTGGTTGAAGAACCATCGAAGTCCCAGATGCGGAGCTGGCCAATATCCGTGACCTTCTTGCTGACGGTCTGTTGGGCTGTTAGTCGATGGAAAAAAGGGAATAACAAAGACCACGCACCGTGGTCTTTGAACGAAGACCACCGTCGCCGTCAATCCAGACGTCTATAGCGGGGTGAGTCCGGAACCAATAGGGAGTGCTCGTACGACATACATTCCGCCTGGATCTTGTCGCCTTGGGGGAGGGCGAGGTAGGGAGCAAGAAGGTCGTTGTGGTATTGGTAGGCCATGATAACGAAGAGAAAGGAAATGAAAGTGGAGAAGGGCGGTGTGCGGGGAGGAAGCACTTATTAGCGGGGAGGGTGTTGATGGGTATTTGTTCGTTGGCGTGTGATTGGACGATAAGAAGTTTTTGGCGCGCATCTATGCTTATCTAAATTGCGACTCCAGCCTTCGTCTGGACGCCGTCCACTCCGCTGATTATCCGTCGGCCGACCCGTGGGCATCCAGAAAATTTAAACGCTCGGCACACTCCCGCCGACTCAGTCACAAGCCAATGATCGCTGCGATATTCCGCGCACTGCCTGATATACAGTCCCTCCGCTGCACTGCACCGCTCGCAACAGCGCCTCAGGCCCCGAGCCGCCATGCTCCGAGCACCAGCGTATCGCAGCTGCCCGATTTCAGGCTATCAAATGCCTCTGCCTGCCTTCATTCTTCCGTCCCCATCCATCACAACCGAGTCCCCAAAGCCCCTTTTTCGCCCGCTTCCTGCCATGGGCGTAGGGCAAGTATGCTACATCATCGGACCTTTTGACAACAATACAGTGCAATATCATTCGAGAGTACGAGAAACTCTAACCGCTTCGTGATCCAATGCGCGCCATCGTGTCTTCTGAGTTCTCTTGTTCTTCCACACTGTCTGATTGTGTTACCTGTATGTATCATTCAACGTCAATCCGCCGGGCCATCATATGCAGCCCAGAGCCAAAACCACTCACAACTCGAAGAACCGTCTTCTTCGAAGACTCCTGCAGCTCTCCAGCAATGATCAGCTCGTCAAGGATCTGTCACCGCCTCGGTCAGAAGGCGGCCAAACGCACACACATGAAGGGTCTCGGAAATCAAGCTACTCACCGCATAGGCCTTTTGGAAATTGAAGATGCTGCTCGAAGCACACCAGTGAGGGGTTCATTTCCGCCCTGAGATGGCCGAGGACTCACAGATCTAGCTCGCAAACCTGAGTGTGTCGAGGAAACAGTCAGCACCTCCACCTCCCCGCTGACCCTAGAGCCACTCACGTTCCCAAAGTAACGATCCAGCACCTCTACGTATCGGTGGATGATTTCCAGCGTGACGAGCTCGTTGTCCGATGGTCCGATCCCGCACACGAAGAACAGCGAGGCGTATCGTCGGTACACGACCTTCGAGTCTATTCAGTCCCAACGACCCATTCATTAGCATCTCAGTTCACACCGCCAGGTAGATACAAACGTACCCTTGTACTCAAGGAAGTTGCACATTCTCGTCCGACGCGCGAGGACCAGCTGCGTTACATCTTTCACGATCTTCGCCTTGGTCTTGGGCGCCATCGTCGTGAACCATTTTGCAAGTCGCACTTTGCCTGCCCAGAACAAATCGCAGGCCCTCTCAATTGACGTGCTCTCAAAAGAGATAGTGTCCGAACCTAACCTTGCCGAGAAACGAGCAGGATGTAGTTGATCATAATGAGTATCGGTCGTTATCCGCGACTTTGCGTGAGCAAGGACAGCTGCACAGCCACCATCGATATTGATAGCTTTGGTCCCGCCACGAGGGAGACCTCTATCGTCTCCCCCTGAGGCCTGGGCAGCTGTCCTGACGCCACGGATAAATGCACCCCCATGAATTTGAAAAAGATAAGTAAGTCGGGCCTCGGCACGAACGCCACTTGAGCGCGGCAATGCTAAAGAGAAAGCAAAGAAAACCTATCAAGAAGGGCAAACCGCCCAGAACCGCCCCGTGTATGTACCTACATAGTCTAAACACCAACAAGAGAAACGTTTATCTGTGTGGCGGATGTCTATCACCTTCTGAACAAAGGAAAAACAGGCGACCGGCGGGGTCAGACTAGAACTCATGACCAGGCTGTTATCTTGACTTTCGACGTGCGTCACCGTGGCGCAAAAGACACACGAACTATCTGCACTCGTGATCAGGTTTTTATCAGTCAGGTCGTCGGAGACTCGGGAAAGAACTTCAGGTTGCGGCGCGCCCGGTTGTGTGCGTCGCGGGTATGTCGTGGTTCTGGTGAATTCGAAGTTCCGTGACATTCCAGTTTACGAGAAGACAAGAGATGAGGCACAACAGAAGAGATCTTCGAAAACCTATCTTTGTTGAGCTCGAGAAACAACAGAAGATGTCGGGTGATGGCTTCTAGTGTCTCCGCCCGTGCTGGACCTATCACATTTGTTGGATTGAACGCCGCTGGGCACGCACAAAGCAGAAAATAGTTACCAGTATCGGGTGAGTCGGCTGTGCATCGTACATGCTTTCGTTGACAGTACTTTGAGGTTGACGGCTTGATGCATTGAGGATACTTGGATCTCACAGGGTACACTGTCATGTCAGCAGGTGGACTCACTCAATCAACGTCGTTCTCTTCGCACTGTAAATGCAATTGATGTGGTGAGCAACGTTCGCTGTTCTTGAAATTGCAGCATGGCAGGCTTGCTATTCTTGAACGATCTTGAAGGCCTTGATGCAATCCGTACATCTTGACACAAATCTTCGGTCTAGATGCACATCTAAAAATCTAAAATTGTCTGCAAGAACCCAAAATTCAGTCCTGTCATCATTGTGCTTGTACATACGGAAAGGCGCTGTGAACCAAAAAATACAGTGAGGAGAGGTATCGCGGGGATGAGGGTATGATTTCCAAGATGGGGCAGAGATGGCCTGAAATAGAGAATTAGAAATGATGCTTATTGGGGTGCTTCATGTTGAAGTGGTCGTAGAATCCTCCATCGACGACCTTGTAGCGGCCGGCTGCCCGGGCTTTGATGGCGCACAATTCGCGCATGGCGACATCGAAGGGGAACCGCGACCAGGGTACGTCATATCCTCTGCGCCGCTCACAGTCGTAATAGTACGCATACGACGCACGGATACGCGCGACCTCTTCGTCGTGCATCATGAGCTCGCCGGGCTTCGGGAAGTCGGCGAACCTACGGGACAGTTCACGGATTTTGTCCTGGCGGACCTCGATAGGCTGGTCGGTGAAGGAGCCTTTGTCTTTCTTGGGTGAGCTGCGGGATGTCTTTTTCGGAGAGGACATTTCGGTCCGGTGGTCATCGTAGACCTTCCTGACATGCTCTTCGAGTTTCTTCAAGTCCTCCGATGGACGGTGATTCCCTTCCTCCGTAGCCCATCGCCTGCACATCTCCAGGGCTTTCCGGTACGGCTCCACTAGGGCCTCGTCCGTCTTCGCGGAAGCTACAGACTTAAAGTGGTTTCCGATGCGCACAAGCCAATTCTCGCCTTCAGTCGTAGCCTTGTTGTGGAGTTCATCCATGATGAAGCGTCCAAGTTCACGAGGACGCTTCGCGTTTGTCTCGTTGGAGGTCTTTCGGTCACGTTCCTCTTCCGTCTCTTTCCATCTTGGTGCCCGCTTGTTGTATTTTTTGGCGTCCTCCCTCTCAGTTTCTGGCAACACAGACATGCCAGTCTTGATGCCATCGAGTGTCATGCAGAACCTAGTTACTACCGTCAGACTGAAAGGCTGTAGATGATCATTGAAACATACATATATGCGAGGCGGATCGTCTCCTTGTGACAGTATCCCAAGGTGTAGAGTGCCATTTCGTGGTAGTTCGAATATTTTCCGACGATAGTTGTGTCTCGAACAGTGCTCAGCAAGAACTTCTGGAGCTCACGAATTTGTTCCTCGACTGGGAGTGCAGCAGTCCTTTCTTGAAATGCGACTACTTGCTCGTTATGGGGCTTGAAATACTTCTCGATATCTTTTGGCGGATTCGAGAATCTCTCATCAGCGTTTTTGAATAGATTGACAAGCTCCGGCTGATAAATATAGATCCCTTTGTCACCGTCATAATCGCCTAGCAAAAAGCTGTCAGTTCATTGCTGCACAGAAAAAGTTCAGAAGGGGGGGAATAGGTCTACCTCCAGATAAGTAATCGGCAGCTCGCCGAGGCCCTTTGGTGGAGAAGACTATCACATCTACATGATGACGAAGCTCTGGTCTATCAACGGACTTCCACTATGAGGCATGAATATTGAATATCACCAGGTATAGAGTGACACTCATACCTTCTGAATGTCTGTAGGAAGCTTGCAAGGGTGTCGCGTAAGCAGAACGTCGCCAGTATAAATGTCTGTTTCTGTTCCATCAGGGTTTTTGAATTGGCGTCTAGAACTTTTGAAGAAGACTTCGCCAGGTTCAAGCACACCTGAGGTGTCTAGAAAGAAGATTGTATGAGTGATGGAATACTTGATTTCGAGCAGAGAATTGACCCGGAACAAGAAACCCAGTCGCAGACATGGGGACATCGATCCTATAGGACCTGATATATTCCTTGACACGGCCTGTGATGAACTTCTGGAGCTTGTCTCGTAGAACGGGACATTCTTGCGGAGTGAAGCCAGAATCGATCATGCACATCACAGTTTCCTCAAGAGAGGAAGGACAACCGCTGACCTCGTCACCCCACCAGGCTGAGGAACGTTGCGTTTCCGCAGATTCAGACAGAGAGAAACCATCCTCGTCCTCGAGCTCATTGTCGTCAGCGTCGCGTTCAGAGTAACCCTTGGCGCGCGCAAGACCAGCTTCTTCTCTAGCACGTCTGGCATGCATGACGCCACCCAAATGGCGTACGTTGCACCACAGCTTACGCATAGCATCTTTTGACTCCCAATCAAGAAGGGGCAAGACCATGCCCTCTAAGCTCTGGCGAAGCAACTGGACAAACGCTTCTTTCGGGACACCATTCTCGGAGAGGTTAATGATCGTTTCGACGGAAAGCCGGCACGGCGTCTTCATATGTGAGGCGCGTAGGACATCTATGATGCGATGAGCTGGGTCGATTTCACCTCCTTCCGGAAATATAATCTTCCTTTGAGAAGGTGTGAGTTGCACGAAACCGAATTCATCTGCATTTTTGCCGTCATCGATGAGTAAACCCTGAGATGTTGATGAGAAAGACAGTCGACGTGATCCATAATGAATTACCTTTGTACCGAAAATACGCGTTTGGATAGCAGTGGGTCTATCCTCCCAATCAAGACGATGGCGAATCTGTTTCAAGGACCAGCGATTGATTTTACCAGCACCGTCTGTCATATTCGATCCAGTTTCCGAAACTGATGGTTGTGTTATATTACTGATAGCCAGAGAAGCGAGGTGAACTTACTGATATCCTCAATGAAATGAATATTAGGTCTTTTGAGCATGAGTCCTGGTACCGAGTTCGAAAGACCAAGAGCAAAACGTGAAACATATTTCGCCATAGTCTACAAATACACGAAACATTAGTCAAATAATCCACGGGTGACACAAAGAGTCTTTTACCTGCTTCATGTTCAATTTCATCGGGTTGTGCCATTCCAGAAATTCAAGAAAAGAATAAACGTTCTGGATGGGCGGCTCGCAAACGAGGACTCTTGTACCGTCGGTTCGCTCGTTGGTCTTGACGTAGAACACATTGGTATCCTTTGCATAGAACGCCCGAAACACGCCGCTGCACAATAACAACGGTTTCTGAAGGTAGGTCATCAAATGTTCCGCACTCTTGTTGAGAACGCCCTTGGTCAACTTTAGCCGGAAGAAGTGCTTGCTTCCAAAACGGCGCGCAAACATGTTGGAGGGACCCAGCTCGGCGGGTTCCAGGGTCATCTTGTACTTGGGCTCTTTCTTGCAGTTTTTTGGAGATATGTCGTGCAGTTTTCCGTGGAAAAGGACCTGGCCGCCATGCCATTCAAGACTCTCTCCAGTGGGTTTGAAACCGAGTCCGCCGTATGGGTCATTCAGCAGGGCTGCTTCTTCTCGATCCAGCTCTTGCCAGGGGTCCTATACGCGTCGATAAGATATAAGTTCACTCTTGGGAACAAATATTCCTTACCTTTGCTGCGTGTTCCTTCGCGAAAAGGCGTTTCCATCGCTCTAGATAAGCTCAAGGTTTAGAGTGAAGATTATTCGAAAGCCAATCAAAGACTAACCCTCGTCTTCGTCGTCAATTTCAGATTTCTTTTTGAATATGACCTTGAACGTCGCAGGAACAGCTGCTTCATTCGTTACCAAACTTGCCAGCTCCGTAACTTGTTCGGTAAGTATATTGGAGTATTTGAGTCTTAGAGCTTCTTCACGACTATCGACGCTGATGAAACGCGCGATTTCATATTGGACTCCATAAGGTAGCTTTTTGGAGTTCATGAAATGTTGCATTATCATTGGCGGGGACTACAATGCCACGGTATTAGCCCAGCATGAACGAAAAAAGCGAAGACAGACGTACAAAGCTGATTGGAGCTCGAGGGTCGTCAGGTACCTCAGGGACGTCAATAAAAGGATTGTCTTTGTCTTCCAGCGGGTTGGGTTTCGAGACTTTGGCAGGAGGGCCTTGCGACGAGCCCGACTCAGTTGAGGTCGACATGTCGCTGGCCTTTCTCTTCCCCAGACCTCTTTCTGACGAAGACGCTGAACCAGGGGGTTTCTCTTCGAAGTCGGGCTGGGTTACTGTGCCACATGAGTAAAGAAAGCGAGTGCGCTGCGGGAGGGAAGGGACTTACACGGCAGCCGGCTGATAAGGTCCGTGATATCGTCGTCGCCGAAGTTTGAGTAGCTTGTATGCTTCTCGCTCGTCAGCAAAGGAAGAAAAGAGGGAGAGTAACTTACTTGTGAACCAATCAGAGAATCGCTCGAACCCACCCTCGAAATTCCCGAATCGCGGTAGACTTGGGGCCCCAGATCAGCGCAGGGCCTCAACAGAAGGGGGATGTCTGAAAACTTACTAGATATGTCGCCATCGCGCAACGAGCTGGCTTTCGAAGAGCTTGTTTTGGACATGGCTCGAGGCGCCCAAGGTCAAGACACGGCAAAAGGCAAGTAACAGACGTGGAGAAGGGTAAAAACTGGAGTAGATGGAGAGATAAATGTGTCGACAGCTATATGCAAGCTATATGAAGAGGTTTATCCAACCTGCAATCTCATCAGGTTGAATCAACATGCAAGTTCAACCCAAGGAAGGGGCGAAGGAGTGTCGGAAGCAGAAGCGACCTTTGGCCTTGGCGCGGAAGAGTTTCACTTTCGGACACGATCACCTGATCCGTGCGCCCCACAATTCAAGAATGAAATTCCTTTCGCAGCGCTGTCGGAGCATCTCTAAGTCCAAAGGGTAAAAGTGTGATGCATCATCACAGAGGTATTCAATAAAAATGAGGCTAGGTACATCTAGTACATCCATCCATCTACCGAACAACCATTAAGGCCATAGCATACTTTTCCTTCTCTACTTCCTCTTAAGATTCTTCCTTCTCATCCCACCTGCCTTCGCGGTAGGCAAGCGCTTGCCTGCATCATCCCCTCTGCGAGGCGTCGACGTCCCACTCCTCGTCGCCTCTGAACCATTGGTCGACGACCCATCGTCGCTGTCAATGTCCGGGGCGGACGTGATAGGCTTCTCAGACTCTACAGGATCCGAGCCACCAGGAGAATCGGTGGGCTTCACGCCGGCAGCTTTGTGGTACAGGGATCTGACGAGCACAATGAACCAGGTGTTGCTGATAGAGGCCGGTGTGGCAGTCGAAGCGTCGATGAGGTGCATATCACCTGAAGGCTCGAGCTTCACGAAGACTCTGTAAGACGCACGCTCAAACCGCAATAAAGTGGAAGAGATGCTTACAAGGTAGACATGCTGTTCATCAACAACCATATCCAGAAACTTCGCGCCAGCGCTGTACCCATCCTCATACGAATCCCCCAAATTAACCCTAACCTTCCTCTGGCCATTCACAGGAATCATCTTCGGGCCCCATGCTGCCGCCTTCGCCTTGCCTACAATAACTTCAATGCGCGCCAGGTCCTTCTTATAGTTGAACCGTTGGACGACGTATTGCAGCCCAGAGGTGAGGATCGTCAGGAATACGAGGACGGACTGCACGGAGGGGTTAGGTGAGGGGAAAGTGGGGACAAGGAAGAGGAGGAAAGGAGGAAGGACGTACACCAACGCCAGGGCGGAAACGCGAATAGTAGTACCCTGTGCCACGCCATTTCGGTACGCCGTTCTTATAGAAGAAATCATACCTAGAAATTTGGCCAGTCAGCACAACCCACTGAAAAGCGAAGACGACATGGCCACTCACCGCTCCCTGCTCTCTTTCTTCCTCAAAATCGTCGAGATAACACCCAGCCGCGCAAAGCGCTCGTGTATCCCAGGAATGTCCGGGTTTTTGTCAGGACTGCAGAACCGCACGGATCAGCTCTCACTTTCCCATTCCACATTGTCATTTGCATAGGGGGAGTAAACGCACTGGAGCAGCATGCTCTTCTTCCTGTACGCTTTCGCTATTTCGTTTGTTGACGCCGTGGAAGGTACGTCGAGCCACGAATAGAACGTGGTTCCCTTGCCTTCGGCGGCTTCGAGCTCACTGACGAGGTCGAATATCTCATGGTCTTCCTATAGTTTCGAAAGAACACAGTTTATTAGCACACCGGACATAAACTTCATCGACCGTGAGGACACACACACCTTCTCCCAACTGCATTAAAAGCATCCACAGCACGATCGAGAGTCAAAACACCGTCAGCGAGAAAGAAAGCAAAAACGCACGCCAAGACAGTCGTGACCAAAAGTGCCAGGAAGGCGAGCAAGAACGCCGGAACTCTCATCTCTCACGCAGCGGGGTCTCCGAGGAGTGGAAGAGTGGATGCCGACGGGGCAAGAAACACAATGAAAAGAAAGGGAGGAGAGGAAGAGAGAAACTGTGTCGGACGGAGCACGCTGGCAGTGGGACGCCCGTGGCTCAGTGTGGCTGTGCAAATTTGATCGGCTCGCGTTGCGTTGCTTTTTTGGTCGATCCGCCGTGTTTCTCTCTTTTCACCATATCCACTCTCTCTTGTCGTCTTTAAACACCTTGAACACTGCGCACTCTGAACTTTTGAACATTCGAGACTCAAAAAATCTTGTTGAAATTCTTGAAAAATATGGCGCCCCGCAGACGGTGCCCCACCTGCGGCTCCAAGCAATGGCACAAAGAGCCGTCGAGCGGACTGATAGCGTGCAGCGAGGGACACATCCTCCAGGTGGGCAGGCGCCTCTCTTTCTTCTCCTCTCACTCTCTTGTGCTCTTGCGGGCAAGACCACGCGTCTAGAAGATAAACCTAATTAAGGCAGAACTACAGGAATGAGACAACGGAGATCGAGGAGATGGGCCCGCACGCGATGAAGAAGCGCCAGCTGAAGACGGGGAGGAAGAAGAAGGGGAAGCAGAGCCATGCCGATGCGAAACGTGCGTCCGAGTTCAATTTTTGGCATTTCTGGAGAGCTGACTGTACCGACCGGATCGCGTCTCACCTTTCTTTTTTGACTTGGGCTTTGCGATCTTGCGACTTTGCAGTGTTACACGGCGCGAAGGGCCGATACCACTACTTCGTGTGCCTGCAGCTCATCTTCCGCAAGCAGGTAGCTGCACTTACGCGGCTCTGGGACTTACCACCCGAGTTCGAGGTGCGTTTATCTCTTCATCCTATCTATCAAACCTTTTCCCTTCTCCTGCACTGCTTGCACCCCATTTCATCTCATCTATTAACGCACAATCCATTAACACACTACAGGTCATCTGCCGCGATCTCTGGGCCCTCCATCTGAGCCTGCTGCCAGATCCACCCCCGGCAGAGCCCTATCACCACGCACACGGGAATGGAGACGCAGACGGCGTGCATGGAGATGGGGACGGGGATGAGCCGAGCAAGGCTTCCCGCAAGGGCCCCAAAGGAGACGGGGGGAAAGGAAAAGGAAAGGACAAGGGAAAGGGAAAGGACCCAGGCGACTCGAAGGGGCAGTCGGAGGGTTCTTCGTCCTCGAGCTCAGAAGGGGAAGAGGAAGAGGAAGATGCCGACCTCGACCAGGAAACAGGCTCGGGAAAGGACGACGATAGCAATCATGAACGGAAGGATGACGAGAGCGACACCGATGACGATGACGAGAATGAAGAGGACCCGGAGCTCGAGGCGCTTATGCGGGAGAACTCCGAGATCTCGTCGTCGTCGGACGAGGAGGGCGACGGGATGTACTACGTCGTGCGGAGCAAACGCGCGTCGAAGGGGTCCAAGGGCCGGCACAAGTACGAAGGCGCGATGAGCAGCATCGTGGTGCTCATCGTCGCGTGCTGGACGCTACGGGTGCCCGTCATGTATAGGGACTTTACGCGGTGAGCAGTGTTCTTTTGGAGACGAGGAATGAGATGGCTAACAGCGGTTTTTGGTTTGATCTCGAAGCCTTGTCGAGAGTTATGAACTTCCTTACCTGGATCCAGTGCAGTTCCTGCCCCCGAGTCTGGTGCAGCACCTGACGAAGCATAATATACAAGCTCTTTCCCCACCGGTATGTAAGAGATTACGATCCGTTGCAGTGCACATTGATGTTTGAACGTGCTTTAAATTTAGCACGCACCGAAGACGCTTTCGCTGCACAAGTTAGCAGGCAGATTCGCGAAGCAGCTGTACAGCAAATATGGGGTGTACACGGCCGAATTGAACGCGGCGGACGTGCTATGGCGAATAACGAAGGAAATGGGCGGGACGCGTAAGGATTTGCTTGGGTTCTTTCCTGGGTGGAGAAAACGCTGATCATGTGAATGGGGCCAGCGATGCTGTACGTGCTGGGCAAACGCGTTGCGAGTGTCCTGTCATTCCCTTTGATACTGCACCCCTCGCTGGCACCGGGGCTGGAAAACGCCATCCGGCATCAGTATGACAACGCGCCTCCTGAGGTGACACTCCTGGCGTCGGTAATGATTGTGCTCAAGATGGTGCATGGGTTGGACGGCAAGCCCCGGTACGGTTTTTGCGCGTTTGACGTGGAGAGATGAATCTCTGACCGGGATGACAGAGGACCGGGGGACGAGGAGGACGTCGCGTGTGCACTGCCTCGGACGAAGGACCTGCTTCGGCTGCTTGAGGAGCTGGATGACGCTGACGCCAAGAGGAAGGAGGCGATCTTTGACTCCTCAAATAAATTGTGAGTTTGGATGCAACGAGCACAGAAGGCGAATCGTTGATGGGAGCAACAGACACGTTGGCGACATGAAGGAAGAGGAGCTGGACGAATATATTTCTTTCTGCGAGAGGGTACTCCTTGGAGAAGGGGCAAGGGGTAAGCATAAGTGATTTGAATGGGAGCTAATGTACGCTAATTGCAGTGGTAGACGGGGATGCTGCGCTGGACCGATACTTCTGTCTCGCCCGCGAGGATGGGGGAGGGAGAACGGAGGACGATCGAGGCATTGCTCGTGGGTCGCAGATCGGTGGGGAGGTTACTTCGGGGGGACTGCGGCCCGGAGCTGAGTACAAGATATGGAACGGACGGGACGTGTACGGGACACTGCCGAGCGAGTACAAGCTTGTGCTTGAACGGGGAGCGAGGGTTGTCGGAGTGAGGGCGGAGTACCTGGGGTGTGTGCTTGAAAAGTACGAGAGACGGCTGAGTGAGTGGAAGGGCCGAGGGATTAGTAGATGACATCACGAAGTGATCACATGAGTGTTTCATCGAAAAAGCGCAAGCGCAGGCACGACTTCAGTCCAATGTTGTCCTTCCATTAGTCCTCCCCTTCTCTCTCTCATCAATGCGCCGCTTCGCAAAGGTCTTCACGGCCAAGAAGCGGGACGACAAGCACGTCGCAGCGCATACTCACAGCGTCGCCTCCACCGCCTCCACGCCCCAGCCCAGCATCGCCAGCGACCCCGCCCACTCATCAGCGTCCTCCAGCGGCTCGGCGAGCGTGCAGACCCCCGACGACGACCACCATGACCACCTCGGCCGTGCAGACACCAAGCGCTCCTGGAAGTCCTGGCTCGCCGGCAAGCGCACCGTCTCCAACACCAAGCAGGCACCGCTGCCCACCCAGGTCCGCATCGAGGCGCCGCCCGTCCCCGACTGGCATTCCCACCACCTCCCGTCCCCCTTCCTCCACCCCGCCCCACCAAAACCGCCGCCCCACCCTGTTCCTCCCGATGACTCCGACGAAGACGAATCGGACCACGACCACAGCGAGGCCCACTCTTTCTCGCCCCCTACTTCCCCCGCCGTCCCCATCCACCCTCCTACCCCAGGTCGCGCCAGAGACAACCTCCGTCTCCTCACCACCAACGCCCTCACGCCTCCCCCGCCAGTCTCTCCCTTCATCCAGTACACCAACGGCCCCGTATTCCCTCGTTCCACCAATCGGTCTAGCCTCCTCCCACGGCAACCTTCCACCCGTGTCAACCTTCTCAAAAAGCAGCTTCTCTCCTCCTTGGACACCGCAGTCCCTTCGTCTCCAAATATGGCTGCCATTATGCCATTTGCGTCCAGACCCTCCCCCTCTCCTGCTCAACCACTTCCTTCCTCCTTCCCGGATATAGCCCGACCCACATCCACAATCAAGATATTTTCGTCCAGTTCCGGTGTACGAGCGTGGGTTGCGCGGCCCTGCTTTGAAGAACGTAACCTCATCTACCTCGCCAACCAAGCCGGCGGTATCGATGTCCGTCCCATTTCCTCCCTCTTTGCTATTGCCGCACTTGAGTATTCAGAACACCTCGATGTCATGGCCGACCCGGATTTTCTCTCTTCTCCGGCACCGCCAGAGAACGGCGTGTTCGATGCCTGGTCCCCAACCGAGCCCACGATCCCAGCAACAGAGTCTCACGCTCGAACCCTCGAAGCTGCGCCGACATCAGGTATCTTTGTCTTTTTCACCGTTGCATTCGTAGAAGCTCATCGCTTCATACAACAGCTCCTGCACACTCGCGGAATTCGTACACCTCGGTGCCCTCTCCTCTGCGAAATGAACACACGCCATCCAGCCCCAAGGAAACAACCCCTGCTGCGAAGCCTGTCAGGAGGAGCTCGGTCAAACGGGTCGTCAGGTTTGCCGAAGATGACAGTGATGATGGTGATGATGGTGTTCCTCTTCACATCGTTCGCATGAAGAAGATGCGCGAACAGAAGGCCAAGTTCTTGCGGCAGGAGCAGCTGAAGCGGGCGAAAGAGGAGGAGGAGGAGAGGCGGCGGAAAGAGCAGGAGGCTTTGGAGGTGGAGCGGAAACGTGTAGCCGCGGAGAAGGAGAAGAGGGAGAAGGAGAAAGCTCTGTACGCGGAGGCGGTCACCGCTGCGAGGATGCGGGCAGAAACCACCAGGGCTGGCGGCATCCCATCTTTAAATGCCACCACTTCTGCTAACCTCCTGGGTCCATCGCCTTCCTTCACGTCTCTCAGGGACTCTGAACGTAATAGGCCGCCCGACTCGAGAAGATACTCCGCGAGGTCGCCGCACGACTCCCTTCCTGTACCTGCATTGCCGCGGAGAGAGGCCTCTGATCCCGTTTCGCCGTCTTCGTACTTCCACTACCCCTCGGACTCGTCGCCTACCAGCTCCCGGCCGCCTAGCATCGGCCATTCGCCCGTGAGCCCACACTCGCGCCCGCCGTCAACGTATTCTGCGCATACGTCATCGTCAGAGGACGTGCGCCAGCAAAGCGGGAGTAGAAGGAATTCGACAACAGCGGCGGTGGCGGCGGGTGCCATAGGTATGGGCGTGGGTGGTATGAATGGTGGTATGGGTATGGGCATAGGCATGGGCGTCCCGTCGATGTACGGCCTCCCTCCGATGATCATGTCCTACCCAACATGGACCGGCAGCAACCCCAACCTGCAATACGTGCCCCCCGTCCCGGCCTTCCCAGATTTCGTCCAGGACATGCCCCTCCTACCCCCGACCGCGCCGTTCATGAAGCAGCCGTACGAGCGCCGCTCGTCCCGGAATTCGTCGCCGGGCCCGTCGTTATCTCCGAGCTCGCGTCGCGGGTCGTTCAACTCGAGCACGGAGCGCGTCAACGCGATGTCGGGGTCGCCCGCGTCGATGTCGCGTAATTCTTCTGGACAACGTCTGTCAGTGTCGGCGAGCCCGCGTAAGTCTGACCCGACTCCTACCTCGTCGAGACCAACACACTCGCGGCGTGGAAGTGGCGACTCGCGGGGCTCGTATACGCACCACTCGGCAGTACCGACAAGCCACAGCCAACACGCAAGCAATTCGTCCTCCCGCCCGCCCCCGCCCACAACTTCGCGCTCGCAGCCCGTCATCTCGCGCGGACGCCCGCCGCTCCCGCACCCCGTCAAGTCGTCGACGATGCCCTTACCCCAGCCCAAGTCGGTATCCCCAGGGTCGTCGCAGTTCCTGCAGGCCCCGAGCCCATGGACGGCGCTGCCGTCGCAGACAGGCAGGGTGCCCACTGCGGTGCCTGTCTCGCCCTACTCGCACAACCTCAACAGCCCGCCGAGGAGTGGAGGGGATGGGGGCAGTGGGGCGACAGGCGGGAGTAGTGGGCGGAGGCAGACGGTGATTTCATGATGAATGTTGGGCGTGGTTTCTGCCATGGTTTTGGGAATGACGAACGAGCGAGCGGATTGCTGGGTTCTTATACCAGCAATGTTCGGGACAGACGCTCGGCGTGGAGCGGTCCTCGCTCGCGAAATGGGTTGGCATACGTCTTCGACAAATATGCTTGGCTGGTCTGCCTTCATACTGACTGACGACAATGCCGGCACTGTCAGCCCCACCCAGCCACCACTTCTTTTTTTACTTTCTCTAGATATGGACCTGATCTGACGCCTTTTATGACATACACAACTAATGCTCACTCGCACAGCGCGAGGAGAGTAAGCCCACATACCCCGTCGCTCATTTTACCCACTGCACCCCACACTCGTTAGGTTCTTACTTCAAGTCGTTTTTCTGCCCATTCGTCAACCTTGCTTCCGGTCATATACACTCAGCCCGTAACATACATACCACGCACATTGGACCTCTTTTTCATCCATAACCTACTTACTACTGATGTTCTACCACTATTCCCTTTTTTCATTTTATGGTGCAATTCCTCTTTCCGTCTTCTCTATTTTCATTCCATTCCATTCCCCCCTCCTCCAAGTCCATGGTCCATGATAATCATTATCGTTACATGCTCATTCGTACTATCCTTCATTCGTCATTGTCGTGCACGCCCCTTCCCTTCTCCCTGTCCTCATCCTCTCTTCCGTTGTTTATCACCCCCCTTTTTTCTGTTGTAGTCACGACGTTTCCTCCAATCACTTGCAATATGTACTACCAGTTTTTTTTGCAGAAATTTTATTGTTCCGAGGGATATAGAATCGTATATACTACATTTGAAAGATAGATGAGAAATGCGCGGTACTGGACAGTGAAGATAGTCTGGCTGTCCAACGACGGCTGGAGGGCACATCTTGTGGGTTAGTTGGCTTATTCCGAGTTGGGATATGCACTCACACTGAAGTCGAAGAAACAGTTGATAGTAAGTGGATGACCAGTAAAACCATTTGAGAAGCATAAATGTCCAACGTCAAGAAGAGTCCAGCCAGCTAGTTCACAGCAGAGTAGGCACCCAGAATGTCCTATGAAAAAGGCAAGCAAGCATATCACAACAGGCCTTGCAGACCTTGCGCAAGCAGAGATTCAACATCAAAGATCTCGCCTTCCTCCAATTCATATGCCGGTACGAGGTTGTTCTCTCCCTCTGTGGGAGACATTAGCAGCTCGTGAATAAGAGCCAGGGGCCGCTCGATTGCCTGGTAGAAGTATTTTTCGAGGTCGTTGCTGTCTTGGTATTGTTGAAAATCCGGTTTGAACATCGTCACCAGGGCAGGGAAGTGCTCGAGTGCCAGACTGTCGACAGCAGGCTGTAGCGCAGAGGGCTCGAATGATTCTGATGCTCCAAAGATTTGCTCGTCCTCAGCTGTTGAGTTTAGTGCCTCGTCAATGCCTTCCTGGATTGCAACTATACGAGCAATGTCTGTACCACGGATCTCCTGGAGCTTGCTGAAGTTGCCTTGAATCTAGATACAGAGGTTGTTAGACAAATTACATAAAGGTGGATGTAGACAACACCAGCTCACCTTCTCAAGCCTGTCAGTTAAACCAGCAATACCTAGCAGTCCAGATGACTCTTGGGCTTCTGTTGGCTGTGACTTGGGTGGCTGAGGGTCAAGCCCTTTGCTTTCAGTGGCTCGCATCATCTTGATACCATTGACCGAATTGACCAGTGAGGTGACATTACTCGAGAGAGACTTGATGCGTTGAACAATTGCTTTGAGATCTTCTTCACTCTTCAAGTCATGCTCCCCTAAGCCTTCAGTACCAGTGTTGATCCTGTCGTGCCCAGCCCTTTCTTGAAGGAAAGTTTTAATTTGTGCCTTCAATAAGATCGGAAATTTTCGTGTGTCTTCGATCCAGGATTTACAGTCTTGCGCAAGCTGAAGTTGGCTAGGCACGTCGGAATAGGGATATAGTTCTTGGAGAGCTTTTGGCGAGCAGGGTATTTCAGCATAATGTTCCAGGATCAGGGAGATAATTGCGCCTTTATCTTTCTGGAGGACCAGCAGGTTCAAATATAGAGCACAGAAGCATATCATGAGGTGAAGCTTACCCGTACTTGGTGGAGGCGTGTACAAGAGTCACTCCTTTCTTGTGATAGATTGAACTAAGACCATTCAGACTCCTGAAAAAATATGGCACTATTTCCACTTACCTTCATGGTCCCATACTCCACAGCATCCTGGAGCCCTCCCTCTTCCCACTTTGGATTGGCCTCCCGTTGAGAGGCCTCGATCAAGGCGCTCAAGTCAACAGCTCCAGTCTCAAAGAACTCAGACTCCCTTGCCTCGAGCTCTTTGACAACGGCATCACTTATTGTCCTATAGTGAGGGCAGTATGGTCATAAATGCTCAATATCGCTTTCCAAGGCACTTACAGCACAAGATCTGTTCGGAAAACCACTGGAGCCACTTGGACACGGTCTTGTTGAGGCTGCATCACTGAGGATATGTATGAAACGGCGTAGAAGAGGTAATAGAATGGGAGGCCATGATAAACATCTGAATAACTTGAGTTAGCAGAAACTTTGTTTGACGAGGCAACCAGTGTTATGTACGCCGCATGATGTCATCCACCTTTTGAACAAAGTTGAATAGTCCTACTTACCGGTCCGGTCAGATCTTTCCTTCTGCTACCACTCGCCTCGATCAAGAGCCATGGATTACTTCCCCCGTTATTCCCAACCATTCACTTTGGCCGAAGCAACAAACCTCGATGTTTCTATAATCACGGATGGTGCGGTTTTTCTTTAGTCACATTGTTATATCGCCATTCGCTGAGATCCTGGTCAGAAATCGCACGCTTGCAGAATTCTCTGAAGCACCTACGAGAGACACAAGACCTGTTGAAGTCTGCTCTTGGAGAATCAGGAGAACCGGATGAAGAACTTCAGAAGGCCTTGGAGGAAAACGAGACTGTCATGTGCGTAGCAGCTATATTTCTCCCTTGGACGAAATCATTAATTTCGACTTAAAAAGCGGCTCACAGGAGGAGCGGATAAGCATACTCAAGCTGGCGCTCAGTCAGAAGGGGGTCTCCACCAGCGATTCTCACTATGATTCACAACCATCACCACCTGTGAATCCTCGCTTCACAGCTGTGGTTAACGCGCCCACGCCCCAGCTGTCTGAACGTGGAGACAACGACGAAGGAGTGTATCTCTAATTCCCGGAACTGGTGGAACACTCGGAGAGGCATCATCGGTTCTGGATGAGGCAAAGACCGTATAGAAAGCAAACAGCCGTTCTCTAAGTTCAGAGTTTCTTTTGTAAGTTGTACACGGCTCTTGCTTAACAAACTGCATTGTGGAGGGTTGATGCCGGAGTTGCTCAGTCCATGTGTGTTTCATTTTTGTTATCCGACTGCATATAGGTTCTGACCAGCAATTTACTAAACAATCTCCCAGCGGACGACAGGGGGAAGTTCGACCCACCTCGGTCCTGGCCAGCAATTGTTGCCACAGACGCTTCGCTCGTCCCCATCTTGCTTGAGTGACTTTCTCCCGATTTCAACAAAACTTAATGTCAAATTACAGTCAGTATGATAAGTGTGGGTGGTGAATACATGTTGTAAAAACACGAACGATGACACAATGATCTATGGACAGGTTGACAGGACAAAGTTTTTCAAAATGCCTTGAAAATCTCCGACCAGACTTCCCGCAGTTCTTGAAGAGTGGTCACATCAACAACATTATTGTCCGACGCGTCTGGCTCCCGCTCGTCGTCTATCTGCTTGATCCTCCCTCCTTCCATTGCCTCCAGACCCTTTTCGCAGAAGTGAACGCAATGTCCCCATCCAACCGAGCATGCGGCATCAACATTCTTTCGATTGTCATCCACGAAGTAGCATTTCGAAGGGTCCGTGACGCCAGCCTGTTTCATAGCCTGAAAAATACATGAGAATACTACCTGAAACTGTCCAGATCCGATGCACCATTTCATAAAATACAGGCTCAGGTTTGCAAGAAAAATCCTTGACGAGGTAATCGCAGTACACGAGGCCATCAACGAGATCGTCCAGCTTCAAGATGCGAAGGACTCGTTCGGCGTGCTAAAAAGGCGTACTAAGTCGTGGCAGGGGTGCGAAGACGCGTCCAACGCACCGTGCGATATGCATTCGTCAGGGCCCAAACACGCGCCTTTGTCCTGTCTATGTCTTCGAAGAGTTGGCGGAGGCTTGGGTCATAAGATATCATGTCCTCTAAGGGGAGAGAGCCATCGCATTTGCGATCAAAATCTAGAGGATCTAAGCCCACATTCCAGCTAGCGAATTGTGAGAATAAGTCGAAGTACACTACCGACGTCATGATGACGGGTCAAACCACGCAAAGCAAGCCCGTACTGCGTGTAGTACTTCAGATGCAACTCGGATGCTTCTTGCGGATCGAGGCCAAGGCTCAAGAAGTAGGCTGCAAGTAAAATCGTGAGACCATCAGGAGACTGATAACTCAATGCCAACCTTGGATCCGTGTCCCCATCGCATGAGAAATATTGGAACTCGCCGAATACAAGGTGTTGTCGATGTCGAACCAGACAATAAGGCGGTCATCTGGGGGAGGTTAGTGAGGATACGCTTGACTAATGCCGAGGACCGCGCACCTGCTTTGGAGGGTTCACCCATGGTGGTAGTGGTGTAAGTGGGTGCTGACTCCAACGGCCCGTGCTCCTCTTAATTAATCTAATCTTTAATCTTATCTTACTCCCAATGATTGGTCGGTAATTGCCGGAGGTACTGTGTAGTTCGTCAAGCCACAGAACAGTTCCTAATCGAGTTGGGCACAAGATTACAGGCATCGGCCTCGAAGACCTCAAGAACACAAGGTGCGTCCTCGTCGCCCGTCCAGTGCCTCCCGTTGTTGATCCCGTTAAAGACATGGCCAGAAGCAAAGAACTCGTCCCTGGTATCGGACGCCTCTCCCGCTCCCAGGTCTTTGCCAAACGCGGCCTCTTCAAGGGCCCCAAAAAATCAGACAAGCCCGCCGTCGAACCCCCCGCCGAGTTTGTCGAGAAGACCATTGGTGGCGAGAAGAACGGTGACCACAAAAGCCCCTCGATTCTACCCCGCTGAGGATGTTCGCCAACCCAAGAAAAGCCGCAAGTCCCCTAAAGCACCTTCCCTGCGCTCCTCCATTACCCCCGGTACCGTTGTTATTCTACTGGCCGGACGCTACCGAGGGAAGCGCGTTGTCTTCCTGAAGCAACTCGCCAGTGGATTGTTGCTCGTTACCGGCCCTTACAAGGTCAACGGTGTGCCTCTGCGTCGAGTCAACCAGGCCTACGTTATTGCGACATCCACTAAGGTCGACATCTCGGGCGTCAAGGTATGATCGTAAAGCGCCATGGTAGTCAATGAAGGTCGTGTTTCTAACATAGTATTCCTAGGTTGACGACAAGTTCGATGATGCCTACTTTTCCAAGCCATCGACGAAGACAGCCTCCTCAGCAGAGGAGGAATTCTTCGAGGAGGGCAAGCCCAAGGCGAAGGAACCTTTCCCCGAGTCGAAAGCCGCCGACCAGAAGGCCGTCGACTCCGCCATCCTTGCCGCCGTCAAGGGCACAGAATCTCTCTCCAAGTATCTCAAGGCTAGCTGGGGGCTGTCGAAGGGTCAATTCCCTCATCAGTTGGTGTTCTAAGTCTTGTGGGCTTGGTGACGGAGTAGTAGGGAGACATCGTCGGGCTGTTTAGGACGTATGCTATGCTATGCGCTGTTTATGAGAAAACATTTTTCTTCTCCAATCAACACGAACTGCATGTGCCCAGCATTCGATATGAGAGTCTACGTAAAAACTGCGTTTGACCTGCGTAGAACATTCATTTTAAGTCTGGACGGTTGATTTTGGATGTACTCGCCAAGAGAATTAGCGGAACAGATGGTTTCGGCTCATTATAAGTCGGGCATGTTGGCTCTTCACAGAACACGTCTCCGGCCGCTCGCGCTGGGGCCTCTCCGACCTCCGCATTCATCGCCACGCCCTGCTAGTCGCAGATTCTTCTTTCAGAGTGTCTCCGATGGCTTCCTTGACTTGGCTCTAGCACTTCCCCTACCACCTTCATTTCCACCGTACGCGACCACTATCATCTTGGTTACTGTAGTTTCTAGAGTCGCTCTCCTACCCATTTCAATATGGGTGAGCTCTTTGTGCTTTTCAGCATCCTTTCAAGATTCAAACTGTAACTCTCACCCTAGGGCAAAGAGCGAACACGGCGGGCGGAAGAAATCGTCATGCCTGAAGTCGAGAAACTCAAACCATTCGTCTCAAAGCGCGTCCTCGAAGAGATGAAGGCAAGGGGGATGCGAGGAGACAAGAAGACTCTCCAGGAATATCACTCGAAAAAGTGTATCGAGCTGGTATGCATACCTGCCTTTCATATGAAGTTGGCCATTCACTCACCCAGTCCAGCTAACAGCCAAACGGAAGGAGCTCTTCAAGGAACACAAATGCAGCCCCCTGCCCTCTATCATCGTCCCTCCGTTATCCCAACTTCCTGTCTTCATCGGCTTCACGATCATGCTGAGCCGACTTTCGTTGGACCCTACGCCCTTCGACTCCGAAAGCTTCCTGACTTTGACAAGTCTCGCCCACCCGGATCCGACGATGACAATGCCAGTAGTACTTGGCCTCCTTACCATGGCAAACGTGGAATCTGGGAATTGGGTTATGAATGCCGCGGAGAAGGAGCAGCTGCGGGCAGCTGAGGAGAGGGAGGCCAAACGCGTCGCAGAAGGCGGGAAACCGCGCATTCATCCCGGAAAAGTGATCAAGTCAGTCCTACGGGGCTTGTCCGTATTCCGAATTATTATTGCTGCTATGACCCCAGGAGTGAGTGTTCGCCCTTGTTATTACTTCATTCACCTGCTAACCCAGTCCAACAGAGTGTAACGCTCTATTGGGTAACGTCTGCAACCTTTGGTGTATTCCAGACGTGGGCCATGGAGTGGAATGATGCACGACGAAGACGAAGATTGCTTGCGGCGCGAACGACAGGCAAGCCTCAACCTAATACGTCAAGCAGGCCAAAAAGACCTTCGCCCCGATAGCCGATAGATGTGAGTGTTTAGTGACTCCTGCAAACGGTATGAAGATAAAAGTGGTTTTGAGGGACCCCTATTTATTCCTTCGGGAATGGTGGACGTCCAATGAATCTTCCTTGATCTAATCTGACCGTCATAAGACCCATTCGTTGTGCCCATTGCTGACAACTCTTTTTTTCAGCTCCTCGTCGTAGACCGCTTGTCCACGCTCAAATTTATAATAATGCTATTGGTTTAACGGCTATAACTACGACATAAAATTAAAGATTTAAAACCATAGATCATGACATGGAGTGACTGATGAGGATACAAATGCATTGGCTTGATATACAAGAAGTGGTAAAGTCCGCTAGAAACTCATCCAAGACCGCCCCAAGGTCCACGAATGCGGCGTGCAAGTTGAATATCGCGTGTCATGAGTGTCACTCGCTTCGCATGAATCGCGCACAGGTTCCTAGAACGAGATGAATTCAAGACAGAAGAAAATCAACGACTACGAGAACTCACGCGTCTTCGAATAGGTGAACCAGATATGCCTCCGTCGCTTCCTGCAGGGCAAGAAGAGCTGAACTTTGCCAGCGAAGGTCAACACCGAGATTAGCATTCGTGTCCGTTGTCATCTCTTGGGTGATTTCGCGAACCTTCAACAGAGTTATCTCTCTGACCGAGGAAAGGAGAAGATGGACGCACTATACGTGAGAATGGGAGCTTTTGCAGCAGAAGGTCTGTGCTTTTCTGATACTTGCGTATCTCACGCAATGCCTTTGTACCTGGTCGGAAACGCCTCTTCTTCCTCTCTCCATCTACACGAGCAGCGATTAGGTGTGACCTCTGGCGACATCGGACGAAAGGTGCGGACCTGTGGATGGCCTGCCAGCGCTAGCGCGCGCCGGAGGGGGAGCACGTCCACCTGTACTCTTCCTGGCTGTGGCTGCCTTCTTCTTTTTGGCCACCGGTGTTGGCGGGTCTGAGTCGGTGGCAGGCGCCTTCCGCTTGCCCGAGGTAGAGGCTTTCTGCGCCGTCTGAGCCATCCAAGCAGCCTGGGCTCGGGGGGCGTGCTTGCGTTGGAACTATTTGGCCCTGGATAGAGCAGAGAAAGAGGGACGAGGGGGACAATGAAGGCAACGGCGGAGTGCCCTCAGCGCGAGACTTCAACTTTGTGTGTCCAAATAAGGCTACAAAAGAGATCGTGATCGCGATGCACATGTGGCCGAGCGGAGATAAATCCGGTGACTGCCTCGACTCTTCAACTAGATAGACGCGCATCTTGGGAGCGCGTTTACTCTTCATCGATAACGACCACCTAGCTCAGAAACCCCCAGGATGCCCGCTGCCGATGTCCCCGTCGTCACTGGCTACTACCGCTACACTGACATCTGGTTTGAATGGTATGTCAGGCCAGTTTAGCACTCCAGTGAATTCACATTTTGCTGAGTTGCCCTCCAGGAGCAAAGTACTTCCAGACGAAGACGGACAGGTTTTGAAAGCCATTCTAGGTGCCAAATTAACTTGCACCTCTTCCGCGTCGATCTGACTCCACTCTCGTAGCGCATGACTGCATCGTCGATCATGAGCACCCTCTTCACATCGAAGGCGTCAAGGGAGTACAGTTGTACATGGGTATGTAGCTCGCCCTTGTCTACGATTTCGTGACTGAACTAGAAGACAGGCACTTTCGAGACTGGAGAGGCCCGTCTTCTCTTTTCCTCCAAGCAGGCCGACTACATTCGCTACTGGCTCCACGCGATGCAGTTGACAAAGGAAATGATCCCTCTCCCGTACTCAGACTGCCTGTTGACGGAGGCAAATCTACGCACGGTCTCTCCTGTCGTGTATGAAAATGGAAGCGCGTTGCATGATGCACTGAAGGTACGCGGACTTGGAACACAAAGAAATACCTCTTACGAACAACGTGGTCACTTCTTAGCTCATAGAAAAGAACAACCGAAGGTTGAAGGGCTCCAATCCACGTCTTACCCATCGACGCAACTTATTCGAACGCGTGCGCGCATTTTGGGCACAGAAGAAGGGTGTCTGGTGTGCCGTCGATTTCGAATCTTGGGAGCGCGACCATACCGTTCTCACAGAATTTGGATGGAGCCTCACATATTGGAAAGACGGCTTCGAGGCCCAGGAAGACGGCCACCTTATAGTTGAAGAGGCCAAGAAGTACATCAATGGGGCTTACGTGAAAGACCATCGCTATGTGAGGATGTACTCTTTCCCATCATTCAAATCATTGATTAGACCACAACAGAGATACGATTTTGGCGACAGCGAGTGCGTCAAAAAGTCAGTCTTCAAAGAGCGAATCCACCAGCTTTTTGCCCGTCTATCGGAACACGGTAACATCTTCCTGGTGCTCCACGACAACAGCCAAGATATCAAGTAAGCGCCATCGTTCTCGATACCAACAGGGATCTCATCTTTGACGCACAGGGATCTCCAAAAGTTAGAAGTGAACCTCGACGGACTGACATACCTGCCGCCTGATTCGATCCCGGAGAAGGGAATTTTTGTCGTCGATACGGCTGACCTCACCGGCGCCCTGCTGGGCGAAGGCGGTGACAAGCGATCTCTCGAAAAAACTTGCCACCTCCTCCAGATAGCCACACGATACCTCCACAATGCAGGCAACGACGCTCATGTAAGTTGCATCAGGTATGATCCGGAACACAAACCTGAGTTCGTCTTCCCAGTATACCTTGCAAGCAATGCAAGCAATGGCAGGCGGCGATCCCGTCGATATCCAACGAGAGAAAAGATGGCCAAACCAGACTTCAAAAGGTCTCGGGGTCGATCTCAAACCGTGGCAAGAGGACAGCGACTACTCTGACGAGGAAGGCGTCTTGCCGCCGATGGCGGGCTTCGCTGCGTATGAACACGAGCTACTGAAAGAGGGGGCCAGTGCACCTAAAGGCGGAATAAACTGAAGGGGTCAATATTCTTGGTCGGTATCATCATGAAACTGTATATCTCTGTAAAGTATTTGTGGATCTTGTAAGCTTCGTCACACCATTGTAACATGTTATCCGTTGTGCCGGTACGACATCAGCATCTGCTACGGGGGTATAGGCCCGGGAAGGTGGTATATAGAGTAGATCGAGCCCATGCATAATCACCACAAGGAGGCTAAGCCTTCTTCTCTGAGGGTTCGTCGCCACCTTCGTCCTCGTCGTCCGATCTGTCGTCATCTGCCTCCGCGGTCGTGAGGGCTCTGCACCAACTCGTCAGTCAATATATAGAGGTTGCGCATTTAAAGTGACTAACCTCAGGAGGATTTTGACCATGAACGAGTACCAGAAGAAGTTCAGTAGGAGGAGGAGGAACAACGGAAGGAAGATCTGGAACCGCATCCACCCAGGCATGTATGTGCCTGCTGCCCAGTTCCATTGCTTAGTCCACTCCCTGAGGAAGAGAAAAATGATCAGGCGCTATTGAAAGCTGAGTGATGATGGCGTACGGAATGTTGGGCTGCTCGAACCAGACCGACCACAAAATTTTGATGTTCAAATAGTGGCGGAAGTATCTGTGTCAACCATTAATCCGCAGTGTCAATTTCGAAGGGCATGACACTCACGACCAAATCACGAAGAACACGATAAATGCATACACCTTCGCGGTGTTCCATTGGATGTAGTTAAGGAGTTTGGAGAACTGCGGCAGTTGTGAGATCACGGCATTATGATGGGCACAAAGACCTTACAGCCAAGAAACTATCAGGAATATCCATGCTCATGTAGACTGCATTTCCAATGTAGGTCAGATTAACGAGGTAACTCCAACTGCGGGCTGCGTGTTAGCGTGCGGCGAGTAATAGGGACCTGAACATACCCGACAAGCCAGAGGGTGACGAAATGATGGCCGACCAGCTCTCTGTAGTCCTTCCGGGGCTTCTCCAACCCCAAGACGAGGACGAGGAGTTGTTGCCACCAATATGCAAACTGCATTAGGTAGTAGCGCTTGAGTTCAGGTTTCATGTCCCAGTGAGGGTAGCCTGGGGTTGTAGGGGAGGTTGAGAACATCGTAGGAAGAATGTGACACTACGGTACTAACCAACCCAGAACTCGTTCGTGTTGTACCAATACGTGGGCAATGAAGACATTACGCGCTGCACGAGATTGTCAGAAAGAGAGCGACGATAGGCGGCCTGGCACGAACGTAGCCCCATGCACCCATAAACATAAAGTAGAGGAAGGCGTAAGCTTGTTCTCCGAAGCGTTCAATCTTGGCTTCGCGTTTGAGGCCAAAGTATCGTGCAGTAGGTTGTGAGATATTGACGAGGAGAGCTTCACGGACGAAAGAGAAGAAGACGACGTAGTATCCGAGGAAGGCGAAGTCCCACCATGATTTCTGGTAGCGAGGGTCGTCAGGCTTCGAGTCTGGGACGAGCCCAGAAAGCAGGAAGAGAGGCGCGAAGGGGTTCGCTATCCCGGGTTTAGCATATGGCGCGATGAGTTCCCAGTTTGCGTAGAGCACCAGGGGGAGAAGGAGGAGCTTAAACGAAATCTCTGCCAAAGGTGTTTAGCAGGTCGCATGACATGACATGACATGAGAGAAGGTTACCCACTGGGGTCAATAACCCAACGAACGAAGATAGACCTATTTGCTTGCTGGGCGGCGAAGTTGGCGGGAGACGCGCTGCGCTCTGGGGTCACTGACTCTAGGGGACTGAGAGAAGGTAAGAATACAAACTGCTGCGAAGGTAGGGAGGCATACGTCTGTGGAAGGATGGCGCTGGCGAGGATATGGTTGTGCCCGTCGCTGTAGGAACATCCTGCTCCGTCAGTACAGAACTAGAAGGAGACAAGAATACCAACTCTTCATGCTTTGTCTGGACACGAAACGAGCCCGCGCGTTTCCTTGCTTTCTGGGACATGGTGGGTGAGACTCGCAGACAAGGTTCGCGTCAGGGCGAAATTTGTGGGAGTTAGCGCTGACATGTGATGTTGTGCTAAATTAAGCGTGACTGCACCCTCTCTCATGTTCTCGACGCTCGGCCTCTTCAGCAGCGTCGCCTGTCCAGAGCGCGCCTCATGCACTCGTCCAAACTGTCTCTTCTCCCATTCCCAAAATCTTCCTCTCCCGAGACCTCTCGGTCTTCCCCAAGTCCGACCCAGCCAGCCAGTCGCCTCATCCTCATCCGCCTCACCTCCTGCACGCGCTGCTGCCAATAAACCTAAAGACTCGCTCATACCCACGAAACGCCCTGCCGTATCGCCAGTCACAGGAGCATTCACCTCCCCCGAACCCCCTCGCAAGTTTCAGAAAGTCGGTTCAGCGCAACGGCCATCAGCTCTCCCTACCGCATCTTACACCGAAGTGAGAATATGTGTTCTTGGTCGTTAACAGATGGACAACTCTTTCTCAGTCAGGTGCACCTATTCTACGAGTAAACGCAGCCCAGTCTCTCGTTGCTGTACCTGTTAGACAGGTATGTGTTCATTCACATCGTTGGGCTCATGCTGACGTTTTCTTCCAGACCATGTTGAAGACCCTTTATGACCATTTCATTGTATTGTACCACAAGATTATACCCGCGAATCCCTCTATCGCTGCAGATCACGCCCTCAAACAAGAGGAGGAGATGTACAAAAAATCAACCAAGTTAACGTATCGTAATGTACGCCTCGATCAACCCTCCATAGGCGCCCCTGCTCATCCTATCCCCTAGGCCGTAATACAATGTGTAGCAGCCTTGAAACGACGCGCAGTCCCTACCTCTGTCAATGACCCCACCGTCGGCACCGAAGATGAAATAATTGCTAAAGCAGAGGCACAGAAGAAGCTTGCATCCCTTCATTTGTCTCGCGAAAGCCTAGAACACCTTGTTCACTCCGTGGAGGATCTGCAGAAATGGGGATATTTTGTCGAGATACCCGAGACTCCAGGTGGACATATGCCGTCCATGGAGGGTAAGATTGTGAAGTGCGATCGATGTGTGCAATATTACGTCGTGAAGCCTGTGGACAATCCAAAGGAATGCGTTCACCACTGGGGGAAACCATACACGACGCGTGCTGGAGGTGAGTATATATGCTCAAGGCTTACTGTTACACCACTTCAACAAAGTTTCAAGGGGAGAAGGTTCGCACCTATACATGCTGCTTGAGACCAGTCGCCGATGGCGGAGGGTGCTCACACGGGCCTCACGTTTTCTACGAGTCAAAAGTAGAAGACCTCCACGCACGTCATCCCTTTTCTTCCTTACAACCAACGGAGCCCAACAACACCTGCCTAGATGTTGCAGCTGTGGATTGCGAGATGATCTACACTACCGGCGGGATGAGAGTAGCTCGTGTTTCTGTCGTCGATGGCTCGGGCAAGGAAGTCCTCGATGAAATCATTCGTATGGACGAGGGCGTTCTCGTGGTGTAAGTACCATTCGTTCCGTATCTTAGTGCGAAATTAAATATCAGCAGAGACTACAACACACGTTTCTCAGGTATCACAGAAGAGAACCACGCGACTGCTACACTTGATCTCGCGGGCGTACGACAAGCCTTAAAGTCATTTGTCAATTCAGACACCATCCTCATCGGACATGCCCTAGACAACGATCTCAAAACACTCAGGATTATCCACCACCGATGTATCGACACAGCCCTTCTTTTTCCTCACAAAGCAGGTCCACCATACCGGAGAGCGCTGAGAGAGCTGTGAGTGATGCCCTGTTGTACTTCTATTCTGCTACGTTTGACATTCTGAGCTCTAGGGTACGCGAGAAGCTGAACAAGGTAATCCAGACTGGTGGAGCAACTCAAGGACATTCTTCGCTTGAGGACGCCAGCGCGACGCTCGATCTCGTGCGGTGGTTCATCATGAATAAGTCGAAGTCTGGGATACAGGTCGACTCTTGAACTTCTCACTTCACTACTTTCTAGATAATGGAGATGAGTATGCTATTATACAAAATGCTTTGCTCTCTGGAATACATGGCTTTCCTCAGTCATACGAGGTCTAGATGTCAAAACAATGTTACAGATACAACTTGTGATGAGTTAAAGACTTCCAGAATGATTCCATCGAAGCCGTGCACTAGGACCAGTTTCAGAACTGGAAGAAAACACTGTCGTAAATGAGCACTCACACTGTGTCTCGGAATTCGGTAGGTTCAGGTGCTCTTCCTCGTCCGTTCTGTCGAGCACCATGCGTCGTGGCGATGGTGGCGGTCGCGGGTTCAGGAAGTGGCTGATGGTTTCGAACTATAGAGAAAGGTCTCAGTATTGCTAACTCCAAGAGACGAGACATCACCCTACCCTGTCGAAAAATCGTTTCCGCGGTGGTGTATCTAGAAAATCAATATATCAGGAATCATAAAGACGGACGATACAATTCATACCATCTTCATCATCTTCGGGTCTACCCTCTATCTCCCAAGCACATCGTTTATACCGTTGGAATAGTGGGGATCCCGGCTTTGAAAACATTCCTTCAAGTCGTTGGCGGTTCGATGAGGGAAGGAGGCCTACCACATTGGTATGAAGGATGACCTTCCGCACCGTATGCGTCGATTCAGATATTAGGAAGTCGATCCCGTGCTGGAAGTAATTATAGAAATCTGGGGCGCGCTTGAGAGACAACGAGATTTTCCAAAAGTCAGGACTTACAGCCAGTTTCATCGTTCTTCTCCACAGCGGAATGAATCTTCATTCGTTCATCGTCTTTGTAGTGTACGCGCAGCGGAGGTCCAAGGTCAAGAGTTAGATCTTGCGCTGTAGTCTCTCCTAGTCGGATATGCAGTGGTGCCGTTGTCGCCAGAGGATGAAAGTGCAGCGTAACACCTTCATGGACCTGCAGGCTGAATTCAGCATGGCCCAGATATGCATTCGGCAGAGAGTTACTTTCACCACAGCTTTTGCGAGTTCTCCAGTCATGACAAGACATTCACTAACCTCCTCCAGAGCGTCACGCGCAGTAGAAGGTTCTGTATTCGATCCCTCCGGTCCAATCTGGAAGATAATGATCCTCTTCACCTCCTGCAACCGATCTCCAGCAGGGTGCGTCTCCAGTCCATCTTCGTCAAAGCTAAACCAAATCCCAGGGTAGCGCAGCTCGTCCGATCCGCGAATGGGGTACGTTGGCCCAAAGACCTTGCTCACTGTTACTCGGCGCAGGACCTCCGTCTGGGACGAGAGCACGGTGTCTTTGTACTGCACCGTCACCGACGGGTTCGGGTCGCGCAGCTTGCGGATACAGATCGTGGACAGGCGCTGGTGTCTCCCGGAGAAGAGCAGATCAAGGTGCGGTCGGATGTGGACGATGACGGGCGTTATTGAAGAGGCATCGGGGTCATACTTTATGTCGATCTGAGGGTATGCGTTGGGGTGCCGTCTGAGCGTGTCGAGGAGGGTCCAGAGGGAACTGCCTGCAGTGGTCGTGAGATTTGGTAGGTACAGGAGGTGAGACAAGGCAGGATTGCACCTATTTCAAAGATCCCAAAGCCGTGTCCTGGTCGCAGGTCGATGTCGAGTGCAGAATACATGGTGAGGAGCGGTGGTCATCCTGATTTGGACCGTAAGGAGGGTGCACCGGTCCGGTCATTGAATTGTGCCCACGATCGATTTCTGACCGCGACCACTGAATCCAGTCACCTTGCTTCCTCCAGCTCAGCTCACGCGTCGCCTGCATTCATTCTCATACCAAGCTACGATAAGCTCTCGTAAAGTACCATAACACGCTGAAAGACGCGCCACAATGGCCGACATTCGCCAACGAACCATTATTAAGGCGTGTCTCTTCGCCTGTAGGTGTCCACACTTTGACCAACGTCCAGGCTAGGTGTTCCGCAAATTCAGCAACTCCCTCGGACCCGAAACTATAACAATCATTGAGAAAATACTGGACGACAGCGAGATAGACGATGCAGATGTGGAATCTAGTATTGAGATGCTTGCGAAGGAGTACAACAAGCAGGATGGTCCGTCGAACCTGCTCGCCTTTCAGCGGACGTGTGTTGAGTTTCGATGCAGACGCGACGATGAAAGTGTCAAAAGAAGTACTGCAAAGGGTGTACGAATCATTGCAAGACCAAGGGGAGCGTACACAGGTTGAGAAAGAAATCATTGACCCAGAAAATCACCTGTTCATAATCGACGCGTTTGAAATGCCACGGTGGACTTGGTCACAGGAACGCGGGACTTTCGAAAAGTGCGTACTCGTCCATTTCCATGCCCGTGGTACTAAACTCGATCAGGAGCCCTGTACCTCTAACAACATCAGGTACACCAGAATCAAGGGTAACTTCTGTCCGCGACAGACTGAACATCATCAAACAATGCGTCCTGAGGAACGAACACTTCGCTCCGTCGACACTTCCTTCACGCGACCGTGAAAAGCTTGTGACAGTAAGCCTTGCCCTTGCATCGAGGATAGCCCCACTTCATTGACTAGTTGGCTAGCTAAAATCTACGAAGCAACTATTAGGCCGCTTTGGGGAACGGTTCCTTCTTTTAGGGATGTTGGCGTATAATAAGGAAGGAAAACTGTGTTTGGAAGATGCGGACGGATCCGTGGAATTGGATTTTATGACACTGGTATGTTCCTTTCTACCGGCAAGCTATGTGGAGGGTCTTACATTTTAACAGGATGAGCCAGGTGATGGCCTTTTCAGCGAGGGCTGCTTTGCTTTGGTGGAAGGAGAATACACAGAAGAAGCTACTTTGGAGATCATCGCCATTGGTCAACCTCCTTGTGAGACCAGGGCCACCGCCAGGTATATATTCTTCCTGCTTAGTGTGACAGGGAATCCTAACGAACTGGATCGAAGGTCGATATACGGGCACATCGATTTCCTCGGAGCCGGCGCGACATCATTATTAGAGGATGTAAGTGACACCCTCATCTAAGTATACCTTTCTCAAATACTGCTTTTCCTCGTAGAGCCAATTTGAAATTCAAATACAAGAAGAATTGCCCGAGCTGCACTTTTTCTTTCTGTCAGACGTTTGGCTAGACCATCCTCAGACGTTATCAGGCATTCAAAAGATGTTCGATAATTGTATAGAGAACGAATTCATACCCAAAGTCATCGTGATGTGTGGCAACTTCACAAGCAAGTCAATTGCTCACGGAAATGGGCGAGATGTTCAGAGGTACCAAGGTCGGTTCCTTGTTCTTCTTCCAAAAGATCTGCTAATTTGAAAATGGCAGACAATTTCGACTCCTTGGCCGACTTGATTGCTGCGTACCCTCTAATAACGAGATCGGCTCACTTCATCTTCGTTCCTGGGCCACTTGACATTACCGTCAATTCGACACTCCCTCGGAGATCACTGCTCTCCACTTTTACCGGCCGACTAAAAAGTAAAGTGCCTAAGGTCCATTTTGCAACGAATCCTTGTCGCATCAAATTTTTCAACCAAGAGATTGTCATTTTCCGCGAAGACCTGATGGCGCGGATGCTTCGCAACGTGGTGGGTGTCAAACCGGACGTCAAAAGCGAAGATTTGAAACGATTTGTGAGTTCATATGTTTTTCCTTCATGCGGAGTGCTTCTACAATAGCCGTAGCTTGTTCAATCAATTCTTGATCAAAGCCACCTGAGCCCTCTCACCAACAACATACAACCAGTGCTCTCTGATCATGACCACAGTCTTCGTCTCTACCCTCTGCCGACGGCGGTATGATCGTTTCTGCTTCGGGCACCTTTCGGCGGCTGAGTCTTTTGACAGCTTGTTCTGGCGGACAAATACGACAGCTACAAAGTGACATATACTGGTTGCCACGTTTTCAACCCGGGTAGATTCATCGGAAAGTCTCTCGTATTCTCGACGTATACGCCAGCGGAGGTGAACTCCGAGGAGTGGTAAGATTTGTCCTTTGCATTTGCTGATCTCTTTTTTTGATATATCTTGGCCGCAGTGTCTTGAGCTTTGATGAAGAAGAATGAGTTCAGAATCCAGATGACGGGGAATTCCAGCCATCCTTCAGTTTCTCATTAGTCGCATCCCACTTGCCCCTTCCTATATTTATGGACATTCCTCTGTACTGAATATGTAAATTATCTATGGGCAAGCTTCTCGGAAGCTTTTTTTTTTTGGCGAGATTGTCGGAGCAATCCAGGGCCATTTGATCCGTACGTTTCATTGGTTGATCAAAGCCGCTATCAATGGCAGTGGTGCCAAGACCACACAACTCCCTGCATGGAGGTTTCGGCATTGGCACGTTGGCACAGAGTGCGGCCCTTGTTTGACGCTCTCAACACTAATCCACCATCCGTTCGCCCGCCGACACACTAGGGCATACTTATTGTGTGGGTCCCTATGCTCTAGCTCTGCCCTTGACGCGTAACCAGTACACACCGACTTGACACCGACGGCATCTAACGTGGAGCAGGCTTGCTTGGCCCTTCCCTACATCGACCTAACAAACAGTGCGTACAACTCACAGACTCTGAGCGCTCGGGATTAATGTTGCGTTCAGTGTCTTCAATATTTTCTATAATCCACGAGCGATCGAGCAAACTACTGTCATACATCCACTTTCTTTGCCTCGGGTCACCCGATACCAGTCTCCCAGCTTCCATTCTACTCTGGCTCGTCCGAATCATCACCTTCTCCCTCCTTCTCCGCACCTACCTCGTTCCATGGTTCCTCGCGCTTATGTCGGATCGGATACGCGTCCGGAGCATCAGCTTTCGTTCGATTCGTGGCTTGTATTTCCGGAAAGGCGCCCATACGTGGAGAGTGGACCGTATCGGTTATGTCTGGTCTTCGGTGGAGGGATCTCGACGTTTTGCACTCAAGATAGATGGGCTAAGCCTCCATATCTCAAAACACGAAGAAAATACGGCTGCATCACTCCCGCACCGACACAATCGCAACCTTACGCTCGCAGACTTCCATCCCTCTCCTCTAGCAAGAAAGTTATGGCAGATCATTTCCGCTGTAACATCCTTTCTGGAGCCCTACTTCAGACCCGTCATTCGCTCATATGTCATCGCCTGTCTACGTGTCGGAATTCAGTGGCTACCGAGAATCGCCCAAGCCCTGTCATTCGACCTCTATACGATTACCTTGACGTTCGCGGATATTCCTGGAGCAAAGATCGACGTCGCCCACATTAGGCTACACACGGCACTGACGCTCACGCAACTGGAAGGAATCGTTGAGGATCTTGTGAATGAGCAGCTGCCAGCTCGTCCAGACCCTCGAGTTGGTCATGGTATGGGACTTTGGAAGAAGCGGCTGGCGGAAGGCTTTCAGCGTTCGTTGGATAAGGCCCTTGGCGAAACGCGTGGAACAGCTACCTTGTCTCTCAAGATATCCAATATAAAGGGTGTCATGCCTCGATCGTCGAAGCAAGGTGCGTTCTGCCGGTCAGGACTGTCAATTTCATCACCGACTTTCGCTTTAGATGCATTGAGTATTCCTTTCCTCCTTTCACCTGGAATCATTGATTTGGCCATTTCTGCCAAATTCAATCCCAAAGAGGGCGTCATCGAGACACACGGGCTCGAGGTATCCTTGAAGATCGGAGACTGCTCAGCCAAAGTCGATTTGCTCAATCAGCTGCTGGAGAAGGTGATGCCGAAGAAATCACCACCGCTACCGACAATAAACCGTTCTTTCCCCTCTCCCAATGCGTCTACAAATGGTGATACACCACTTCGCTCTGCGTTTAGTTTTGGGTCTCGTGCATCCATCGTCCTTCCTTCTCCAGTCCAATCTTTTGCGTCGTCCTTGTTCTCACCTTCATCTGTGTTCTCACCATCGGGAGCAAGCTCCGCAAAACCCTCGCTATTTTCTCCTAAATCCGGGCAGTTGTTGCCGCCGAGGTCACCTAAATCACCCTCGTCACCTTTCTTCCAGGCAATATCGGTGAGCATCCGTCGCTCTTTAGTGTTGAGGTCAAAATTGAGCACTTTGGATAGGCTTCCATGCGTCCACGTCGTCGCCAGCTTATACGGCCGAGTGTCAAGTTAAAGGACTTGAAGGATGAAGTATGTGGTTTCAACTCTCTTCCTTTGTCCCTTCATTCACATCCCGCGAATTTCAGTCCAAGTTGTCTATCTTGCATAGCGTCACTGTTTCTGTGGCCTCCGTTGGGCTCTCTGCTCTCTCTCATAAAGAAACCGGGCCCTACAAGGCGTTGATCAGCGACATATCCGTGGATTTCTCCCTCAGCGATCCCTCTCGCAACGATTTGCATAATGAGCATCTCGGCGCGCAAGCAGGAGTCGAGACCTGCTACTCAAATGCTTATGCCTTGAAACTCACATTGCGTCAGATCACTTTGGAACGAGATGCGCGACCGCATACCATGTGCCTTGCCAGAATAGCGCTTGTGGAATTGCAGACATTGGTTTTTCAGTGGCCAGCACCCTTCCTTTTTCCATCGCCATTCTTGCGTAATGATGCCAATGCGTCCTTTTTAGCCATACATCTCAAATTCACAAATATTCATCTCACAGATCGTCTACACGATTTGCAGCGAGTCCTCGACGTCTTAGAGAAAAGGGAGAAGAAGAACAAAGAACCCTCGGCCGCACCGATACCTTCTTCCATACCATTACCGCGGCTGGCCATATCCATCGAATGTGGGCCGATAGTTGCAAAAGCCATCTACGACTCGGATAAAGGCGAAAGACATCGTGCCATAGAACTCAGAAATAATGGATTCGCCGTCACTTTGAATTCTGAATACCGGCACCCCTCAGCCGCTATCAATCGCCTCTTCCCAGCAGCCAGTTCTGTCCAACCCCTTCAATGGCAGTGCAATCTCACTGTCAACTTGGAACCCCTACTCGTTAGGATACGCTCAAAGGACGGTCTCGTTGGCACTGGAGAGCCAGCTCTTCGCATTTCTGATCCAGGTTTTTTGGACGACCCTCCTGTGTTATCAATAGAAGGCGTTGAAGTGTCCGGCGTGGGGAAAGCCATTGGGCAACTCGATGGACTCACTACTTCAGCTGCTTTTATTGATCCAACGACATTGATATGTGACTTATCGGTTGCATTTGATACCGTTTGTCTGGAGCTTTGGCACTCTGTCTCCGTAGATGCAATGCTTCGTCTAGCATCGATGTTACCCCAAAAGAAAGCTTCGTCTCAGCCACCGCAACCAATGGCACCTCATTCTCGATTTTCCCGCTTACCCATAGGTTTATCCTTCAGGACAGCAATATCGCGACTGGTTGTTTTTATCACCGCACCAGATATCAGCCCAACTGACAACTTGGAGCTTTCTCGTGGGTTTGCACTTCGTACGTCTGCAGCCCTCGAGTATAGCTCTTTACACCACAACCACGTGCATTGGTTCGAAAGTCCTCAAAGAGTCCAGCAAAGGACCAAGTTGCAATTGCTCCCTGATACCCTCCCAGATGCACTCAGCGCAGCAAAGAGCTTTGGCGCCCGGGGCCAGAAGTCGGGCTTCCTCAAAATGAGACTTGGTGGCCTCGTCTTCAAGACTGCTGTAGCCACGCAGTTCGAGCCTGATGACCCTGCAATCGTGGGCCGGGAAGAGCCACCTAATAATCCTCAGGAAGTTTTCCGAATGCCCAGCCTGCGAATGGATATCTGCCTATCTTCGAAACCGTCCGACGACCTTCTGGGCCTCAGTGATGTCTGTGAAGTGACGGCGCACATCCCTTCCGTCCATATCAAGTTCCAATTGGCGCATGCGTACAGCATTCTCCTTGGACTCCAGACTATCCGCATTCTTAGCCTGCCTGGACCTCCGGACCTCCAGCCAGTGATAAAGGACAAACCAAATATTGTTTTGCGATTGCAAGCCAACATTACGACTATCCAGGCTTTGTTAACGTTGCCCTCGCAAAAACTCGTCGCTCGATTTGATGGATTGAGCGCACACATGAGGTCAGACGCTCCACCACGAGTCAAGTTAGCTAAAGCAGCTGTTTTCGTTGCTCTGCCTTCCAGGACCAATCCATGGGAAGAAAGTTCTCCCGGTCTGTGGGATGAATTCGTATCCCTGCAATCCTGGGAGATTACCTTCACCTCGCTTGCTGGATCCATGTGCATTTCCGTGGATGGAGACAGTGCACGTTTACGCATTCCCTACGGTTTCGTCCTGGCCGATCTGATCCAAGATGCCAGTGTCTCTGCCAAAGCTGTAAAACATATGGCGCATATGGCTGGTGCTGGATGTTACTCGGACATGCCGCCTCCTGAGCCAGAGGGCCCCAAGTCAGTGCCACACTTGACCGTTCGCTTTGGGTACCTCTGTGTGGAAGCACAAGATGATCCCTTTGAAAGCAAGCTGGCACTGATTTGGCAAGTTGGAGCAGAGGCAGTCAAGCAGCGTATTGATCGCGAAGAAGCTTTCGCGGCCAAAGTAGCGGCAATCTTGTCAGCAGAGCCCGAGCTTCAAACTGAGACGGAGGTCTCCAAGGATCAAGTTGCTGAACAGGAATACCAATTCAGTGCTAAGCATACGATACCGATACAAGAGGCAAGGCAGAGGCTGGATGATGTTCACGTTTTGGATTGGACTATGCGGTTGCAACGAGCTAGAGAGCAACGTTTGAGGAACCACAATTTCATTCTCCACAAGTTGTACGGAGGTTCAGTGCCCATTGCATCAGGCACGTTTCCCGACTTCGTCAAGCTACCGCCACCGTCGTTTCACCCACCCCTACTCCGTGCTATGCTGAAGAACCTTTGTCTCACCATTTCACCTCCATCTTTTACCCTTGACCGCCTGCCTGATGTCATGCATGAATTTGGTAGTGGCCTGCCGCGCGAGACGGCGTTTTCACTCCTGGTCCCATTACACGTCCATTTCACCCTGTCATCGTTGCGTGTGACTTTGAGAGACTATCCAATCCCTTTAGCTAGCATCCCTCCTCGAAAGGACTCCAAAGCAGTTGCTTGGACCTTTGAAACCGACCTCATCATCGGCGAAGAAATGGGCACGGATTTGTCCGTCGATTGGGTCCGGTGCACAGTCATAGAGCCGCATCAAACTCTTCATGGTGAAGCACCCTTCGCAATCATGGTCCCCAAGACGATTATGCCCGTCAAGACGTATGCTGCACCAATCATCAAGATTGCGGCGTCTGATCCCACGACAGTGTCGTGGGGTGTAAGCTATGGCCCTGCTATTCAAGACCTGATGAGAATTCTGGATACACTCTCGAGTGCGCCTCGAGATGGTTCGCCAGCTGTAGGATTCTGGGACAAGGTAGCGAAGACCCCACTATCTCACATCGCCACCTTTCTAATACATGCCTCAGATGCGACTCGTTTTCCACTGGACAGTCAAGGTGACTTTTGCGAGTGATGTAAGGCTTTTCATGAAAGGTAATTGCTCATAGGACTGGTGTCATTGTTTCTTTACTCAATTTTTGTCAGGAACTCGGGACCCGTATAACACTATTGACGCCGGAACCGGTTTCGTTCTGGCCTGGCAAGGAAATCCAGAAATACGCGTGGGATACGAAAACTACCAGAAAGAATTGATCCAAGTCATGAGTGATGGTATGGTCATTGGGATTCCTGAGTAAGCTCTTCGTCGTGGTCAATGCGTGCGCCCACTAACGACGCGTAGCCTCGAGCCCTTCAACGCGAAAGTGCGCTCACCCGCTGGCCCAAGGCCTTCTCAATTCCCAAAACCCTTCTTGAAAGTTGCCGCGCGTTTGAGCTCAGGAGTGCGGTTTGGACTTGGTTTTGTCCTCGAGAGATCTTGTGGTTCAGAGTGCTTGCATTGCACGGGCACCGCCTTCCACCGTCAATGTAGATACTTTTCTTTCCGACCACACTATGATGTCAAGCTCGAGAGGAAATCAACACGGCCAGAGTACAAAGTGGGTAAAAATTTGCACTCGGAATATGGTTTCTAATTTGGTTGACCTCAGAGTACCGATGATTCTTTCAATGGGTTCCGATCCGACTTTATCCATCTATCTGTATCTTTAGCGTCGTCCACCAAGAGCAAAGATTTGAAGGGCGACCCGAAATCTAGCAATCTCTATCTGACCCCAAAGCTCTTCGCTCATTTTTGGTCATGGTGCTCCTTGTTCGATGGTGCCCTCACTCTTCCAATCCGTCAAGGCAGCTATCATCCTGCGCGTCCCATATCTCCAAAACTTGGCCGTCACCTCTCAACGCTAAAGTATAGAATATCTATTCTTCATCTATATTTTGTGCACGGATATATCGATGACTCGAGAGAAAGTAAGAGGAACCCTTTCCAGTCATAGCATATCACTGATGTAAACGGCCGTAGCTTGGGTTGACGGCGTCACTCCATGGGTTGGAGTAAAAGGAAAGGTCGACGAATTGCAAGCCGACATGCATCAGCGGGAGGAGGAGTCAACTGTTCCAGGTCCTATTCCCGACACAACCAGAACAATACGACGGAAACCATTCTACGCTGCGGAGCTTATCCTGAAAGGACTAGAACTGCGGACAATGCTCGCAACTTTCTCAGAACCTTTGAAGCGGAATGTTCAAATAACGAGCTCTCCGCAAAGGAGCAATTATAGGAAACACACGAATCTACCTACAATTCCGCCGACGTCTATTTGGCACGACCTTGATGACTTTGTGGAGCTCGACTGGACTTCGGAAGACCTCCCTACTTTGCACTTGCTTCCCGTGGTGGCATGCCCCCACTTCACCTATTTCAAGCGTAACTCGGATCTTTCCAAGTCTGATACACACTCAAGCAAGTTTGGCTCTGAACACTCACACATTTGTTTGCTCGGAAAGGAACCCTGTAAGTCAGCGTCTTCTCCTGGTTTTATTTGCTCTCATGAAATGCCGTGCAGCTGTTCCACGAACACAAATTTCTCTCGCAGCAACGAGGGTCGCCGAGTTGAAAGGCCTCATTGACCAAGAAACTGCCTCCAAGGCTGGAAAAGAACCAACTGTGAGTGTTTTTCAACGAAGGCTTTCGATTCACTTATTCAGAGGTTGGGAATCAGAGATTGATGAACAAGATGGTGTCTTTGCTCGAAGACTACATCGCCGTTCTGCAAGAAGTCGAGATAAAACCGGACTCATCGCAAAACTACCATATGCCTGCTGATATCGTGTCACCCGACGAATGGGCTGAATTCGACAACGTATACCAGATCCATTGCCCCAGTATCTTCATGGATGCCGCAGTCCGGGATGTAAGTGAGCTTAATTCCCTATGACATTGTCACTCATCGGCCGTAGATTGTATTGCAATACTATTACTGTTCACGCGATCGGCGAGGGTTCGAATACCATATGGCAACGCGGTATGTTTTCTCCCTTCCCGTCCTATCCAACCTGCTGAAAAGGTATCTAGTGCCGTCAAGTTTATCCGCGACCAAGCAAACGCGGCTATGATATTAAATGGCAATGATGAAGACAAGGATCGCGTGGGAACTGCCCAGATTGCCGCCTCTGCCCTTCGAAAGATATTGAAAGGCGACAATAATACGAAGACCTCCGTCGACGTGATTCGCGAAAAACAGCCTGATATCTCGGAAAAGATTGACCCTCTGGATGGATGGGCTGAAGGTGTTTCTTTGCTGAAGAGCCACTGCTTCCTTCTCTTGAAGCCACAAATTGTCCTGCGTGGCGATACTCCGACAGATGCCCTCATCGTGGCAGCAGCTCAGTCCAAGCTCCAATCCTTCTCAATTATGGATCTAGCAAACCTTGAAGATCCTGTCAGTGGAAAAGTTATGTCAAGGTTCGTCAATTAAAATTTATCTGGTGTGATACTCGAATTTATCTACTGCCGAAGGAATTACACCTCTCTTAACGGTTTGCAGTGCTTTGCTCCTACTGGCCAGGGGACTGCTGGAGATGGTTCCGTTCCTCTGGAGGTTTTAATTGATCTTCGATGCGAGAGTAATGCGTTCGAACGCCTTGTCCCTCAAACCGATGCCACCTTCCACTACGACAAATTCAATCGGCTTCGATTGCGAAACAACGTGACGTCGATTGTAAGCAAGACAAGCACTCATTCACAGCATAATCACCTCCAAGATCAGACGGTCAGTACTTGCCTTAGGCCTACACACCCTCCCAACTAACGTTCCTTTCAGGATCTCGTTCGAGTTCATATTCCCCGCTTCACGGTCGCCGCCAATTCAGAGCATTTCCAGGCCATATCAAACATTGTCACGAAGCTCGTCCTTTTCTCCGATCCCGCACATAAGACGAGACTAGACAAGCTCGAAACTCTCGTTTTCGCCTACGACTTCACCGATCTGGCCTCGGCGGCTCCGGTTGTTTCTAGCCTCCAATCCCGTCTCAGAGACGCGTTGGAGACGGAGAAGCTCACATTACGCAACCCACGCCGGCTGGAGGACGAGGAAAAGCGGATCGCGCTGCTCCAATTAAAGGCGCACATCTTCCTGCTGTCGGAAGAGCTGAACCTTCTGTTCGACGCTATCAAGATGGCTCAAGACCGGTTTGATGATCAAGCGGACCAGAAGTCGGCTTTGCTCTTGCATGCTTCATCCTCAGAAATATCCTGGAGGATGCTGGACTCTCGAAAGAACCTCCTTTCCAAGCTCGTAGTTTCCAAGATCAACTTCCATTGGCTGAGTCGGCAGGACAGTTCAACGGTCAATCATTTGACGATCGGCAACCTTACTGCGTTCGATGGATCTCGATATGCAATTTGGTCTGAAATTTTGTCGAAACACGACGAGCCGTCTAATCATTCCCTCTTAAAGGTGTGTCGTATCCCCTTCTTGCTCCAAGAAATCTTTCTCACATTGAAGAACAGCGCGGCCTCTTCCTCTTGGCGAACTGGACCATTCTCGCTCCTGTTGGTGGTATCACGATCTACGAATCCTTCGAACTTACCCTGCATCCTCTGCGCCTACAAGTCGATGCCAAAGTCGGGCGGCGCATTATGGAGTATTTCTGGCCAGACCGAAAGGCCCATCGTGTCGAGGACACGCCCGACACAGAGGCTATGCCGAAGACCCCGCTCGAAATACAGATCAAGAGCCCGACATCTCCTCATGGGCGGTCGTCTATCGACTCTCCGCGAGCTCTGTACAGCCCTAAACGTGCGGATTCCACCGGGAAAAATCTTGCCCCCCCACCACTGCGGAAGCTTGGGACTTCGAGGTCATTCACGGATCTTCGAGCTGCCAAGGAAGGCCAGATTGGAGGATCAATCGGATTCTTGAGCCCTCCTGCGTTTTTGAAGAGAACGCAGTCAACTGATTCGGTTAACTTCGCGAGTCTTCTGGATGTTCCGCTCACTCCAGGACCAAGTAGTGCTTTCGAGACTGAACCACTTGATCCTCAGGATCATAGTAAAGACTCTGGCGATGCGCAAGTCATGAAGAGCCGATCGTCACAGAAGAGTTTCGTTCTCGTACGCATTTCGAGGTCAGTACACAACGCTCGAATTTTATGGCTGCTGGCTGATTTGATTGTTTTCCTAGCCTCCATCTACTGTTGAGTGTGGTCAAAGAAGGGTCGTTTGAATGTCACGATGCCAAAATCAAGACAAGAGAACTTGAATACCGCAACCAGACGTGGAGTGTATGTTGCATCCACTTCGTTTCGGGAAATCTCTACTAACACCATGGATTCCAGTTCGAGGAGCTGGTCAATCAATTCATTCCTTCAAACATGAATTGGCGAGGTTGGGTCAAGATGGCGTTCCACCAACCCTTGATTCCTGTTCTACCTGTTGCCCGTGAATTGCTGGCGAAGACGAAGTGGACAGCATCGAAAGGCACACAGCCGCATGATAGCCCGCTGAAACTGCTCCATCCGAGCATGTTTGTCGCGGATGATGAGCATCGGTTGGCGTTGATTGAGAAGAGTGAAGGCTTCAGAAAGCGAAGCCAAGACGGACCATCGAGGAGCCTTTGGAAGAACCCGAGGCGCAGCAAGGATGCTCAAGACCAGCCTCCTCTGCTGACATCGCTTCCTCTGACGGCTGAACCTGAATCGATGGACTCTTTGGACCGTCCTGTCAGTCCCCATGATCGGCCAACCGGACGTAAGAGAGTCAAGAGCCTGTTTAGCAAGTCACCGAGGAATCGTTCGAAGAGCAAGGGCCCGCCCCCTCCTAAAGTGAGTCTCACTCCCATGCGTCGAACATGCAGCACCTATTTACGCTAACAATTTAGCGCCAGTCCGAGGAACTACTGAAGTAAGGAAGCGGGTTTCTGATGTGCACAAGATACATGATCTAGTTGTGGAACTACCTGCATGATTCTCCCTGTATTTTTAACGGAACACAATTTTTTCCCGTGTATCTGGGACTCATCTTATTATCCTTAATTCATATCTAATAGATAATGACATATACTACTTTCTTCGAAGTACTTTAGACGCCGATTAGGAGCTCAAAACCATTCTCTGCAAAAGGCTGTCCGAGGAGATGCTATGCTATTTCTGTTTTGTTGCAAGGTATGACATCATGGCACACCTCTACAAATAAGTGGGCTCCTCAGCGCGCAGCTGTGGCGTTCCGCATAACTTCTCTTCGTCAACTTGTTCCTGCACCTTGCACCTTGAAAGAACAGGACAGACTGGTCACAAATTCCTTGGCGAATCTCGCTTCCGCGAAACCTACACCACGTGACAAACTTCGCTGCCTTTTAGGGGCGCAATTTCCAACTTTGAACACTCCCAAAATGCCATCTATCAGGGTCAAAGGGCGGGCGTACACCGCGCTCGACGATGTTTTCCCTGAACTCAATGTTCACCCTCCCGACTCTGGGACTTCTCAGGACGCGAACCCGAGGTCCTCCCAACTCCAACCTCGCCTTTCGCTTCCGTTCTTACGGCAGACCGATGCACAAACCATTACATCCTCCACATCCCCGGGCCTTACATCTCCTGGACGGCGGCGCTCGTCGACCACAACAAGTCTGATACATGCACACTGCACTCGTTCACCGAGGCTCTCCCAGTTCCGGAACTCTCAGCTTGGAGAAGAAGATAGCCCTCTATCGCCTCTCCGCTCCTCGCCAGATGGCATTTCACCGTCCCAGCCATACCCTGGCGTCGGGGAGATGCTGACAATTGGTGGTCAACAAGCGGACATCCGTATAGCCTCTAGTGGAGAGCCCGGACTAGTCGAAAGTTCCATCAACCTTCCCCATCCCGCCGACGCGAGGAGCGAAGAACATTACTTCAGTGACCACCACCACGACGATGTAGTCGAGCATTTGGATGTTATCGGTGTGTCTACTGTATATTTCAAGTGAGCATCTAATAACCGAATTTTAGACTCTCAGGTTGGCGCTTTTGCGAGTCTCACCAACGCTGCAAATTCAATTGTGATGTCGGTACAATAGCCACCTTCACATCGCGTCTGAGCCCTAATTTTGGCACATAGACCACCCTCGTCTTGGTATTCACGACGGCCTGTTGTTGTTCTTCCTACAGTGCCTCGCCGCAGCGATGGCGGTGAAGACAGCGAACAGTTTGAGGATTCGCTGGATCGTCACGTCGATGATGTCCTGAAACGACCCTCCAAAGTCCGGCGTACTCTTATGGGCGTCTGGTCATTTTTGAAAACTCGTATGTCCTGTCCTTGTCGTATTGAGGTCACTACTAACGCTCTTCGCAGCTATGGGTGTATGTGCCCTCTTTTTCTCACTATGTCTGACGTTGAGCCGTTTCGGAATAGATAATTACCGGGATCTATGGTTTCTTAGTCGGTGTGTCTCCTCTTTCTCATGTCTGTCTATGTTGTACTAAAACTGTCTCTCCAGTATTCTGGGGCGCCGCCATTGTGATATTCTTAGCCAAAATCATCGACTTCCACAACGCCAACACACAAGGATTTTGGGTGGAGGTTTCGTCCCAGGTTGAAACAGGCACGTTCTTTGCCAATCTGCGTTACCCAATGTTTATTCCTTTCCGCTGCCAGGTCTTTTTACCGTCACCAGCATTGGACTTATACCCTACCGCGTTTTAGACACCTACCGTATGTCAACTACGCCGTTTCGTCGGTTACAGGGCCGCATGGCTTATTTGTTCTCGACCAGGGATTTGGAAAATATGGCGTTATAAACGCAAGACGATGAAACTCAGGGAGAAGGCCGGACTTCCGCAATTGTTCGACGTTGATGATCTCCCGGACCCCGTATACGACCCTAATTACGTACACGTGCTGACGGAGGAGGAACAACGCGATCTACACCGCCGTAAGTTCGATCTTCGATTCACAGTAAATTTGCAGCTCAGACAATTGGCTTCTGTTTCTAGAGCAAAGGAAGTTCCAGTACTCTCAGACTTGGTACAGAGCACATGGGACAGAAACACACAGAGTTTGTCTATATTTTTGTTTTTGTCAGATTTCCTTGTAATTCGCGATCCAGGCCTTTCCTATCAGGTACCTTCATACTCTTTATCCAAGGCGACAACCTTAGCGGATTCTTGCTACAGCATGGCCCTCTGGATTTGTTTCCTCAATGACGGTAATTCTATTTTCCAGGTGAGTGACGAGATTATCCACATGTTCAGTTGAATTTATGAGGACATCTAGATATTCCTGTGTGGCACAATGTGGGGGATGAATCGGTGGGTGCCTACTTCGAGATGTCATTTTTCCTAAAGCTTGGCAACAGATTCCAACGTCCGGCGTGGACTACAGGCCTTCTAATCCCTGCCAGCTTCCTGTGTGGCATTGGTGCAGCCGTCGTCATCTGGAGAGGAGGCGAGCGAACAAAGCGGGTAGAAGAGGTCAAGGAGAGGTTACGAGCAGCGCTCGCCGAAAGACGTCCAACGAAGGATGGCCAGTTGCCTCAGAGCTTCAGTCGCAATCCGAAACCAACATCCGCCTCACAGACGCCAATGCTAGACGCCATCGACGAAAAGACACGGACACAGACAATTGACACAGCTACGACTATAGATGAACACATGTCGGTCCCGCCAGCGGGCCAACTCAAAGAACATTCCTAATTATTTCACGATATGTATGTGCGATCTGTAGTTTCTCCCTCTTATCATTATTTTTTACATCATGTAGGGGCTTTCAGAGGACAACAAAATTCTATGACAAACGTTCCAAGTACGCAGCCCAACCCTCTGACATGTAACGTTCAGCCTTGGCTGCAATTCTATCGACTTCTTTGGGGTCGGTGCCATAAATTCCTCGACCGACAATAATTATGTCCGACCCTGTTTCAAGGACAGCCGTACGAGGCGTCCTGTACTGTTGACCCATCGAATCACCTTTGGACTCGAGTCCAATTCCTGGTGTCATGATCAGGAAGTCTTCTGTTGAGACATCGTCCTCCGGGCCAGCACCCACTCCTTCCATTCGTCTTTGGGCGATGAACCCAATCACAAAGTCCCGATGTTTGCGAGCCATCCTGACAGCCTCTTCGGTGTAGGTTCCTACGGCCAATGAACCAGCAGTACTCATTTCGGCGAGAAGCAATAGTCCGCGACCAAGAGGCAGGCCAACTGAAGAGAGACCCTTGATGACCGAGGGACCTGGCACAGGATGCGCGTTTGTTACATGAGCCCAGCTTGAGATTTTGTGTACGCCGCTTGAATATTGTAGAGCAACGGTATTTCCTAGTACAGATAAGATTCAAATGCTATAGATTTTCCAGCAGGGATAACGTACCGATGTCAGCAAACTTGCGATCCTCGAAGTACAAGAAGTCATGCTCTCGACCGAGGTGTTGCAGGCGCTCAATCAAAGAATGGTCAAAGTCTTCCAGGATATCGACGTGAGTCTGGTGACAGGTCGCGTAAGGACAGGGTCAAGCGTGTCTAATTGAAGTTTCTTTGCCTTTATCAGACAGACATAAGGCGCGACTGCCTCAATGATTGCAAGAAGGTCACTAGTGCACGTAACATCGACGCTGACTGCCAGGTTCGTTTTCTTGCGCTCCATCGTCTCGAAGATTAGTTTGGCGGTAGTATTCGTAGCGTTAAGGGCTCGTTCGCCATATGAACGGGTGTGTGCGAGGGAAGCCATTAAAGAGATCGTTAGAGCAAAGAAAGATGTTCAGGCAGGAAGGCCCGGAGATTAGATTGAATACTCCTCCGAAAGATAAGATAACAAAAATCATCATCTCTGAGGCCTTCTGAAGCTAGGTTGGTTCACAGGATGTCTGAAGCCGTCATCCATGAACGGGAACAAGACGACGTAGACGTCGAAAGATACTCAAAACGCGCCAAACTCGATTTCGAACCACATGATCTCCATTCCGAGCTGACCGAAGCTCCACCACAACCACCAGAGACAGAACACATCCTCCCTCCCAGTCATGCTTTGCTTGGAATACCTCTTCCAGTCGCCAAGGAAGGTTCCGCCTTGAACTTCCTTGAAGCAGATGTCGGAATCTCAGAGTACATTGGACGCGGAGAGGCTAAAGTTGAAGGAATCATCAAGCAGAGGTGAGATGAGCATGTCGAACTCGGTCGAAAACTGTATTGATATGTGTATCAGATTTACTGACTTCTTGGTCTACGAAGTCGATTTGGATAGTAAAGTAATCCACCTCAAGTCCTTGGAGAAACCCAAGTCATCCAATGAGGCCTCCCAACCTGCCGCCGCGTCGTCGTCAACTAACCAAGATGAGGACGTGACGATGAAGGACGCTGAACCTGAAGTTCCTGCACCATCCGCAGAACCCAAGGAGGGGGAAAGCAAACCTGAATCAGCGGGAAAGCCAAAACCTACTCCAGAGGACCCGTGGCCAGAGTACTTCACTTCGACGTTGTCTTCCTTTCTCGACGAGGAAGCCGTGGTTCAACTCAAGAAGATGTATCTTGAAGGGCCCGAACCCCCTCGAGTAAGCGATTCTGGCTGGGCAGCCGTGTTCCAAAAGCGGCTCCCGATGGAGCGGATCCCTCGACACCAGAAGTTGAAGAACCCACCCCTGCACCTGAAGAGAAAGGCGGAAGAAATGGTAAACGAGGTGATCGCGGTCGACGGGGCGGTAGAGGAGGGGGAAGAGGCGGCCGTGCAACTGGTAGGGTGGAAGATAATCGAAAAGTTCTATCAAGTGTGCGTATTACACTTGTGCAAAAGTTAGGAAGTCCTGACGATTTTTATAGCCTCTGGCCTCAAAAGACACTCGTACCGCTTTCCACAAAACAATAAGGGAGCTGTTTGGAGGAAAGCTAGAGACAGAAACCGACACTTCTGGTCCTCCTACCGATGAGGGCTCTCGCATTGCCATAAAGTGGGGTAGACGAGGAGGGCGAGGAGGGCGAGCAAACGATGCTGGTAGGTCGCCTTCTTTTACACCGTCTCTTCCTTTTGATTTATGTTCCACAGGCGGACGGGCGCCTCGCGGCACATATCCTCCATACGTTCATTTTACAATGCAAAAAACCAATCGCGATACTCAGGACGCTCTTGGACATTTATCTCGCCTTCTCCATGTCAGCACCAAGGAGCTCTCAGTTGCGGGTACAAAAGACAAACGCGGTGTAACAGTGCAGCGCGTTTCGTTGAACCGACACAAAAAGACGGTAGAGGAAGTCTGGAGCCTTGTCAATAACGCTGGCTCCAGGAGGACTAACACGGAAGTTTTGTCCCAGCGCGGAGAGAGAGGGATACGCATCGCTGATCTGAACTACCGTAAAGCAAGTCTAGAGCTCGGTATGTTGAAGGGTAATGCATTTGTCATAACATTAAGGTCAGTCTCTTGCTTTGAGTCCATATTTTAGTCTGACAGATATTTGTGCAGAAATGTCAAGGTCGAATCCATGGAGATTTTGGACGAAGCTATGAACACGATCAAAAATAAGGGATTCATCAATTATTATGGTATGTTCTTGAAGGCTGACAACCTACAACTTTACTTAGAACTCTTGTTCCTCAGGAATGCAGCGCTTCGGAACGGCCTCCGTCCCGACACATTCCATTGGCCTTGCTCTGCTTAAGTCGGAGTGGCAAAAGGCAGCCCACATGATCTTACAAAAGAGACATGGTGAACACCCTGACGTTGAAGCAGCCCGCGATGCTTGGCTCGTCGAACGTGACTTAGATAAAGCCCTCAGTCTGTTCCCTAGACGGGTCGTTGCCGAAAGATGCATTCTCGAGAGTTTCAAGAAGCAGAAGGGCGACACAAGGAACGTGATGGGTGCCTTGTCAACAGTGCGCCGCAGTTCCCTCCTTTGCTCCCGTCGTGAACCTAAAGGGTTTCTCTTATTTCTAGATCCCTCGGAACCTCCGCCTGATGTACATTCATGCGTACCAATCGTATGTGTGGAATGCGATTGTTTCTGAACGCATCCGTGTATATGGCAGCGACAAGCCAGTAGTTGGAGACCTCGTCTTTGAGAGAATGCCCGTACCAGAAATGGAGGTCGACTCTGAAGGTGACGAATCTCTCCACGCAGACGGTGATGGAGATGAGCATGGTCAGTCCACCCTTTTATCTACAAATTTCCTGCTAAGATCAGCCTCGTTCAGCCGAACAATCGAACAAAAGATCACGAAAGCCTTATTCTGCTCCTCGAGTCAAGACATTAACAGAGGAGGATCTCGATAAATATACCATCTTCGACGTGATCATGCCTCTACCTGGGACGGATGTGGCGTATCCCGGGGGAAAACTAGGCGAGAAGTACCGGGAGTTTCTTCGGGTAGATGGCTTGGATCCCAACAATTTTGTGAGGAAGCAAAGGTAGGCAAAACTCTTCTTCCCTAAACTCCAACTTCTGACGACAAAGCCGTTTTCTTTGTTCTCAGGGAATACACTCTCAATGGCTCCTATCGAGCTATTCTCCACCTACCGAGGGAACTGTCATGGTCCGTGTTACGCTACACTGATCCGGATGTCTCTCTTGCTCAGTCAGACGAAGACAAATTACTCGGATTCGACCCACCTGCTACGGTCGAGGATGGCAAATTCATGGCGCTGCAAATTAATCTCACCCTCGGAACGGCTGCCTATGCGACGATGGCACTGCGTGAGATAACAAAGACGGACACCAGCGCGCACGTCCAAACGAGCCTCACGCAGCAAGCCGAGGATCAGAAATATCGAGGAAGCGGGTTGGATGGCGCAGCAGATGAGGCCGTAGATGAACAGCCTTCCTCTTCGTTCAACGTGGACGCTTTGTCCGGGAGATAAACGACGCTACATGACCGAAGAACGGCTTGTATATTAACCGCATTTTCTTTCCCAATTGATGTCATTCATGAGAAATGCAAAGAGTCGGATTGGTGCAATGTTAGAGATTGTTAAGAATCCTGTATGAGAAGCTTTGACTGTGCCTTCGGAGCGACAAGAATAGCCTAGCTAATTCACAAGTTTCACGATGACCGTCCGTTCGGCGTTGTCCCAATTGATCGAGCCTGGGGCGGTCTCCCACCTAATATGTCGACGTGTAACGTCTTCTCAACACCTATAACTAATGCCTTATTATTCATCTCACACCTAACAGACAACAGCCCCCTGTCGCTGATACAATTATCCTTTCCCTTCTCCCGCATCTCCTAACGCTTCGTGGTCGTCTGCTTAGCCAATGGCGAAAGTCCAAACTGTTGTCTTCCTGTCACTCGTTCTTGACCTCTTTGCTTTCACTATCCCTCTTCCTCTGTTCCCGCGACTGATAGAGTGGTACGCTCTGGTAAGCACTAGTGCACTAGTATTGCTTTCAGGAGATTTAATGCAGTCTAAATAATGTGATAGCGGGAGAGTTCCGTTCCTAATGGCTTCCTATCCCGGACTCTCAACTTCGTGACCTCAATCAGGTCCTTATTCTACCAATCCGGCGCGCATTCTCAAAAATGGGACGTCGTACTCCTGGGAGGGCTTATGGGTTCCGTATTCTCGTGAGTTAAATAAACGTTTTCCCGCACAGGATTGATACCATTCATGTTGCTCGTAGAACACTTCAATTCACAGTCTCTCCTAAAATTGGAACGCTCTCCGACAAGTATGGCCGCAAGCGCATCCTCCTTCTGACGATGGTCGGAAACATACTGTCAGCACTCATGTATGCTATCATGCCGTCGCTCCAACGTATGGCGCCTCGTTGACACAACGTTCTCCGCAGCTGGATCCAGTCCACAACATTCGCGTCGTACATGCTTTCACGGGTCGTGGGTGGATTGAGTGAAGGAAATGTGCAACTGGCAATGTACGTACATCCATTTTTACTCGAGAACCGCGCTAATGCGCCATGAAGTGCTATCCTTTCAGACGTGACGTCACCAGCTACGCGCTCAAAGGCCCTGGCCTATGTCGGCATCGCGTTCGCGATTTGCTTTTGCATTGGCCCACCTATCGGCGCCTATTTCGCGTCTCGCCCTCTTCCACAGTCCGTAAACAGCTGGGGTCCCGAACTTAACGTTTATGCTACGCCCGCCATCCTGACCTTGGTCCTCCTCCTCGCCGAGACAGCCTTCCTGGTTGTTGCTCTCCCTGAAACGAGAGGCAAAGGTGCGAACTTTGTTAAGCAAGAAGATTTCAAGTTGAAGGAGAGGAAGAACGCACATACAAATGGCAATGGCACCCACGTAAATGGCAATGGAAAGCACACCACGACGACGAGTAATGGACCCCCGAAACCCAAACGCACCGTCGAGAGCCGTGTATCTCTCCTCAAAACGCTCCGAAAACTTCACTTCCTCTTCCTAGCCCTATTCTCTGGTGTTGAGTTCACGCTTACCTTCCTCACTTTCGACCGTAAGTCCTTTCAATCCTAATAGAAGCTCATTTATCAACGCATTCGTTCCAGTGCTGGACTGGTCAAACACGCAAAATGGCAAACTCATAGGGTCTATTGGTATCGTCAGCGCCCTCCTGCAAGGCGGATACGTCCGTCGGTCTATGTCACGCGTCGGCGAGGGAAAGATGGCCAAACGTGGCGTATCAAGCTGCGCCGTAGGACTCGCCCTCCTCTCGATCTTCCCCTCCTTCGTCCCAACGTCACCAACGTTCGCACTGCGCCTCCTCCAAGCCGCCGCAGTATGCATGGCTTTCACTTCCGCGACCGTCGTCAACTCCCTGACTGCTTTTGCTTCTCTGCAATGCGATGAGGGACACGTCGACGAATCGACGGGACAGGTAGTCGAGGACCATCCGCAGCTCGCGAAGGGCAAGGCCCTAGGCGAGTTCAGGTCGTCCGGGCAGCTGGGACGGGCTATTGGGCCGTTGCTGGGTGAGTAAATTCCATTGCGTACGTTCCGCGGCCGGGCGTTGGGCGCTGATTGTGTACGACATCCATTTGCATCAGCTTGCGCATCCTACTGGACTTTTGGTCCGACGATCACTTATGGTGTCTCAGCCGTCGCAATGGTCGCTCTTTCCGCGAGCATGAAACCGGTAACCAAAATCAAGTCAGCCTGAATGAAGCCTGGAGTGACGGCGTCAACTCGTGGTTTTCTGATATTGTAGTGCTGATTTATTTTTATGTGGACTCTTAGAACATGCGCGATGTTCCAACAGCACAGCTAAGTATATCTCTATATATAACTTTGTAATCCATTCTTTGTTCTTCTTTAAGAAAGACTTTCCACCTGTCAACACGAAATATGTAGGATGACCACACACGTAGAATGCTGAGCCAAGTGTTCGAGGTGTAGAAATGTGGTATCAAAATACGGGGAGAGTATGTAATTTAATCATTGCAGCTATGCAGCAAGAAAGGGGGAGGAATGCAGATATGCAGTGAAACGAGATGAGTGTAGTAGTAAGATCGGTGGAATAATAATGTACTTCGAGAAGAGGGTATCCTAACCACAGCATCAAACACAGTAATGGGAGGGAGTGCGATGTCAATAACAAGAACGAAACGAGTGTCATGAATGCCATTCCCAAGCGTCTGTAGGTTGTAGATCTGTAAGCGTCGTCGAGGATGAAGACCTGCTTCTTGACTCCACACTTGTCCGTATAGGCGCCGTTCCATCACTGGTACTACCCAGGTCTATGAGCGAAGCGTACTCCTCTTCGTCGTTCGAACTTGACGGATAAGCCCGCCCTGACTCGAGATCAGGCTGCAAATATCGCTCCTTCTCCGGCGGGTAGCCCGACGAGCGATACGCATGCCGGGGTAATGACGATACAGCCACTGGCCTTGACGCGGTCAAGGATCGATTGCCGGGAGGCGCAGGCTGCAGCTCGATATCGGGTGCCTGAGTGAAAATGGCGGGCAAGAAGAACAACACGCCTCTGCTGGGCTGTGACCTGCCGCGCACGGGTGTATCGGGCGGCTCCTCCCTCGCGCCAGCCATCGATGAAACACGGCTGCGCACACGCCGGAACGCCTCTACGAGCGGGCTATGCACTCTGCCCGCATACGGGTCCACAAACGCATCCTCCTCGCGCTCCTGGCTCGGCGTCTCCACATCAAACGGCAAGTGGAGCAAGGGGACGTCCGTGTCGATGGGCGAGCTCGCCTCACTGCTGTCGAGCGGGGACGGGAGCTGCGTCGACGTGCCTGACGAGGCCGAGTACGACGAGCGGCCGAGGTGGAAATGCCAGCGCCCCGAGCGCGAGAGCCGCGGAAGTACGATGTCGTAACCCCCAATCCGCCGGCTGAAGCCTCTGCGCTGCTTGGACGGTAGTCTGATAAGACCAATGATAAGGATGAAGAGCCCAATCCACATCAAGAGCTTTCCCCAGTGACCCAAGAAGCCAATGAAGGCGGCGTCATCCGCGTGCCAACTGCTTCCGTAGAAGTGGGAGAAGAAGGAATGAGGTGCCTCGTCTTCCCGCGCGTTCTTCCCATAGAGCGACTTGGGGAGAATGCGGATGTCCTGGAGTGCCGTTTTTGCGTGTGTGGCGGTATAGAGACCATACTGAGCAGATAAGAACATGGGGCCCGTGGAAAACATGACGGTCGGGTAGTTCAATATCCAGTCGTGGTCAAAATTAATGAGGTTGTGGATTGTCTGCTCGAGGAATGGATGGCCCTTTTCGGCGAACATGAGGTCGTTGGACACACCGACGGGAATAGTTTTGGGGAGGATGGCTGGGTAGACGAGGAGGGGGTCCATGGGGCGCAGACAGCCGATATCAAGGTCGATATAAACGCCGCCGAAGTGGTGGAGGACGAAATAACGGATTGCGTCAGCGCGCTGGATGGGGTACCTGTAGTTGTCGAAGGTATCGAGGAAGTCGGGGTAATACTCTGCAATGAACTCGCGGGAGCTTGCGTCTGTCCAGAGCTTGTACTCGCTGTTTGGGGTATGAGGGGGTTGGGGGCACGGATAAGACAAGAACGCGTACTAGTCGGGCATCATGTCTCTGCATGCCTGGGAGATGCCACGCCAGCGAGGAGGCAGAGTCTCTGACTTCCATGTCTGGTGGATGATGCGCTGGACCCTTTCTACCTGGCCATGGGCGGTTGCATTCCAGCGGGTCGAGTTGTCGAGAACGGGGACCTCGAGTTCTGAGAGATATGCGGCGGGGGCGATTGCGAGATACCAGGTTACGGAGGAGAGGACGACGACTGTGCCTAGGAGGAAGAGGGCGAGGACGGAGAGGAATACATACAAGGCGCGACGGCGGTTCATGGGGGCGGGGGGTCCAACCGCTCTCCTGCCAGGTCTGCTAAATCAAAATTAAAATTCCCTTGGCACACAGCTTTCCCACGCACATGCCGGCTAAGCACAGCTGACACTCGGTCGCCTTCGGCGCTATCTGGTCATCCTATCTACTCAGAGCCTGAATACCCAACGCATATGCGGTTGTAACGACACCAGCGACTCCGTAATTGACACATCCCCCCACGCACGCCCAACATCGCCTAGGTTATCCAGCGCGACCTCCCAGTCCTTGCGCGCCCATTCCTTCCCGGGTCGCCCGCCGCCTCCTTCTCGAGGGCGTAGCAGAAACACTTCTGCACGTGGGTTCGCCGCCTTGACGCGTTTACGCCCATTCAGGTACTCCAGGCACTTCTGCGCGCTCCAGAGCGTGTAATGCTGATATCGGGGAGCGTGTCGCGACAGATTTGCCTCTTTTTCAGGGGTCGTCATCCGACGCACTTCCTCGCCCCCGACCTTACCCACCAGCTCGACCAAGAGCCTTGTAAAGTGGTCGATCACCGCCTCGTGCAGCATATTTAGCGGGTCCTCCGACTTCCACGTCTCAGATGTGTCTTCATCATCCAGCTGCATTCGGTCATCTTCGTCCACTGCCTGCGCAGGCGCAGTAACAGGAGCTGCTCGATCTTCATTCTTGTAGCTCTCCTTGTGGCCCCCGAACTGGCTCAGGTCCACCTTGTCTCCATATATGCCGTATGCAAGTTCACGGCTGCTCCAGAACCTGCTCGGAGTTATACTTGGAATTCCTATCCAACAGAACACCATTATTAGCCTGCGAACCGTTCCTGAATATAAAAAGCCTTCTTCGAGTCTCTCTCACCTTGCGTCTGCGCGTTGATGCACAGATTGTTGTCCGCGCTGCACAGCAGCGTAAACTTCCTCTCCTTGAAGAACATGCAGCAGTCCAGGATCAAGTTGTCATTGTACATCTCCGAACTCGTTATCTGGAACATGTCGATCAGCTGCAGAACTTATACAACAGGCATAGCCTTTGCCTTACACACCTCCCCGGGATCGTGTTTCTTCCAACTCCCAGACAACTTGAGCGTCTCCTCGAGCGCCTGGCCCTTGACGCACTTTCTCTCTCTTACTTTCTGGAGCAGCCACGATGAGCCACGCCGGGCGAACCACGCCAGCCCGTCGCGCTTCTTTTGCCTTCCATTCAAACGAAACGTCATTAACATCCACAGTCAACATCCGCAGCCATTTATTTCCACTCACCCATCGAGCTCCATTATCACCGCCCCAGGGACAACAATCACCACGGGCACCTCTCCCCTTTCCACGTCTTTGACAAACTGCGAGAGCACCTCAAATTGGTGCAAGATTATATTCGTGTCGATTACAAGATACGCTGCGTAGTCTGATTCAGGAGCCTGTTCATCATCGTCAGAATCAGAATCGTCGTCGAATTTCTCCAGTCAGATTGTATGCCTGCCGTGCGTGAAAAAATAAGAGGGCTCACCTTCATCTCGACGTCCTCGTTCGCGATTTGGTCGATTTGCTGAAGTGTGGCATGTAAATAGGCATTTTGGATACTTTGGTCTGAGCGTGGCCGATTCGACGTTCAATCGTTCAAAGTCGGGTTCGTTCAGATCCAGCGCGTCGAGAGATCCAGACAATTCCGGGGATCCAGAGAGTTTGGGTAGTTGGCAGTTCAAAGATTGGAGAAAGATGAGGTCACCGAACGTCAGCACACTGCGGACAGTGACATATCCAACAAGCCACTCACCGAAGCCAAAAGCAGACTGGGAGGCCTGAGTCTGATTACCAGGAAAGTTGCTGAAAGACATCGCTGGGTTGGGGTTGTACGAATTCGAATAGCTGCTGCTGTAACTGAAATGGTTCACTGCGGTCAGCATGACCTACGATTAGATGCTTTATAGAGTTCGAGGATTTGGAACTTGAACTTGAGGCTGAAAGGCTTGAAGGTAGAGAGAGGATGGCTTTGAGGTGACAAAGAAAAACGGAAGGAAGGAAACACAAGATCGATTAGACGGTTTATATGTGTATGTTGTTTGAGGACGAGAACAAAGCGCAAGCCCCCGCCTGAGCGTAATCACAACCACCATTTCCTTATGTAGCCTCACTGTCCCTGCTCACGCAAAAAAGATTAAGAATAATCAAGACTATAACTTTATTGTGTGTCTAGTTATACAATGCATATGCCTTATGTATTGTATGGTGTATAAGTGGTTGGTTGGTGGGTTGGATGGATGTAGGATGATACAAATGTGCCGTAATAAAGTAATGCAATGAAGTCCCTGAGGATGCATAAAATCCAGTCGTCGAGGTTTCGACGAGCAAACGAAGGCGAAGTTTAGTCAAACCATTAATCAACTCGAACTTGCGCTTGAAGCGGCTGTCGTCGTCGTCGACAGCGTCTTCTTCTTGAACGGCGGCGTACCCGTCGGATCCTCCTGCTCATTCGTATCTTCATGATCTTCGATCTTACGCTTAACCCCTGCGACCTTGGACTCGGGAGACACATGGGGAGGCGACTTCGAGGCACTTTTCCTGGGTGTTGTTATTGACGGTGGTGGTGGTGTCGACCGCACACCCGTCATCGGAGCTGCGAGGATCTCAGGTGTCGCAGACCGACTGCTATGCGCCTTCTCATTTCGTATTCTCGCAGCGAGGGTGCTCGTCGAGATCATAGCCTCAGCGTGGCATGTTGCATGATAGATCTATCCAGCGACTTATTACTAACCAGTCCTCATATTCAAACAGCCAAAGAACGTACCTTATCATCTTTCCGCACTGCGTTCTTCCACACCCAGTCCTCGTCGTCCTCAAGGAATTCAGACTTAAGCGTTTCCTTACATATCGGACATGACACAGCTTGGGCCTCTTCACCTGGGGGCACGACGACGTATTGAGCTCGCAAATCTGCATCACGCTTAGCTAGTTCGGCAGCAGCAGCAGCTTTTGCATTCAAGGGACCAGATCCATCAGCCCGACCTTTCCCTTTGCCGTCCCCTGAGATATCTTGTATCCAATCCTGCAGAAATTTATTCGTGAGTAAAACTGAAAACCAAACGAGGCAAGTGAACATACCTCAACACCGATGAACCAGCTCCGGCTGTGACCTCGTCCAACATTCTGGTCAGCTTTCCGATTTTGCCTGAAGTGCATGTCAAGGTGGCTTTCCATGTCTTTTTTGCCAGATTTCGTATCAGGAAAACGGAGTCCACACTGTCTGCATTGCGAAGGCTGTCTGTTGTATAAGAATTCTACGATGCGCGGCTTAGCCCTAAAGGGTATGTCGTCAAAATGTGCGCGAAAAGAATATCAATTGATACGCACCTAGCTAGGTCGACCGTGGTAAGGTTAATCGTCTCTGACAAAATAGCCTGTCTATAATCCCTAACCGAGGTCGCTTTCACCTCCTTCGCGTCTTCTACTTGAGGTGGCGCATCATCGGATTTGGTTGGCGTCGCTCCTGATGGTGTCGCGCTTGCAGAGATGAGGCCGGCACTCACGAGGCTTGAAAATAGATTCGCGATGTTGTCGTGGGCGATGACAGGTGGTGCAACAGATTGTGAGATCGGCGGTTCCATCGGAGGAGGTTCTGTCTTGATGACTGGGGGAGGTTGAGAGTATGGCGGCATTTGCGGTGGCACCTGTGGCGGGAAGGGTGGTGATTGAGCATAGTAGGTAGGGACAGGCGGCCGAAGAGGAGGCCGTTGTATAGGCGGCGGTAGAGCACTTCTTGCCAATTGACGTAGTTGAGCAAGGATTTGTCGCAGTTCTTCTTGAGAAACACCGCGCTCAACTAATCTCCGTAACTGGTCGAGCTGATTCAGCATCCACTTGTCATGTAGACAGAAGGAACGTACTTGTTGAAGCACATGGATATGGCTGAGAGGCGTCTTGTCGTAAGGATTGGATTGCAGAGCGCGTTCCATTTGACCGAGCGTAAATTGTAGTTCTGCAAGAACCTGCGCTCTCGATGGGTTAACCTGCGGAAATGGAAATGGTCAGGAAGAATTTCTTGAATGGTAAGGAAGGAAGGACGAACTTGGTTTCCCCAGATCGCGGTTTGAAGGTCGTGCTGCACATTTGGACCGAATATTTCGGTGTGATCAGGTCCTGCAGTGCGCCAAGTAAGGAGCATTTCTTCCATCTTATTCTTCGTGCTCGGGTCCACCTGGAAGTAAGTGTCCAAATATAGAGGGACAACGATAGAAGCAAAGGTCGCAGCATGTGTGTCATACAGGTTTTTCGCGATCGCGTCGAAGAGGTAGAAGCCGATGAGTTTCATCCAGGGAGGAACCTAAATGACCGAAAAGGAAAATGATTAGTCAGCAATCCGCGGGTCGATGGCATGAAGAAAGGGAACTTTGGTCAGGCAGTGGCACGGTGCACCGTCGCCTTAGGACGTCTTTTTTGTGCTCAAATCATGTACTCTAGGTAGATACTACATGTTTATAAAGGCGACTATGCCAACTCCCAAATACTAATAGTTTTTGCGGGGCATTGTTCGAACGATACCAAAGGGGACAACCCACTCACCTGTCTGATGTGTTGCGCAATACAATCAGCAACGATGTCCGCCCATTGCGGGTAGTCCTGAGCAAAAACCGAAAGTTCCTGGATAACGACTTTGGAATTGAACGTTAGACTGGCGAGACGCGCTGAAAAATCCCGCCGAAAGCCAGCATGATCATGGTGGTGAATGGCTGCGGCTGGCGGTGCTGATGTTAGGGCGGACTGTTGGTAGTAAGGGTACAGGGCGGGAGGTGGAGGCGTTGAATAGTTGGGACCACCATACTGGGGCTGGCCGTAAAAAGGCTGAGAGAAAAGGGACATCGATACAATCAGACGTGCTGGGGCTGACGAGCTGGCAATCTCAGGGAACCACTGAAGAACGTCAATTTGTATACCAAGAAGTGACGAAAGCAGGATTCGGGAAGCTGAAATACGATCTACCGTCTCACTCAAGGTGTACAAACGGAGGAGGATGGGTGGATGAAGTATTCGATGGTGGTGGTGATTGACAAAAGAACGGTGGCGGCTTGGCCCCTACAAGACCCGACTTTTAAACTCCGGCTCTCACTGCGATGTGACTCGGCAATGACCGCGATGACTGTGGACACTGCTTTTGCAGTTGAAATGCAGATTGGAACACCCATAGAATAATAAAATTCTGCGTCTGAAAATATGCATTGTATTTACTGTTGGGCAAAGATAATGTAACGAGGAGGGATATGCGAAGGAGGTGAGGACCGGGCCGGGACCCATTCTAAGTGATCGATTATGTCAGCCACAGATCCATCCCTCCACACAGGTCCACCCATCGCCGCCAACCCACCGTCAAAACTATCGCCCAAGGTGTGTTGCCCCGTGCCTCGCCCTCCGTACGCCTCTACGCTGTTCCATGGGACGAGCATGCTCGTTTGATACCAAAACCATTGGAATCGCACAATTGGAACAGATGGATGCGAAGATGGGTCTGTGGATGAACTTGTTGGACTCACTCTATCTTCCCAGATGCGGGACGTCCTCAAGACCGAAGAACTCGAAATTCCATCCAACGTCGAAATCACCGTCAAGTCGCGGATTATCACAGTGACGGGCCCCCGTGGAACACTGACCAAAAATGTCCGACACGTCGATATGGACATCCAGGTGGTGAAGGACAAAACGGTGAAGGTCACTCTGGCTGTGTGGCAGGGAGGCAGGAAGCATGTCGCTTGTCTGAGGACCATTCGCAGTCTCATCAACAACATGGTTATCGGCGTCACCAAGGTGAGTCTTTCTATTGCTCTCGCGTTCTGTACAGGCTCTAAGCGTGATCCAGGGATTCCGATACAAAATGCGTGCCGTCTACGCCCATTTTCCGATAAATTGCATCATCCAAGATGACGGCCATGCCGTCGAAATACGTAACTTCTTGGGCGAGAAGACCGTAAGACACGTCAACATGTTGGCTGGTGTTGAGGTTTCGGAATCGAAAGCCCAAAAGGATGAGCTCATCCTCGAGGGCAATGATGTCGACAACGTCTCACAATCAGGTCGGTACATCCTTACTTTTGCCAGCGTCGAGCCCTGATCCCTCTCCCACCAGCTGCTTCCATCCAGGGCATCTGCCGAGTTCGCAACAAGGATATCCGTAAATTCTTGGACGGTATCTATGTGTCGGAGAAGGGCACGGTTGCTTCAGATTAGACGGAATGTCCTCCAGTCGTTACCCAGAGCATGCATCCCCCACCGTCTTCTCTTCTCTACTTACCCTCAGGTTCACGCATTGCATCTTAAGCGACAATATGAATATGCATTATGCGAAAATTCATTCCGTAAGATATGCGAGGATGATAGCAAGAGGTCAGTCTACAGTGTGGTATCATGGTATGAATGGAATTTTAGTTCCAACATGTCGCCTGTACTCGACGTAGTCTTGTCCGAAAAAGCGTACCAGCGCCCCTTCTTCCGCTAGAAGCAAATCTCAGCGTGAACTTTAACAAGGACTGCCCACGAAGTACCTTTAATACGGGCGCTGAAGAATTTCCAGAGGATGATGGCGAATGCCACGAAAGTCAAAGGATTTTGCAGTACTAACTGGGTTCCAAGAGCCCAATAGAAGAATCCTGCATAAGATGGGTGTCGGAACCAGCTTTCTTCTCTGTGAGATCGTGCTGCAAGAAAGTAGACGGAAGCTTACCCATAAACTCCATTAGTCACTAATGTATGGGAATCGCGTTTTTGAAAGGCGACCGAGTGAGAAAAGCTAGTCGACGCGTGAATCATAGCGGCCGAGCGAAGGACTTGTCCCAGCACGACCAGTACGACGCCTAGTAACACATTAAAGGGATTTCACCTAGAATAATATGGTATGCATTGTTACCGATTTGCGACACATATGGATGGGTTTTGTTTGATGGCCACAGGTAGACCGTAATCAAGTATTCCACCAGCGCTCCACTGTGGGCAATGTGATACATCGAGCCATTTTCGAGGAGATAGGCTTTGCTAACGTGAGTGGACGGCGAGTCATGGGCAAAAAAAGGAACGTACAATCGACGCTGCACTTCTCAAGATTCCACCCCGCCGTTACAGCGAACTCCGCCCAGTGGAAGAAAGCCCAAGAAGCAAGATAAAAGGAAACCTGATAGGTCAACCATCGAGGTCTTGAAAATTCATCGACAAGGGTAGCAAATAGGCCGATTCCGAAAGTTGCCCCAAGCAGAAAGGCGACAGTAGACGAACCAAGAGGGGTGTTAGGTATCGTGCCACGATGGGCGTTTGCGCTGGAAACAGGGTTGGTTTCGAGGGGATTCTGGGTCATATTGGCGCGTTGCCGAGTCCTTTCGTGTAGTCTGTCGAATTGGGCGTCAGAATCTGTCGCCATGCTGGCAGTGAAAGATTATGGAAGAAAGACATTGTGCGCTGAAGACAATAGACGTGTATTTGCGGTTGTTGCCCGTGGTCAATTAGCCTCTTCCAACCGGGCCGGCCTTTCGTTCCGCTCACTCCCTCAACGCGACCACCAGAGGTCCATGCTCTTGCCAAAATGCCGTCTAGAAGGCATTCAAGGCATTGCAAGAAAACTCAAATATCGAAGATATGCCACAGCCTCCTCTCATGACCCGTCCAAATTTCGCAACATAGCACTAGTCGCCCATATCGGTGTGTGTGGTGTGGTGTGGTGGTCTTTCCCTTCAACTAGTTGCTCACACTATCACGTTAGATTCGGGAAAGACCACCCTAACAGAATCTATCCTACTTAAATCATCATATATCTCGTCCTCCGGAACAGTTGACACCGGAAGTACGACCACGGACTTTCTCCCAGTCGAACGCGAACGCGGAATTACAGTTCAGTCTGCAAGCATCCCCGTTCAATGGAAAGACTGGACATTTAACCTCATAGACACTCCTGGACATGCGGATTTCGGCATGGAAGTAGAAAGTGCCAGTCGTGTAATCGATGGCGCTGTGGTTCTCATAGACTCAGTGGAAGGGGTGGAGGCTCAAACGAGAGGTGTTTGGCGGCAATTAGACAGGCGCGTAGCTGAGTTGGAGCTCCATGTCTTTTTCACCTGACGCGTCTATAGATACGGGGTAAACCCGAGAATCATGTTCCTCAACAAGCTCGATAGACCTGGCGCGTCCTTTCGGATGTCTTTGCGTTCTCTATTGAGGCATAGACTCCACCATAATCCCATGGCTCTGACGCTTCCCATCGCATCTTTCAACCCGAAACACTATGCAGAGGGTGAACCTGGAGTGCAGGGTTTGGTGGACCTTGTCAGATGGAATGTCTGGAAATGGGACGAAGAAGGGCGACCTTTGTGCCATTCCCTACCCCGGAACGTCGACGACCTCCAAAATATGGACATACTTCCCTCTTCCCATCCGATTGTCCCCCATCTGGCCCCTGCGCGTACACAGTTCCTCGAAAACCTGTCCATGGTTTCAGAAAACCTTATGGAGCATTTGCTCAACTTGCCGTCAGACCCTTCAGCATACCTCAAGATAGATAGCAAGATTGTCATGAAAGAGCTCCGCCAGGCGTCCTTACAGAATCAAATACTTCCTGTCCTTTGCGGCTCGGCAATGAAGCATATTGGAACAGACCTCGTAATGGACTACGTCGGAGAACTTCTACCGAGTCCTCTCGATGTTGAACATGAAGTCCAGGGCAAAAACCCTCCTGTTCGACTTCTCGCGTGGAAGGTCAATTGGGATGAAAGAAGAGGTTGGATGACATTTGTTCGCGTTTACTCTGGTGAGCATCCTCTGTGTACATTTCTGATGTTGCTTTTACTGAAGAAAAGCACAGGAAATCTTACTCGTCAAACAAATTTGCTGAACACAAACCGCAATCAGAAAGAGAAAGCGGCGAAGCTCCTCTTGCTCTATGCATCTGAAGCCAAGGAAGTCGATGAATTACCATTCGGTTCTGTTGGCGTGATCTTAGGCCTCAAGCATACGCGTACTGGAGACACCCTCGTATCGAGCAACGTGTCCGATAATCTCCGTTCATCGTTGCGTGACGTTACCCCTCCTCCTGCTGTGATGTCAGCATCGGTCATTCCCCAATCTCACTCCGATCTCCAGCTGGTGCAGGACGCCTTGGATGCCCTTGTCCGTACCGACCCGTCAGTCCGGGTGGAGACCCAAGAAGGACAAATGCTGGTTCATGGTCTAGGAGCTCTACATCTGGAAATCGTCGAAGGGAGATTAAGAGACGAATGGAAGGCCAACTTCGAGTTCGGGAGACGACGGGTCAGCTATCGAGAGAGCTTGGGACCCAACGCACCTTCGGCTGGCTGGGACGTGTGGGAAGCCGAAATCGCGGGCAAGGCTCTTTCGATTAAAGTACCTCTCACCGTCCGCAAGATGGAGCCAGAGGAAAAAGGCGATCCGGTTTGGGACGGAAATATCGTGGTGGACGAGAAAAATAGGCCGATACCCGCCCCAGAATCGATGCCTGGGTCGCAGTTAGCTTATGTGGCAGACGGCATCCTTAACTCCCTTTCGAACTCCCCTCATTCCTCCATGCCGTTGACCCACTGCATATCAAGGTCGCCAATCTCAAGACTATCGGCTCTAAAGTTCCCTCAATTGTCACTGGAGCAACGGCTGCTGTCCTCCGCAAGCGGATCCGCGACGCGGCTATGGGCCCTATCCTTGAGCCCTTTGTCTTCCTCAAGGTATCAGTCAGTGAAAGTAACGTCGGAAAGGTTGTCAAAGACCTTACGGAACGTGGGGGAGAGGTCTTGGATCTTGGGGACGGCGCGGCTGTTAACCTGGGTGGAGCAGAAGAGGTTGACGGATACTCTGAAGAAGGGATCTACGTTCCTCCGGATTGGCTCTCACCCTGTGGGACATCCTCCTCGGACTCTCGTCATTCAGGGTCCCATCTCAGGCGCTCTGTGCAGGGCGTTGCCCCTCTGAGCCAGTTCCTCGACTACTCCAATCGTCTACGCTCGCTGTCAGAAGGACATGGTGTATTTGAGATGTCTAATGCAGGGTTCAAAGAAGTGGCCGAGGACCGGAAGATGGAAATTTTGAAGGAGATAGGACGAGCTTGATTCACTCCAGGAACACTACAAAATTACAGTAGACTTTACACCCTTAATGACTGTAGAGTAATAGACTGCATGTGTAACCTCTATTCACAACTCCCTAAACTCATCCGCATCGCCGAATAGAACAGACCCATCCATGTCCTCGTCATCATTGATAGCTCCTGCCCTTGAATCGCCAGCGTTGTGGAGAACGTGGCTGAATTCTATCATACCACCTTGCTCTTCGTCCTCGTCGTCGGAAATGTCAATGACACCCAAGAATACTTGGTCAAGGAAGGCTTTGTTGACGTGTTGACCTGCCGTTCGGCCTGGAGGTCCCGGCTCGTCGTCGTCTTCTGGCAGGAAAAGAGGTTGTTTGCCCTTGTCAGAGCTGCTACCAGCTTGAGATGCTATTGCCTTTCGCGGAGGAGGGTCGAACGGCGTCTTCCTCGCAACAACAGAAGATGTTGCCAATGCATGCCGTACTACAGGCCACGGCTCGACAACCACGCACAGACAGTGTCCGTATATGTTGAACCCTTGGTAGGTCAGGGTAAGGATGGGCTTCGGTTTCTCCTCTTCTTCCTCGATCTGCAGTTCGATTGAAGGCTCCTCTTGCATAGTGATATTATCTCCATCTTGCGGGTCGTCCATATTGACGTCTTCATCATCTTCCTGTACGGTGTCTGCGGTCTTTCGCTTCTTGCTTCTGGTCCTAGAGGGCGAGGTAGCTGTGGCAGTTTCTTTCCTTTTTCCCTTCTTGCTTTTGGAGGGGCTGACCGTCTGCTGTGGCCGTATTGGCCGTTTGGGCTGCGGAGGAGCAGCGCGAAAGTTCCTGGTCTACACAGGTATGAGCGGCTGGAAGTGTTGAAAGTTAACTAACAGCCCATACCTTGATGACGACTGAATGTGGTTCAGTTTTGCGAATGAAATAACAGAACTGATATGAATCTTTAAAATGGTCAGTACAGGAGGCACGGTGCAGATGAATTATCGCCGAACCTCCTCGGTGAGTATCGACAGTAGCCGTAGCCTTCTTGGAAGACGATCCACCTCCTCCAGTTAGCGAGTCTGCTTCAGCCTGGTGTTTCGGTAGGACACTGAAACATAAATACAATCATCAGCTATCTTTCAACAGGCGAAGACGAGAACCGACTGTGGACGAAGGTCCGCTAGGACGTGCTGAAGCACCGCGTCCGACATCCAATCGACATGACGCTCATCCAAGTAAACCTAGGCGGATAGCCTAAACGCGTCAAAAGTGGGAGATGGAGCGAGCTTCTGTTATAGAACTCACGTATATTGGCAGAACGGTGTTCTTCGAGATGCGCAGGTAGTACGAGTTCCGTGTTGAAAACGACATACTTGGGGCGATGAAGTGCGGAGACAAGATGTTTCGAGCTCGTGACCGCGACGCGACATCCAAAACGGGGAAAGCACCCCTATTCCCAAAATACATTCACTAAATCTACTACCTACGGCTACAACGACAGCAGAATGACCGACTCATACTTTACATATTTTCGACGCTCCATAACCCATTTACACAATAACTTGAGAAAATAGACAGCATACATACACTGTAGCAGAAAGAGTGTAATCACTCGTCGTCGGCGTCAGGTCCATTGATGATAACCTTGATGACGCCTTTGCCGTCCTCGCTCTTGCCTTTGCGAGTCGCGTTGAAGGCAGTAATGGCGTCGTTGAATTTGAATCTATTGAGAACTCAGGAATGAAAAGGCTGTTTATCCGGAGATAGACTTACCGGTGGGTGACCAGAGGCTTGAGGTCGATCTTTCCGTTGGCTACGAGAGAGATGGCGAGTGGGTAGTCACCAGGCTGTATAAGTGGTGAGTGGGGGTAACTTGATGAAGGGAAGAAAACATACGCCGTAGCGGAACGATCCCTTGTAGTTTAACTCCTTGGTCATCAAAAGACCCAAATTCAAAGTCACATTCGGGTTGCCCATTCCAACCTGGACGAACGTCCCTCCGGACTTGACAACATAGAAAGCAGTCTGAATCGAAACCTCCGCGCCACTAGCATCGATCACAAGGTCAATCGACTTCTTTCCTCGGTCCTCGATGCCTAGAACGCTCTTCATGTTCGCAGCGTTTCGCCTGCTGTAGTCTGGCCTGCTTTCGCCTTCCTCCGGCTTGAGAGGGAGGTAGGTCTCTGTTGCGGCGTACTTTTTGGCGAACTCGAGCCGAGCGGGGACGATATCGACTGCTATGATGCGGGAGGCGCCGAGGGCTTTGGCGACGGCCATGCAGAGGAGACCAACGGGGCCACAGCCAAAGATGGCGATGGATTGGGCAGCTTTGAGACCGCCCAGGTTGGACACGGAGTGGACGCCGACGGCAAGGGGCTCCATCTGCAAGGACGAGATGTCAGAAATTGAATGTAGAGCGGGTCATTGTGCTGACCATGGCTCCATCTTCGAGAGATACGTTCTCTGGAAGGGGGTACGCAAGATCTGCCGGGAGGCGGTAATAGCGACCGAGAGTTCCGTCGTACGGAGGAGTTGCAGCAAAGACGATGTCGGGGCAGAGCTAACAGGTAGAAGGCGTTGGAAGAAATTTCAGTTAACATATCAGAATAAAGTACCTCATAACGTCCTGACTTGCAGGAGTCACAAACGCCTACAAGCTAATGATTCGGAACAAGCCCAAATGAAAGTCTGATACAACGTACGGCAGGTAGCACCGGGTTCCATCGCTACTCTGTCGCCAACCTTGACATTTTTGACCTTGGGGCCAACTGCAACAGACCATGAGATTTGGGCGGCGGGAAGGGGGGGATGCTCAAACCTTTGGCTACGATTCCTGAGGACTCGTGCCCTAACACCTACGAACAAAGCGTCAGGGCAACATCGCATGCCTTAGGATATGACTCACCATAGGGTTCTCAACCACGAAATCGCCGATACGACCTTCAAAAAGGTAATGGACCTATTATATAGTTAAGAGGAGTTTGGAAGCCTTCTTGAGCACACACATCTGAACCACAGATTCCTGGACGAACGTCAGCGTCAACACAACAAAAAACACGGCGAACGCGAACCTGTCTTCTTCACTGCGACAAGCACCTCGTCTCCGCTGACTGATCGATAAGATTATGAGCTCGGAGAAATACAAAAATTTTGGGATCCTCAGTGACCTTCGGGGATGGGACGCTGCTCGTAGACGACGTCCTCGACGCCGCGGAGTACGAAGGAGGGGTTATCAGACATGTGGGATGAATGGATAGGGTGAAGAGCGGTGGGAGTTAGGAGGAACTGTGGAACCTCTTGGAGTGCGTCTCTGGGTGGTCATTTGAGTGTCTTGCAAGAGCTGCGGTCCGCCACGCCGTTCGAGGGATGCTCGGTGATATGTCGGAGGCAGTAGCCAATCACATCTTGTTCACTGACATGCCCTCGAGCTCTTGCGCCGCCTTCACCAACAACGCCTACATTCTCTGGATCATAGTACAGACGCCTCCCTGGTATTCCCCGACGGCCCACGATCGACGATGATCGAGATGGCCAGACCCACGGCGCTCAAAGTCACCGCAGTCCCGTTTCTTCCACAGCTGGGGGCTAACCGCTTCACGTCCTGGACCAGCCTCAATGATTCTTTAAAGCCCCTCCGTCGGTTTCGAAAATGCACTCTTCCTCTTCACAACTTTACTCCTTGCTGGTCAGCTTTTTATTGCAGCTTCACATCTCACTACACGCGTTTCAACCGGCTTGAACCTCGCATTCATTCATTCAATCCTTTACACAAATTCAATCCTTCAATTTCTACATCATCATGGGACGCATCGCCGCCACAGACCTCATGCCTGACTTCACCGGTCGCTCCCTGGACCACGGTCGATTCCAGCTTCTGGAAAGCTTGGGATCTGGCGCCTACGGAAAAGTCTACCGCGCCATCGACACATCTGGCCCCACCTCCAAGCCCAAGATCTGCGCTATAAAGTGCCTCAACAAACCCTCGCCCGGTACCAAAGAGGATCTCCTTCAAACGCGCGAATTTGCCAACCACAAACTGGTGTCAGGACACCCCAACATCGTCACTTTCCACGATCGCTTCTACGACGGCCTCTTCGTATACGTCGTTCTTGACCTGGTCGTTGGCGGCGATTTGTTCGGTGCTATCACCGAGAAACATCTGTTCCAGAAGAACGGGAGGCTTATCAAGAGCGCTTTCATCAAACTCATCGACGCCGTCCAGCACTGTCACGACATGGGCGTCTTCCATCGTGATATCAAACCCGAGAATGTTCTTTGTTCAAACGACGGCACGGACATTCGTCTGGCGGATTTCGGTTTGTCTATCAAGAGTCCTGTGTGCCAGGACTTCGGGTGTGGTAGCTCCTACTATATGAGCCCAGGTAATTATCGTTCTTCTTCCATGAATTCTATGCTCATCCTTCTGCTTCTTAGAATGCATTGGCAGGGACATCGATGCTGACCAGTATTCGACCCGTCATAATGACGTCTGGGCATTGGGCGTCATCTTGACCAACATGATTACTGGCCGGAATCCCTGGAGGTACGCCACTTCGGACGACGACTGCTTCGCAGCATACATGCGCAACAACGACTTCCTCCAGCAAGTCCTGCCCATCTCGTCGGAAGTCAACAGAATCTTAAAGAAGATCTTCACTATCAATCCTTTACGCCGCATCACGCTCCCGCAACTGCGCAACGAAATTCTTGAGCTAAACGCCTTCTTCATCGCTGAACAGGAGCTGCTGTCCATAAAGACACCTCTGCACGTGGAGATCACGACGGAAGTCGAACAATTCATGGACCCAATGTCCGCACCGTACAAGCTCAACCTCGTCCCCGCTGCCTCGAATGTCGAGCTGGTGGATTCGGACGAGTACTATGTCTTCGCCAGCCCTAACGTCGACGACTTCGTTCCTAAACAGCGCCCTGTTGCTCCTCCTGCTCAAACCTCTCCCATCCTCCAGTCGAGCTGCGGAAGTGATTTTATCATCGTCGGGTCGACCGAGTCGCTGTCGGTCCCCGCGTCCGCCTCCTCAGGACCAGAGAGCCAAGGGCCTACTACACCTGCTGCGCGGGCTGTTGATCTCCCTGTTGATATTTCCCCAGTTTGTGACGACGTGGCCTTGGGTGATCCTCTTGTTGTGTCAATTATGGGTGTTCCCAAGTTCAAGGCGGCGACACCTGGTCCCAAGACAAAGGCCGCGAAGGTCTCTACTGCATTCCGTTCGGCTGTCCAGCGCATCAAAGGTCTGTCTGGCGGCAGCTCCTCATCCTGATTCGGTGCTGGGCACCCTTTTTTTTCTCGTGTATCGGACACTACCAAGGACTTCCCAAATGCCAACAAAACACCATTCGCCTCTTCTGTGCTCGTTTTCTCATACTAGTCACTGATTGACCAGCATCTGAAGGTATGAGCTACATTTTTCCCTCTCGTTCAAAGCTCACGCAATTATAGCTGGCGTTTGGCCCTACACTACATGACCGCGACGACATATAAGTACGTTCCTACGGCCGGGGACCGCTAACTCAAAGTCGTCTCGCGAAGAAAAAAAAGTATTTAATCTTTATCTAGGCTTCTTGGACCCTGTAGAGTATTGTACCTATATCCCATGTAATAGTTAGAGCTCGGACTCGCTCTCTTTTCCTTCTTTGCTCTCAAAAGTTCCACGACGCGACTGGCAAGTTTCCGTTCAAAAATGGATCATATCCTTGGCCTCGAGCTGATGGCAAACTTGAAACAAAGAGACGAACTCTCAGAAAATTGGATCGCGTCAGAATGATACCGGTGTTGCAAATATCGCGAGCCGTGTAGAATACGGAATCCCCCTAAGGCCTAGAGAAATGGAGGATCAGAAACCCTGATCCTGCTGTGATCGATTTGCCGATTATCAGCAGGGTAAAAGCACGTGCGCCTTTTTAAAGGTCGAATCGTCGCAAAATTTGGAACCACTTCCTTCCTTCCTCCCATCTCGTAACAAAAAAAAATGGTCCTCTCCAGCGTTCTTGGGTTCCCCCGTATCGGTATGCGCGGGTTTATCGTGACTGTGATCTCTTGATTGACGCGATTGTGATGCGACTGTGCAGGTGCTAACCGTGAGGTGAAGAAGGCCGTCGAGGCTTACTGGGCTGGAAAGATCTCTGCGGATGATCTTACAAAAGCCGCTGCTGAGGTGAAGAAGACCAGCTGGACAACCGTCAAGGCCAAGGGCGTTGACTTCGTCCCCAGGTATTTATCGGATTTTCTAATCGCGTCAATCGAGTGCTAATCAACTTTTTTCTTTGTCTTTGATAGTGGCGAGTTCTCCCTCTATGACCACGTCCTTGACCACTCTGCTGCATTCAACGTCATCCCCAAGCGTTATGTTGGACTCGGTCTCTCTCCTCTTGATGTCTACTTCGCCATCGGTCGTGGCCGTCAGTCCGAGGGTGTCGATGTTCCCGCGTCTGAGATGAAGAAATGGTGAGACCTTGCGTTATTTTGAGACTTCGGTTGAAACTTACCCCATTTCTTCTTCAGGTTCGACTCCAACTACCACTTTGTCGTCCCCGAGTTCTCTGACGAGACCGACTTCAAACTCAACTTCAACAAGGCCGTTGAGGAGTTCAAGGAGGCCAAGGCTGCTGGTGTCAACACCCGCCCCGTCGTTCTTGGACCCATTTCCTTCCTCGTCCTCGGAAAGGCCAGCAAGGACGCCAAGCCCGGCTTCCAGCCCATCAGTTTGCTCAGCAAGCTTATTCCCGTCTACGAGACTCTCCTCGCTGACCTGAAGGCTGCTGGTGCCGAGTGGGTTCAAGTCGACGAGCCCATCCTCGTTCTCGATAAGGCTGCTACCCTTGAATCGCAGTACGCTTCCACCTACGCAGCCCTCTCCAAGGTCGCCCCTAAGATTCTCCTCACCACCTACTTCGCTCGCCTCGACTCTAACTTGGCCTACGTCGCCAAGCTTCCCGTCGCTGGTCTTCACATCGACCTTGACCGTGCCCCCGCACAGCTCGATGAAGTCCTGGCTGCCATCAAGCCCACCCCCATCGTCCTCTCCCTCGGCCTCGTCTCCGGCCGCAACATCTGGAAAACCGACTTCGCTGCTGCTATCAAGACCGGCCAGAAGGCTATCGATGCCCTTGGCCTGGACCGCGTCATTGTCGCTACTTCTTCATCGCTCCTCCACACCCCGGTCACCCTCGCTTCCGAGAACAAGCTGACCCCTGAGCAGAAGGACTGGTTCTCCTTCGCCCTCGAGAAGGCTGCTGAGGTTGCCACCATCGCTGCCGTCCTCTCCGGCTCCCAGGACGCCGCCGTCGCTGCTGCCCTTGAGGAGAACAAGGTGTCCATTGCTAAGCGCCGCCAGTTCGAGAGCACCTCGGACGACACTGTTCGCAAGCGTGTTGCTGCCATCACTCCTGATCAGCTCGAGCGCAAGAGCCCCTTCACCACCCGGAAGGAAATCCAGGCCAAGCACCTCAACCTTCCCAAGTTCCCCACCACCACTATCGGTTCTTTCCCTGTATGTTATATCATATGATATTCATTAAATGATTCGGTCTAACCAATGCTTATCTCTTTAGCAAACCAAGGAGATCCGTCAAGCTCGTGCTAAGCTCGGTAAGGGCGAGCTCACTCAAGAGCAATACGAAGACTTCATTAAGAAGGAGATTGAGACCGTCGTCCGCTTCCAGGAGAAGATTGGCCTCGACCTCTTGGTGCACGGTGAACCTGAGCGTAACGACATGGTTCAATACTTCGGAGAGCAGCTCCAGGGCTTTGTCTTCACCCAGAATGCCTGGGTTCAGAGCTATGGCTCCCGCTACGTCCGCCCTCCCATCATCGTCTCCGACGTCAGCCGTCCCAGCCCCATGACCGTCAAGTGGAGCAGCTACGCCCAGAGCCTGACCAAGAAGCCCATGAAGGGCATGCTTACCGGCCCTGTTACCATCCTTAACTGGTCCTTCCCTCGTGCTGATGTCTCCAGGGAACTGCAATCCAAGCAGCTCGCCCTTGCTCTCCGCGACGAGGTCATTGATCTCGAGAAGGCTGGCATCAGCGCTATCCAGGTTGACGAGCCTGCCATCCGTGAAGGAGTACGTCGGCCGAATTCTTTCTCGCTAACTTTTGCTTACCTATTTTCGTTAGCTGCCCCTCCGTCGTTCCGACTGGGACGCCTACCTCAAGTGGGCCGTCGACTCCTTCAAGCTCGCCACTGCCGGTGTTACTGACCAACTCCAGACGCATTCTCACTTCTGCTACTCCGACTTCGACGACATCTTCCCTTCCATCCAACGTCTCGACGCTGACGTCATCTCCATCGAGGCCTCGAAGTCTGACATGAAGCTGCTCAACACCTTCAAGCAGTACGGCTACTCGAACCAGATCGGCCCTGGTGTCTACGACATTCACTCTCCTCGTGTTCCCGGCGGCCAGGAGATCAAGGACCGCCTCAAGTCCATGCTTGAGATCCTCCCAGACTCCCTTCTCTTCGTCAACCCTGTAAGTTATGCGATTTGGAATCTCTCTGAAGTTGTGCTCACAGTATTGTTCTAGGACTGCGGTCTCAAGACCCGTGGCTGGAAGGAGACTGAGGCCTCGCTCGTCAACCTCGTTGAGGCTGCCAAGTGGGCTCGCGAGAACTACGCTTAATTCTCCCTCAATCTTCCGCTTCAACAGCGTTCGCGATCTGGTTAATTTATGGCGCCTAGTCTATCCTTCATAGGCTAGATTGCCTTGACCGTTCCGTGCTTGTGGCGATAACTATTGGTCTGCAGCTTCCATACTGTGATGACCCAGAAAACGAAGGGGCGCGATGCTGCGTTACGGCCCGCGGAGCGCTTCATTGAGGAAGCGAGGACCTTTGCGTGTGTTGTAGTTGTAGTATTCGGATTTCAACAATCCTTTGTATCAGATAGCGTTCTTGAGTGTGTACGCAATCCATTGGTGATGATAATCTCGAAGCTTAGTGTGGGACACAAATGGTTTTTGGTTATCAAAGATATTCTATAGTTTTTGGATAAATACAGAGCACGAAGGGATAGTCCGACGAGAGCTTCGATACCAATACAAAAAAAATTGCTAATAGATATGTCCGTTGAGAAGAGTCCAATGCTAGGTTCATACCAAATCTAACTTTCCAAGTGTAGGTGAGGGTGTAAATCGAATTCCTCTTTTCTTTTCATCGCCCGGATGGGCTAATTGAGCAGTAAGCTCGAGTGGTGGGCATCGGTGCGAGTCGTGCCGGATACGGTGACGAACTCTGCGCACGGTGGATGCGAGAAGAGAGCTGAAGCGCCTGCCTATTGGCAGGTGCCAGCAAAAGGCGCGAGCAACACACGACGCGGTTTGTGTGGTGGTGCTGGCGTGCCTGTCTGACGAGACGCGTTGAACGCAATTTAACGACTCGGCGCCTGTCAAGATGGATCGTCAGTGGTGAAGAGACAGCGCTCATGGCGCGTATCTGGGAACGTTCGCAGCCGAGGAGCCCCGTGAGTGGGTGCTGCTTAGTCAACGCCGAACCACTTCCTGATGGACGACCTGCTGGACTTGGAGGACGAAGAAGACAGGGACGCCTTCGACGATGCGGTCGAGGAAGCAGAGACCGATCGGTTTTGGTTTTGGTTCTGCTTGGAGGAAGGGCGGAGGATGAACCCGAATTCCTGGTACATCTCGTGGGTCTCGCGAGAGGACGCGGCGGAGGACGGAATGAAGAGGTTGAAGGAAGGTGTAGATGAAGCGGTGGTCGGGAAGAAAGAGTATGAAGAGGTAGCGGAGTACGACATGGCGGCGGTGGTAGTAAAAGTGGTGAAAATGGTTTGGTGAGTTAAAGGGTTGTAGACACAAGAAAGAGCGACTAGTCAAAGTGCTTTTGGTGCGTCGGTGGGTGAGGAAAGTTGAGAGAGAAAGTTGTCGAGAAGTGGGTTGTGGGGTGAGCAGCTACTGGAGGAGATGCTGGGGAATCAGGACATGCGGTAGACACGCTTTATACACGGGCGGAGGCGACAATGAGGCATTCGAACAGTGGGCGGTTGAACCAATCCAGGATGGAAAGAGCGGAGCAGAATTGCCAGCTTTGGCAGGTGTTTGATACGATTGCCCATGGAACGAGAGCCAAATATTGTCGTCAAGGAGACGGCCGAGGTCAGGCGGATTGGTCTTACCCACGAACAATGCTCGGCACTGTTCTCGCTTTTCTCAACTTGAGGATTGGTATTGCATTGCTGGTGCGTTTTGCTCGTAAGGGTAAGTCGCGATACATCGAACAAATAATGCGCCACAATAGCTGGCCTTTTCCGTCCTCTACTCTTCACCTGGGTTCTTGTACCGCCTGAGCGCTCTGTCTCTGGATTCGCTGTGCGCGACAATAGGAAGAGGGTAGCCCAATTTATTTGCTGTCGCGGCGGGCGGGTTATGCAAATCTATGGACGAGATTCAGACAATGGATCCCTAAAGACAAACAATGGTACACACCAGGTCCGGCGAGTTTTCGGAGCTCGGGCACCCAGTGCCGGATGAATTCGCCCGTAGGGTCCACCTAAGAGAAGAATGAGTATTGCGATACACCTCCGAGCTTTAGTATCGAGTCTGACCTTGGAACTCTGGTTGTAGGGATTGAAGATGCGGAAATAGGGGCATGGGTCCACACCCGTGCTCGCACACCACTGCCATCCGCCGTTATTCGAAGCGAGGTCGCCATCTATTAGCTTCTCCATGAAGTACTGACGCCGATATCGTGGTCCGTGGATCAGCCATAATATCCCATACATAGGAAAAAGAGCAACTCACACGTTCGCCCACTCTCCAATCAATTATCAGGTCCTTCGTCAAGAACATCGCTGTGATCATCCGCGCTCGGTTATGCATCCACCCCATCTCGTCCATGCACCGCATCGCAGCGTCGACTACGGATACCCCAGTCGTACCGGTCTTCCATCTTTTCAGCGCTTCGGAGTCGTTGCCGGACGAATCTTCGTGATTCTCCCACACGACATCCGCAAACTTCTCCAGGAACGGGCGTCCCATTGACACTCTAGGAAGCGCGGCCAAAACGTTCGTGTAGAAATCTCGCCATGCGATTTCCTGGATCCATCTGCCAACACCAGAGTTTCCGTCGCCGTTCACCTTGCCAGTCTTCCACTTGACCATCGTGGCGCGGACGCATGCCCGCACAGAGATAACCCCAGAGGACAAATAGAGGCTGCAGAAAAATGAATATAAACTTGTCAGAATAACGGCATTCGACGTACCTAAGGCGGCTCGTAGTGTCACGATCAGCCCTGTCTCTCTCGCTACCGTACTTCAGAACTCGACTCGCTGTATCGGACGCCTCTGTACCGCTGGCCACAGGATCGACAGCGCCGAGCTGAGAAGTGCGTGCCTTCGTCGCAAGGAATGCGTCAAGCATCTAGAGAGATGTATCCTTCAGTATTTATCTCGGGCGTGTTCAATACGGAGCCCACCTTGGCCGCAACTTCTTCGCCCGCTGGCCAGACCTCCTTCATTTTCTCTCTATCAGCGTCATCCAGACGGAAACCTTCAATGTAATCCGGTACTCCTGTATCGAAAAGTTTTGCAAATATCTTAGACGAACGAACATTCTCGTCATTCGCTACCGGGTCTGGACACTCTTCTAGATAATATGGGATGTTCGCATTCAGCGTGGCAATCCAATTTCGCTGATACGGGGAATATACCTAAGAAGAGAGAGAAAAGTCAATAAAGAGTCAAGCCAATTTTATCCAAACATACAGCGTAAGCCTTGTCCTGCTTCGTCACGATAATTCCAGGTTCGATGACGCATTTATTATGGAAGAAATTAGCCTGTATTCCTTTGGTAGCTGCGAGCTTGCATATTTCGAGATCTCGGCGTAACTCATCGACCTCGTATTCGATGTTGGCGAACAGAGTGGTCGCGTCATATTTCTCGCAGAAGGAGAGCGCACAATAAGGGATGGTCTTTCTCGGGATGTGCGTGACAACTTGCAGGGGGATGTGGAGGTCCGAGAAGGATGTCTAGAGTGAAATATATGTCAATGAGAAAAGACGCCTTGACCTGCCCGGGGGACACACCTTCAATAAAGCAAGATTCCTAACTGTGAAGTCGATTCTGCGTGCCCCTCTATCATGCGCAATATAATCTTGCGGGCTGATAATGAACAAAACGATAAGTGGAATGCCATCCTTTTGAGCCTGGTCGGAAGCACGGCTGAGTGCTCTATTGTCGTGAACTGGAAAAAAAGGTTATTAAGGTACACAAGAGGATAACGTGCAGGATCCTCACTTCTGAGGTCGGCCATACGCATCCAGTACACTACGCATTCGCCTTTCTTCGGCTTTTCGACGACATCGTCTAGCGCGTCCATCAACTGTGAAAAAGGGGTGTTGGCATCGACGGCGGCAGCAGCCTCCGCCGTCGCTATCTTGATAGGGTTGAATGTCTTAGACGTGCGTGCGCGTTTCGCATTCGAGTGGCCTTCCTCCGCTTCCGGAGCAGGCGACATTTCGCGTTTGGTCATCGTAGGAGGCAGGTAGGAGTATCTTCTTCTAAGGGCAAGGGGAACTGGAAGTGGGCGTGTTCGCAGGGTGTTTAGGACGTGGTGCATGCAAGACACTTGACGCGTTCGATGCTGCTTCTTCTAAGCCAGCTTCAGACTCAGAGCGCGATCAGGGGGAACGATCATAAGATTACACGTGACGGCGTAATTTACAGACAGGGGTTGCTATGACATCATGGTTAGGTGGGTGACGACGCGCCGTCTGCTTCTTCCTGTTGTCTCTTACACGCTTCAGCCTCTTCTCGTTCCTCCGCCTCGACGACTTCGACGTCCAGTGGGAAGGTCAGGATGGCGGCGATTCCAGTCAGTTGGTTAAGTTCTAGGATTATGTCAGACAGAGAAAAAAAAGGTAGAATGAAGAAAAGGGCTCACGTTGACCAGATTCGTGCATACTCGAAAAGATCACCACTTCGCCGCCCTTTTGCTGAACCGCCTCGACTACAGCAACATACTTCTTTCTCGTCGTGGGATCACTTGACCTGTATGACGCGTCATAAGCAAGAAAATATAGTTGATTGGATCGAAAGCATTGCACACCGGAAGAGGTCGTCAGATATCAAAAGTGTCCCAATTGCCCCTCTGTCTGCGGCAAGGCAAACGTGGTCGGGGCCGTACCAAGCTCGCATCTCATCAGTTCCAAGCATTTTGAAAAACCTTAACAGCGATAAGCAGTCGGCAGTCGGACAATGTATCAAAGAAGAAAACCTACTTATCCAGAATCATTCCTTCCCTTGCAAACTTAGTTTCTTTCAGCTGGTTTGCAACCTGGATCGGATGTTAGAGGCACAATTTCAAGGGTGCTAAAAGGCTTACCTCTGGGCTCTTCAGGACCTCGACCAAACTATGCACGTGTGGGCTGTTGATATGAACTTTAATGCCCTTCTCCTTCATTGCTTTTTGAAGCATTTTATCGCCTCTCCTGCCCGCCTCCGTCACGATATAGTCGTAGACAGCATCTCTAACCCAGCCTGGACTGGCAATGACGATGGCTCGGAGGCCCACACTGCCGTATGGGATGTGGCGAATGAAGGAGTCGTATAGGGTGGAGTAGAATTTTACCAAAGCCTTGTCGTGTTGCGATCCTCCAGATTTCCTGGGTATTGAGACCGATATTCGGTGGGTAATCAAGGTCATATGTTGAGAGAGCAGGCAGAACGCGGCGACACCCTCTCCACAGACGACGGCTCCGACCTCAGCACCTTTTCCAGGTATAATGGCCTCTTCTACGCGTGCGACGGCGACACTGTCCCATCCATCGGCTTTCTCTATTCGGACGTCGCGATTGGCTTCTACGTCGAGTGTGTGGAAGGCGCCGAGCTTCACGTGGGCGTTTTCTGAGATGACGCGTCCAGAGATATGTAGAGCTGCAGACGTTGTTCCGGCCGATGATCCTCCATCCTGGTCTGTGCTCTCGGTATTTGAAGCACCTGGAGCGGCTCCAGACGAGAAATCTACTCGGCCGACTTGGATAGTGAGGTTCAGACGGACGCGATGAGATTCAGTTGATCCTGTCGAGGATACGTTTTGCACTCGCCTGCAAAAGTCGGGGTCAGCGAGACGGGGGTTCAATCGAGTGCAAGAACTCACCGAATGGCTGGCGCACGAACTGAATCGCCTGGCTGTATCAAATTGTACAGATGCCACATATCTTCGTCATCTTCCGGCCGCAGGGTGACATGTCCCTACAGACCCTGTCAGGATTCAACCAAAGTGCTTGCAAGACAAGTCAGACGTACCGCTCCGTGTTTATCGATGAATTTGTTGACCAATTTCATTTTATCGTCTTCGAAATCGAGTAATATGTTTTCCAGGGAGGAAATCGCCGGGTGGATGCGAAGGATAGCTGGGTAAGACGGTGGGTCGAGGAAGGGATCATATCCCGGTGTGGTCAAGGTGCAATCATTTGCCCCCGATCATCTCTCGGCCAAAGTGCCACACTTTGGCCACAATTGGATCAGACTCGTTTCTTCCTACCTCCATCATCGACCATCGTCGCGTCGAACGCCCTCCATGTCAAGGTTCTTTCTTTGTGCCTCTTTCTGAGGATCTTCAGTAATACCTAACCGTCCAGTAGCTCAAAAGCAGCTTCACTAGCTACTCGCCTTGCCGAACCAAACAATCCCAATCGAAGCCGACGAGATGGCAGTGACGAAGAGGACGACGAGGACGCGATCTTCGCAGAACTCGAGGAAGAGATCGAAAATAACTCCAGTGCCGCAATCAGGGAGAATGGCCTTCAAATACTCAAGCAAGAGTAAGGTGCCCCTTACCAACTGCATGAGACCTTGCAAAGTCCTCATGTTCTTTACGCAGAATGAAACGAATGAAGGACATGAAAGCAAACGAGCACGGCACATATACCGAAATAACGGACGAGAAAGAGGTCGTGCGAGTGAGTGCGTGAGTTCTGTTCTCACCGATCCCTTTGTCTTCGGTGCTAATCTACCCTTCGTAGACGAGAGCCTCGATGCGTTATTCATTTCTACCACACGAATTTCAAACGCTGCGAAATCATGGACAAGCACCTAGCCGTGCGTCGTCTCCTTTTGTCCGGGCTCTTCCAATTTCATTGACTCCATTTCATCCAGAAACTGGCGCCAAAGTACTATAGCACGCGTTTTGCGCGTGTCTTCGTCGAAAACGTCCCTTGGCTCGTGGAAAGATTGGGAATCAAGGTCCTACCATGCGTAGTTTGTTTCGTCGACGGAGTCACAAAGGATCGGTGCGTCAGTCCATGGGTGCTCACCCCATTATACTTACCGGATGCTGTTAGTCTAATTGGATTCGAGGAACTTGGAAATCAAGACGGATTTGAGACAGCTGCCCTTGAACTGAGATTGCAACAATCAGGTTGGCAGTGTTCAGACTGCGAAGTGTGCATATCTAAGTGACGTCTTTCAGGTGTGATTTTGAAAGGCAATCCCAATGCCCTGCAACCTCTATTCAAGGTTTCCTCAAGCCGACAGAAAAACGACGACGACGAAATCTTCGATCTATGAAAATATTGCGTCTTCCAGTTCGATCAGCCATTAATACAACCACGTACAGTAAAATAAAAATACAAATAATGATATAAACCAGCACACGTCCTTGTCAACCCAGGAGACGGAAACGAATGATCGTCCGATGGCCTGGTAGAAAGCGATGAGAACGGTCCGGAACGACGGCAATCTCGAGTTCTCCTTGCATTGTCTTCGCAAAGGTAGAGATTGAAATCCCATCGTTCTCCCGCATTGGCTGAAGGATCGGGACTTGGTAATTGCAGACAAATCGAATGGAGACCCCTCCGCCGTCCAGCACAGATACGAGTCGTTTCGAACTTCAAAAAGAGAGGTTGTTAGATCACGGAGGTGAAAAAAAGGCTTGATTATGATTACTTACTGGAATTTAACTCTACCTACGCGCTCGAATTCCCTCTTCATCTTCAGTGCATTGCCATCGATCTTGTCCTTGTGTCCAACAATATCGAAATCAACAGCGACGATTGAATATTCGCCATCGAAGGCGAACATAGTCTTCGCGGCTGCGACCTTTGGCTCGGCAGACTTGAACAGATAGAAGAGGGCCTGCCCTTTGAGGAACCCGTTGAGTCGATTCTTGAAGTCTGCCAGGAGAACCACGAAACATTTGTACTGAGGGTAAGGGGTAGGTCCATGCGGCTTCGAATGGGCTTGAGAAGCCTGACGCAATATGGCTTGTGCTTCTGGTGCGTTCCCGCTCTCCTTGACTAACCACAGTTGTCTTCCCATGCATTGCTTGCACAGACTTGATGTTGGTTTTCCTTTTAGTACTACACCACAGTCTACACTTTGACACCTTCCTAACACAGGGCCACGCTTTGGAAGACCTGCCTGCATCCGACGTAAGAGATGGGCGGGAGAATAGTAGGATGGATAACGCACCAATGTTCGAAGAGCCTTCGTTGGATCCAATTCTAGCTTATTCATTTCCAAAGTCTCAGGCTCCGTACCAGTGGCATCCTTGCTGACCTTCTCCAGCCGCTTTCTCTCTCGTCTGCGAAGACGGCATAGTGCACACATTTTCCACCGGTATTCACTGACGGGTGGGATGATGTAGGTGCAATCGCGAACAGAACACAATCTAGCACCGGCGATAAGGGTGACTGGATCCTGGCTAATTTCCTGAGCATCTGCGAGGAAGCCCTACCAGGGGATGAGAACAATTGCACAAGAGTGTGAGCAGCAAGACGCACACCAGGGAGGGGTGGGCCCGTATTTTGCACCCGCGCGAGCTCTTCGTCCAGTCGAGTATGCCTGCCCTTCAAGTTCTGTCGTCTGCGCTGATATTCCCGGCCGCGAGCTCGGCACATGACGCAGGACTTCCACCGATAACTTAAAGGCAGGAGCTGGTTGCACTTTGGCGACCCGCACTTTCTTGAGTAGATACCAGTAGGGCGAGCTGGGATACGGATTTTGAAACCAGAGGTCGTAGATTCATCCTCCTTCAAACCAAAGCCATAAGAAATGGAACGCCGTGACTCAGGGAAATGCCTACCTTGTCCGATTCAGCTTCGTCAGACGCGACTTCAGATTCCGTTCGGGTTGAATCGGTTAGCTCAGAGAGGTCGCTGTCCCAACCACTAATCGTGTCAGTTACATTGCGGTCCATTTTGTCGGTCAGACTGGGGGTTGAAGAAAGTGCGTTGGATTCGAAGGAGGCTTCACTTTGCTTGTCGGTAGGAGACGTGGGCGGTCGGGCCAAAGGGACCTCCTCTTTCGTATCTAGTTCCGGAGAATCTTGTTTCGACTCTGCTGGCACAGCAGGCGCTCCGTCTTTCGACGAACCCTGGATGAAGGACGGGATACCCTCTGCCACAGTTTTGCAATCAGGGTTCGCGATATTCAGGGGAAGGTCGTCATTTTTGATATCTTTGAGACGGGGGATCTTGATGATCAGTGCCTTTGCTCTGGATACGTCTGGGAGCCCAGATTCTTCAGATATTGCAGACGTCGGTGTCAGTCGGTCTGCCCATGTCACAGATTTCTTCTTGTTTCTCTGCTTTTCTCCTGGTGCTTCTGAGGTGGTGGTGGTGGTGGTGGTGGCGGCGGCGAAGGCGGAAGTCACATGTTCCCCATTCTGTTGGCTTGCCTCTGGAAGGCGTTTCGCCTTCATTGATTTCCAATCGCGCTTGACACACTGCAAGCACCTCGTGGCCGAGGAATCGAAGAAAACAATTCCTGTGCAGTCGGGGCTTGAACATAGCTTAAGCGCACGAGGAGGTTTTGAAGCGACATTCTTCTTTGGCTTCAGAGTATCTGGTGCAGTCTTCGGTACTTCCTCACTGGGCGTAGATGGATCTGGCGGCGGGGACTGAACTAATGATGTGGGCTGAACAAGTGGCGTAGGCTGCATAGGCGGTGCAGGCGGTATTGCTATTGTGGGTACGATGACATGAGCTAATTTCTGACGTTTATTCGGCGGTTCAATCTGGGAAGACTCTTTGGGACTGGATGTCTCCGCCGTTGCCCGCCCGGACTGAACAGATGGGTCCACGCCTTCGACCTGTTATCGTCAGTTAACTAACGTCGATGCCGAATTAGAAAGTTCACGTACCTCCGGATGAGTCAATTCAGCTGTTTTCATTTCAACATCTCCATGAGTGTCCCCGTTATTGACTACTGGGGGTTGGTGCTATCAAAAATCCAAAATCCATGAGACATTCCGAATGGTTATTCTTTTAGTTTGGAAACTGACTGAAATAACAGAAAGGGTGTCGTTGTCCGTACTTTTTGGGCTTGTCACTTCAACAGCATCCTTTGGCTGCGACATTTGAACGAACGGGAACGAGATCGGAGCAGGGTGCTCCTTGTTGGGCATCTGTACTCCCTGTTCCGAAGGGCATGCGTTCTCGGCCCAGCAGCTCGGACAGACTTTCCCGATGTAATGTCGCGGCATAGAGGATGTGCATTTATAACAGATGCGTGGGCTGGTTCCAGTTGAATCGCCTGGTACGACGTGTTGATTTCCTTGCAGCTACGAAAAAGTTCAGCGCCGACGACTTGTTTATAAGCAATTTTCGTTACCCGAAGCCTGGGTACTGATTGAATTAGTTCTCCACGAGAGTTGAAGTGTTCTAGCATAGGAATCCCGGAAGTGGAGGCCAGAACGCGTACGAGACGCGTAGATTGAGGGGGAACTATAGTCGAAAACCCATGATGTTGTTGAGATGGAACGATAGAAGATGGGACATGTCCGGGGCCAGCGGGGAGAGCCAAGCTGGAGCCAGACTATTGACGATGTCAACATGGAGGAGAAACAAAGAACCTGAAACTCTTACAAAAGACGACTGTGGGGTGCCATCAATACTCAGCTCACCAGGTTTCAGAATCGGAATTACGTACGACGTGCTCAGAAAGCTCGCCCGAGGGCGTAAAGATGCCAAATCTCCCGTTTGACGCGCTTTGCGGGGCAGAAAAAGACCTCCGCGACCGCAGCTTCGTGGTACAATAATTGCATATATTGGTCTTAGATATCGCTGGAAGGGTTCTCTCGCAGTTCCTTTGAGAACACAAGCGGACTTTGCCTATGGAACTCATTGACGACCCGACACGTGTCGACAACAACTGCGAGTTGTGCACCTCCATGACGCAAATCACCTCCTATTTCGCGATATGGGAGGGTCAGGTCGGCTACTATACGAGAAGCGCTTCAGTTATGCATTTTGAAGAGAGAAAGGTGTTGGACATACCGCCAGTGGCTGAGTTGGGGGAGGAACTGGTCGCCAGCAAGGTGCTCAACGCGACAGAAAAAATGGAAACCCCTCATTTGGGTCGAAAAACTCGTCTATAGATTACGAAATTTTAGAGTTCTGCGAAATCAAGGGTCTATTGCAACCAGCCGTCGGCATTGATGCCAGGGCTGCATGTGCGCGCGATTCCGAAGTTTGGCGATAGGCGCTCGAGTAAGCACGACGCTGCCAAGCCAACCTACGATTGGGCGCCGAAGGACTGCAAACGACAGAGCGGTGATCATGGCGCTGGGGTATATATTTTCTGGTAGTAGTGTTACACTCAGGGCAAGGCCATCGATTTTCGAATGGTTGTAATCAAGTCCCACTGGTCGGTATCGCCATGGATGTCGAAAAAATTGATGCCTAGCATGCCCACTCTCTTTGCGAAAGCTGCCTTCATACTCAACGACTCCAGGTCGTCGTAGGTGATGACCTGACGAGAAGCAGTTGAGCGTAGAAACGGGGTGTCCGAGCAAGAATCCCAGCGTCGTTCAAAACCGCCACCTGCCGTGAACGACACCGTATCTCCTGAAATGGATCGTACTAGAGCACCCTGAGCAACAAGTTCCCTGAACTGGATCTGCCCTTCGGAATCTCCGTCGTCGTTGATCACCTTGACTGCATTTGAATCGGCTCTCGTACGAAGGCGCTGAGTAGTGGACGAAGAAATGTAGCCGTACGAAGGTAAGCCAAGGACCAGTTTGCACGGCGGAAACCCAGCTGAGGTCCACGAGTTGTAAGCAGCGACAGCATTTGCGCCAGGCTGCGTCGAATTGCCGCAGGCATCGCGAAAGGGTGCGTTTGGTCCTGGTTTCGACGACGCTAGAGAGGAGGACATTAGGTCGTGCATCAGCGATTCAGCTGACGAGGCAACTCACAACCCCACACATCATAGTTCATGAGGACAACCCAATCCAACACCTGTGCAAACCCTGAGACGTCCATTGAAGGATTTCCTTTGCTATTCGTGAAAGGAACTGTCTCTACTGCGGCACTTAAACGGGCTGTAGCTGGTAGAACAGATCTAAGGAGTTTGAGGAAAGACAGGAAGTTCGCCGAATCGTTCGAATTGACGGTATTCTCATGAGCTCCTTTGTGACCAGGGTACTCCCAGTCGAGGTCGATCCCATCCAGATTATAGGTCTTGTAGAAGGAGGCAATATTGTTGACCAACGTTCTCCGGCTCTGGTCGGTAGACACAGCAGGGGAGAAATGTCTAAGAATGGTTGGTAAATAGTTCGTAATATGTCGCCGGGATTGCTCACTTGCTTCCTGTCCACCCTCCAATACTCAGCTTCACTTTTGTATTGGCTGCATGAGCCAACGAAACGAGGCGTTTTAAGAGTTTCGGTGCGGTTTGTGGCTCGTCCCATTGCAAGGCAAATTTGGTGTTGGGCACGGCGAAAGCGAAGTCGATCCAGTCAAATCGTTTGAAGTCAATCTTCTCCGGAGGGAAAGTGAAGCTGACCCAGTCAGGATAATATCCCATCACAAGTGCCCTGGAAGGACACCCATTCCTATCTGTCCCATCGGAGGTGGGAGTGCGGCTGGAGTTGAAGTCGTTGGAGGGACCAAGTATAGGAATGATGGCTATCGGATCCTGAGCCTGGCCAGGAAAGAGAACAAACGAAGGTTCTTGAGAAGGTGTGAGAGAAAGAGTGGGAACGGAGGTGTTGAAATTAGCAGCCGGAGGTGGAAGGGGAAGAGAAATTGGGACGTCGCGTTTGTTCTGGCGAAGTTGATCCAGAGGGTTTCGACTCGGTTCTCGTAGGCAGAAGAACACAGGAAGTAGGTAGATGAGAAGACCTGCACAGCAGATGATTTCAGTGAGACGCAATGAAAGCATGTTGACTGCTTTATCGAGTCGAGAACGAGGAAAAAGTTAAGCTGGCTTCCCAGCCCATGAAACTGGACTTTGTCAGACATCGGCCTCCCTCATGATCTGGCCTGGGATGAATTGCACAGGCGACTATGTCGAGAAAGGGGTCTTCGATAATGTGGCCGGCCGAAAGCGATATTTTTAGAATGCCAACGAGCTGCTGACAACGAGCAGGAGTTTACCGCGACCACAACTCTCCTCGCTCTCCGAAATTATTACTGTCCTCTTAACCACCCTTTCTATACTGGCGGCATGCTTCACGTCGTTCCTCAACAAGCACCTGCTAATAGACCTGCAAGAGGGAAAGGCATCCTCGAGGGGTGTTATGATTTTACTTGAGCACGACCATGGCAGCCGTAGTCTCACTTTGGATGGTCACTGATTGGTGGCTTCAACACAGTGTGTAGCGCCAGACTGTCAGCAATTTCGGAGGCGGAGAGGATCCCATGAAGAAATGTTTTGGTTTGGGTCTCGAAAGCTTCGAATGAAGAACTTAAAGGGGTCTCTACGGAAGCTTAAGGGGGTACCTCAACTATGATGGTATGGCCTACGGCATACTACGGATTTAGAGTGCTGCCTAGAGCTCCATAGAGCCTGATTCATTTTTCATTTCAGAGCTGAAAATCCGGTTTTGCTGATGCCACTTGTCGCAGGTGAAAAGGCTAAGTGAAGTACTAGCAAATAACACAATGTAGGATTACTACTACAGCACGGCCGGAGAAGACGGCGGGCAGACAGACATTGCCTATTGTCACTATAATGAACCTGGTCTCGCCCTTTCTGACCAGTTGGGCGGTATCCTCTATTGCGATGAACGTCGGGCGCGCCTATCATCACCTGCCATAGTCCGGTCCGACTAAGGTCGTCCCCGCCATTCGATTTCTTCCTAGTTCTCCTCACCGCTGCTTGTTCGCCTCACCGCCCGCTCCCGCCCTCGCCCAGGCTTATTCCATCCCATTCTCTACGGGTGAGCCTCCTTCAAGTTCGCCATCCCGATGCTTTTTCTCCTGTTCGCCTCTGTTCGTTCTATTATTAGATTGGACTATAAATTTATAGGCCCTCGTTTGCTGCATCCTCGAAGTTATTTCCACAATTACCGTCTGTGCTTCATTCGGGTCAAGTTCCTAAAAACATCCATTCGACGGCGCGTTTCATCTCTGCGATGTCACGGCCTCTGTGGCTAACCCGCCGGAGGATCTCGTTGAAGGTGCTAGTGGTCAAGTCTGGTTGAAATATCCTGATCGACGTCTCGCGGGTTCGAGGGCTCAAGCGCTCACCTTTGGACGTTCAGCTGCTGCAACCTAGCACGCAAACTCGATGTCAGTTCCATGGGTCCCGGACAAAAACCTTGGTTATAGTAGGTAGATTGGTTGATTGATGCTACGGATCACCAGCCCGTGTCTTTTACCCAGCTGAAGCCGAAGACGAAGCCTAAGATCCCCCTAGAGTCCTCGTAGGTCCTCGTCGTCTTGTTAAGGATGCAATGGATGTGCAAACCTATCCTTTCATGATTTTTTTTTTGGTTGAATTGAGTGGTCTGCATGGCTGTTGGAGAGGTGGCGAATTAACTTGGAAGCCATGGAGTTCTGTCATGCAATTCACGGTAGAAGGTACATAGGCTGACATTAGTGTAGCTAAGTCTCAGGGCAGGAAGTCCTGGCTTGGACTTGCCTTTAAACTCAAGAATAAAGTTGTTCATTGGCCATTACAACAGGGTACTTTCAACGAGACGGTCGACAAGAATTTCGTTATCGTAGCCCATGATGCACTCTGGCAACCACTCCCACCAGTCACTTGCATCGTCAATGCTTCGGGTGTTCATCGCCTTCAATACCTCCCAATATTCAGGGTAGAACCCGCCCATCTCCCAGTCTATGATCCCCAAAGTCAATTCCGCGCCATTGATGCTGATGATGACATTGCCGGGATGTAGATCACCATGAGTGAGCAAGATGCGATGGTCACGTCGCATCATGGACTGTACCCATTTTCGGTAGCCCAGAGAGGCGCGAGAAGTTCGGGAATGAGTGAGGAAGTCATTGAACTCCTCCTCAGTGTGTATTGGGTCGGAACTGATGCGCAAATCCCTCCGGCAGTCCTTGCAGACTTGTTTGCTTGATAAGGATCCCATCGGCGACCCGGAGGGCAAGTGAACCTTTCGGAGATCTGACAGCATTCTGTTGAGCAGGAGTCGGACAGCATACTTTTCTCTGGTAGGCATCATGGGCCAACGATCCTTCAAAGTCTCCCCATGAAATCGGGACATAAACATACATGATATAGTCCCGACCAGCATAAATCCCATTGGGCGCGGGGCAGCCACCGTAGGGACATGCTCTTGCAGGAAGTGCAGAAGCGTCAGCTCATCGCTGCTGCTGTTGCGAACTAGTTTGACCACAACTTCTTCGCTGAGTGCCACAATGGCGCGTTGCCCACTCAGGGCCAACGGTTCCTTGTTGGAGAAGACACGAAACAACACTTGTGCGATCTCTGAACCACCGTAATCGTGGTGACTGATTCCAAGAGTAGCAAGAACTTGAGGAGCAAGAGATGAAATGATGTGTGTCGTAGTGATGCCTGAAGACAGGGATGACAATAGGTCCGGCGGGAAGGATAAACGAGGTTGAGAAATCGGGGGCTGCACATAGACGCTACAATCTACTTGCTTGTTCTTATTCCCGGCTGTGAAACATGAGGCTATCGATAAGTTCTACTGTGCAGTGTTTCGCACCTGCAAGTTTTACACGTCGTTTGTCGACTCGGTCGCGCAGTCGTGGATAGGACATGGACAGGTCACGGAGCGCATCCTCCAGGTCCCCCGCAGGGTCGGCTTCAAAGGCCTTTGCCAAAGCGCGAAGAGCAGATGCATTGAGTCTTTGATAACCATTCTCCATGCTGAGCGAGCACTGTGGAGTTGCAAATTCAATGGTTGTGGAAGAAGGGAAACAGGCGATCAGCAGATGATGTCAGGTTCGAAATTCCCGTGTTTAGTATTGATCTGGTATTGATCGATGATGAATTGCACAAGCGCGTGTCGAGAAGGGGTCGGGCAGCATTGAAAGGTTGTGCACACCGCGCGCAAAGAAATGGTGAGAGAGTGATGTTTTTAGAATGACGCGTCTTCGTACTTACGATGAAATCAACATTCCCACGACCGAGCTGCCCGAGTTCCTCTCCACAACCACCAAGTTCTCGACCACAAGGCTGCCCTAGGTGAAATGATGCAATTTCAACGCTTCTACTCTTCAATTCGATCCAGAAATACAACTCCGGTGGTATTTTACATGTGCTCATCGTCGTGACTGGGAGTCCCATGATTCCACTCGTTTGGCCTAGTGTCCAAACCTTTGCACTATAAATTACAAACGGGCGCGACATTCAAAGCTATAGTGTCTTTCCACCTTAGTCTCAAGGATCAGGCTCTTCTGTCATGAAAATAGTATCTTTGTATAGTCGTTTCATCTCGTGTCTTGCAGTGGCAAATGCCGCTGTCACCTGGACCGCGACGCCCTTCTCTCCTCCAGCCTTCCCGCTGGCAGTGCGTTCGCCGTATCTCTCAGCCTGGCTGCCGCAGGGATCTGGTAGATTTGTCCTCGTCGCGGACTGGTAGACGCTCACTCTACATTCTAGGTGCCGCTCTGAACGACGTTTGGCCCACTTTCTGGACTGGTCAGGTATGGGACGTCAATCGTCCGGTTTTTGGAAGTGAAATTAACGACTCTCATTAGATCCTTGGTTGGGCGGGCTTCGTGAAAGTCGATGGGAGTGCATTTAGTTTCCTTGGTGCCCCGAATGTTCCTGGAGCAGCCTTTAATAAAGCCGTTCAGAAATCGTCAAAGGTTGGCTTGCTTGCTTTCTTTTTATGAAAATGTGCCCAAGTAATGGCTATCACAGTTCACATCTACGCAAAGCGTCTTTGTTCTTTCGGCAGGGCCGGTAAACATCACGATTACCTTCCTCAGCCCAGTTGAGGTATGCAAATTTCGTCACGGTCAAGGAGGTTGTATTCATTTTTCCAAGCCGACAGACCTCGTCAAGCAATCGATTCCCTTTTCTTATATGGCAGTCTCAGCAGCCTCTACCGACGGAGCACCCCATTCTGTCCAAGTCTATTCAGATATCAGCGCCGAATGGGTTTCAGGCGACAATTCACTCATCGCGAACTGGAGTACGACCACGGGTAGCATCATAACTCATCAAGTGCAACTTGCAACCCCAGTGCCGTTCTCAGAGATCAACGACCACACGCAATGTGAGCACAACGTTGACACCGCCTGAGGTCACCTACCTATGACTACATGATCTAACATCAGAGCATCACAGATGGCTCTGCTTTCTATTCCACTCCGAACGTAAGTGACCGACGCCACGTTGGTGTTTTCTCTCTGGGTCTCAACCATCAATGTTAGACTGCGAGTGCAACCTTCCAATCAGGCGCTGACGTCGTGGTTCGAGCGCAGTTCATCAACAGTGGCGCCCTTCCCAATACGAGAGACACCAACTTCCGCGCGGTTTCGAACAACTGGCCTGTATTCGCCCTGGCGCATGACCTTGGCGCAGTCACAGCCTCGACTGAACCTGTGGTATTTTCTGTTGGGCACATCCGCGACCCAGTGATACCATACATCGTTGCGAATGGAGCGATTCAACAGAGGCACTTATACGCCTGGAGCCAGTTCTCCAGCCCAGCCGACATAGTGAATTCCAATCCTCATCCATTCTCTAAGCTAAGTACCTTATGCTATATTCTCTTTCTGTAGATCTCGTCTTTCTTGGGCGATTACAACAACGCACTCGCCATAGCCCAAGCCTTCGACGCGAAAGTGCAGAACGACGCCAACAAGATCTCAGCGGACTATACAGGAATCGTAGAGCTTTCGATACGGCAGGCATTTGGAACCATCGAATTCACCATCTCCAAAAACGCCAATGGATCGTTCAACGCGAATGATATTCTTGTATTGATGAAAGGTCAGTTCGCGTCTTCGACCACGTAAACAATTGCGATGTTTAACGCTTTATCAATCAGAGATTTCTAGTAATGGAGTCAGTCATCCCCATCTTCCGTCTTTCGGTTTCTTCATTCACACTCAAACTCCTCATAGAACATGAACACCGTCGATGTTATTTTCCCTGCCTGGCCCCTTTTCTTGTACACGAACCCAGCGATCGGGAAATATCTGCTTGAGGCGTTGTTCAGGTACCAAGCAACGGGACAGTATCCTAACAAGTTCAGCATCCATGACCTTGGTAGGTGTTACTTTGAGGACGTAAGGATTGGTGTTAATCCATTCTTATAGGCGCGAGGTACCCGAATGCTACTGGCCATAATGATGGAAATGACGAGCACATGCCTGTCGAAGGTCAGTTCATGGAATATAGAGGACTAGGTACGAGGAGCTGAAGTCTATTGGTGCAGAGAGCGGGAATATGATCATCATGTCATTGAGCTACGCCGAAAAGACCGGAGACCACTCGCACATTCAGCAATACGTGAGCATCATTTCCAGCCAACGCTTTCCAGCATGCAGTCTCTGAAACCTATCTTCTTCCAGTCGGCCTTGCTTGACCAATGGACCCAATTCCTTATCGAAGACTCCCTGATCCCAGCGAACCAAATCAGCACAGACGACTTTGCAGGCCCACTAGCCAACCAGACGAACCTCGCCATCAAGGGCATCATCGGTATTCGAGCTATGGCGGAGATCGAGAATATGCTAGGAAACACTGCGAAGGCGGCGAATTATTCTGTAAGCATTTCTTCCGTTACTCGTGTCCCGTCTCGACGTAGACTTGGTCGTGTGGCTGATGCTGACGTCCGTGCAAGGCAATTGCGAGTGACTACGTCAGGCAGTGGCAAACCCTGTCGGCGTCGTCGTCAGGCCAGCATCTGACGCTCTCAGTGAGTCACTTAAAGCTCTTGTCGATCGATGGCGCTGCCACTGACCGATGGCTTATATGCTTATATAGTACGGCAACTCCTCGAGGTACGTTGAAGTTGTTCGGAACTTTGGGTGGCGGGTGGCGGGGCGGTCCCTGGTATAGGTGTTTGAGATCTTAACGTTAATGCTAACGTTGGGCCTTTTTTGAATTTCGATTTTTAGCTGGGGCTTGTCGTACAACCTTTTCGCTGACAAGATGCTGAAGCTTAAACTCTTCCCCGAGTCGGTGTATGCGATGCGTGCGTGCTTTCTCTCCTTCTCCATTCTTCCATTCCAAAACACTGACTCCTTTGTTAATCTCGCCTTAGAAACGGCTTGGTACAAGACAGTCGCTCGTGAGTCGCCTTTTCGAAGAAAAAGAAGAAAGAAAAAATGCTGAATGATCGAATGCCATTCTCCTGGACGTGCAGAGCCCTTTGGCGTGCCGCTGGACACTCGGTAAGCATGCATACATGATCGGTAGTGGCGCGTATGAAGCCTGCCTGTTCTCGTCCGTTTCACCCATGCAGGCACACGTACACGAAGTCTGGTACGTACTTCCTGTAGCACCAAGTCCATCGCACTTGGTTTGATGAGCACAAACTTACGGTGGTATGGGCTTAGATTGGGAGATCTGGACCGCCGGGATCATGACGGACACGGCTGGACGCGACTTGTTTATCGGCGCGGTGAAGAGATGGGCGTCGGATGGGCTGAGCTCGCAGCCCTTTGGCGACTGGTATGAGACGACGGACGGGCGCCCACAGGGGTTCCGTGCGCGTCCTGTCGTCGGGGGACATCTTGGTACGTGCCGGATTTCTTGCTGTGGTGCCCATGCAAAAAAATTGATAGTACTGATTGGATTCTTTTCTTGCTCTTTCTCTTCTGATCGGTTGGTGTGAACAGCACTGGTGAGTCTTTCCCCGCAATTTTCTGTTTGTTGAGTAAACGTTGCTGATGCGCCACGGCATGGACGGTTGTTTTTGGTTGTGGATCCATCCAGCTTGTGCTCTGACGCCGATCTTCTCTCGAGCCTCTGAATTTAAATACCCACGACTCAGTGCTCAGCGCTCAGCTTCCAAGAAATCAAACACTCGTTTTTTTAATTTCTATCCCAGCAAACCCTTCCGCACCCATGTCCACGAAATTTGCCTGCGCAATTCAATTGCAAATTTGATGTCATCGACACAAGCTCGGGTGGTGTTGCAACGTGCTAAGGTCGCCCTCGGGCCTCGGTCGTGTAAGCATTCACGATCGGTTTTTCGCGTCGCTGCGTGGCGGGCGGCGATTAGGAATGAGACATGAGAAATTAGTAGCCGGCCTGCGTGGATGCCTGGAGGCTTGGAGGCGCGTCTTGCCGGACATGTGGGTGTTGGAAGGTGCGCTGGCAAGCCCTTGGGCGTGAGCTTGGGAACTGAGGCTGAAGCGGTGGGGAAATGACTCGGAAACCTGAGTATGAAGTATGATTCATGAATTCAAGAAAACTTCTGCTCACAGAAGCACTCAAGATTTCGAAGCGTGTGTGCTGGCAATACATAATGCGCCTCGATGTAATGCTAAGAGCTAAGAGTCCAAACTTAGAGCCCGACGCGCTATGATTGAATTGGAAAACTTCGCGTTGGCGCTAAAGCCCGCCGCCGCCGACGCTCGTAGTATTCGTACCAATGGATCGGGAACCGCACCCGGGCTCACTCCGACTCTCGAGGGCCGCAAGTCGCGACGACGACGACCGTAAGGACCGCAGGCTCCGAGGAGGATGCATTCTGATTTTTTTCTTTCCTTGGTTTTCGGTTTCTACCGCCACACCACGCTGGTGCAGCTGATCGGCGGGGTCTGGCCTGCACGGTCCGTCGTCGCGTCGTCGTCATCGTGTGGTGGGTAAGTATGTAGGTAAGGTCGCCAGCGCGAAATGGCGGAGACGGCGTTGGCTGAAACAACATCCGTTATGGGCGCGGTCGACGTGGCCACTGGAAATCAAAGGGCGCCTGGCGGCGCATCGATGGCTCGAATTAGGCTGGCGTGCGTAGGGTAGGGGACCCTGATCGACTTGGGGCACTTGGGCTTGGCTGGAACGCGAAGTTGACGGTGTAGCTTCGAAGGCCGCATTTGGCTCGAGGCGTACTTACCGACGCGAGGCATACACGAGGCGGCGACGCGACGTCGATTCATGGGTTCAGGTTGAATGGTTGTTCATTCCACCAGAACTCGCGTTGCTGCCCGCCGTGCATGCACAATTACTTACGTGGGGTTGGGTAATTGGAGCGCGGCGCGTTGGACATGGACGTGCCGGACGTTGGGTGAGAGGAGGGTACTGGCAACCGGGGACTTGATCGGTTTTTGTGGTGGGTATGCAGTGGTCAGACGACTGCTGGGTACTAGACGCGCTCTGAGAGCGGTATTTCGTGGAGCTCGTGAATATTTAATGAGGATCCGGGCGTTTCTTCGCGCGTCAGACTACTCATTGACATTTAGTGGTGTGCTGATAGATGAAACCGAAAGGGATGGAGGACAGGAGTTATTGCGGCACCGCCACAAATTGGGGTTTGGCATGACAGAAGGCAAGTCTCGATATCGAGTGTTGTGTTTGAGAAGTGTGTATTGTACAGTATGGAGAGTCTCTGTGTCCGGAATAGTCGCTGCTTGTTCCTGTCCTGGAACAACGGAGAGGGCGGTGGGCGGCAGCCTGTTCCGAGTCGGGCACAAAGGCGGGAATTTGACTTGACGTGTGGTTTGTTGTGAGAGATTCACGGGCATTCAGTCGCATTCGGAGATTGCTTCCATATCGGGACCACAACCGTCGACGCATCTCAGTTCATCTTCAGCCTGTAACCACCAAAGTATAAAATGCAGCACGCACCCCCGCCGCGACGCCTGCCAGCTTTCGTCCCTCATGTCCTTCTTCGCCCGCCCCGACTCGCCCCCGCCCCGCGCGCCCTCGCCCGACGTCCTCCCTGAGCCCCTCCCCTGCCACCGCCACCCCCGCCGCGTCGCATCCCAGCCAAAGGTCCGCAGCCCACACCACTCGCCCGCCCTGCCCCCCGGCCTCCACGCACGCACACGCACTCTCCAGTCGGCCCGCTCCGCAGACGTCCTCAGCATACGGTCAAAGTCCTCCGACGACAGCCACAGCAGCGTCCACAGCCTCACCATGCGCCCCGTGAAGACGCGGACCACACTTGGCGTGTACGACTCGCCCTCCCCGCGGTCAACACCCTCCACGTCGCCTTCGCCCACGCCCTCGCCCGCGTCGTCCTCGAGGAACAGCCCGGACTTCACCCGTAGACACAGAAGGACCCTCTCGGTCGTCGTGCCCCACCCGGGCTCTTTGTCTCCAAACACTACCACGGACTCGCTCCTGCCCCCGGTGCCCTCTGTCCCTGCGGCATACACATACACCGGCCCAAAGCACATCATCTGCCCAAAGCCCATGTCGTTCACGCCCATCTACCTCCCGGACATCGAGGAGCTGTCCCACCCCCCGCCCGTCGCGCCGCCCAGGACGACCGTGCGCGTCAATGCGGTCGAACAAAAGAGTCCCACCGGCACCACCGCGAGCAAGACACCGAGCCCGCCTCTCCCGCCGCTCGAGAAGCACCGGAGCATGGGCATCGCGTGCCTCAAGTTCTTCGGCCGCGGCATGCGCAAGCAGCAGCAGCAGCCCGTCAGCGTCCCTGTGGTCTGAGTCTCAATGTAATCTAGCAGCAGTAGCAGCACCGCCGCCGTTTCGCTGCATGCCAGTGATGGGTTGGTGGATGTTCCTACTTCAAGTTCTTGGGCAGCGCCTTGTATATCTTTTTTCTTGCGGCAGCGCCATCGACGATCGTCTCACCTACCCTACCCTTTCACTAATACCGACAAGGGCATTAATCGCCCTTCGGCTTCATGCCCACCCACGACCCATCCACCCATCCGTACACCATCCGCCGCCCTCACCGACATCTGTATTTATTCTCCACTCATTCCATCAGCACTCGCATTGACTTCATACGCATCCAACCAATTTTTGTATGTACTCACTCACACAGTCACTCGTTCGCCTACCCTACCCAACCCCAAAAAACCCTAATTACAGCGCTTGCTGATCTACTTCCTACCTTTACCTACTAATAATTTCGTTCCCTTCCTCTGCCCGTAGAGTATTTTTACTGTTACATACAATGTCCACCAGGCCCGGCTCTCTAAGCCAGGGCTGTGGGCCCCTCAGCTCGCTACCTAGAGTAGACCTACTTCTACGTCTAAGGTCCTATTGAGAGCACATTAATGGTAGTAGAAGAAATACTTGTATCCTAGTTCGTAGTATCGATATCTGCACCGAAGAGAAAGTGTCCTTTGCAGTACATGTAAAATTCGCATTCCGTTGAGTGCCCAGGTTCGGTTAACGATTATCGTAAGAGAAAGAGATATTCCGGTCTCCAGATGCAAGCAGGAGGAAATAATATATATGATATCAGTCAGTATGTAGTGGTAACGACGAGGAGAGACGAGAGCAGTTGAAGGCGTACGTAAAATCAGAAAGGGAAGGAATTCGAATGGAAAACAAGAGGAAAGGGAGAGGAGAGGAAATCAACCGCATTGAATAACGATAGCCATGGACACCAGAGAGAACACGACGAGTTTGAGTTATGGTAGGAGATACACAGCTGTGGAGGAGACAGATGGAGCAGAGTAGAGGAGGGCGTATGATGTGCAACGGGCCATGATAGCGAGGTGCGATAGCGAGATGTATGCGAGTACGCGGTGCAGACAGCGAGACAGATAGAGAAAGCCAGAGAGAGAAAAGAAATAAGTCAGCTAAGGGCTACAACGTAGAACGCAAATCGAGAGGAGATCGTACCGGATGTGGGGATATGATACAAGCAAGATACACCGCGAACTTTTTTGGTATGGTACGACGGGATAATAAATACGACGACGACGATTGGACTTGAGTGACCATGGGGCGGTTCCAGGGTGTAGATGAGTAGAAAGGTAAAAGAAAGAGAGAGAGAAGAAAAAAAAGAGTAAGCAAGGTCGGAGGAAAACGACCATCATACGGGTCTCATGGGTCCCAAGCGTTCTTGTAACGTCCGACTTGCGTTTTCGTGGTGGTTCGCGTTGGCATTCGAGGTCGAGTTTGAGCTGGCGTTGCTGCGATCGTTAACTCTCCTCCCTCCACCTCCACCTCCGCCACCACTACCCCTTCCACCGCCACCACCGCCAGAGTGCCCCCCATTCCTTCTCGAGCCACCATTCGACGCCCCGCCCTTACCAGCGCCACCACCTGCGCCAGAACCCCCGTCCCGATCCCACTCCCTCCCACCTCCCCGCTCCTTGATGCTCCGATCACGCTGTTCTCGTTCCTTGTTGTTCCTCTCCCGCTCCCGTTCGCGCTCGCGCTCTCTGTCCCGCGTCCGATCCCGCTCGCGGTCGCGTGGGGGCCGGGATTGTGAATGTGAGCGCGAAAGAAAGGGTGAGGCAGCCCTCGCACGGTCGTCGTCCACGTCCATCTTCTGGCTCTGGCTCTGGCTGCCCTTGGGATGGGCGTTCGCAGAGCCGCCACTGCTGCGGTTGTCGACCGGTTGCCGACTAGTACTGTGCTCGCGCCCATCGGCACCTCCACGGGACGCGGCGCCAGAGTGGGGGTGGTTGTGCCCGCTGTGATTGTGGTTGTTGTGGTAGTGCGTTTGCGGCTTCTGCGGCAGCGAGGAGATGGTGCGAGGGGGTGGAGAGGCTTGCGGTTCGGAGAGGCGGGGGCGTTTGTGGGCCCGAGGGCCCGTTGGGGGCAGCTTTGATGATGATGAATTGCTGTTGGAGTTTGAGTTTGCGTTGGTGTTGACGCCGTTGCCCGTGCCGTCCAGGTATGCTGGTGGTAGTTGTGGGTGGTACGAGTTCCGCGGGGAACGCGAGTGGGCTTTGACGGAGGGTGCGTGGCGGGACGTGCTCATTATCGTCTCGTGTGCCTTGTCAAGCTCCGTCCTGCAAAATAATAGTACAACAATTTAGCGCCCACAGCACGCTACACACGATAAGCTGGCATAGACGTACGATAGCGACACGATCGCCTTGTGCGACTCTATCCACCCCAAACCAAAACCTCACTCAGAAACAGACCCGCGTCAATAGACAGAGTACACACCGTTTAGAGCACCTTCGAGCTTCGCGACTGCGCGGCGGAGCGAGCGGGCCTCGTCCTTGAGCTTCCCCGTCTCGCTCTGCGTAAGCAGCGCATACATCTCGTCGTTCTCCTGCTGGAGCTGGCGCATGCGCTGCGTGATGCCCGCGGCGACGGTGCTCGAGCCCACGCCCGCGCTTGCACCTGTGCCCATGCCCAGGGCGGACGTGGCGTTCTGCGCCTGCGTGATGTGCGGCAAGAGCACGGCGAGCAGGGGCGGGGGGAGCGTCACCGCCTCGCCCGATGACGAGGGCCCCGGCTGCTTCGCGAGGTACTGCCGGAGGTGCGCGAGCTCGTCCTGTGTAGCACACGCAGCGGGGTGGGGAAGATGAGAAAGGGTGAGTGAGATGGGGAGGAAACGGACTGACAGTGAGCTCTGTGAGTTGGGCATCCCGCTCTCGCAGGAGGACTTCGAGCTCCAGCTCGCGTGCTGATGGGAGCTCCATGAGGGATAAGGTGGGGGAGAGACGCGGGAAGTGGAGGGCACGGTCTGGCGGAGACGCGAGGACCTGAGGAGTGTTCGAAGCAACCCCGCCTGTCGGTCCTTGAATTTCGCGATCATCCCAGGAAATTGATTCCGTGGCCACTCTCTCCTCGATTACCTCCTGCCACCAGTAGTTATGATGAAGGCTCTCGTGTCATTGCTGGTGTACTTAGGATAAATGGAATTTATGGAATTTATTGGACAATCGTAACGCGGGGCGATCTTGACTTTGAGCAGAGCGCACTGGCATCGAAGAAAAGCACATCCAACGCGTGTTTTCTTACTGTCTGAACTGCCCACAAACGCGCACGATGAAGCCTAAAGATCTCAAGCAGTCGACCTTGTCTCTGAAATTCGCTGTGGGGATTGACGTCGGGAAGACCTGCGCTCCCATGTTTGCATCACCCACCTCAGCCAAGCAAGCTCCGTGGGTACAAAGCCTGGCACGCAATTTTCTTCTTCGTCCCTTCCTCCCCAGTCCCTCCAAGTGTCTTTTCGTGTTGGCCAGGTAAGCATAATCTCTGTTGTGAAATCCTGTTCCTCTGCTATGATGGATAATCTTATTCACACTGTACGAACATGCGTTCTTACTAAACGTATGGACATGAGTTTTTATTCTACAACGGTATCTGAGCCCCCACTTTCAATTCCATTGCCACGTCTTGAAGATTGTCGTAACAGTTGCTTATTGCTCTTTTGTTGCAGGCTCTGTTTACCCGGTGCCTCAACCTCGACGTTGTCGGTTGGAATGGAAGTAGAAGGATATAGACATTGGATGGGAGGTGGATATGCAAGAGTTCACTCACACGAGAGGACACTTCCTACTGCGCATGTTATCGTACTTCGTGCTCGATCTCGAAAAGAATGTCATTCATGTGTCATTTTCACCATCGAACGCGTCTGTTGGAACTTGTCCTTGCATCTGCGTGAGAGCACCAGAAAGGATGTACAAAAACGGTGCAGCCTTGACCGGAGGAGGCGAAGACTGATAACCGACCTTCAGGGAGCAGCGAGGGCAGCGGAAGCGATACTGCTTTTCGTGCCCGCCCGACCTGAGAAGGAAAATCTGTGAGCTCGAGGCAGGACGATCATCGACGAGTCAATGACACGCGCACCTCTCGAGGAGAATGGGGTCCTCTGCCACTGCATTCAGCTTGAAGACCCTGGCTTTAGTGTCACCTTCGTCCTGCGATCGAATGATAATGGCGTTGTCCGTCTTCCGCCGCGGGAGAGAGGCCAGGCTCTTGTCAATGACAAGCTGGAGACGAGAGATCAACGAATGGGTCTGGTGGGTCTGGGGATGCTGAGAAAGGAGACCCACAATGAACTCCCCACATATACAGTCTGTAAGGAAAGGAAAGGTAACACCATGAGGGTCGGTCATACTCGAGTCCGAACACACTTTGGTACTCACAGTAAACACGCAGGGCAGCTGCCGAGCTAGCTGTCGGTTGTGCTGCAGAAATATGAGCACAATGAAAGAAACTCTCGTGATGAAGCGAGACCCACCGTCCGTAGACGAGGAGACAGCTGATCTCGAGACGACCTTGGGCATTCCGTCGAGGAAATAAATGAAAGAAAGACGGAGGAGGTCGGTGCCTGAAAACAACGTCAGATTCAGGGCGCGGTGCACACACGTGATGGAACTGCTCTGTGATGAGTTGACCGTCCCCAAAAAGCTGTACTCACCTCTCTCTTGTTCTTTGACTGCCACATCTACTTCCACCACCGTCCCGCCAACATGGCCGAGAAGGATGCCACTGCGCGATTGCGGCGAGCAGTCAAAGGTCCGTGCGCTTCCGTGCCTCTAACCTGTGCGCTAGGGGACTGACCTTGGTTCATTGGCTGCGCCGGCAGAAAACAACCTCTTCCTCGTGAAGCGGCTTGTCCAGCGGACTGACATGCGGAATCCGGACACCGCCCCCAAGCGGTACACCTCGCTCGCGTGGGCGGCGGTACTGGGTCACGAGGAGACGTTCGAGTTCCTGTTGAGTGCGGGACATGACGACGACGAGCTCAGTCGGGTGCGTGATGAGTGTGCTATTTCCACCCTGCATGGCGTGGTGTCCTCAACCCTGCTGCTGTTCCGTAGGATTCCGAGAACAACACGATTCTCATGCTGCTTGCGGACCAGAAACCTGCTCCGTCGAGTGCATACCTGTCCTCGTCCGCGTCGGAGGACAATACGGGCGCATACCTCCGCATGGCGCGTCTCTACTACGATCGCTATTCGTGGGTCCTCGACTGGTCCAATGTACACGGGAAGACCGCGCTCCACATAGCTGCTCTGAAAGGAAACGAAGAGCTAGTCCGAGTAGGCTCCTTTCTTCTGCTAGCCTATATGAATGGTTGTTTATTATGTGCACATCAGATGCTTTGCGACCTCGGGGCAGATTTTGATTTGTCGGATAACAAGGGAAACACGCCATTGCATTAGTGCGTCAAGCTTTTGTGCTCATCTAACTTGTTACCTAATTATTATTCGTGCAGTGCAAGTTCTTGGGGTCACATACCTGTAAGTTGTCCGTTTTTGGGGCAATGCGTAGTTCCTGACTTACCCGACACAGACCGTACAATTGCTTATCGAACGAGGCTGTCAATATTCTGCGAGGAACAACCAGGGTTTCACAGCCTCGGATTATGCTTATTCGTTGGTCTTTCCTCGTCGTGTCGGCCTCACTTTGCCCCTAATTCTTTGTCATTAGATTCAGCACCCGGGAAACGTTGCAGGATACTGCGCGAATACAATTCGAAAATAACAAGAAGCAACGGCGAAATATTTTTGCCCAAGCTGCTCAGGCTGCTTCCAAAGGACAAGACTGGAATGGACCTCTTTCTGCAAACAACCCTCCTCCTGTACCCGCCAAGGACCGCGCAATCCCTAGAATGAGGAGTGGTTCTGGAACAAGTCGTACGACTGCCACATCAGACAGTGGCGAACCCGACACCCTAATCACTGGTCAACTGTCGTCATCGCCTCCTCAACCATCGACTGGCTCCAGCTCAGCTTTTTTCGGGCAACCCACCCCTTCACACCATACACCACATGTGCCATCAACGAGTAGTGCAGCAACCTTTTCTGCAGCATCTAACACATCGAAGGGCTCGATGCTGAGCGCTCCATCTCATCCAGCTTCTGCCCTATCGCCGATCGTTAGTCGGATGCGGGAGAGAGATGCAGACGCGATGGAGAAGTACTTGAATCGCAATAGGAGCGGGAGCCAAGGGACAGCATCAACGGACAACAAGTCGCAGAATGGGTCCCATTTTGCGTCAGCTGGGCCATCGGCCAACGGGGATGACATCACGGCGTTGATGAGCGGGTCAATAACACCGCGCAGGCTAAGACCCTCGGTATCAGCTGCACAGCTTCGGACCGCCTACAACTCGAGCTCGTCGAATTCAGGAAACGTACTTCCACATCCAGAACCGCGAAGTCGATCAGGAACAAACCCAAGCGCGGGACGCGGAGCTCCCTCTCCACTTCCACAGTTAACCCGGTCATCCTCCACGTCGAAGTCATTGCGCTCTATTGCCAGTGCTGACAGACTATCATTTGACGACTCGGAGTCATACGCTGGACCTTCAAGCCAGTATGCGAGGTTCCCTGAACCACCGGTAGTGCCAGAGGAACATAGTACGCCGACTGCAAACGGACGGAGGAAAGCCTTTCATATACTGGCTGCTCTGCAAGGTCTTGAACCCCAGATTGGGTCAGGGCATCGACGGGGGATGTCATCGACGTCACTCCGCGGATCGTAGCGGACTCCTAGTGCCCCTCGACTGTACACATCATCTGCATCTGTACCACCACCGCATTGTACAACTAGCATTGACGCACCTTGTTTGACTTGTGTTGCTACTCTTGACTGATCCCAGTACCTCCAGCTTTGGACATTTGCTACCAGAATTGCATCGTATCTATTTTGTGTATTTCTACTTTTCGTGTAGTTTGGTTGCGAGACCTTGTTGTAGATGCTGTAGATACTGTTCGGTGATATCAAAGAGTTCTAAAAGGTGCGAGCATCGTGTCAATTCGTGACGGTGAAGTGTCGAGGAATAGCATCGGAGAATGCCGAACGGAACACGATCAGGAGAGCTGGAGCCTGGAGGCAGTCATACATAAGTAGTTCATACATAAGTAGTTCCTAGTCGGTTCAAATGCCTTGCTTTCCACAGCCGTCTACATCGACAACATGATACCGCCCATCGCAGATAGCGACCCAGATCCTACGACCCAAATTCCATGGCCCGCAGCAAGAGGACGCACCCAAGACGCTGACCCCGAGTCATCTGCTGCTGCTGCCGACGGCGGTCCTAGCAAGACGAACGGGAACGGTTCATCGAGGAGGTCGCCCACACCGCCCGGGAAACGCATGTTGTCCACATGGGACCTAATCACCCTAAGCATATCCATGGCCGGCGCGCAGATAACCTGGACCGTCGAGCTTGGGTGAGTTAACTCCGCGACGCACCTCTGTGTATCTCCTGCTGACATGTGCTGGCCCTCGTCACAGATACGGCACGCCGTTCCTCCTCGACCTCGGTCTCCCCGCGACGCTGACGTCGCTCGTCTGGCTGGCGGGTCCCATCAGTGGGTTGGTGGCACAACCGGTCATAGGTTCGTCATTCACCTCTTATATGGATCGTCGAGCTTGCGCGATTTACGCCGGTCACTTCACTGCACGTCAATAGGTGCCCTATCAGATTCTTCTTCTTCAAAGTACCGGCGGCGGTTCTGGGTGGTGCTATCCACGGTCGCGTTGGTGATCTCGACGTTGACGCTTGCGTTCTGCACGGATATTGCGGCGTTCTTTGTCGACTTATTTGCCATTGGTCCTGGGGATTGGTCTGAGGAGCGTAAGAAGCAGGTACGAGATACGGCCATTGTATCTGTGCGTTCTGACTGAAAGTGCCTTTCAGGTCCAGAATACAGCCATAGGATTCGCCATCGTTTCGTTCTACGTCCTAGACTTCGCCTTAAACGGACTTCAAGCGTCTCTCAGAAACCTTTTGCTGGACGTGACACCTCCTTCACAACTTAGCGCTGGCAATGCATGGCATGGTCGTATGACTAACGCCGGTAATATCGTAGGCTTTGGATTCGGTAGGCTGTCAATCGTACGAGTTACTACAAACTCAAGCTCACTTTATTTTCCAGGGTTCCTCCCACTCGCACAGTTGCCTATTATTAGACTTTTAGGGGGCGATCAATTCCGCAAGTTCTGCCTTATCTGCATATTCATCCTTGTTGTCACTGTCTGGATTACCTGCGCCAATCATCAAGAAGAGGAGCGCCCTAAATCTACAGCAAGGAGTTCGAGTTCAAGACAAGGGTATGCAAGCCTTCTGTCTCTCAGTGCTCGCTCTAAATTCTCGACAGGAAACTCTATGAAGTTTTCGATAATATTCGATACGCCGTGCTGAATTTGCCCAAACCTATTCGCCGTGTTTGCTACGTTCAGCTCTTTGCTTTCATGGGATGGTGCGTGATATCTTGCTGCAGACCTCAAGCAAATTCTCAGTAACCGACAGGTTCCCTTTCTTGTTCTACTCGTTCGTCCAATCTATCTGTGGTTTTTAACCTGGTCTCAGATTATTTTTCCAGAACCACATATATGGGCCAGATCATGGCCTATGAGTTAGGACGAGAACCGGATCACGAGCTCGCCACAAGAACTGGGGAGTTTGCCATGTTGATATACAGTGTTGGTTCGTACCCGTCCTGCACCCTTCTGATGATTACGTCTCACCGTCTGGTACTAGTTGGAGTTGCTGCTGGAATCATCCTTCCTCACCTGGCTACTCGTGACCGTCGACTCATGGCCCATAAGAACGACGTCGATGAGGATGCCGAAGTCTCTCGTCTTCGCGCGATGGTGCGTCAGTGGAAAGTTGAGGCTGCTCGTAAGGGCCGACCACTCCTTCTCCCTGTGATGCCTTTCCTCCTGCGAAATATCTGGACTGGCGCACTTCTGTTCTTCAGCTTCCTCACTTTCATGACCTTCTTTATCTCCACTGTTGTTCAGGTGCGTTGGAAATTTGTGAACCTCTGAAGCAATCTTAACTCCTCCTGCCAGGCGACCATATTCATTAGTCTAGTCGGTATCTGCTGGGCCGTCGCTATGTGGGTTCCGTTTGCAGTTATCATGGAGGTAAGTCGCACCTTCCGCAGAAGATGCACATCTAAGCATAATCTTCCCTCAGCTCTTGAAAGAACCACCCCCGCCCCCTCGTGCCCCCGAAGACCCCCGGCGGCCCGTACACGTCCGTAATGTCTCGACCCCTGCTCGCCCTCCAGCCTCTGGTGAAAGGCAACCGCTCCTTCGCCGACGTTCTTTCGACGAGTATGAGCCTACTCCGGAAGAGGTTGAAGGTAAACCCCTTGCTGGCGGAACCATCCTCGGCATCCACAACCTTGCAATTGTCATGCCTCAGTTTATCGTAAGTTCTCTATCATCTGGTATGTACACGTCTGACTTTCGTCCGCTCTAGGTCGCCGTCGCCACGAGCATAATTTTCCGCATGGTCGACGGCCCTGGACATGCATCTCTCGAGGGCGATTCCCAGCAATATTACGGAAAGAACGGCGTTGCCTGGGTCCTTCGCTTTGGCGGCCTTTGTGCTCTCTTCGGTGCCATGTTCGCGCGCAAAGTCCCTCCTACGCCCACAGAGAAGGCGATGCGCCGTCGGTTGGGCGAAATGAAGCTTCTTGGCGAAGAACCCACCGCCGCACCGTGATCTAGACATGGACTCTGTCATCGACCTCGTTCTAATCGCTTGACCACAATCTTGTATATTTATTGACCATCTGCAATCGCTCTCTGTCGCATCGTTGTCCTAGGCGCCATTTGTCATGTCAATCCCTGCTTTGTATCTATAGGCTTTCACAATACTAATTTTGGTTGGAGGGCGGCGCCTCTTCATTGATGTTTACTTCGAGAGGATGATAAGATGCATAATGCAACGCCCCAATCGTCTCTGTCCATGCTTCCGATCGTACGACAAGGAATGTGGGTTGTTGGCGGTATGCTTTGTGCGAATATCAGACCGGCCAACTTATCCGCTGCATAGAAAGTCCTGAGCACCGCTCAATGTAGAAACTCCAAAAGTAAGACCTACGTGATCCATCCCACTGTGGAGTATAGAAGCACCGCATCGACAAGGCGTGAGGTAACACCAACGCAATATCGGCGGTCATCTCATTTAACCTTGCTGTATTATTCACGAAATCTGCGGACATTGGTCAGACAACAGAATGAGAAACACAATCGTCGGGGCCTACCTCCTTTCAGGTAGAGGACAGTACATGACGAATTGTCTTCTTCCATGTTGGAGACCTCCCACCGCCACGAGCTCCCATCCGCAAAATTCTTGCTGCCTGGACCATGCATATCGTAAGATGCTTCTATGTCATGCAGAGAAAAAACAAGGGGACTTACCCAGCCTGAAGGTGGGATTACAACGCTCGATAATCGATTCGCCATCTTCATAAACATGGCACCGGCCTGTATGAAGTAAAACTTGTTTCTCGACAAGAGCATCCTTCGGCAACTCCTTCACGACGAGGAACAAGGCAGGAGAAGAAGGAAGCTAAGAAGCCTGTCAAGAAGGTTCGGTCATTCGAAGACGGAATAGATAAAACCTGTATGGCATAATGCCCTTCCTTGACATGAGAGAGATTCGCGGACTCCGTGGTCCAGTAAATGGTCAATTGAATGTGGCCCTCCCATCCACCACCCGAGTTTTCTTTAAGGGCGGAAGTTATGCGAGCGACATGTTGAGAAGCCAGGGCCATTTCTTTCGCCAAAGAACGGGGTAACGGTAGAGCAAGATGGCTAGGGATAAGTCCAATCTGACCAGATATGAAAACCCGTTCGTTGGCCTAGGCTTTTGTCAAACCATGTACGACTCGAAAAAAAGTGGACATACCGTTATTGCCTGGGAGTACGGTCCGATATTCGCAGGGGCCCAGTAACTCAAACCCTGCACATGGAGAACTTGGCGCTCAGCCGGGCTTTTCTCCGCGAACGCAATGCATTCCAATCGAACCCGTATTCCTTCTGGCAAATCGACGCACACGCAAGCACGAGCAGGAGGGCTAACACCGAAGAATGTCGAGTAAGCGGCGTTGATAGAAGCGAATAAATCTATGGAGGAGATGCACATATTAATGATACTGCAGTTGGAAAGCTGCAGATCATGCTCTGCGAGCTTCTCTGGACGGACTTGTTGGCGAAACAAAGGTTCAGACAAGCGAATGTTCCTTACCGGCGAGGATTTGGAAGCATTCCGTAACCTCTTCTTTAATTGAGAGGCCTCCTTGCGGTGTTTTTGTCTGCACATTCGAAACGGTGACCCATAAGCCTAGGCACCGTGAAGCTGCATGTCGTGTCTCTGGATGGTGAAACTCTTGAACACCCCGCGGGTTTGTAGAAGAATCAATCATTGGATATGCTCGTTCGGAGATTTTAACGGCTTCCGCTACAGCCTTGAACTCCTCCTCTAGGGTCGGAGGAATCACAATTTTTGTTGCATCCAAAGATTTCGATACCAGCTCAGCCCGCTTGATACGAAGGAACGCAACAGTGGCGAAGCCATTGTCGGAGTGTATTACAGTTTCGGCATCAATGCTGGAGACCCTGGTAAAAAGATTTTCGGACACCCGGAAAGCGAAAACATACAGATTGATTCTTTGTTTGAAAATGGGACAGTCTAATGTCAGGCTTTCATATTCGCCTCCTTCCCCACATATGTGGGAACCATATAAGGTGTTCTAGAGGCAGTTACATCGCGACCACCATAAGCATAGAAGGAGAACTTACCAGCTTAATCAGCGTTGGCTGCATCTGTGCTAACGTCTTCCCAAGATGAGAGGCTGTAAGGCCGATTCCTGCCACCTTGATGAGAACGACTTCCATTCCCCCTTGTATCATTTCAGAGAGAAGTTCTCCCTGGTTCCGTTGCCAGAGATAGCAAAGAGGTGTCAAGCCCAGTCGCCGACATCTATTCAAGCAGGGGTTGGAAGGTGTTTGTTCGGGGGAGAGCCGTGCTCACACATGCTCGACCCTCACTCTTTGATAATTAGAGAGGATTGCACCGACTGAAACACCCTGGATCTCCGGGTGACGGGACTGAGGGCGGACTTTAATAAAAATGACGAAATACAAAAGAAACACGCGCTGATTAACCTTGACCGTCATTAGCAAAGTATGAAGATCTTCGGTTTCGTCCCCTGCTACGCCGCCAGCCTTGTCCGCGCTCCGTCCACCGTATTCAGATCCTTGTTCGACAGCCTTGCCGGTGATGATCTGGCGATAGAGGGGAACGTCTAGCGCCCATGTCACGAACTCAATCGCGTCTTGACCAACTGTTTGATACATGTACGAATCAAGTTCCTCTAAGATACTATGAATATCAACTTGAGGCTGGACGTGTTTGCCGGACCTTTGCCGGGTTCTGGCCCGAGAGATGCAGCAGCTACGAGTTCATGGCCATTCTGGCGGCAGTGTAGGAGGTTGTAGCAGCTATCCTTGCCGCCACTAAGCAATGCGACGTACTTCATGATGATCAAGAGGCAAGAAAGTATTTGATCGGCCCGTGCTGATTGGGCCAATAATATGCAAGTCACGACCCCTGCTGTAGATTTGACTCTCTATATCTCTTGGATCTTCACTCATACCATCTCAAAATGCCGACAATCGCAGTCGACAAGGCCGACCTCTGGGAGCGTCTAGGGCAGGAATACAGTAAATCTTATCCATTACCCCACATCGCCCACTCCTCACTTGAATCTTCCTTAGCGACAGAAGAGTTCGATAGACTATGTTTCGACTATGGCTTAGAACTAGACGAAGATGTGTGTTTGACATCTCATATCCACGGATATCCCCTCATCCGGTCTCTTGATAGACAACAGAAGAGGTGGAGGAGGCGATCAAGAAAGGCTTGCCCGCTGAACGCCTTGTGAGCAACCATCAGAATGCCCCATTGCTGTGTGGATGCTGATCATCCGAAAAGCAACTGAAAATCGAAGTGCCAGCGAACAGGCAAGATAAAATTGCAATTAAGCTGCCTCTCCAATCTTTTTGACGGGTTATCACCTCAGATACGATCTTCTCTGCATCGAGGGCATAGCTCGGGCTCTGAGTATCTTCACCGAAAAAGCTCAAACTCCGACTTACAAGCTCGTATACCCGCCTGGAGGGGAGGATGATCTTCTGACTGTCAAAATTGATCCAGAGGTGAGCACTCGCCTCCCTACCAAAAATAAACTTACGTAGAAAGGATCATCCTAGACATCGAAAATCAGACCTCTCTTCGCCTGTGCGATCCTGCGAAATATCAAGTTCACACCGCGATCATACGCCTCGTTCATCGAATTGCAAGATAAGCTTCATCAAAACATCTGTAGACGCCGGCAGCTGGTCGCGATCGGAACGCATGATTTAGACACACTGACACCTCCATTCCGCTATGAAGCTCGGCCACCCAAAGACATCAAGTTCGCACCGCTGGGGAAGACTCAGGCGTACACCGCCGAGGAGCTGATGACGATATATGAGGTGCGTTCTCGGTGAGAAATTAAAGAAGCCGCTTCTAAATCTCAGGGCTAGTCGGAAAAACACCTCGCGCGATACCTCCATATTATTCGCGATTCTCCCGTCTATCCAATTATCTATGATTCGAAAGATCAGGTTCTCTCCATGCCTCCGATCATCAATTCGGAGCACAGCAAGATTACTTTAAATACCAGGAACGTCTTCATAGATGTCACCGCGACTGACCAGACCAAACTCGACATCGTCGTTAACATCGTCTCTACGATGTTCGCTGAGTACTGCGTGGAGCCCTTCACGTATGCTTTCTCTTTCGATGATTTTGATTCTGTAGTCTCATTCCGTCGTCTAGCATCGAGCCCGTTAGAATCATCATGCCAAATGGAAAGAGCCGCATTTCACCGGACCTCTCTGGACGACGGATGATTGCGCGAGCATCCTACGTGAATTCATGCACTGGCCTCAAGCTTTCTGCGAAAGAAGTGGCCACTCTCCTGCAACGCATGGCTCTATCGACGTCGGTGTCGACTTCCAACCCCGACGAGATCCATGTGCGTGTGCCTCCGACAAGACCAGACATTTTGCACGAATGCGACATCATGGAAGACGCGGCCATTGCATATGGCTTCAACAAACTTCCAGACAAATTCCCGGCTACGAGCACCGTGGCTCAGCCCCTGGCGATCAGCAAGCTCAGCGACGTGATCCGCAGCGAGTGGGCCTTCGCAGGCTGGGCAGAGGTGCTACCTCTCATCCTCGTGAGTATGCAAATCGTTCGTTTGTACCTCAGTTCACTAACTGTTCGGCTTCAAGTGCTCACATGAGGAGAACTTCGAGTGGCTGAACCACGAAGACGACAACAACACCGCCGTCAAGATCGCCAACCCCAAGACGCTCGAATTCCAGGTCGTACGAACGACCTTGATCCCTGGTCTGCTAAAGACGATCCGGGAGAACCGCTCGCATTCACTGCCCCTCAAGATCTTCGAGACGTCGGACGTTGTTTTCAAAGATACCAGACGAGAGCGTCAGGCACGCAACGAGCGTCATGCGGCGGCTGTATGGTGTAACAAGACTGCTGGTTTCGAGATCGTTCATGGCCTGCTGGACCGGGCCATGAAGATGCTCGAGGTTCCTCGTATCGGATGCGAAGACTTCAAGGCGTCTACCGGGTATTACATCAAAGAAACGAGCGGTAAGTAACCTTTCGAGGAGCAAAGTGAAGTATGAGAATTCATAATTCTTATTTCCCCAGATCCTATGTACTTCCCTGGTCGAGCAGCGAACATATTCTACCGCCCGCCACCTGAAAAGCATGGCAAGCTTTCGTCGATCAAGCAAAGTGTTGAGTCTGCCCTGCGCATCAGCCACGACCTCACCATCGGTTCGCTTGGGATCCTCCATCCGACAGTGCTGGAGAAATTCGAGATCGGCTTCCCGTGCTCGGCTCTCGAGTTTTCACTGGAGCCGTTCAAGAAGCAGACCCAGAAGGTGTGGACAAACGACGACTAGGAGATGACGCGGAGCAAAATGAAATGGAAACGATGTATTAGATGTATAGTATGTATACACTGACATGAAACATGTCCTACAAGCATCTCTTCGAGCGTCAGATCTACATCCAGGGGAGCGAGCGAAGAACCGAAGACTACTGTCCTCCACCGCCTCCTCCACCGCCACCTCTGCGTGATTGCTCTGGGTCTTCTGGGCCACCGCCGATCACTGTCATAAAATTGAGCCTCGCAACCAATAAATAGAGTGCAGTTAAACGTACATATGACTAGTGCGAAAGCGGCAATGTACATCCAATACTTCTGGAGGAATGACTTTTCTGGCACGGGCTTTACGACCTCACCCTCCGGTGTTAGAGGTGGAGGTGTCCTAAGGTCAGGTCTGGGCAGTGGTGTGTCGTTACTGATTAATCGAAAGAAAGAAGAAAAAGGAAGCAACGGAGACGTACAGAGGTGGTGCTTCTGGTCTTCGATAGAGAATTGTGGTGTTCATGTTCTTAATCTGTCCAGCAAAGGCCTTGAATGGAGAGATGTCAGATTTGGTTTGAGGACATGAGCCGTCGTGGGGTATGGGAGAGACAAAGTAGTCCAGAGCGAAGGGTTTGAGGTCTGAACTACTCGGGAGGTGGAGGAGTATCGTCTCTGCTGACGCTTTACTCAGATGGCACTGAGGTGCATCGGTGAGCAGGGTGGACGCGCATGAGGTGTCTCCGAGTAGTAACGTACAGCTTTGACAGAGGAGAAGTCCCAGAGCGCTGAAGAGGAGTCGCCTTCATGCTGCAGCGCTACTTGGTACAGAACGTCGCCAGCGTCTTCGCCCAGTTGTGTGAGGGCCTCGGCGAAAGCGTCTAGGTTGGCCAAGAATTCGGGCAACAGCTGGATGGTAGGTGGATTTCCAGAGATGACTGCACGTTCTAGGTATGGCAAATCTGGGACTGAGGGGTGGAATATGCGGTGGTGGAGGACGACGTCGGCGGCGTGCACACCGACGGACACAACAGCAGCGGCAGCGGCGACGAGTCTCATGTTTCTGCGAAAGCTGTTCCGCGTGTCCCAATCAAGCAGGAGAGCGGACTCGTGTCTCTTACGTCATCATGCCTGGATTGGCCAGTCCGCATTGCAGCGGATGATTGGCTGGTGATTGGGGGCTCTGACAGGCGCTCTCACGTCTCGATCGCGTCTGGATTCCGATTGGGCACCTTATCTCTTTCCCCCTTCAACCAATGGCTACTGCGTACACCCATTCAATCCCTACTCCTCCATTCTCCCCCCACAATTACAGGATGCCCGACGAGACCACAGAGAATCCCCTCAAATCGACTATAAACCTCCTCGATTCCCTCGTAGCGTTCTACCAACATGAACGCATGTGGGTATACCGCACTCGTGCTATGCTAGAGGAAGCTTTCCAGATGCCTCCGCTCCCAGGCCCGCCCCATCAGCAGTACCTCACCGACCAGCATGGGATGCCGATGGACATGCGTGTGGACGATATGAACGACCCAGGGGCTATACAGAGTCACCAGTCAACGCGCTGGATGCGTCGCAAGAGGGGCTTCAAGCTAAGGCTCGACGGCATCCGCAACAGGCGGATTATTTCGACGCAACCAGTCGGCCAGGGGCAGGGGCAAGAGCATGGGTACGAGGAATTGCAACCGAGGGAGCGGATTCTGGAGATGTTCGATAAGATGATGGAGTCGAGGATGGAGAGCTGCCAGAGGGTCACCAAGCTCGTGCGGGACGCGAACAGAGCGAACCTCCACGACCGCTGAGTCGCTGAGCGTCGAGTGAGTTGCACCAACCTCTTGTTACCATTCTAGATGTCCTGAGAAAGCAATTGGTAGAAAGATGATGCGCAGGTACCCATTTGCCGATCGGTTTTCCAACATGATTTTTCTTGGTTCAACGGTGCTGAAAGGATAATTCGACGGGCGTATATTTTGTAAAACATCCTGTACACGAAGAGCCTTCAGAATGAGTTGATAATAATCGATGGACAGTCGACATGGACCCACGGTTGCGGTTGAGAGCTTTTCCGATAGAAGAGACTTGGATGCACGAGGAAGAAGAGTGACGAAACCGGTTGCCGAAAAACAACGACACCAGTGTCCAGGATTACGATCCCATTGGCTAGGGTTGATTGGCAAGAATCGGTGCAGGTTCGCAATGGGTTGTGTACAGGGGTTCAATTGTTCCTTCAAGCTCTAAGCTTTCAATTGACTTCAAAATGTTGCCAGCCCAGTGAAGATAAAAGACTTTGTCGCGTTGCCGGACGAGTGAACGCGATGGTTCCAGACCTCAGGAGCCAGAGACCGCGAGAAGGCTGTAGAAGTGCGTTGACATCACAGACCAATGAGGCTAGATGAACATCACGGCCCAGGGAACGTGCCCCCGGAGCGTAGCAAGAAGCATCAGGAAGGGTGTCGACGATGCCTTCACGAGTAGAGACGGACTTGAAGGCCAAGTCAGCGCGACGATGACGGTGCAGTTGACGGTGGAGGTGAGAGGGTGGAATGAGAACAGCGCAGCCACTGCCAAATCGAGACAAACACAACATGCGTTTCTCCGGCGCCCAGGCTTGATCAGGAGAAACCACAACCTCATCTTTCTTTCACTTACGCACTACCTCTATATCTCTGACCTAATAATCCTGGACGCCGTTAGTAATGGCGCATCGTTACGCTCCCGTTCCAAATTCCGGCCCAGACCGCCGGGCAGCACAACATGACAGGGAGGTCGAAATGCAGGCAGCCTTCGACTACTCAGACGATGAAGACGACGAGCACAACGCCTCCGAATCCCAACCCTTGAACCCTACCCCCACATCAGCTGCCGTTCCTATACAAGCCTCACCCCCCCGTGCACCAGGACTGTACAATTTCGAGACGGTAGATTACGATTACCCACCACCCGGTTCACCCCCGCCACCCTCAGCAACGGCGCTCCCAAACGATATTGGTAACTCAAATGGACTCGTACCGAGCTTCAGCCCTTCGCAGAATCTCGGACCCCGTCGCATGTGGTTCCAACGAGCTGCTGCTGCGGTTCTACCAGCATCTGTGTTAACGAAGGTCGGCCTGGCACCGAGGCGACCATCAGGTCCTGTCGGAGGTGGCACCAACAACGATGGAGTGTTTGCTAATGTGACGGCGAAGCCGACACCCCCAGTGCGAGTGCAAGATGGTGTGTAAATTGTCTCTATTTTTCGAGCAATAAGTCGTGTCTAACCCTTATCATTCGCAGGTGATGATACGTACCTGGTCCCTGAGGACACCCGGCAAGAAGCTCCTCCCTCGTACGCATCTGCACAAGCAGACGCTGTCCCTCCGTACTGGGAGACCACAGTTCATGCTCCTTTCTCCCCAGACTCGATGGGCGAAATGGTCATCGACTCCTTGCCGACCGGATCCCTATTTTCCTTCTGCTGGAATCTCCTTGTCTCGGTGTCTTTCCAATTTGTCGGCTTCCTCCTCACATACCTGCTGCATACTAGCCATGCTGCTCGACTCGGCTCGAGGGCGGGTCTTGGTATTACGCTGATTCAATACGGTTTTGCACTCCGGAGTCGCCTTGATTCTAGTGATGACAACGACACGAGCGTGGGCTGGGGCGAACTCACTGATCCTAATGCACCCACAGTAGAGGGTCATCATGGGCATCATCATGGACTGATGTCAAATGTTTCATGGGCGACACCGATTTCAAATATGACCGAAGAGCAGACGAATGTCCTTGTTGCGGATGCGACGACGGAGTGGCTATCCTTTTTCTTGATGACAGTTGGTCAGTTGTGACGATCTTTTTGTCTTTCGTGGCGGTCCTAATATTGCTTACAGGATGGTTCGTGCTATTAACATCTCTCCTCGGTTTCTGGCGTGTGAAACGGTGGGAACGTGGTATCCTTGCCTCCCAACGCGACTCCAGCGCGCCTACACCCGCACCTCGACCCAACCCCAACATCTTCTCGCAAATCGAGTCCACCTTCGGGTTGCACGGCACGTCCCGCGCTGATCTCTTCCGACAAGGGTTCGGGTTTGGACCGCGACACAACGCCGACGACGAAGTCCTGCGCTCTCATGCTCTCGCAGAACGGGGCGAGTCCGGTCAGGATGCAGCAGCAGAGATAGAACCCATGATCCCTGGCGATCCGAATGATCCTGAACGGGCCCGACTGATTGCAGCAGTGATCGCCAATGAACAGCGCTTGCAGCGGGATCTACGAGATGCGGGGCTGCTTTGAGTCATAGATATGGACTTCGAAGGTGGCAAGCGGAATAATGCTGGGGCTGACTTCGTGGATTGAAGGTCAGGTTATTGCACAAAGACGTCGTTTGTATCATTATTGTTAGCCAGCCTATACCAGCATGGTCCTGGGTTTCACCGTTGGACGGATGCCATTCTAACATCGCTATTCTTACTGACACTTTGCAGGAAACTCCCTCTTAATGCATGTACTCATTCATCTTTCAAGCAATTGTATTATTTTCATACCTTTCTACTCTCCTGACGTTGCATATCATGGAAGTACCCATAAGTGGCCGACGGCTCGACAGGGTGAGTGAATAAATTTATCCTTTTTTCTCTAGAACTCGAATAATCGTCTTTCATAGGACAGTAAAGCGCAGATCACTTTCATACCTCTTGAAAACGCAATTTCGCTCCGAGAGACACGGAAGGCATCACTCACGTCTGTCTTCACCGCTGTTGGCCAATCTGGAGAACACCTCCATTACTACAAGGAGCTACTGGGCCTCTTTTGCGCCATCCTGTACCTGAAAGTTGAAGCTACCCGCGACATGGGTATTCTGTAAGATGAAATTACGAAAGAGGTGGTCGGATACACATGTGGGGCGACGGATAGCCGCATCTACGAGGCGCACGGAGACGAAGAGTGGTGGCCTACTCTCAAGGCCCAGTTTACGGGAAAGTGCACCAGGAAGTCGGTGGACATCCACTACATTTGTCTCCCATAAACGCGGAGGTCCCCGACAGGAACGTAGCGTTCTCACCCGCGAATATGGATGTCAATAACACACAGCGGCCCATCAGAAGCAGGGATGCGGTAGGAAGTTCGTTTCTGCAGTCGTGGAACATATGAAAGGGGGTGGGATGTTTTGGGTGTCGACTCCGCAACGAGAACTGGAAGCAATTCAATGAGCATATTGGGTTCAAGAACATTGAGGAGCATTGGTTGGAGCTCAGCGCTCAGGTTCGAGGACTTCCATACAACTTCAGGGAAGGGAGGGCGCGACGACACGGACGTGAACGCCTGAACATGCAAGAACGTGTTGGGTAGGACGAATGGCCTTAAATTGAGGGAAGCTCTCCTTTGACCCCATTTTTTATGCACGTTACTGAGCTGCAGCCTCAGGTACTTCGCAACGAGTCTAACAGGATATTTTTTTAGCTTAGAGTGAACCTCTAACAGCCTAACTTATACTTAAGGGTCGCCGACTGGACTACGCTGACGACATTGCCGTTCTACTGTTCGAGGAGGCGCTGACATGGAAAAGAGCCTAACTTTTTCCAGATATCAAAAGTAAATTATTATGTATGGTTCTGGTTTCCACTAGGTTTCCACTGAATATCCGTCCAGACGAGTCCATCGTCGCCCCAGTCCGCCAAAGACACCTCCCGTTCATTTGTAACGGATCGCTTAGCGGCTTCGCCGAAGGGACCTATACCCCTTTTAGCCTTTGCCTCCGTGTTTTCTCACACTCGCCAAAAACCTTCCGCGTTCTCGTGCAGGGTTGGCCTCTGTAGGGTAGAAAATTCCCGCCTGATCGCTTGGGAAACAAGGTGTCCATGTCTTATGATCCTTTTTCCTGGATAACGTACATTCTAAACAGCCCGCTCTTTTCGCAGGAATCGTTCTACTTATTTTACGCCATAACGTTTGTGTTAAACATAACTCTGAGTCAAGGAGAGGATAGCAGCTTTCAACTTTACCAGAAGAGGTTGATCGAACCGTCGACAATCAATTGAATATCGAAGTCAATCTTTCTTCCCCAATCCTTCCCTGGGCTCAGGTTTGCCTGGTCTGGATCCTGGTTGACAACCGCTGCCACATCCAGAAGACTCGACATATACAGTCCTTCCTTCGCTTAAGGCGTCCCTTCATCGTAAAAATGCTTATAAGCAGGTGGGCTGACCGTGCCGATGTCGTGCTTCTCCAGCCCTCCCACTCACAGACGAAGAACCCCCTTCGGCGTACGAGAGACCTCCAGCTACAATGGGTGCATACGACATGGTCATTGGTACGTTCTGTTAGGACTCGAGTCGCCCGCTGTCAATTGATTGGTTTGCAGGTGTCCTTTTGATAGGATTGTTTTGTAAGGACCAGACGCCCTCTCTTGGAGACGTTCGCTCACCCAGAGTCAGTTAACACCTATCTCTATGGTTTGGTTACGTACCAGTTCATCACCTATTACAACACAAGTAGGTCTCATCTCTCCTTTCCTTTTCGTTTTCGAAGTGCTTACAATCAACTCAGAATTTAACGACAGGCTGTGGATTCGGTACTTCACATTGGATCAACACTTCAACGAGTTTCTAAGCAGCTTTGCAGGTCTGTTGTGGGGTCGCTATTCGTCCTCGATACCGTGCACAGTGCAGTAGCGGTTTATATGGCTTGGGAGATCTGGTGAGGCCAATCATTGTACTGTGATTTGAAACGACATATTCATCCTTCAACTAGTGTAACAAACTACGACAACCCGGACAGCCTAGCCTGTGCGTCTACTGCCTGTGCTCTTCATGGCCAACTTATGACGTTTTGATGCTTGATCTTAGTCGTTTCGTGGACGATCCCTTTCACTGCGGTGGCTACAGCTTTCGCAGCCTTCATTACTCAGATTTTCTTGTGTAATCGGTAAGTCCTACCAACTTATCTATGGGCATTGCTGATCCTCTTGCTATAGTGTATTGATTCTCACGAAGAGCAAACCTATTGTTGGGTTCATCGGTATCCTGAGCTTCCTCGGATTTTTCTTTGGTATCTATGCCGGCATCTACTCTGGAATCATCAGAGAGTTAGTCTCACTTGCCTCCCTTCCTGGTGTGGTGCTGACATTTGCTTTTAAGGGTTGCAAAATTCGCTCCTCTGGAGCCCTTCGTCACATGCTGGCTGACTTTCCAAACTAGCGCCGATCTCCTTATCACTTGTACGTTCGCTCGCTGGCACACGACACGATACAGCTGACGTCGGGTTCCAGTTGTTTTGTCATTTGTGCTTTCACGCTCGCGCACTGGTTTCCGCAGGACCGACACTGTTATCAACCGTATCATCCGTGGCGCTATTCAAACGGGACTATTCGCATCGATCTTCGCCCTCGCGGATCTTTTCAGCTTCCTCCTGCATCGTGAGACATACCTTTATGCCATGTTCGCGTACCCCCTCGGTCGCATCTACACGAACGTATGTCTCTAATTCTTTTATTTGTGTATGACACATTCTTACCCACCCGTAGACGCTGTTGGACACCCTCAACGCTCGCACTTCGCTGAAGTCGATCGCGGGAACAGAGGCGGAGACAGACGTATGTTTTTTTTCTTTCACTGTCGTTCGCGAAGATTGACAGCTGCCTAGACTTCTTTCCGTCTGCAAAACCAAACACACACGATGGCTTCGCATCAGATTCACTCCATCCAAGTTCAGAAGGAGGTTGTTACGGATATCAATGACCCCACTTCCACCGTGGACAAGAAGTATCCTGTCGAGGTTTAGATGCAATACACGAAGATCCCTAGCTTATAGACGTATTTATGATACACGCAATATCACCACCACTGCATATTCTCATTCATTTCAAAATGCATTCGTTTCTTTCAAAAACTATTTCGTCACGTGTGCCCCTATATAACCTCGAATTAGGTAATGTTTACACCAACTATGGACTGCCAAGCTTGAGTCAGGCTTGATTTCTGCGACCGCGATGTGGCTGACTAGCGCATCGCTTTCACCATGTCTTCATCTTCTAACGCTCACACAGAGCGACCAATCCCCAGCCATTCACCGCACTCATCGAGGAGATTCAGCGCGCTGCCTCTTGGCACCTCGCAACCAGTCATGCCACCACCAGCCAACAATGACCCTCCACGATCAGGCGCCAACAGAAAGTTCTCGCTCGCTTCATACGAGCACCCGTACGACATCGCTCCGCCGGACTATACGTACAATCGCCTTTCGACACCCTCTTTCTCTGCTCATCAGTCTTCCGACCTACAGCGAGGATCGTTCATTGCACCCAAAGACTTGAAAGAGCAGCCTGAGAAAGCGGCTACAGGCGACGCGCATGTTGAACAGGAACAGAAAAGGAGAGGACTTCTTTCCAACATGATGGATTGGTACTCGATGGCTCGCTCCGGCACTCACTCGATTCCCGAGATGACAAAAGATCCTGGCTCAACCTTCTCTGAGACTGACTACGGCTACTCGAGTGCGCTTCGGGATCGCGGCGAAATGTGGAGAAGAGGATCGGCGTACTCCAATGCATCCGTGGACTCTGAAATGATGGATCCTGACGACCCTCGGGTGACAGGCGTCAAGGCTAAACAGTTGGAGGATCAAGTTGATCTTGAGAGAAACACACTGCGCCAAATGGATTACAAGACTCGCCGAAAGCATATCCAAAGGATTCGAATAGAGTTCAACGTCTCATGTGAGAGGTGTTTTTTTCTTGTCCTCATGTGTATGGCTTGATGCGCCTTTCAGCGATGAAGGATAGACAGGACTTCCTTCTTAAGCTGGCACGCTCCTTGATGACCTTCGGTGCGCCTTCACATAGGATCGAGTCCCAGCTTGTGGCCGCTGCACGCATCCTTGAAGTCGAAGCAGAGTTCATCCATTTGCCTGGCATTATCATCTGCTCTTTTGGTGATCAGGATCTCGGTTGCTCAGAAACCCACTTCGTTAAATGCGGTGGACGCCTATCTCTGGGAGTGCTCCATAAAGTCCATCTGATCTACAGAGCTGTCGTCCACGACGAAATCAGTGCCAAACAGGCCAGCGAACATCTTGAGGCACTTATTGACGCCCCGGCTCCTTACTCTGATCTATTCCGGTGCATTCTGGCGTTTTTCCTTTCTGCGTTGATCTGTCCCTTAGCGTTTGGCGGCTCTTTTGTGGATATGTGGATTGCTGGTGTGGCTGCTTTCGCTCTCTCCTGGTTGCAACTCCGCGTGGCTGGAAAGAGTGCTTTATACGCCAATGTATTTGAGTAAGGCTTCACTTTCTCCCGCGCGTCAACATCTTATTCAAACTATCTTCTTGGCAGAATCACTGTTTCGATAGTCGTCTCATTTGTGGCCCGAGGTCTGAGCAGCATTCGAAGCCAGATATTTTGTTATACTGCGATATCTTCCTCCGGCATTGTCGGAATTCTCCCAGGATATCTGATCCGTACGTTGCAGTAAAGGCGTTGATGTAGAAGACACAACCAAACTTACAATCTCCAGTCAGCAGCTCGCTGGAGCTCGCTTCAAAAAACATCGTCTGCGGAAGTGTGAAGATGGTTTATGCACTCATATACACACTATTCTTGGTAATATTTTAGCACCATTAACTGGTGACGAACCGCCGCTAACGCAAAGCAGGGGTTCGGTCTTCAGATAGGGAACGATTTCTATCTGCTCCTTGATCCTGTGGCACGTAATCGACTGGACGCGCTTGCTGCAAGTCTCAGTGCCACCGTCTCCTTGACCGGGACCTGGGCAGCCGACAATTCAACGAATGGGACGTCAGTGCCAATGAACGGGACCTGGACCTTCAGTCGCAGCGTGTCGCCTCTTGAGAGAGATATTGTCGACGGTTGTTTTCGCCCAAAAAGCTTTCCCTGGTACCTGCAGCCGTTTCCGTTGTGGACAGCCTTCATCATCGTCCCGCTCTTTTCCACACTCTCTTCCCTTGCAAACCTCCAGCCATTCAGGAGCAAACAATTGCCCGTCATGGTCATTATTTCTTGTTTTTCGTATGCATCCAACAGGATCGCTAATCACTACATATTCAATCGGTCGGACGTTGTTTCGGCCATTGGCGCGTTTACTGTGGGTCTTTTGGGCAACATTTATTCGCGGCGGATGGGAGGCACTGCTTTCACATCGATGGTGACAGGAGTTCTCTTCCTCGTCCCTGTGAGTAGATATCACGGAGATCTTCGTACCTTGACTCATTTTGTCGCAGTCTGGTCTGTCGCAAGCTGGAGGAATCACTGCGAACGGAAACGGGATCGATATCGGAGGTGCAATGATTGCCGTAACAATTGGAATCACGGTGGGCCTCTTCATGAGTCAAGCGCTGGTATACACCTTCGGTTCAAGGAAGAATGCGGCTGTATTTTCCTTCTGAGACAGCTTCTAGATATCTCTCTCATTGTCAATTTCGATCTTCGATAATTTTACAGTTGGCGCGGACGCCGTTCGTGTGGAATCACCTGTAGGAATCTAGAACATTACCGCAGGAGAATTCTCAATGCCCTCTATCGAAACTTTGTGTCCCACCAGCGTTCGAATATTGTTGATCCCGTATCTGATAGTCGAAGAAATTAGTCCCAGATCTCTGGTGGAAGCAATGACATTACACACCGAATCATTGTCGGTCTTTCTAAGCTGAGACCCCATCCATGGACCCGAACGTCCTTCGGGAAGCCCATAGGCTCCAACATTTCGGGCCGAAACATGCCACTATTTCCGACTTCCACCCAACGATTCAGCATAGGATGGAAAGCGAAGATTTCCAGGGAAGGCTCCGTGTAAGGATTATACGCAGGCTTGAAGCGGACTTGTTCGATACCCATTTTGCTGAAGAAAACCCTCATGAAACCTAGCCGCGAAATTGAGTTGCTGTCCAGAAGGTATTTAGCGCTGTTCTCACCAATGAGGTCGGCCAGCGTCAAATCACGATCTGCAACCACACCTTCTACTTGGTGGAATTCCGCCAAGTGAGTGGCGTCCATGGTCTCGTTCCGGAATACTCTGTCGATGCTGAACAACTTGGCTGGCCGGAAACCGTCGTCATTCTTCCCTGTGTCGCCTTTCCGTCCTGTTGTTGAAGTGGCGCCGTGAGTGAACTCTGCGGTGTCGTCTTGCGGTTCCTCTCCTCGACATCTTGCGGCGAGTTTGTAGAGCATGTGCGCTGACGATGCAGTCGTATGTGTTCGTAACAATAGTTTGCTCGATTCTTCGTGAGACCACGGCGCCCGATATCCTGCGGACCCAAACCCTCCGTGTTCGTGAACTGTCGACACGCGTTTGTAGTACTCTGGATTGGGTGGAAGAGCACGCTTGGGATCTAGAAGACGATTGAGCACGATGAACTCATTTTCTGTTGACACGCACCTGATAGATAGAAGGTATCCTGCAAATCTCTTGCTGGATGTTGCTGTGGCACGAATAACGCGTCGAAACACCAGAATCCAGACTCAACGAAAGAGGCTGTTGGCATTTCTGCGAAACTAGAATCGTTCGGCAAGCCTTCGCATGGAAAAGTCATAGGAAGACCCACCCCATCTCCAAGAAGATGTTCCGGATTTCCTCGCGTACTTTCAACAGAGGATGTAAAGCTCCTCCTGATGTAGGAATACCCTCTGCCTCGAAGTTGTATTTTTTATATGTCGCAGTTTTCCAAGAGCCACTGTCCCGACAACATGAGAAATGTGTCGAGCAATAATGTGTCGCGTACTGACGAGGCAAGCATGTCGGCCGTTAAATCTGTCTCAGGCTTCGCAGTTGAGGTGCTGAACTGGGGTCCCTTCTGTACTGTGAACCATTGCCCTTTTCTACACGAAATGAATAAGAGTCGAAGGTTGAGTGAAGGAGATGAGGTGCACACTTCTGGGCGACGAGTTTACGTTTTCGCAAATCGACGAGAACCTTCTCTCCAGCCTTCAAAGTGCCAGTTGAAGCAATCTCTTGGAGATCCTTTTGCGTGGTATCTTCAATTTCAGATACCTGTTGAGGAAAATAGTCACTGATATAGCTACTTCAGGAAAGGTATTAGGACAAACTGCTTTCACTAATCCAGCACCTTCTTTGTTAATCCAGCCATTTTTGAAGGCCCTTCCTTGGCCGACTTTGGCTGTCTCTTCTCCAACCTCCTTTTTCAACTGGGCGGGTGTCATGGGTTCTCCATGACCTTTTACAGGGAGGACAGACCAGACGCGTGCTTCATGAGAACCGTCTTTCAGGATCTGACCACCTTCAACAGTATTGACATGGGTTATGACTTCATGTGTTTCGTATTGGATCATCTAGGAAGGAAAACACATTAATACTTGTTGACTTTCGTTTTTTTCAAATAGCTCACGTCGCGACTGAGCAAAGAGTTCAGCGCTCCCAAGATGACGATCTGATCTTCATTTGAAGAAGCTGGTTGTGCTTGACCAGGGAGAATGAGAGATCGCGTATCCTTGATAGTAGTTTCGGCCTCCAAGGTATCTAATATCAGTTTCTGGAGAGCTTCTGCCATTTGCACGACGCGTGTATTGGCGATGCTAGCTAGTGAAGAGGAGTGGTCGTTGTGGATATCTCCAAGTGCGATCAGTATTCGTGCCAAGGGCAACCTTGACTCGATACTTATTGGTCACGTGAGGTGCGGAATATCACGTTTTAGGGACGCTTCGGGGGCAGATCTACACCGGCTCACAAACCTCTTCTCTTCCCCCAATGCCTGCACTTCCCACTGCTCTCGAGGACGCCTGGAACAGTGCTCTACCGAGCCTCACGCAAATAACGGTGTCATTAGCTTCCGGTGGCAACGAACGACCTCGTATCATCCGCGTGGGGCAGCTCGACTCTGAACTCCTTGACCAAGAACTCGCATACCTTCTTCAAGAGCCGATAAACAAGGCGTTGGCGCTCATTAGCGTATGCTTAAATCTTATTCATGTATGCGTTTGCTCAAGTAAAACAGACAACGCTGAAGACACGCTTCGAGCCCGAACTCGCGTTGCTAATTCAACTGACACTGTACAAGTTCTCCATCTGGAATAATGGTGCAAGCTATGGGGCAAAGCTACAGGATTTAAGATATGTGGTGCCCAATAGTGCAGGCAAAATTCTAACACGTGCGTTTCCGTGATACGTCTGTCTTTCATCACTTACTTCGCTCCCGAAGCATCTGGTCTCCCTCGAGATACTTTGTTGGTGCATGGCACCCTGACAATAATCCTACCGTATATCCATAATCGCGTTCGTACTCATGCATTATCACAAGCATGGCCCGACGCCCCATCACTGGACCACCGTCGAAAAGCTTGGGAGCTTCTTAACTCTCTTGAATCTTTGTACGGCCTCCTCGGACTTGTAAACTTTGTCGCGTTCCTTTGGAGCGGAAAGTAAGCCATTTCCTCTTTGCATGCAGGGTTTTCACTGATACTCTCACTTCAGATATCGAACACTAGCAGACAGACTATTAACAATGAGTCTTACGCCTTCCCGAAGATTGGTCAAACGCGACGTGAGCTATGAGTTCATGAACCGCCAAATGGTTTGGCACGCGTTCACAGTGAGTCGAAAACCATCTAGGACGTTCATTCCCTTCTGAAGATCATTCGCTAGGAATTCCTATTATTCCTGCTGCCCCTAATCAATGCAAGGACGGTTCGTCAGCGAATATATCGTATGACGGCTTTCCTTTCCCCTTCATCACTGTCCTTGCTGTTGCCATTCCGCGGACTTCTGGGCCTTCCTTCTGAAAAGGCGGTCGGAAAAGCTCCTCAGAAGCGAGGAAAATACTACGCACTCTCCGAAGATCAATGCGCGATATGCGTCGAAAATGCCATGTTCAACCTCAACGTCTCTGAACAAAGCAACATGTTTACTGTTCTGGCGGAGAACTCCAACTCGTCGACAGCAGGTGGTTCTTCAGACCTGGATCCTCCTGCACATCCCATTTACAACCCATATCAAACATCCTGTGGTCACGTCTACTGCTATCACTGCGTCGCAGAACGCATAATGCGGACAGCAGATGACGTGGAAGATGACCTCGGATGGGAATGCTTGAGGTGCGGAGAGGAGGTCAAGGAAGCGCACAGATACACTGTCGACATCACGGAAAGTGAGGTCAGCGAGAGCGACTACGAGTTCAGCAGTGATCTAGACTTGGGCACAGATTTGTCCGGTTCTATGGGAAGCTACAGCGAGTCGGGCTTTTCAGAATGATATCAGACTTCAGCAGACATTTACACCAATTCTCTAACGGGCGGAAGGGAGACAAATTGCACAGATACGAAATTTGGTGAGATGATGGTAGATACAGTGGAGAAGGTCAAGGAGTCGAGGAAGATCAATCCCGTGCCAAGGCATCTTGAAGCTGCTTCAACACTGTCGGATCCGTGGCATTCATGTAGTTCTGGAAGTTTGCGGGGCCGCAAAGGGATTCAGCTTCCCGTATCTGGCGGCCTACAAACGCGACGAGCGGGGCAGTACGGATCGGGTCTTGTTCGTACACCTGGTATACGACCGTCAGAAGAGCACGTAGACGGAATCAGGAAGGGAAGCGTACTGCGTTTCTGCGACTGTATTCTGGAGTGCCATCGGTATCGCGATAGTACGAATCCGGAGGGGCGTCTAGTTCCCAATAGCGGACAAGACTGGTTGGAGAAGTGATATCCGCCCTGCAAAAGTGTATGTTCTATCAATTTCTAAGGACTGAAGGCAAAAGACAAATACGCACTCTGGGTCTTCGCGGAGTGCTGCTTGTTCTTGAGCTTCCTTGAGCTCGCCGAAAACGTCTAGCCATAAGTTGAAAATCTCGCCAGGTAGCCGTTCCAGAACTTCGGGACGGCCAGTCGAAACCAGTGCGGCCGTTCCCATCGCAGTCAATTTACGATGTCGGGCTTCGCTCATGTTGTCGAACTAGGCAGGGTTCCAAAGCTGAACAAGAATAGTACAAAGAGGAAAAGGAACTTACCTTTGCCCACCACTGGTCCAGAAGGGTACTATAAAGAGTGGTTTCTGGTTGGCTCAAAATTGGTGCACTGGCAGACAAGAGCTGCAGGAACATGAGCTTGTTGGAAAGCAGCATCCGTGAAAATAGATAGATATGCTCGGTCAGAAGAAGGGTATCGGCCTGTTTGCAAAGTAAAACAAAATAAAATAAAAAGGAGCTCTACGTAGGCAAACAGGGTGCACCAACCTCACCAGCCACCAGCGTCTTCAGTAGATGTGGGAAAAGACCTGAGGCATGCATTGCCTCTCCCCAGAGTTCCGAAGGAGATAATTGAACCAACAGACTCAAGGACTGTACTAGCTCCTTGGCATTAAATTCGGCAACCTTGCTCGAAAAGGCACTAAGATATGCACGAAACAAGTCTACCGCATGTGTCTTGTGGTAATGCCGCAGTCAGTACTAGGTCGTTCATGAGGAGAAGTCAGGCTTACCCTCAGGACGTAGACCGCATCTAGTAGAAAGTACGACTCAATGATTCGGGTGATCGTTCCTAATAGATCGAAATTTGTGGCGAGGAGATTTATGGCTTCACGTAATAAGACTCCCAAGCCCGGTGTGCCCTCAATGGTGGTCGTATTTCGCAGGGCGCTGAGCCAGAGGCCGAGGGCGTCTCCGTCCAGGTGGATCATGACCTACAAAGCATGAATTATGATGGTTGAATAGCTAGAGTAAGAACGGTGCTACCTGTGGCGTAAGACTTTCACGAATCAGGGGAACCACGAGAGTCGACAGGGGACTTGAATGTTCCTTGATCGCCTACAATACCGTTAGGAGGCGGAGAATGCATGTGCAGAGGCAGACCAACCATACCTCGATCAACTTGGTGACAGTGACCAATAACGAGGCTTTGAACAAGAGATCAGACTCGGCGGTAATCCCTGTGAGAGCAAGTGAGAAAGGAAATACAGAGGGAAAGGGTACGACCTGCAGAGTTGAGGTATGGGCTCCGTGATCACATTGATGAAAGGTAGGATCTGCACGATGTCAGCTTCTGGCGAAGAAAAATTAGACAGGATTTACCAAGGCGCCTGATTGCTCGATGATAGTGTTCAGACTCCCACCGACCTTCCTTTTACTTTCAAGCGTATCTGCCTCGCCGATTAATTGGATTAGTTGAGGGACGACGGTTGCGAGGAATGGCGCGAAGGTGCCAGGTTCAAAGCCAAGAGACTATGAAAGAGGACATTAGGATTATTTCTTCGGAATGAAAAGCGAGCATACATCGACACAATCACGCAGAGCGGTCGCCGCAGTCAATCGGACAACCGTGTCTGTGCCAAGACCGCGGTCTTGTAGAAGATGGACCAATACTTCCCATATTTGAGGGTTGTTTGGGCCGATACACTCTTCGAATACCCATTTGCCAATGAGCCACGCAATGCGCCGTTTGATGATCGGGTAGCTGGGCATTCCCCCTGAGAAAACGGCTTCAATTTGAAATGGAAAACCCCACTTACTTCGGGTTGGGATCGCGTGCTTCGGGTACGAAGGTTCGTTCCAGCCAAGCTTGCAAGTCAATATGGTCTTTGAGACGGCGCGCACACCGACCAATAGCGCAATAAAGTGCCTCCTTCTGGACAACGGATTCAAGGTCTACACTCGGCTGAGCTACAAAGACGAGATTATTATCGTAAAAAGAAAAAAAAATCCAGAAAACTCACGAGCTAGTTGTTCGAAAGTCGTGACCAGCAAAGGCACAACGAATGATGGGAATTGATTGCAAAGCTGCATCAGCACTCGTTCTGCGCAAGCCTGGTGCATTTTAGAGGTAAACTCTCACCAATAGCGGAGTACACGTACCCTTAGCTCATACTCCCATTGATCGTTCTCTTTATCCTCGAGGTTTACCCATTCCTCTGGGTCAGCCATCCAATTTTCCAGGTCCGCCGTGTTGAGTGGCATAAACCGGGTCACAAGAAGGCGGACAGCATTCTCCACGAAATCCTGGGATAAGGCTGGAAGAAAGTCAGTATAAGTGGTGCCATATTTTATCCTTTGGTACTCACTATTTTTGTTTGGCACGCCGCTTCGTTTTGTCGGTGTCCACTGTGAGAGGCTCTCCTTGAACAACACGAGCCCTTGTACCAAAAACCTCACTGGGAAGAGAGCCTCGTCTGAATCTAGATCTACAATTCAGCGACCATACTCAATGACCGATTCAACGTGCAAACCAGAGATAAGGTTTTGAGGATAATTGGTGGACTCCACTATTTGCGACCAGTAGAATAGGACCAAGTCACCAGAGACAGGAAGCAAGATAAATTGTTCAGGATTGAGTTGCTGTAGGCGACGAAAGAATTTGCCGAATACACGAAGATGCTTGGTTAAAACCGTTATAGAACGGCGAGTTGGCTCGTGTCCCAAGGCATTGCTTTGTAATATTGAAAAGACTAGATTTTCGTGCAAGTCTGCTAACGACTTTACCTGGGCTGCAGAGTGTTGGAATAACTCTTGGACCTAGCCAACAATGAGATAGTGTACGTGAATGCACTGAAGACGCTCACCCAAGTGATATTCTGCTGGAGCTCTTCTGCAGACATTCTCCCGCTTTTGTTCCACAACCAAGCAGCAATCTTCGCCAAGCATTTATAGACCAAGTGTGACAGAAGAATGTTGTCATAGACGCTCTGAGAAGCGATATTCCCTTGTGATATATTTCCTGAAGAGAAGGCGAGAGACATCTGCGAATAATATCCTTGAAGCAGAAGACGCAGCTGCCCAACCATCTAAGGATAAAGCTGTAGGCCGTTACGATCCTAGTTAATTGTAACGGTTCACACCTGGGCCATTGCTTTCATTCCATTTGGGAGCTTAATGCTTGAGAACTCTTTTAATATGCCATTTAAAAGCTTCAAACTTCGGCGAAGTCTTAGTGTGTCCCTTGGGTCTTCTATCGAGGAAACGTATCGCTTCTGAAGATTTTCATCGATGATTTTAACAAGGTCATCGATGAGACTGGGCCTGGAGAGTTCGTGTTATAAATCTGACATTCCCTGCGGGCAGGGTTGGATGTCTTACCAAGCATTGGGGTAATCCGTGCGCGCCAACTTTGACACAACAACTTTGTTGCACTCTGAAATCTGATGTAGACTCGTAAGCACTCGTAAAGGACGGAGGGTGCCCTGCTCACTGTCTCGTCTTCTTCATCCACGAAAGAAAGACATCTTTGCCGAATACGATTGCGGTGTTCATCTGAAAGCAGTCTGCCTAGAATCAGTACCTTGTGAAGAAGATCATTCACCAGCAACGAACTTTCTGGACCTCCAGTGACCCACCACCGCATTTTTGAACTGGATGATAGCCTGCTGGCGGACTGCCGATGGAAGCGATCGTTGAGAGGCAATGTCTTGCAGGGCGTCGTATGCTCCAAACATGTCGAGCATTTGGTTGAGGCGTTGGCTAGACGTCTTCATTCGGGCAATGTCTTGGGATGAGGCGTCTACTATCACTTCGTAAAGTTCCGCCGGAGAGACGGTTTGAACCTGCGCGCCCATCGTGTGTGATCTGCCATTGGAGGCCATGGCCAAGTGAAAAGGAGAAAAACAGAGGTCGCCTCTAAGATATTAGTTGTTAGCTATCAGTGGACAGTTGAAGGATTCGGACGGTGCAAAAGACGGAAAGTTTGCTATGTTTCGTAAGGTCGTGATTCCATGAAGGAAGATGGATCGCCTTCCGGATTGCATCCGGGCCGATAACACACACAAATAACGCGTCGCGTTATGCGTTACAGCCACATTGGTGTGTCACGCTTGGGGTTTTTTTTTTTTTTTGAAGTCTTCCACGTAGGGTGTATTTTAGACGTACTCCAAATACACAAAAAATAGGGTGTTCGATCACAGTCCCTTGGAGGTAGGCTACACCTAAATGACCCTCCTCATCATCCCATCCCTCGACCCGCCGCCTTTGGTTGAAGCCCCATTGGGCGCCGAAGCTTCCAGCTGTTGAGACAGTTGGTGAGAGCTGACCAGTTTCCTTGCGGTTCGCCGAATCTAAACAATCAAGGGCTTCATGGTGTTAGTCCTTCCCAGCATTGGGCGCCGAAGCTTCCAAGCCGTCAGTCGCCTGCATGGTTGGTGTGCCGGGCCAACGCCATTGACGGGGGCAGCACATGTAGGTGCTAAGTACCCCTAACGAGATTGGATGGTTTGGAAGTGAAATGTTGAAACGAGTGACTCTGCCTTCCACTATGCCTTCCGCCCTCTGATACAACCCCACCCGCTTTCCTCCCCCATTTCCCAAACCCTAAGGCACGCATCCTGTAGCATCCCCCTACCATGCGAAGGCGGTCGAATATCTAGTGTTTCTCCCCAAGGGGTGTAGCCGGATCATAGGCAACACGGCTGATGATCGGAGACTAGCCTCCTCCCTCCATGGGTTGCCTTCCATGACTAGGTTGCGCCCCCGAAAGGTCTGCGCGAAGCAGAGCAAGACGGTACACGGGCTGCCTGTCAAGTAGGGCCATCAGTTGCGCTTTGAGGTTGTCGTAAACAAGGTCTTCGGGCCTCCAACAAAGCGATTGGGATACAACCACGCCGAAGTCGCGATCTTCTCCGATAAATAAGAAAAGGTGTTGGTTTAATGAATAGATAAGGAATCAGGCAATGAGTGGGGCCCGATGGAGGACGATGCCGATTAATGAGAGGAGTTCGGTAGTGTAGAGCGCGGCCATGGTGGGGGCGACGAATTCCCACGGCCGGATGGTGATGGTTCAAAATCAAGAAGCGTCGCGTCACGCTTGGGGTTCGACTTCTCCCGTTCTATGCTGCTGTCTTTCTTGCTTCCTCGTTCACGAGCCATAATACCAACACACAAGTCTTCGTCCAATTTATTCTCTATGTATAGAACACAAACTTCAAAGCACACCTGGGCTCAAGCGTCCGAGGAAGTCGTTGATGACTCCGAGCCTGAGCGAGTCCAGTTGCGGAAGAGCAGGCAACGTGTTCAACGGACGTCTCATGCGCATGCCTTAGTATCTCAATCACGAACAGCTGCGATGGAGGATATCATAAATAGCGTTATTGAAATATCAGGTAGGAGGAGGTTCTTTCAGTATTGCACCTCACAGTAGACCATTCCCCCAGACTCTGATTCTCAATCATCATCTCCAGCTAGTCAACGTCCGATCTTACAGAGACCTTACTCAGAAATTCAGGTCGTGGAGATTGGGGCGGGGCCTTCCTCGAGTATGTCTCGTCATTCACGCTGTCTTGGCCACTCTCGACTGACCAACACAAGTGCCGTTGACCAGTCCATCGGGCGCAGAACAAGCCAATGCATCGAAGCCGCCTTCGTCAGCTTCTTCTTCCGATAAGGGCGCCTTGAATCTCAACCGGTTTGCCTATGCAAGCACAATCCCGAAGCAAAAACCTCCTGCTTTGTCCAACCTCCCTGCCACATGTGCCACAACTAGCACCCTCACAATTGGCCGACGGAAAATCTCGACCAGCGTTAGCTCACCTTTGGAAATTTCCAACTCTGATCTTGGAAAAATTCTCAAATGTATCTGCTGTGATATTTCGTGGACGACCCGAAAAAGCGGGCCTCAGAAAATGACACACATTCGAGCCTGTGCCAAGAAACTCTTCATGGACAATGAAACCGTGCAAATTCTGGTTCAGAAGGAAGTTTCTCTCTATTCTCAGGGTCAGAAGGATGAAGTTAAAGCGAAGAAGCCAAGTCAAGAGCCCACTCAACCACAGACATTTCTTGAAGACGTTCTGGTGGACGCTGCGCCAAAACGAAGAGGACGGCCGCCACAAGCCGCAACTTTACTTGCAAATGTCTCGCAGAGTCGTGTCGGCATCCTAGCTCGGGCACAAGCCATCATAGAAATAGCAACTCCTGACGAAAGCAGATTCCTTCGAGCAAATGACACCTGGGATCCGTCACCGGAGCAGGTTAGCCTGCCACCTCCGACCCAGCGCTTTGCTCGAAGTACCCTTGGCCAGCTACAAGGTGCCCGAACGAGGTCTCTTTTTGATGGTGAAAGCGGCCCGACACGCCTCACCCAAAACTTTGCTCCAAGTGGTTTGGCTCAGCTTCAGGGCTTGAGGACAAGGTCCCTATTCGCTGACGAGTGGTCCTTGCAGCATGATGCAGAGGACTATGATTTTGCCACTGGGCGTAGATCTCCATCTCCGTTTCAGGAGGTTGAGGATGATATGTACGTTTAGTAACTGAATCCCCCATATCTATACCCTAAATTTTAAATTCATAGTTCTCAACGCCCGAATGGCGTAGTGAATCCTTTGGTTGAAGCTCCTGTCAAAAAGTCTACTGAGAGCATTGGTGGTGTATGATCCCGCAGTTTCCTTGCACGAGCCTGTCTAACTCAGTCCCATTCAGAAACGCAAAGTAAATTCACTTAATGTCCTCACAGAATCTCCACAACCCAGTTCTTCGCGGATGCCAGCGAAGGTCAGAAGCGGATCGAGGGTGAGAGTTAAGTCAACCTCATCGAGTGAAAGCGAAAATGTGGAAATTGCTCCTGTAACGCCAAAGAAGTCGCGGAGGCCTAGAGCGAAAGATTCGTCCACCAAGAAGTCAGCACGTGTTCAATACGATTTTGGCGAAAAGTGGGAATTGCATATGAAGGAGCATATTACCAAGGACCCTGATCTCCACATGCGTGTTCTGCGATACGAGGTGAGTGCTTCCTCTCGAAGTTGAGCCAGCAGTATTAAAACCACGTATGTCAACTAGCCGATCCATTTTGACGTCTTCTTGGAACTGGCACAGCTCTATGCGCCACCCAGTAGACAGATGAAACTTCAACTCCAGATTTTTCTAGACAACCAAGTGGGTGATATTTGGCTGAGTGTCAGTCATGCTGTACTGATCAATACTAACGTAGGCCATTCATTTCCATGGTGCGGAAGGGATCGCTTGGAAGCGTTAGGTTCCCATCTCATTATATTCATTTGCCATGAAGATATATGTCTCAACCAACATGACTTATTTAAACATATAAATCACAAAGCAACCTCGGAGAGCCCAGCAACCTCAATAATACCGCCCACAAGATGCAGGCTTCCTGTCACCAGTGTCTGGACATGATTGTTAGTGGTAGACTGAATGTTCTCAACTTCCTTGACGGCGTGCTCGATTGAGGGCAAGACGTGGATGTGAGACTTGGGATACGATGGAGCAAGCGAAGACCAAGCTGAAGCCAACGCTTGCTGAGTTTTCAATCCTGCAAGGTCTGAGTCGGCAATGGCCTTGGTTGTGAGGTCTATATGACCCCAAGGTTACGACGCAATTAAGAAAGAGATAACATTGGCAACTTACCACCCTTGAAGTGACCATCGGCATATGTGACGTTGGTGCAAAAGATGACATGATTAAACAAGACTGCGTCCTTCTCCCCTTTGTGCAATGCGAGTCGCAAACGCGTGGTTTCGATCATCCTGCCAAGGAAGCTCTCTCCTGAACGGCCGCTCGTGCAATTGAAGATAAGAACCCTCGTTGAGGTGCTACTGAAATTGTTTATCGCCATGCAGTACATCCCGACATAATGCTTACCTTAAATCAGCTGCTTTCTGCAGCGGTATACCTACACCAGGGCTCACAAACCACTGCATACAGCACTCTAGACTCTCCACAGTATGCGCTCCGTCGAGATACCAGGTAGATCTCAGGCGTTTAGGGTCTACAACTGTCTGACACCGTCCGGGCCATCTTGTATTTACCAAACCAGTCTGAAAAGATATGGGGAGGATAGTGTCTTGCGCCACACCTGTTTGCTTTTCCAAGAAGCTTCTGGCCAGTTCGACAGCCAAAATAGCATTCTGGACCTGATGTGAACCGGCGAGCCCTAGATAGAATGAGAAGAAATCAACGGAGAGACGCAATAGACGGAACAGACCTAACTTCAGTGTAGACAGCTCGGAGTTAGCTGATACCACACTCAGTTTGCTCGCCTTCGCATTTATTAATTGCAAGTTATTTGATATCTCGACTTTCGAAATACCTTCAATTCCTCTGCTCTCGATTCCAGAACTTTCATAGCATCAACGGGCTGCGCGACAGTTAAGGCAGGAACACCTTTCTGGTGCATATTTAGCACATTTACGAGGCTGAGAAGGGAAAATGGCGAAACAAACCTTAAGTATACCTCCCTTCTGCCATGCAATTTCACTGATGGTTTTCCCAAGGACAAAAACGTGGTCAATGCCCAAAACCGTAATCCCAGTGACGATCGGTGCAGGCACAACATTTGTGCTATCGTAGGCGCCGCCAACGCCAACTTCGAGGATAGTAGCATCAACTTTCAATTCCAAGAATACGTGAAATGCCATGAGGGTGATGAATCTGAAGTAGCCCGGCATCGGCGGTGTGGTTGGAACTTTGCCCTATGGTCATATGAACTCAGGATTCCTGACTCAGGCAAGGCATTACTCACTGCATTCTGGTTAGCAACTAAGCGATCCCATATTTCAAAGAAGTATTTTGCGAAGTCGGATTCCGAGATAGGAACTCCATCGATTCTGATCCTTTCGCGAACAGCTACGAGATGCGGAGAGGTATATAAACCTAGAGCTGACTCTCAACGACGTCATCATGGTAAAGATGCTGCGAAGCTGACCAGTTTTCCATTCTGGTTTGCTATGACGAATAATTGATTCTGTAAAAGCACTCGTGGATCCCTTGCCCTTCGTGCCGGTGATATGGATAACGTTCAGTGCGTTCAGTTGGCTAGGCTGAGGAACATGAGTTGGTGGAAGAGGCAATCACTAGCTTCATACAGTGTATCCGATTCTGTCCAGGTATTCCAGCATTTCAGGAATGGCGAACTCGCTCAGGCGTCCTCCCGAGGCTCGAACAGCCTCGAGTGTTGCTGCATTCGACTGCAGAGAGTTAAGATGCTCGACAGCATCCTGGTAGGACCGCGTCGACATGGATTTGAAGAAAACTCGAGAGACTGGAGGGGTACCTTGCAAGAGCGGTCGTCGCAACGATTGCGATAACCTAGCTGGGTTCCATCGCATTGCTAATCTGGAGTGAAATTTGAGGCGAATATAAAAAGGTCGCAGAGTGTGACCCCGCGTAACCCTAATGAGTCGGAGAAATCACGTGGCAGCGTATCTTCGTGCCTCATCCGCAACACCAAATTTGGGCTATTGTTCATCAACTCACCTTGACTCCTCTGACGCGACGCTCTTGGTCCCATGTCTCTTGGTGGCTAACATCAAATCCCATCGTATCCCCTTTCTCTCCTGCTACGCATTTTTCTGGCCGATCTCTGCTGCCTTCAAGTTGCGACTTTCTCATCACAGTACACGTGAAGCTCAGGCGCTCGAGCCAGCTCAACGTTCGAACGGTCCAACATCGACGCTTCACGGCAAAAACGGGCATTTGACAGATTAGTCAAGCATCCCGTCAAAAGGCACATTTTCCCGAGAAGATGGAAGCTTATTTCCCGGTCGTCGCAAGGCAGCAAAGGCAGAACGCACTCAAACCTAGTGCATCCATGGTTAAGAAAGAGGACGCAGGAGAAGATCGCGGAAGTTTCTCGCAGTATGAAGTCGCAGATGGGGAGTTTGGGTTAGTCTGGTTAAAGCCGGGAGAAGAGAAATTGACATGCTAACGGGATAAACCAGGACGGCAGAGGCCAAATGTTCATCGTCGACCATCACAAAGCGACTCTTAGCCACTTTGTCCGATGAATCCAACCCTATCACCCATTCAGACATTAGACTTCGATCAGGTATCTTTGGGGACATTTCGTTTGATTCAAAGCACGATAATGACGGGGGGTACTGCAGATCATATTGTATCATTCGCTTCTGGCCACCAAGTCGCGGAAGAACGGGTCAACCAACGCTTTTATATAGCAGCTCGCGAACGGATGCTCTCTGTGCAACGCGAGGCCTCCAGCTCTAGTGGCGGTCCATCAGTGTTCAAGGGCGTTAAGATATACATTGATGGATATCTTGAGGCCACCACCGACATCGAAATCAAGCGCCTTGTCTCAGACGGAGGTGGTCAAGTTGTGCAAGTACAAGTCCTTTGTACTTGTTGGAAAGGCGTCGTTAACCTCCTTTCAGTCCAACCGCGTCGGCATGCACGCATATCATTACTTCAAGACGTCCGAGTGCTTCGAAGACTCACCGGCTTCTGAGCCAAAAGATAAGGAAGAAGCCCCATGTTGTCCGGCCAGAATGGGTCCTCGATAGCCTTTCATTTGGTAAAAAGCGGCCTGAACGCAGCTACGCAATTGTCAAGGCAGCGAATACGTTAGAGAGCTTCTTGAAGCCTTGAGATGACTATAACGAAGGAATGGAAGACAATGCACGATGTATTTCTAGCTTCAACTTCGAATTCATGTATTCACATCTCACTGTATCGACGCCTTCGTGAAATGTAGCAAACAGCTTATTCACCAGCGTAATCTTACTCTTTTAGATCCCAGAATCACGATGCGAGCTCCATAAGTCCTCCCGCTCCTCCGAGCTCTTAAAGGATTGAGAAGAATCCAAGCACTTATCAAGCTCCGACCGTTGAACTCTCCTGGGATCGCCAGCAACAGGTCGTAACGACAAGGGCTCATTGCAAGCTTAAGATAAGGGAGATCTGCAAGAAGAGCAATGGAATTAGACAAGATCGTGGACGAATACAAGATGATAAAAAATCAGGATGCCCAAGCGTATTAAAGGGCATCAGGGAGATTGTCGTCAAAGGACATGAAGCACTTGGTCTGGTGCACAGCAAATATATCCTCATTCAAGGGAAACGGTACGAGGTACTCACCACGAACTCTGGCCCAGCACAGGCTGCTGCCATCGACACGTTGGGTCCGGTACCTTCAAGGTTCAAGTTGAGTTCAGTGCAGAAATATCTGAAAATTTACAAGGGTATGCTTGGGGAATTGTCATAAATCACGTGACAGTGTTGTCACAGGTCACAAAGCGCAGCGTGCCCTTTGCCTATACTTAGTCTTAAACACTTGGCCAGGGTCCAGTGCGGCGCACACACGTCGAGGTCCTCTCTGCACCAACGATACTGCAGTTCCTTAGGACCCGCGTCGTTCTCATGAATCTTTTCACTCCAAATCACGTCAAACTCCTGAATTCCTGTTATCCGCCAGCTTCTGCTTTGCTTACCGCAGGTCCCGACTATTCCCCAAATTCACATGAACTCAGCAGGCTGACTTATTATGCGTGAGTCCTCGCTTTCAGACATGCTCTATGGGTTGTAATTTTAGTCTAATAGCTCGAATCATCCCGGGAAGTTGGCTAAAATTGGAAGCGAATTAGAGAACCGCTTGAAGCTTGAGTGTAAGAAGGCAAAAGCAGGGAATATTCGGTCGAGGGCGTGCGTCAAACAAAAATGACTTTCTATTCCATTTCTGACAATATTGCTGTCAGTTCCTTGCTCATTTCTGTCGCTATCTTTCGTTCACTTGCGACAGAATGCCGGAGAGACATAGCTCTTCTATCTCCCTCGCTCATTGGATCTGTGGACTTCACGCTTGCTTCAGTCCCTTCGGACCTAGAAGTCGTTGCGAGAACAGCCAGCGTCGTACGTCATTGGGCCTTGGAATACTTTTCACACTCTCATCTCTTCACAGTTTACTGCCTGGACCACCTACACGAACGGTCATTTGATCGGCGCTGATAGCCATATGACCAAGGACTATTTATCCATTCTCTCTCGATTCGCGAACCTGAGTTGCATTAGCTTACCAGACCAAGAAACGCAGAACCGGTAAGCCCTTTGCGCAAACCCATATGCCCAAGGGGGTCTGAAGCCTGCGTAATATTAGGACACGCCTGATTGGTCTCGCTGCTCTTACTGCGGCGTTAAACTCGGAAGCCCTATATAACGACGTCGGACATTTTGGAGCCCAAGTCTCTACCATCTTGCATCCTATATTAATCAATCTATTCGAGACCCCTATATCGACATTAGAGGAACAGTAAGCATGTGCTCTGCAGTCCTAGGAAGGGAACAATACTGGATGCATCTTATAGGTCCACAGGAATTAAAGATGCCCCTATTTCACCTTACCTGGCCGAGTTCAGAACGCGGCCAGCTCTGGAGCGACGAGCCGCATCAATCCATATCCACATCGACGGCGACAAAGGACCATCGAACCAGGATGTTTCTGATGCCTGTCTTCGTGCCCTTTTCTCGCTCCTCAGTCATGCAAATGGAGCACAGCTCGGCTACATCATGCAGTCTTCTTTCGATAACTTCGACTCAATGAAAGGATGGACAAAGCTCGAATCGTGTTGCTGGTTTGCCCAGAAGACTGCAGAATGGGCACAATATCAATACCGCTATGTCGTGCCTACATGGATTGTCGAGCGATTGCTGGCACAACCTGACGCCTCAGATGCTTCACCGCTTCTGAGAGCCCTTACGGCTATGGCCACCTCTGTGTTTAGCTCTCCGACACCACTCATCAATCTTTCATCATCAGATATAATGTCGAACATTCTAACACTTCTCCTCCGTCGGATAACCCTCAACCCACAAGATGCTGCTGTACACTCCTTGGTGGAATGCATATCCTCCCTTGGCCACCACGTTTATTACTCTGATCAAATCCAGGACCTTGCCGTGAGTTCAGTTAATCGATGACGGAAGTGCAGCATTCTCACCAACAGTCATGTTCTAGGCTGAACTGATAAGCCGCCTTGTGGTCCTAGAGATGCAAGGCGTTCTTGCGCGAGATCAGTCTCAAATGTCGCAGTGCAGGTCATTGGCGATCCAATGCCTTTTCCAAGGACTCGTTGGCCTTGTTCGTTCTGCGAATATAAACGATTATATCGACTCAGTGGACGACTCGACCACTTCAACGGGTCAAGAATCGGCGAAAAAGTGTAGAGCTTCCCTTGAGGCATCCCGAAAAAACAAATCGGCGGAAGACCGTATTCCAAGGCGGACTAGGGTTCCTCCTGACATCTGGCAGGATACACTCAGCCTGCTGTGCGATAGCGAGCCCCCTATACGGAAGGAGTGTGCCGTCGCTCTTGTCTATTATATCATGCAGGAGATGCCAAAGCACGGCGAAAGCAGCGACCCAGACAGCCTGACACACCTCCGCAGGCTAGCAGAATCTTCTTTTCGGCATGTGCAACACATATTTCCGTATGCCGGAGATCCAGCAACGAAATTTCTTAATAGCGTTCATGCCTACGTTTACATCCTGGCGACCTCACCAACGTTAGGGCTAAATTCGGCTGGAGGCCCTAAACAACCCCCTCGGAAGGATTCTCCAAACGGCGAGGTTGGATCAGTCGCATCGCACTCCGAACAGACACATGAAGGCAACCTTCCATCGTCTCAAAGCAATCGACGATCCTTCAACATCCAGCATGGTTCAAGAGCTCGAAAACAGTCCTTGGTTTTGAAGCTGATTGAAAAGGCTCCTACCCAGTGCACCATCTCAGCAGAGGCGTCAGAAGAAGACTATGCGTACCTCCTCAAGATCCTTACCATCGTTCAAACAAATCTGCCCTTGCACGGATTGATCACTGGCGTTCCCATGCTATCTGCCCTGGATGCTGCCTCGAAACCTGAAGGTGTAGATGCCGATCTTCTCCAGCGCATCGTCACCATCAAAACGGTGATTGCGCATGTGTATCTTACCATAGGTCAAATCTGGAAAGTTCAAGAACTCGTAGGTCTTACCGAGAAGGTATGCACCCACAATTTTACTTATTTGCATGTTCTACAATTTTTTCCAGGCGATTGCATCACTATCCTCATTCCCTAATGGTAATACGACATCGGACGCCTCGCCCTTGGGTCTAAATGTTGACGAAGCTGTCTCCATGTTGGTGTATTCTCGCACAATTCAAGACGCTTTTGGGATGGAACAAGAGGGACTCCTTCGGCGCTTGAAGGTCCAGTGGACTCCTGAACTCGCCTTCCGAGACTGTGGGTGTTCCGATACAACTCATTCATCTCACGCTCCTGACCTCTTGGAACTTTCCAGTTGAGAGCTCTGCAGGATATGAAACCAGTTTTCGTGGAGATGGCGTCTCTCCTCTTCTCAAAATTTCGCCTGCTCTTATGCATATTGAAAACATCTCGTTGCAAAGTCTGGCGCGATCCACTCGTGGTCTTGGCGTAACAGACCTCCGCGAAGCTCTGGAGGGACGCAGCAGCATGTCGAATCCTGCCCTTGTCCGGCCTCCTTCACTATCCACCCTTGACCATACCTCCTCGTTTATGGGAGGCGATGGTGCTCTTAGGCTAACCCAAACTCGTTCACGAACGAGAGCTAAGAAGCGCTCAACACCCAGCGGTGGTGAAGTTCGTGATGTGCTTTCCCGGTTGGGTATCAGCAAGCAGAACAGCAGTCTGTTAAAGGCCACCTTTCCAGCTCTACAGAAATCCAGCTGAACGAGATCCTTATGAAAGACGACACGTAGAAAACTTTTGCATTCAACGATACCCATAATGCCCGCTCATTCCAACACTATCCAAGTCATCCCCGCTAACTGTATCAATGAATTAATAATTTATTACATAGGAAGGACTTCTAGGGTAGGTTAATCGTAGTACACTAAAATGACCCGCGGGCGAAAACCCCGCAAAGTAGTTTTCAAGGACTTAGCGAGCGGGGATGGTTTTCTCGGTATTCGCACCTCTGTTGAGACTCAATGACCGTCGCGTCCACCATTCGTTGACGGCTAACTTAAGTTACTTCACGTCACTCAGTTTCTTCCTGCCCGTTGAAGGGTTCACCTTTTGCCCACTCTCCGTCTGAACGTGGTTTCTGCTGACGCTCGAGCCCTCCGGCCAGGACGACTGGCAACCGACTCATCTCGCATTATCGAAGCCCTAGACTGCGGTTTACTCTCAAGCGATATTAAACCTTGCAAGATGGACACGATTTTGAAACATATCGACAACCTTCTTGGTTCTTCAGAGACCAGTGCCGATAAGCCTGGGAGGGCCACCTGGACAATGTGAGGATGAGCATTGTTGGCGCGAGAATGCGATCTGCTGATCCCTCATAATCCCTTCCACAGTTCTACGCAAAAATCGGGTGGTCATATAGATGATGAGGACTTGTGGGAAGAGAGCGAAACAGTGAACGCGGACTCTGTGTTGGCCCTCTTTGCCCGTCAAGGAGTCTCATCGCGCCCGACTTCAACGATCTCGTATTTCTCTGACTTGCACAGGTAAGTTCATGTCCGTATTACCCTTTCCTCGATTTATTCATTTATTCACCGCTAGAAAGTCTGATTCAGATCATCTAGTGCAGTCCCTACTGCAAATCCTGTCGTCCATTCGAACAAATGACGAAATCTCCAACGAACTGACCGAATTGTTGGGATTCGATGAGATCGAAACGATAGTGAAGATACTAGACAATCGTTATGCCGTTGTGGAGGAGGTGCGATTCATTTGCTTATCTTCGGCCAGAATGTTGACTCGGATGCTACCCAAGCTTTCTGCCAACCGAGCATCCGAAACTACCGTCACACCTCCCAACCGACACGGAGATGCCAGTCGTGTGTGCCAAGCTATCTTTATCCTTCGATCCTGACCAGTGGCATAGTTGCTAAGGGTGCCTTCTCATACCAGGGTGCTCAAGAGCGAATGCAACAACAATTCAGAGAAAATGCATCTCGACCACTGTTCAGCGGGATAGCGGTCAGTTAGTGAACCTCTGTATGCTTCGAACAGCTTCCGAGTTTCATTTGAGAATTAGGAGGCTGCTCCTGAAGTTCTTCCGCATGTTTATTCGTCGAGCAGTATGGCGCAAGGAAGTGTCCTGTCCCAATTTGGGAGCAAGTATATGCTGCCAATGGGGACAGCCCGAGAAATGCATGAGGTGAGCTTCGTTGATACAGTAGGGCTTCTGCAGGACTTGTTACGAGGAATTTGCTTTAGGCGTACGAGGAGGTCACCATTCCACCAGCGAATCCGGTCCCGCCCAAGGAGACTGAGCGTTTGATTCCAATCTCAGAACTTGACGACATAGTGAAAGGGAGCCTCTCTGTGAGTATGGCTCCGATTGACGAAAGAAATCTGTCTAATACCTCCAATCAAGGGTTACACAAGCCTTAATCGAATACAGTCCATCGTTTATCCGACAGCTTACGGTTCAAACGAGAACTTACTTATATGTGGTAAACGTCTATGTCTATGTCCCCTACGGTTTTCCCATCTGCTGATTCATTGGATCGTTGCAGCTCCAACTGGTGCAGTCAGTGCTACCTTGTTTACGTTGTGGTGTCTCGCTAACTATGCTCCAGGGAAAAACAGATGTGGCCATGTTGACTATTCTTCGAGTACTAGATCAACACAGGCTTCCATCCAATCCTATGTTTCAAACCAGCCATCCCCGTCAAACCATCGATAGAAATGCATTCAAAATTATATATGTGTGAGTTTAGTGCCCTTTCCTTCTTCGTTCTCTGCATATATACTGTCTCAGCGCGCCAATGAAAGCACTGGCAGCAGAAATAGTACGAAAACTTGGCAAACGGCTTCAGTGGCTGGCAATAGAGGTGCGAGAACTGACAGGTAAGGAGAGCTTTTTGTTCGTTTCCTGCTTTCTTATGTTGTAAATCGTCAGGCGACATGCAAATGACCAAGGTCGAAATAGCCAAAACACAAATCATCGTAACGACGCCAGAGAAATGGGACGTAGTTACACGAAAGCCAACCGGAGAGGGGGAAATCGCGTCGGTCTGTAATTTAGAACTTTTTTCTTTCAGAAAAAAAAAGACACTTATAAACCATGCAGAGTATCAAGCTCTTGATCATCGACGAAATTCATTTGTTGAATGAAGAACGTGGGGCAGTAATCGAAACCATTGTTGCAAGAACTTTGCGCCAGGTAGTTCTCCAAGTTGATCTATGCAATAATTTCTAAATATTCTGCTCCAGGTTGAATCGAGTCAATCAATGATCAGAATCGTTGGCTTGAGTGCCACGCTCCCGAATTATCGGGATGTCGCCGAGTTCCTGAGGTAAGGCCCTTTTTATCACAATGCATGTGCATCTCATCAGGAAACCCAGTGTTTCACGTTACAAAGGGCTTTTCTACTTCGATGCTTCGTTTCGACCAATCCCACTAGAACAGCACTTCCTAGGTATCAAGGGAAAAGCGGGTAGCGCACAATCCCGCAAGAATTTCGATGATGTTACTTTCCAGAAGGTATCGCAGCTCGTAGCTGAAGGTCATCAAGTCATGGTCTTCGTCCACGCTCGGAAGGAGACCGTGAAAAGCGCCATGGCGTTGCGCGACATGACTGTTTTGGAAGGGGTTACCGAGAACTTCAGCTGCGAGGATCATCCCCAGTTCAGCTTCTTCCGTCAGAGGATCGGTGAATCGAGGAATAAAGAAATGAAACTCTTGTTCGACAGTGGTTTTGGGATACATCACGCAGGAATGCTTCGTTCTGATCGGAATCTTATGGAAAAGATGTTTGCTGAGAGGGCGATCAAGGTATTGTTGTCTCCCTTCTGCTTGCTGGACTTAATTATGCATCCCTAATAGGTTCTATGCTGCACAGCCACACTTGCTTGGGGTGTAAATTTGCCTGCTCATGCAGGTGCGTGTTCGCCAGTAACTGTCTATATTCACACGAACATTTCCTAGTCGTCATCAAGGGGACTCAAGTCTATGATAGTTCGAAAGGGAAGTTCGTAGATCTATCCGTGCTCGATGTGTTGCAAATCTTTGGTCGCGCTGGTCGACCTGGAATGGAGACCAGTGGCGAAGGTTACATCTGCACCACAGAAGATAAACTCACTCATTATCTTGACGCCGTCACGTCTCAGGTGAAAATTTCCGCCCTATTCATGTTGACATGGGCTAACTATGAATACTACTCTAGATTCCAATAGAGTCGCAGTAAGTGCACAGGGCTCACATGAAACGAGGTGTTGATCACCTTTTTTACAGGTTCCAGGCTGGCATGATCGACTCGTTGAATGCAGAAATTGCTCTCGGAACTGTTTCAACTACCAGAGATGCTGTCCAGTGGTTAGGGTATACATATCTTTTCGTTAGAATGCGGATGAATCCTTTCGTCTACGGTGCGTCGTGTTGCAGAACCAGTTTTGGCTTAATGCTCAACCTCAAGTTATCAAGGCATAACTGGGGATGCTGTTCAAGATGATCCTCGCCTTGGCGGAAAACGAAATGAGTTGGTTGCTCAAGCATCAAGAACGCTTGCTGCAACGAAGATGGTCACTTACGACTCCACGAATGGCCAGTACCGGATTACTGAGCTTGGAAGGATTGCAGCAAGATATTACATACGATATCAATCAGTCGAAATCTTCAACAGGGAATTTCGCCCCAGGATGTCAGAGGCGGATGTTCTGGGAATGCTCAGTCAAAGCACAGAGGTAGGCAACCAACGCCCCAGCCTCTGTTATGATACTAATCAGTACCATACGCCAGTTTGATCAGATACAAGTACGCGAAAACGAGATAAAAGAATTGGAAGAAATTATGGCGCGAGTTCCATGTGAAGTCAAGGTAGCTCTTAGCGGCTTACTGTCGTGAATGCTCATCGATTATATGAATAGGGAGGCACGGATACGAGTGTAGGGAAAGTAAACATTCTGCTGCAAGGGTTCATATCAAGAGAAATCGTAGAAGACTTCGCTCTGGTTTCTGATATGGCGTATGCTGCTCAAAATGGGGGTCGTATCGCCCGAGCACTCTTGGAGATAGCCATTAGCAAGAAATGGGCCAATGTCACCTCGGTTTTGATGGGAATAAGCAAGGCCATCGAAACCCGTCTTTGGCCTTTCGACCACCCCCTAAAACAGTTTCCTCTGAAACCGGATACACTGTATGCCCTAGAAAAGTGGGCAGATGATATATCTGTCTCTCAGATAGCGGATCTTGACGCGGCTGCTATGGGAAAACTAGTACGCCTTAATGAAGCACATGGCCAGGCAATTGTCAATGCAGCAAAACAATTCCCAACTGTACACATTACTTGCAATCTGCAACCCATCGCATCCGATGTCCTGAAGATTTGTCTGAAAGTCAAGCGGGCGTTTGAATGGAATACCAAGGCTCATGGCACAAGCGAACCATTCTGGCTTTGGGTCGAGGACCAGGACGGTTCTAATATCCTCCAGCTCTCGCACATCACCTTCTATCAAACAACCGACGTTCTCCGAGTCGACTTCTTTATCCCTACTCCCGATGGCCAGCCTCCAGAGTTTGTCACAGTGAAAGCTATTTCTGATCGTTGGGTTGGTGCGGAGGAAGCTATCAGCATACCTTTGGGTTCAATCATCATGCCCGCCATTTCGAGGCCACATACCAGCGTTCTGAATCTGCCTTTTTTGAACATCGCGGATGTAGGAGGGCCGTCCATATTCCAGGACGTATTCAGCCATCGACTTTACACCCTCAATACTCTGCAAACACAATCCTTCTGGAACGTAGTCTGTGCAAGGCATAACTCCTTGCTTTGCGCACCTGCTGCAAGCGGTAAAACCACCCTCGCGGAGATGGCAATCTGGTGGGTCCTTTGAGATCCAGTAAAGCATAATAGATGACTCATTCCCACAAGGTTCGATCTTCTGAGATCAACGGAAGGCTGGATCCTGGTGGTGCTACCTACCAAGGTCGCAGCTATTGAAATGCTGTCCGAGCTCCAGCATGGCTCACGATTATCTGGCATCCCAGTTCAATCGACGCTCACTAAGCACCATATCCTTTCCTCCACTTCATCTAGAACTATTCGAGTCGTCACCGCGAAAGAGTTGTTTGATGCTATATCAACTAGGATCCCCAACGTCAGCGGCCTCCGTCTTGTTGTGTGCGATGGGCTCGAACAACTCGACCCGACGTTTGAACTTGCCATCTCGTTGTTGCGAATTGCAACGCAAACCTCTCCTACGCGGTTCATTGGCATGTCATCCTCTCTTACCGATCCCGAGAGTTTGGCTATGTGGTTAGACGTCGGAGAATTCGGAACAACGAGCTTTAAGCCCCAGGACCGCGATCAGTCATTGGTCACTTCTAGACAAACATTTTCTATTCCCCATTCAGCATCTCTATTCAAGGCGATGGCCCGTCCAGCCCATCGAGCTATTCAGGATGCTCACAGCGGCGGTTCTGCACTAGTTTTTGTTCCTTCTCGCGGCCAGTGCCGAGCAATCGCGCAGGACATCATCACGAGGTGCACTCTGGAGGAGGAACATGGCCGAGGTTATGTCCCGGACGTCATATCGGGTGTCGTGCTTGAGGACTATTGCAGCAGACTCCAAGATTCCACCTTAATGGACTTCGTCTCGAAGGGTGTAGGTTTCTTCCATTCGGGAATTGGAAGGGAAGACCGCGGCCTGATGATATCTATGTTTACGGATGGTATCATCCGCGTGATGGTTGTCCCGAAGGATTCATGCTGGAGCGTCCCTGTGAGGGCGAGGACGGTTATTGTGATGGGCACGCAGTACGTGCATATCGAAGAGCAAGGTGCTTCGCGGCAGGTTCGCGACTACAGCTTGGCTGAAGTTGTCAGAATGCAAAGCAGAGCTATTCAACAATCTGACACTGGCCATTTCCACCTCTTTTGCCAAGCAGAGGCACAAGAAACCTACTCCAAATTCCTCAAGGACGGTCTTCCTCTCGAATCACAACTCCATGAAAGTCGGGTTCTCAGCGACTGGCTCAAATCGACCATTCCAGAAAACTTGGATAAACAGCGGATCATCGACCTCCTGTCGTTCACGTTCCTCGCTCAAAGAGTGGCCACAAACCCATCGTACTATGGATATACATCTGGCAATCAAGTAGAAAATCTGTCTGCTGCAGTGGACCGACTAGTAGAGGATATCCAGGGAAAGGTACCGTAGAGCAGGTGACTCACAAACACGTTCTATTCTACACAGTTAATAGATGTCGAGAAGACTTCTACATTTGACACAATTGCGAAATTGAACCGAAAGTCTTAGAAACGTCTACTTCAGGTATTTCTTCAGCCCCTGGAGCTTCTCTGCCGCCTTGCACAGAGTGTCGACGTCCTTGCAAAACGCAAATCGACCGTACGCTTCCCCGATGGTCGCGTGGTCTTCGCAATAGAACTACGGGCATCATACCTTGATAAGTAGAAGAGATGCAGAGGAAGACACCAGCCACGTTACCTCGCTCACTGGAATAGATGATACTCCGACTTCGGTAGCTATGAACCAGCAGGCCCTGTTTCAAGAATAAATGGAAGAACAAGATATGAACGAGTTGCGCACTGACCGAAAGTCGCGCCCTCTGCCTAATACACTAGATGGGAAGGGATAATCTTCTGGGAACTCGACTTCTGAGATGTCCTAGAAAATGGATGAATTAGTGAATGGTCGTCGAGCAAGCGAGAGTGGATCACCAGTAAGATGAAATAGCTGCCTTCCGGGAGCGTGTATTTGAGTCCGAGTTTATCAAAGGCTTCGCAGAGGATGGCTCGCCGCTCTGCATACTCTTCCAGTTGCTTCTCGAAGAATTTCTTCTCTTTCGCTAGCTCGAGGCCAGACGCTGCCGCTTCCTGCAAGGGTGAATTCGAGCAGAAGACGATCCGCGTACTAGCAGCCAACGTGGGTTGTATGATAGACTTTGGTCCGATAAGCCAGCCAATACGCCATCCAGTGGCTGCGAACGCCTCTGCGAGAGATAACACTTGTTAATAGATGATGACTGGAAAGGGCATTCGCCTTACTTCCCGCTGACCCGACGGTGACTGTACGGTCCCACATGCCAGGCAAGGTCGCAATGCGTACATGCTCTTTTCCATCGAAAACAAGACAGTCATACTAGTGAAGACAAGATATTGGAAAAATCCGTGTGGTTGACCAGAATTGTACATACCACCTCATCCGACATCACAAGGAGATTGAACTCCTCAGCAATAGCCGCAATGGCTTCCAATTCTGACCTCCTGAAAACCTTCCCAACAGGGTTGTGAGGTGTGTTAACAATTATCATCTTCGTCTTCGGAGTAACGGCGCGTCTGCGGAATTATTGTTATTTCTAAAGATCTAAAATTAATGTCCATGTAGATAACTCACCGAAGTTCATCAAAATCGATTGTCCAGTCATCGCTAGTTGGTTTCTCAATGGAGGCCTTAGGAGGATGGAGCGGCACGTAGACGGGCTTTCCACCATTGAAGGTTACGGACGGAAGATACTGATCAAAAAAGGGTTCGAACATAATGACCTCATCTCCATGTTCTAAAAATGCGGTGAAGACCGAATACTGGCCTAGAGAAAAGGCAGAAAGGATGCTATTCTGAGCACATGGCGACAGAAAAAACGCAAGACGTACCTTCGTTGGCGCCACTGGTAACGAGGATTTCAGATTCCACGTCGAGATCGTTGTTGAGCTGGGGTCCATAGAAGGCCTTGATGGCCTCGCGGAGGCGGATGCGACCTCGTGGGTGGGAGTAGTGGTTTGGAGCAACGGTATTAAGTGCTTCCTCAGCAGCGTCGGTAACCCATCTCGGTGGCGCAAAGTTCATATATCCCTGGCCAAGATTGATGCAGTCTGAGGGCAGGTTGGCCGCACTGCGCACGGCGGGCTGTGTCAGCAGAAGCAAGGGAGAGCATGCGTAGATAAGCATAGTGACCTGAAGATAGTCCAGACATCAAGTGCAAGTGCTCTTCCTTCCTTCAACCGCGACGAAAAGGGGACGAGATTGCTCCTGTCGGGCTTGGAAAGACCATTTGGAAGGGTGGCCATAGCGGATTTGGCAGGGCACTTGGCGAGCGGCGGTGCGATGGAACGAAGGGCACTGGCAAAAACTGCCAGCATGAACGTGTGGGTCACGTCGCAGAGAAATGGCGATTCTAAATCATGCTGATCGGGTCTCCGATGTGACCGTGCCCTCGGTCTTCTGACGATTCAGGAAGGTGCTAGCACGCCTTTGAGCTCGCTGGCAGCCAGAACAGAGATTAGCCGGGCTTATCTGATAAGCACAAGACGATCATGGAAGCACCGCCACAATTGCCATTACTCACCGTTTCCCTCGAACCACTCAGGTCCTCTCGAGCACCCTATCCGCATCGCTCGGCCCTGCATTACTGTCGACGTCGCCCTCGCGTAGATCACCTCCATGCGACACAGTGTCTTCTTCCTGCATGCTTGCAGCCTCGTCCAGTCCTTCTTGGCCCATTCGTGTCCCTTCAATGAGGTCCTTTTATCCGACAAAAATATCCGCGAGTTGATCTTTCGCGCCATTTATCAGCTTTTATCACCGTCTAAATGGATACTCTATGGCCTTTGCCACGCGAGATTCTCTTCCATCCTCAAATACGCAGTCACTTTTACCCTGATCGGCAAAGATTAGGACCCACCAGATAGTCCTAGCAGCCTGATGCAATCCTAAGCCATGACGCGTTGAACCCACCAATCGTACACGGAATCGATCGCTCTGCCTCCGAACTCAGCCCGGCGCGACCGAAATCTATCCGTCTCGATCGTCACCTCATGTGTGTCGTCGTGGGCTTTCTGGGATGAAGTTCGGCGCTTCTCCGATTTCCACATCGACGCAATTCAGCCAAGATAGCCAGATTTACTTTTGGAAAACTCATCACGTCGTCGACCCCACGCATGTGGTTGTTCCGAGTATCTAGAAGCCAATGAACCGAAACGCTCATGTGCCATGGCCGTAAATTAGAAAACAAGCAACTACTTCGATCATTGCTTACGAGCGCCCCATAGGTTCCTGACGAAAATAGTGTCTGACTTCCCTCGTGGATTGGATAAAGAGTACCACCTTGGAGACCCTTAGGTTGTAACGCCGCGGACAGAGTTCTCCAGGATGTCTTTGGTCGACTTTCAGACGCGCGCTATCACCTCCACACCCGCCGATCGCGTCATCCGAAACCGAATCCAGCGCGAGCGCGCCAAACAGCTCTGGTACCTCCTCGCTTGCGTTGTGGCCCTGTTAACCATCATTCGCTTCGCCCGCTATGTGTGGTCTCGATGGGACAAGTTTCCGACAGTCGGCCAAAATCCCACAAAGGAAAAAGGGGATGAAGAGAAGGACGCCAGACGTCCAGTCTCCTCTTCAACCTTCCAACGGGCGGTGGCAGCGTTCACGACGAGCTTTAGGATCACTTTCTTTCGATTAAACGTTCCTATTGGCCCTGGTTCCATCGCGTCGGTGTCCGAGCTTACCTTCATCCTCGTTTACATCGCCGTCATGTTTGTCCTACTCTTCGTCGACAGTAAGCAATTTAGTCTTGAGAGTTCTATGCCTAATCTTCTCTTATTTTAAAGCGCGGGACTTGTGGCCAATTTTCTACCAAGACCGTGCCGCTCATTTAGCATCTTGCCAACTACCACTCGTTGTTGCTCTTGCTGGGAAAAACAATATCGTCTCTTGTAAGCCCTACAGAAAAAGCTGTCCGCAATTGCTAAATCGTTACCCAGGGCTGACTGGCATCGGCCATGAGAAGGTGTCTATACCTTTGCAAACCTGTTTCCTATCTCGTGGCTTATTTCCTACCTAGCTTAACGTCCTGCATCGCGCCGCTGCAAGGACAAACCTCATCTTCCTCTGGATCCATGCACTCCAACGCACCATCTCCGTGTATGCGTCCTCTTATCAACGGCCGTAAAATTTCTGACCATTTTTTCAGCCTTCCACCGCAATTCGATTTCACGCACAATTGGATGCGTTCGGGCGCCGTTGGCCTCGCAGCGTTCACCATCGGGACAATAATATCCATCCGACCCATTCGAAATGCAGCATTCGAGTTCTTCCTTGTGACCCACATCGTTCTTATGTTGTAAGTGGAGTCCATCCCGACGTCATTCTCGGCTCAGCTTCTCTTTTTCAGCATCTTCCTTGTAGCCGGATATTATCATGCCAGACAGTTGCAGTAAGCCTCGCGGATCATCGACTATTCGCTACCGCTAATGACACAATCAACAGCTACGGCACTTACATCTGGCCGGCCCTCTTGGTGTGGGCATTTGACAGACTCCTGAGACTCTCGCGCCTCCTCTGGAACAACAGGATTTTCAGCCGTCACCACCATGGCGATGCTCTTGTTGAGCTCCTGTCAGAAGACACTATCCGCCTCACTCTCCGACGCCGACATCTTACATGGAAAGCCGGCCAACACGCCTACGTCATCTTGCCCTCCGTTAGCTCTATGCCTTTCGAAGCCCACCCATTTACGATCGCCAGCATTGCAGAAGATGTCAATGACAACAAGGAACGCGATGCCGTATTCTTGATCAGGGGAAGGAGTGGGTTCACCGAGCGCCTCAGGCAGCACGCCAAGGAGAAGCATGGTAGCAGAGTGCCAGCCTTTATGGATGGCCCGTATGGATGCCCACCCGATCTACGACACTACACAACCTGCATTCTCGTCGCAGGTCTGTCGATTCTCTCATAGTGGGTCTACTTCAGAGCTGACGATCTCGGCTTTTAGGTGGCTCAGGCATTTCGTATACTCTTCCACTGCTTTTGGACCTGGTTCGGTACGTCCTGCACAGCTTCCTCTCTCTAAACGGCCCCTTAATTAATCGTCTTACAGGATTAGTGCAAAGGGTGGAAAGTCCGCTGTTGGAAGAGTTGTCTTTGTGTGGGCAGTGCGCGACCCAGGTATAGTTGACTTCGCACCCTGCCCGGCTTTTGTTCTGACGAGAAACCGCTCCAGCGCACCTCAAGTGGATCTCGCAAACATTGGTGGAGGCATTAAACCGTTCTGGCTCTTCCATCGTCATCGAACCTCGAATCTATATTACTGGTCCGGAATATCCCATACCCCAGGTGCCAGACCTCCAACAAGATGCGGCGTCTGTGGCATCGAGCTCGGAGAAAAAACTCGATATCGTTGGGGCTGATCTACCCGTCTATTCATCACTGAAACTGGTTCATGGAAGACCCAGCATGAAGAAACTGATTCACGATGAGATAGAGTCGTCCGTCGGTCCAATTTCGGTTGATGGTACGCCTTCCTGCGATTGTCGTGTCTTCTTCCTATTCAGTCTTGGCTTCCAGTTGCGGGTCCTTCAAGCTTGGCTGAGTCAATTCGTCGTGCTGTCAGCTGTGATTTGGCCGGTCCTGCGTCTGTTTTGAAAGGATCACAGCCCGTCACACTCCACGTGGAGACATTTGGAATGGTCAAGAAGTGATATCCCATCGAGCTATTGGGAGCGCTCGTCGGGGCCTCCCCCGCATTCATTCATTCCTCTGCTTCTTTCTGACAGCGATGAATTACTTTATAGATGTTCCTACGATCTTCGTACAAAATACCAAACGAATTGTATCACTTGATATCCTGATTGGTCATTGTAGCTACTGTGGACGGGCTGTTCTGCGAGAGTACATAGTGTAGCAACACATTGGATTCCTATCCATTTCCAGTTTCCTGTCTCATGTTTTCTTCTATCGGATATCGAATTGCATCGTATATATTTTATGCAACTGAATGCATAAACCTCAACCCAATACTATTGCGTGATAAGCAACTGCAGTGGTTGGATGTTAAGTAGTGGACCTTGAACCGCCTCCGAGTTTGACGGGCCGGTCACAGACGCGTTGGGCATGTGATCGTGACTGTATAGTCCCACGGTCCTATTGTGTCACGCTCACTTTGTGGCAGTTGTCCTTGGTAGCCAGCAATTCCTTCCGTCGTTCCGACGCCCGACTTTTTCCAACGTCAAGCATTCGGTTCATCTTCATATCCGTCAATCCTGGGGATACAAATTCATTCTCAAGACATGTCTCAATTACGGGTGGATGTCCCGTCTGCAGGCGACGAGTGAGTGCAATTTCACGCTGCATGGCCTAACTTCGCTGATATCCAATTTATGACTTCCTGAAGGTTAGCGCCCGGGAGTCTATCTATCGGCGATTCTCCAGAAAGCACGAATACATCCGGGGGTGTTCACGAGCGACGCAAGAGTGATAATGGCAACGAGTCTGACGATGAAGAATTTGTGTATCCAGCTTCCGGCTCCAATGCCACTGAAGAGCACACGAGTATTCCTTCAGCCCGTCAAATGGAGCCATCCCCCGCCCAAATGGAGTCTCTCTACGCTGCTGCGTCCTCCGGAGATCTTCCCCTCTTAAAGAGACTGTTTAAGAACGTTGTAGATAACGGGGAGGTCGAGCGATTTAGTTTGGCAAACCATGCTTCATCTCGGACGGGTTTTACTGCATTGCATGCTGCCGCGAGTCGGGGGTACTACGACATCGCTGTTTGGTGTGAGTTCGCTGTAGTTCCTTTTCATTCAACAACGACGATGATTTCTGCAGTGATCGAAGAATGCGGCGCCATGCCCGATTTAGAAGACAGGGAAGGCGAAGTGAGTGGAAGTAAAAGCATGAAGAGATTCTCCAGAACTAAAATTGCTACTGTAGACCGCCCTTCATAAAGCGGCATTGAATGGTCACATATCCATTATCCAGTATCTTCTACCAGGGAAGGCTGATGTTCATGCTCGTGATGGGGATGGATGGACCGCGCTTCACAATGCTTGCTCCAAGGTGTGTTATGGTGCAATCGACCTGTCAGCATGCTCATGATTATTCCGAAGGGATACCTTGACATCGTTCGATGGCTCTTTGAAAAAGGCGGCGCCACATCCGCTGTTGACGATATCCCAGGAGTGGATATTCGGAGTAAAGATGGCTGGACTCCTCTAAGTGAGCATTCAGTAATTGAATACCTCCGCCACAAAGGCTTACATTTTTCTAGTGAATGCTGCCTCCAAGGGCCATTTACCGGTCGTTTTGTACCTGCTGACGAAACAGCATGCACATCCTCTAATACGTAATAAGTGGGGCGAAGCCGCTTTTGATGCTGCTGCCGCCGTATTCGAAGTTTGGATATGCGAAGTAGGAGCTTGTATAGATTGGCAGCTCCCCTTTTCTGACCTGTTTCCTTTCTAGATTTTGCAACAGGCTGAGGCTGAGCGGTGGCGGGGTACTGCAACACCGTACAATCCACTTCTCGTTCATACGACGTTGCCCGTCATTCTATATGAGAACCAACGTCTTGACACTCGCCTTAAGACCGTTGCAGTTTCTGGTGGTCGTCCTAAATTTTCCGCTGTTGGGTTAGGACGACCAGGGCGTCGTGCGCCTTTCGAGCTGAAGCTACCCAAGCGAGATGAAGAGACTGGCTTGAAACTGCTACCTGCCTGGAGGAGTGGTGTTCAGCTTCCTCTGCGCGAATCACCCTGGGAATTTCCTAGACCAGCTACAGTTGAGCAGCCTGCGCCAGAAGGGGTGGAGAGGAGTCATTTCTGGCTGTAAGATGCCTTCGTTCTTGCTAAAAAAAGAAAGGCATTCAACAATGATTATCTCTGCAGCTCTGATTGGACCCTTGACGTTACTCATCCTGCGGTGGACGCAGATGAAGGCTGGCAGTATGCCCAATCATTTGACGAGCCTGATGACAAATGGACATCCGGAATCTCACCACAGTTGGAACGTATCATGACAAGCAGTGCGATTGTGGCTGCGGGCTTTGTAGGTCCTTCCAACAGGAGCAATTCTCTGTTATCATCCAGCAATGCCAGTCGCGCCCACCCTGTTTGGGTACGTCGTCGACGCTGGGTCCGTATCATGCGCCGCCGGCTGGATATCCCTCCATTACCATTCCTTGAACCCGATGGTTCTATGTACCATCTCGATTTTGACGGATCCTTGATTCCCTACATTGAGCCGGATCATCCCAGCACTCCAGATGGCAACGAAGGCCAGGAACTAGGAGCGATGTCTTCGTCTTTCTTCTCGTCTGCCCAGGATTATGTTGCGAGAGCGAGGTACCTAGTTGGCAATCACAGTCAGGATTCAGAGCGAGGCTCATCTACACCTTCGGCATTGGAGATCCGTAGAGCCATCGCAAAATTAGAACGGGCTACAGCGGAGCTCAGACAAGGAATCTTAGGTGGGTGCATTTTGATTGTTCCTCTTGGATAGGTCTAATTCTGTTGCATAGTTGACGATGACGCTGAACGCAGGACGCAAGCTGAAGTTCTTCTAAATGCATACAGCCGTGATTTGGAGCGCCGTAGATTATCAGCTAGCGCGCAAGGGATATTGTTATCGGATCAAGGTCTGTGTATCAAATCTCGTCCTCTTCTTATTTAATTATCGACGTAGATGATTATTTAGACGACGACGACGACGGCAGCTCAGAAGAAGAGTTCCGTTACCCAGGGTCATCCGTATACGAGACTCCTAGACCTGCCTCTAGGTCTTCAGCATCGACCGACTACTTCAATCGACCGGGATCGTCGAGAATCCCCACCGATCTCACTCCTCAGCTCACACAAGCACCCGACTTCCGTGTTCCCACCCACGAAGCACCGCAGAAAGTTTTGACCCCTCGATGGACCTCTCCCACACCCCATCCTCTTCATCCTCAGTGGGAGAGAGATGAAGCCGTCAGTCAATGTCGTGACTGCCATCGTAGATTCAATTTCTTGAACAGACGAGTAAGTATCTGTTCTCACTGGCAAAAATGGCGTACTAATCATGGAAATTCTCAACTCGCAGCATGTACGTTGCCGTTTGACTTGGGATTGTGTCACGGTGCCTTATCTTGAAACAGCATTGCCGTAAGTGTGGCCGAATCTTCTGTGATCGATGCTCGTCGTACCGTGCAATGCTTGATCCGGCGGATGTTGTGCACGACCCCGCGGTGCCTGAACCGGCTTCGCCAGCTACAAGCCATCGAGTCTGTCAGACGTGTTATGAGGAAGCGAATAGCAATATCCCGACCAGATTGCACCGTACAAGCACCATGGAACGCATTATTGTGGATCAAGAACGTCTGACTGTCCCCGGGTCTTTGACGCGTCGACAGTCGAGCTCGCAACTGAGTGACCTCGCAGAGTTCGTTTCTTCTAATGCACTACACGCAACCTGTTCGCTCACCAGACAATTTCGTTAGCTGCCCGGTTTGCAACCTCAACCTTGATGAGGTCGGAGACGCGCCCGCGCAAGAAGCTCATGTGAGAAGCTGTCTTGAAGGGGGTTCTGGTGCTCCGCAAGCAGCTAAATATCTGGTGTATCGCCTTCCAGCTGAAAGTGCCCTCCTTGGCGTGGAATGTGCGTTATGACTCTTCCGAGCATCTCAGCCATTTTGACACATCCTTTATAGGTGTCATTTGTTTGGAAGAGTTCGTCAAAGGTACTGCAGCATGGCTAATTCCCATGCAAGATGATGCTCATCGTTTTTGAATTAGGGTCAACTGTCGCACGTCTCAGTTGCTTTTGCAGTTTTCACAATTGTGAGCCCATCCTTCGTTCAATTCCGCCCTTGTTTTTAACCCGGCGATTCCCCAGCGTGCCTCTCTTCCTGGCTCCAACGTGGCAAAAGTTGTCCTGTCCATGCTCGTTGAGCCTGTTCATAGGAGCTTAACACCCATTATCTACCCCCATTTCCCGATCAGAGATATTATACAATTACGTCACTATACACCGGATTACTGCATACTGGGCCATCCTTCACCTTCATCATATATCCTGCTTCTATCTACTTGGATGAAATGTGCTATGTCCTCGACATCTGGCTCGATGATGTCTTGACCTTTGCGGCCGTCGTCTTGATCGTCTTCGAACCAGCTCGAAGGGTCTTCATCCGAGTCATCGTCTTCAGAGTCATCCTCCATATCGGATTCTGTTGGTTTATGGTTCCTAGAAGAAAGAGATGAGGATGGCAACTCCACGCAACAAGTGGAAGGTCGTGCATGAATGCCCATATTCGAGCTTCTCGCTCTTGTCTGGTCAACACTTCTCCCTTGATCGGCTTTCCTAGCCGTCTTCTCTTCTCTTCCAAGCGTTGTTGTCGCTCCTTATCCTGAAGGAAGGCTTGACGTTCCAAATCCATCGCTTCTTGCATGCTAATTGATCCTGCGATATTGGACGACCCACTGTTCATGCCCTACATCAGGAATTAGATGAGAACAGAAAGTCAATGTCAAGACATACGAATTGTGCAAGAGCCTTCCGTTTGGCTTCAAGAGTTCGACTTATTGGAGGCTCTGGAGGTGGATCAACAACCATGTCGCCGTCACCTCTGATCATGGTCTTCCGTAGTCCTGTATTGATGACTTCCATTCCGTCAAGCTCAATTAGTCGGGATTCGACAGCAGCCTGTTCAGCTGTTACCCTTTCCGCGTACGATGAAGTTGAGGCACCACTGCAGCGAATGGGAAAACGGTGTCAGCGGCTGAGTTGATAGGCAACATAGAGGTAACTGGATACGCACGGAGATGCAAGAATCTTCGCGTTTAGAGTGTGGCGGTCCTGGAGCTCGCGCACGGTCATTTCTGTTATGGGCCGTTGCTTTGGCCTTGGTGACGACCGGAAGCCAGGTGTCTCCAGAGGCGGGTTCTTGCGACGGGTTGGAGAGCGTATTGGCGACGTTGACAGCGAGTGCATTGTGTCGTTTCTGAATGGCGGGGAGAGTCTTTGCACAGTACGGGCGGTATGCTTACGGACTCTGATCACACTCAGGTTTGACGTTTTTGGTTTAATTTCACACAGGGTATCACCGATCACCGAACGAGTTTGTGTTTGTGTGGCGCACAGATTTGGCACAGATACTTGGGCCTATCTTGCATTCCTGCAGATGTTCACGTATTTCAAGCAGAAGACGACCCCAAGACGGAGGAGAAATTTACAACGACTATTGAGAACTTTTTTTGGACCGGTACTACTAGTACATAAGGAGCATTCAACGGGACAACAGAATGAAACCTTTGGACATTGACATTGTAACATGGATGATGCCGACTTGCTCGGGTGAGAAAAAAAAATCACCCTCTGAATAAAAATTGGAAGATAAGTGTAAGAGGGAACAAATTCCATCACATAAACATGTCACCCTAGCACCGATGTTAGAATTAGATAAACTCTGGCTGAAAAAGACCCACCATTCCAGGCGGCATGAATTCATCGTTGTCCGGTCCCTGGTGTGGATTTCGTCCTCGCCCTCTTCCAAAAGGACCAAAAGTTGGTCCCACAGGATCAAATCTTGCTCCAGGTGGAGCACCCAAAGGAGGAAGGAAACCATCGCCACCCCATGGACCGCTCCTGGGAGATACACTTCCCCTTCCAACGCCAAAAATGGGATGGTCCGGACCAACGAACATCCCATCTCCTCCAGTAGGCGGGAACAATGAAGGAGGCGCAAACGGGTTCATCGGGAAAGGATCTAAATCACGTCTCCCAATTTCCAGAGGGTTTCTCGGGAACGCTGGGTGAGGGTGAAATGGTGGTTCCGGAGCATCTGGGGGATTATCTGGACGGGGCCGAGGGTATGTAGGTCCTCGTTGGGGCGGATGAGCACTTGAAGACGCCTCGGAGTTACTTTCTTCGGTGTATCCCTCTTTCTGCAGGCCAGGCACAAGCTTTTGGATGATCTTCAACTTCACTTGCGATAGCAAATCAGACACTCTGTTGGACGAAATGAATCCATGCACAAGAGGACGATTGCTGGAGGCATCAATGGTATGGGGGTAGAAAGAAGGTGATGTGAAGTCGTCAGTAGAAATGTCCAAAGTGGCGACTTTATCGCTCTACATCGACGATGAGACAAAGCGGTGGAGAATACAGGTAGACTACTGACTTCAAGTGCGATAGCATTTATGACCGTACGTGAACCAAGTTTGGACACCTTGACCAGGAACTCGAGGCTGCTCTGATCGTGTTTATATTTGAACGAATAGCTGCCTGGACCAGATCTGTTCCACTGAGGCGGAAGTTCGTTAGTCGAAGCGGTTAAGGACGACGATTCGTCTATTGCCGTCAGCCTGAAAGCCAGAGCACTGAGCGCGGCATGCAGGAGCGCAGCGATGGCATCCTGCTGGGATTCAAGCTTTTTGGAACTTGCAGGAAGTAGATTGGGGACAAGGGCAAGGATCGCCGTAGGGTCGAGGATATCGGCAGTCATGGTCTGAAGTCAAATGCTAAGATGACGCACCTCTTTCGGCGCCAAATATCGGCGCCGTGTGACCGTTACGTCACAACCCACCTTTCTTTCCTCCCCCATTGACAAGCTCGATTTTGCCCTCCTCCTCGATTCAAGAATGGCTCGCAGAGACAGATCCTACTCCCCCGACTCATCTAACAAAAGGGTAAGACCATCTCACCGCTCACCTCGGTCTCCTTCGCCAACGCGGCGCAGCACGCAGAGGACCAATGGCCGCTCGCGGTATGACGACGAGAGAGGCTGGGATAGAGATAGAGACCGAAATAGGGATAGGGATAGGCCCCGCGACAGAGATAGGGACAGAGACAGAGACAGAGACTGGGACCGTCACCGTGACGATAGATACCGTGACGACAGAAGGCGGGATTCATACCACGACGACCGACGACGCTCTCGGAGCCGTTCTCGTTCTCGCGAGCGGAGAGTACCTACACCGTCCCGTCCCACCCAATCTGCAGAGAATGTGCAAACCCCTCCTCCCGAAGACAAAAACTTCAAAGCGAAGAGGGCTAAACTAGAAGCATGGAAGAAGGAACGGGAGGCGAAGAAAGCTCTTGACGAGGCCAAGGCCAAGGCCATGGCGTTGGCCGGTAAATCCACTCCAGGTGAGTTTAGGAGCTTTTGTCTAGCTGCGTTCGTGGTTTCACAGCACTTGATCCCTTTACAGCTCTGGTCGCGTCGACTTCTGCGCCTAAAGCCGGCCAGTTGAACCGCTCAGCCCTTAATGGCCTTGGGCTCAAGGGCCTTCCTTTGAAGCCTGAGTTCGCAAATGCCGCAAAGGGTATTGGAGCGTCCCTGGATGACTCCGTGGAATCCAAGAGGAAGTTGGAAACCCTGGGTGACATGCCCGCCATCGACATGACAATGGCTGAGGATGAAGCTGGTGTCGGAGATCTGGAAGTTGACGATGATGACGAAGAGGCAAATCGGATGGACCAGGCATTGAAGGCAAAAGCCAAAGACGCTATGGATGTAGTCGAAGACGACGAAATCGACCCTCTGGACGCATTCATGTCTGGAGTTAAGGAGGAAGTCAAAAAAGTCAATCTTGAAGACATGAAGAAGATGTTCGGCGCCGACGCCGATCGCTCTAGAATCAGGCTTGATGAAGAGGATGGGGAGGCCGACCAAGTTGCTGGTACTGCTCCAGATGAACTAGACGCTACGGACTTGAACCCAGAAGATATCCTTGCCCTTGCTGCCAAAAAGGCCAAGAAGAAGGAGTTGGCTGCTGTTGACCACGCCCGTATCCGCTACGAAGCCTTCCGCAAAGAGTTTTATGTTCCTCCACCGGACATTGCTGCTATGTCGGAGGCAGAGGCAGATCTCCTTCGCCTCGAGTTGGATGGAATCAAGATCCGCGGCGTTGAGTGTCCTAGACCTGTGACAAAGTGGAGTCATTTTGGGCTACCTGCAGTGTGGTATGTTCATTACTTATATTGATGCCTTCTTGGTTCTCTCTAATGCTTTAAATTCCCCCCTTAGCCTCGACGTCATCAAAAGGCTCAGCTATTCAGCACCAACCTCTATCCAAGCCCAAGCTATTCCTGCGATCATGTCTGGTCGTGACGTGATAGGTGTGGCTAAGACTGGTTCAGGAAAAACTATTGCTTTCCTCCTCCCTCTTTTCCGTCATATCAAGGACCAACGTCCCTTAGACCAGATGGAAGGTCCCATTGCTGTTATCATGACCCCCACTCGTGAACTTGCGGTTCAAATCCATCGAGAATGCAAGCCTTTTCTAAAAGTGTTGAATCTTAGAGTACGTCCCTACCTCAGTTCATGCTAGACGTTTACTAAATCAGCATTTCCAGGCCGTTTGCGCTTATGGCGGCTCGCCGATCAAAGACCAGATTGCAGAACTAAAAAAGGGGGCTGAAATCATAGTCTGCACGCCCGGTCGTATGATTGATCTATTGACTGCCAATTCAGGTCGTGTCACCAATCTCAAGCGGGTGACCTATGTCGTGTTGGACGAAGCTGATCGTATGTTTGACATGGGTTTTGAACCCCAGGTGATGAAAATCGTCAATAACATACGGCCTGACAGACAAACGGTCCTCTTCTCCGCGACATTCCCAAAGCAAATGGATTCCCTCGCCCGAAAGATTCTCCGAAAACCCCTCGAAATCACAGTCGGTGGGCGGTCAGTTGTTGCCGCGGAAATCGAGCAGATTGTTGAAGTACGGCCGGAAGAAACTAAATTCAACCGTCTTTTGGAGATTCTGGGGGAAATGTACAACGAGGATCCGGAATGCAGGACTCTCGTGTTCGTCGATAGACAGGAAGCCGCTGATAACCTTCTTCGTGAACTCATGAGGAAGGGCTATCTATGCATGTCCTTGCACGGAGGCAAAGACCAGGTTGATCGGGACTCGACAATTGCGGACTTCAAATCTGGAGTGGTCCCTATCGTCATTGCGACGTCTGTTGCAGCTAGAGGCCTTGACGTCAAGCAACTCAAGCTCGTAATCAATTACGATGCACCCAACCACATGGAGGACTACGTTCACCGTGCCGGTCGAACTGGTCGAGCTGGTAATAAAGGAACTTGCGTCACCTTCATAACTCCGGAACAAGAGAGATACTCTGTCGATATTTATCGCGCTCTCAAAGCTAGCAATGTCACAGTGCCACAGGATCTCGAAGAACTGGCGAACGGTGAGTTGTATAGCCCATATTTGTTTGATCACTGCTTATTACTTTGATCTGGCGTAGGGTTCTTGGACAAGGTCAAGTCAGGGAAAGCGCAAGCTGCCGGATCTGGCTTCGGTGGCAAAGGTCTTGATCGGCTTGACAAGGAGCGTGATGCAAAGGAGAAGGCGGAACGGAAAGCATACGGCGAGCCTGAGGAAGAGAAGGCTGCTGTTGCTGAGGAGGATACGGCGAAAGTTGCTGCCGCTGGTGACGACATGACGTTCGGCAACTTCAAGGTCGAGATCAAACGTGGACCTGCTCCCGATTCCTCCAAAGGCCTTCTCGGAGTTGGCGGGGCTGTTGCCGCTGCTCGACGCCTGGCACACGCGAAAGAGGAGGAGAAGCTGCAGACCCAGGTACGCGCTGCGGAAGAAGCGGCCGCACGTGCTGGAAAGGATACAGCGGCCCACAAGCAAGCTCTAAGCGTTGTCGCGAAACTCAATGCCCAGATGCGTGCTTCCAAACTCGTCCTACAGTCCCAGTTGCAGGCAGAGGAAAATGGTATCAACATCAGTGGCAAGAAGATAAATCCAGATTCCACCGATTTCCATGCAATCATCCCCATCAACGATTATCCTCAGAAGGCCCGTTGGCGCGTCACCAACAAGGAGACAATGGTTCAGGTATGTAGTCCAAACATTCTTGACCCATCAATTTACCCATTTATCCCGATAGCTCATCGATATGACTGGTGCTTCGGTCACCAACAAAGGCATTTATTATGAGCAGGGCAAAGAACCTCCTCCTGAAGGTCCTCCCAAGCTCCATCTTCTTATTGAATCAAATGAAGAGTACCGGGTACGTCACGACCAAATCACAAATCATCTTCGTTTTGTTAATGTCATTGTGGTCAGGTCGAGCAAGCTGTCAGGGAAATCAAGAGACTGCTCATCGAGGCAAGCGCAGCTGCTTTACAGGCCGAAATGCGCAATCCCACTGTCACAATCGGTAGATACAGCGTCCTATAGTCTCGATTGCCATGCTTTTCCTCTGTAGTTCTCTCGTGCTCAGCATCCAGAGTGCTATGTACTAATACAGCGACTTGAAAAAGCAGATGCTTATACAATTTGGGAGCAACAGAATACTATCTTACAGCAGACAACAGGAAGGAACTGAGTTTTAACGATTCAAGCCAAATCCTCTTGGTTTTGAAGTAGATCCTGATAGAGTATGGCCTGACTCCTTGATTCTCTTTTCAACATCGGTTGCCTTGCCTTCCACTTCTCGGACGGCAGCATCGATCCACTGCAAACTCTCTAGATGGCTACTCAAAACCTGAGCGATTTGTGACATAGGGTCGTTGGTTGAATCGTCCGGCTTCGATGCTATTGATAGGCCATTGACCGAGTCTATCATCTGGGTCAGGGAGCCGGAGATGTCGTCAAGATGAGTGTGGAGGTCCGTGGCCAACATGTAGCTAGAGAGAAGGTAATTGAGCTTAAGCAAGGAAGGAAAGAATGCGGACACACTTCTTGTCGCGTTCATTGTCAGCAGGACCAGCGTCCAGGGTCCTCAAGCTTGCTCCTTGTGTACCAAGGATCTCCTGAGATACTTTCTCGTAGGCGTCGAGAGTGGACGCGAGATCCTTTTGCTGTTGTTCAATATGGTCCAAGGCTTCGTTGATCTCGTTTTGCTGCCTTTCAGCTGCCACAACGTGACTGTAAAGGGCGGCGATCTGTAAGTAATAAGCAAATTAACTTCAGAGAGGAGGCATTGCGAGGTAGAAACCTACGTTATTGCCATTTTCAATCAAGGTTCGATCCCACGCTTCCACCTCTGCTGCAAATTTGTTGAATTCGCGAACATTGGGTTCCAAATCTGAAGACCATCTATTCACAATCTCTTCCAAAGTTTTGCCTCTCAGCATCGAAGGAGGTGGGATCGCAACGACGGCAACCGTGGAAGCACCCCCTGTCCCTAATGATCAATTTATTGATTAAATTTTCTTTGTAAAAAAAACTGGCGATGTCCATTGACACACCTGCAGGATTACTGCCTTCTTTCGCTATGATCGTTGAAGGTAAATGGTTACTCGTTAAGCGTGAAAATAATGGGCTCGAAGATGAATCAAGTCCTACCTGCCGTCGCCGAAGTATCTTTCTTTTCGTCAGGTTTAGCCGCACCGAAAAGAGGAAACGCAGCTGTCGTTATAAGTGGTGTCAGCAAATCCGTTATTAGTTAAAACCACCAATTTACCTGCTGGTGCGGTGTCCTTTTTCTCTGCATCCTTATTAGCAGGAGGTGCTCCAAATAATCCTCCAGCTGCTGTTGTGTAGAACGCTCAGTTCCGGGCGTATCGAAAGCAAATTCCAACTTACGTGTCGAGGTAGACGTCGTGTCCTTTTTATCGCCACCAAGTGAGAAAGGAGAGGTTGTACTCGAAGCCGCAGGCGCTGCGGTCGTTGTTGCAGGTTTCCCAAACAATCCGCCACCAAAGAGACCACCAGCAGTGGCGCTGGTCGTCGATGACCCAGCCGAGGTACTAGGCGCCGCCGTGCTGGCGTTGTCCGCTGGCTTTGGAGGCAAACCAAAGAACCCAGCACCAGGGGCAGTAGATGTGGCACCTGCAGCAGGCGTGCTACTCGTGCTGGGTTGGGAAAAAACTGAATGAAGAGATGAGTTTGAGGTATCGCGAAAGCAAGACGGGCTCACAGCTTGAGGCAGGTGGTTTGGGAACTCCGTTGTCTGCTGGCTTTGGTAAGCTGAAAGCAGAAGATCCTCCACCAAAAAGTGGATTCGCGTTGGGTGCCGTTGCCGTTGGGTTGGGTTTGGCTCCCCCAAATAGTCCACCGGCTGCAGGGGTTGTAGATGCGTTGGTTGTTCCTCCACCGAAAAGACCACCTGTTGTTCCAGTAGCAGGAGTAGCTGATGATGCATTCGCTCCACCAGATAGCCCGCCTGGTGGGTTTGAGGCTGTCGTTGAAGTGCCACCAGCACCGAACAGGCTACCTGCAGGTGTTGATGGTGTATTCGTCGTTCCTCCACCAAAAAGTGCACCTGTCGCTGGTGTCGTCGTAGTCTTATTCGCGTTGCCAAAGATGCCGCCACTTGTTGAAGCCGGAGCAGCAGTGGATCCTGTAGTAGTATTCGTGTTGCCAAAGAAGCTTGGTGTACCACCTGTGTTAGATGTTCCTCCTCCACCGAAAATACCGGCTGCAGGTCGTGTAAGTTGATGAACGCTGATGAAGACAAGGATGTGTAAACACACCTCCGAACACATTGGTGTTCCCAGTGCTATTGGTGTTGCCTCCTCCAAACAGCCCTCCTCCCGTGGCGCCGCCTGCCGGAGTAGAAGACGTATTACTTCCTGGCGGGTTGAAGAAACTCATGATGGAGTGGAAGAGGAAGACACGTTATATGTTACAAGGCGGACGCGTTGATTCACAGTCACAAACGAGGTGCCGTCGGTGGCGGTGTCGCTCTTGTTTTGGACTCAAATCTGTCTATCACGAAGCAGTTACTATGCAATCTTGCCTCCTGGGAACACTCTCCACGTCGTGGAATGCGAGGGATATGTCAAGAGTCAGCGCTTGAAAAACCATGTCTGAATCTACTGCCTTGGACAGTTCACGCTCGAGCACGCTTATTACCCTTCCTGCTGGCACCTCCTACAAGTTCGACCTCCGCTTGCGTCCTCTCAGCTATTTGCTGACTGACTGTGTTAGTGGGGAGAGTTGTTTCGATGTTCTCCAGGAGGATGAAGAGGTGGTACCTGATTGGTCACTTTGTGTGCACCCACAAGTGCGAAACCATTCATTTATCTCAGAAATGGCCAACTTAATCACCAAATTGCCTTCAGGGATGGGTTTATTTCTTTAACCCTCTACTCAAAGTAGTAACAGATCAAGACATTCGAAAGCCTTCCGTTTTCGGATTGACGAAGGAGAATTGCCTCCAGTATCCTCTAGATGAACTGTCGGATGGAATGGAAGTACACCTTCACCTCCAATCCTTGATTGGGAACGGGAACACTTCTGTATTCGGTCTTGCGGTGAATCACGTCCATTGTGTCGCGTCGTACGATCTCCAGGAAATTAAGAGCAATAATGCTTGCTTTCTTACTCCTAAGAGACGTGCGTCTGTTCATCTGAAGTTCCACTATACATGCCACGGTCTGACAACATAGATGCTTAGTAAACAGATGTCGTCGACTGTACTGGAACTATCTATGGAATCACCCTGCACACGTACCATCTCCATCCAGAGCTATTGAAGACGCTTCAGAAGCGTTGACTTGGTTCTACGTACGTCGTTTTGATCTCGCACATTCCACAGCCATCTTGACCAATGTATAGACAGATAATCTAATATCCGGCGCAAAGAGCACCGTTCCCTTCTCCAAAGTAGAATGCGACGAGCTGTCCCGGATCGTTCGAGAACTAACTGGTACGCCTTCGAATCGTGTCTCTGTGGTTTCTTCGCACTTATATTCCCAGTCTCTTCCAATGATAGATCTGTCTCAAAGACCGTCTTTCTTTCCTGGCTTCTTCGTGAAGTGTGCAGTTTTCGTGACGCGGAAGACTGGGGCCAGTATACTCAGAAAGATTTGATCGCTCTCAGGCAGCGGAGAACAAACCCTCCTCAGACTGTACATCTCCCGCCGCCCGTGGTTCTCTTCCTGCTGAATTTCGTCATTAATGTGCTCTTCTTCGGAATTCCCCATACCTATCGTGCTCATGTTAAGGTTAGCCTAAGCCTAGCAAGCCAAGGAGAAACAATCCTGACTATACCCTTCAGGCGACCAGCGAATATCGTGGAAGACTCGCCAACGTCCAACAGAATTGGGCAAAGTACATTGAGCGGCTTGTACGAGAATACTCGCATTTTTTGCTCATTGTAAGCAGGGTTCCCTGGCTGCTGAACCTTAGCCGCACCTTACTGTTTTTGTTGTACCTACAGTCCACTGTGCTTCTCTCGTAGGTTGCTTTGTTTATTCCTAGAGATGAGCAACTGACAATAGCCGAAAGAGCGACTGTTGGGTTCCTAGCGGTCCCAAACATACCTGAAGGTGCTCAAGTAGCCGGAACTATTTCTGCATTGGCGTCACTGGGAAGTATAATTGTTGGCGTCTTCTCCATCTGGAGACACCAAGCAAATACCGCCACAGCAGATTCTGTACGTTTATTTGACGGTTTTGATAAGTGTTGCTGACCTGATTGCTCGTTGTCCCCAGTTCACCTATATGCATAATGTTCAGCGTAGATATCTTGGGCTTTACGGACACGCGATTCTTCTCAGTCTTCCTCCGACTCTTCTGGTTTGGGCTATCCTGACCTTCATCATCTCGATAGTTGTGTACGTGATGCATGGCATTACCGAAGATGGCACTTGGACGAGAGTATCGGCCTGGGCGGTCTTTACCGTGTTTGTGATCTTCGTCTTCATAGTTTTTCTCGCTCTCTACACCTTCGCGATCGTTTGGAAAGTCCGGAGAAGGTCTGCAGGGATCCGGTACCGCATCAGCTCGTTATGGACCCAAGAGTCAAAAGCTAGAGGACAAGGAACGGAGGCTTGAAGGGACATTCTCTCTATACTTACTTATGTATCATGATGCAATTGACGAAGAACCGTTTACCTTTCGCTCGTTACCGACCACGAGGTCCACTTAACTCATCGATCATTGCTGGTTACTTCTATCAATAAGTACCCTCTTCACCAGGAACCACGATGTCGACTCCAACTCACATCTACAAAATTGTATCCTCATCGACACCTCCTCCTGTACCCCTCCCGGAAGCCCTCCCTGTCAGTGAACTCGATCAAAACGATGGATTCATCCACCTTTCGACCGAAAAACAGCTTCCGGGCACCCTCAAGCGCTTCTTTCAAAGCGACGGCCTCGTCTATATTTTGAGGATCGATTACAGGAAGGTGGAGAAGAATATTAAATGGGAGAATGGGAAAGGAACTGGTACGGCTTTCGTCAGATTAGATGTGCTGGATCTTCATTATATACTATTGCCTATTCTATCAAGCTCCTGGAGGTATTGGCGAAGAGGGCATATTTCCGCATCTCTATAATGGGCTTCATGTTGGAAGAGAAGAGATCGAGAGTTTCAAGCAATGGGAAAAGGACTCTCAGGACAGTTGGGATACTGCAATAGCCAAGGCAAGGGCAGATGGGTGGTTTGTTTATTGACAGGCAGACAGCTGGATGGGTATAGTGGAGTAAGCGGCGTCAGGCAATGTCTATGTACAATACAAGACGGAGATAGAAGCATACGTCAGAAACGAGACAGCAGTGATGTCCGAAGTCAAGCTCAAGTGGTGAACTCAGGAGTCAGCGGTTGAGGACCAGGACAGAGGCACCTCCATCAGCTGTCACTCTCTTCCTTGTCTTTATGATCAGATAGCGGCGCCCAAATCGTGCCAGGGTCTTGGGTTGAGAGAGATTACTCTTGGGTTCTACCCTGTCCTTCCTCTCTGCTTTATAAGACTCGAAGCCAGAAAATAATCCAATGGCCGAAGGAGCCAACACAATCGCTTGACCCGTCTAAATAAGAATGGGTTAGTAATTACTAAAAAAAAACTTAGCAATGGTATTTTGCTGACCTGTAGTTTCACAACCTTATCGAACGCATCACTATTTGAAAAATCTGTAGGAACGTGTTGAATGAGATGCTGCCACCAAGTAGGCGACGAGAATCTATGGAGAATTGCCACGGAACACAAATCGAGCAAAACTGGAGGCACGACAGTTGGCTCTATACCTTGCTTCAGCAAGTGGGGAAGATGAATATACAAGAAACATACCTTGAGTACTTATGATGATTCTCATAGCCAAATGGCGCTGCTGTCGTATGAGATTCAAGAGAGACTTTGTGAGACCGCTTGAGGATCTTTCACAGGAAAGATACTAATTATACTAAGAATGTCAATAGAAACTAATGTCATCACGACAAAACTTACCTTGTGGGCTTCATCAACGACCAATACTTTCCCGGTCCCGACATCTGCACGAACAAACAGTCGAACGATGATCTCGAACAAGCCGCAAGCGGAGGAGGTGTCAAGAAACGGGTCCGATAAGTCGATAATAGTCAACTGTCCCGCATGAAAAAGGGAAGGACGCAAGGCAGTTGCACCTTTTTTCTTGGGAGGGGGTGAAGGGTTGAGAAAAGAGGTCAACAAAGATAGGCGCTGTTCAAGGCCTGTCAGCTGAGCAGGGTTGAATTTCTGTTTGGAAAGCTCAAGTTTGTCCATGAAAGCTTTGTATGTATAATTTTCACCAAGGTCACGTAAGAGAGACTACAGGAGAGTCAGAACAAGCAGAATGTGGATAAATCAAGGAAAATCACCAGGATGATTTGCATGTATAAGGGGGCCGACTCAGACGAGCCAACTGCCATCATCGATAATATGGCGGCAGCATCGAGCTCGGAGCTCTGAAAGAGAAGCGGTTCGACGGTGACCTTGCCTCCCAAAGGTGCGTATATTTGGCGCATGGTTTGGAGGGACGAACGAGAGACATATACGTGCACTGGGGGACCATTAACATGAGAAGATAACGATGACGAGAGCCATGCTGCTTCATTCGGCAGAGCACTCGGTCCGCCCTCGCCATAGTGTAGCACCAGTCCGCATAACGCTTTCGAGAGGGACCCAATGGCGGAGAACCCAGATATGAGCATGTTTTCCAAGATCGTCGAGACCGTGTGTGATTTCCCGGACCCTAGAAAGACGTGAGCAGCAATAAAAGGAGAATCGAGAGTGTACTTGCCCTGAACACCACAGACAACTGCAGAAAAAGGTGTATTCTATTCGGGGGATATTTGTCAGTACAAATAGTCTGAGAGAGTTTGAAGGACGGGCGGGTTCACCGTATTTAAATATAGGCGCTGGTCTTCCATCACCTCGACCCGGCCCTTGTGACTTTGAGATTGAAACACCAAAACGTGAGATTCAGCCGGAAAAGGCGCTGCGGACTGAACGTACTGTACACTCAGAGCCTTCCCGATGACGCCGTACTGAGCAATTCGTTTTTCACGTTGAATATAGGTATAAGCCTCCCGACTCATCAATGGCGCGGTCAAGAGGTCATGGGTGGAAATTGAATCTTGATTGGTGGCCTCGGAATCAGATGAATCGGTGTCGTCTAGAAGCTGCCATTCCAGCTCATGCTAACATTGTGGATAGTCTAAGCAGTCGTCCTTGAGAAATAATCAATGCTCTCACAGATGAGTCGGAATCCGATGTGTGGTCTTCACCACGAGGAATGTCAGCTGTGCTGGGAGCCATTGGGGAAACGATGGTGGTGGCAGAGATAGCACGAAGAAGACGCTGGCTAGTGTCGAGGGGCTTGGACCCTCTTTATAGCTCTTTATGAAGGCCCTGGCCTACTTATCGAGGGAAGCCATCTCCTGTCAAGCAAGCATGGATTAAAACGTCCACGGTGCGCCTTTTCCCGCAGAATCGAACAAGATTACAGCACGAGGCAAAGGGTTCGCTCACCTGAGCTAGAGTTATGTACAAGTTACGTAAATAGATTTTATCCAATCTACAACAGATAGCGTCGTTTTCGGTCTATGCAAGGGAGACTGTTGGCTATCGTTTATGTATCTGCGCAGAAACAATGGTCATTGCTGGAAAAGAGGACAAAATGCCGTGAGAGGTGTTAACACTAAAATTCTGCCATGCCATCGTTGCGGGCCGGGAATCCCGCCTCTTGACAGACAAAAATTATCAGCACGGGAACTTCTTCAACCCTAACACTGCTATTCCCTCATCTCTTTTCCCGCGTACCAAAAATTCGCTGTCCCGAGTACCAGGGCCACCATTTATTGTCTTTATATGTCTCTTTTCCAAGTCCCGGGGTGGTCAGTGGCAACTGCACCTGTGCGCGAAGAACCACAATACACATCGAAAAAGCGCAAGCGCCCATCTAACGACACACACAAGCTCGAGGCCGCGGAAGTCAACATCGAGAAACTCATATCTAAGCTGGCGCACCCTCAGCCTGGCGAGAATCCCACAAATTCAAAAGGAAAGGCGAAAGCCCAGGATCCTCGACGCAAAGCAAGACTCGGAAAGAAGCAAAAACTTGGGGTTGGTGCTGCAGATGCTCCGAAGAAGGCTGAGAGGCCGAGCGCCTCCTCAAGCGAGGTCAAGATACCACCATCGTCTCCAACCAAATCAAAGAAAGAGAAGAAGATGGCCAAGTCCAATCCGCCTCCTGCCATTGAAGTTGCGTCAAAACGCTTGAAACCAAGTTCGCCGCAGCAAGAAGCTACGTCTTCTAGACTAACCGCCTTGCAAAAGGGAATGAAACAGAGTTTGGATGGGGCGCGTTTTAGGTGCGAGGACTGCTTCTATTTTCAAGGAGCAAGGAACTTACGACGCATAGGCTGATAAACGAAACGCTCTACAAATCTGACAGCCGCGCAGCGCGTCAGATGATGCAAGAGGATCCCAAAGTGTTTGAAGAGTATCATATGGGCTTTCGGCACCAAGTCCTTTCATGGCCAACGAATCCTGTCGAACACTACATCTCGATGTTCTCAACTTATCCTAAGAAAACCATTATTGCAGACCTGGGATGCGGGGATGCTGCCCTCGCAAGAAATCTGCTTCCGAAAGGGATATCTGTGGTATCATTCGACCTAATTTCGGATAGCAAGTTCGTCGTTGAAGCCGATATATGCGACAAGATTCCGTTGCCGGGATCCGAGCCTGCAGAAGCGGAGAAGTCTGGCGGAGAGGGCCAGATCGTGGACATCGTGGTCTGCGCGCTTAGTTTAATGGGCGTCAATTGGGTGCAGTGTCTACGAGAAGTATGGAGAGTGCTGAAATTAGGGTGAGTGGCTGAATTGTACTCAATTGCATCGCAGATAACGAGACGTAATTTCAGCGGCGAGCTCCACATTGCAGAAGTGACGAGCCGTTTCACGGATATCGAGCAATTCCAAGGCTTGATTGGCTCAATTGGTTTCCGTTCGAAGGCCAAGGTGAGATGAATTCTCTGTTTGCTACGCAGTAGATGTAACGGAAGCATTGCAGGACGAATCAAACACCCATTTCATTTTATTCGAGTTTGTCAAGGTATCTCGTATGGGTAAAACTGAGAAAGACTGGGCGAAATTATTGACCAGGTCCACTTTTCTCCAACCATGCGAATACAAGAGACGATAACCCTTGCTGTGTGATTGTCGCGAGCGTGCAGAAGATAAGAGGCTACAATCATTTTGTGGGGTAATCAGTTTCCTCGATTTACCATACTTGTCCATGTGGTAGATATGAGATAGAGGTTGCCGCGTCAGACATGCAGGAACCTGAACAACAGATCGGATGCCTGCATCCCTAGCTCCGTGCGAACGCCTTGAGGCTTGAGCTTGAGTCTCTTTCATCGATACCACTACCTGTCATTTGCCAGCACAACAATGCCGAACGGGAAAGTCAACGTTGTCTCTCACCCTCTTATCAATGCGGAGCTCTCCAAGTTGAGGCAATCGTCAACCACGCCCAAGGACTTCCGGCAGGTATATGTGCCTCGGCCCACCCCCAACGCGTCTCGCTCAACACATTCCTTCGTCGTCTTGTAGGGAGTCGACACGATCAGCTTGCTTTTAGGATATGAGGCGACGCGAGGTCTCGAAGAGGAGAGTTTCACTGGGGTGAGTACACACGGATCTTGCCAAAATCTCGAGCTCATTTAATTCCATCGAATAGGAAACACCTGTCGCGTCGTTTACTGGAAGCAGAATCAAACATAGCGTCGGACTGACGCCTATCTTGCGCGCTGGATTGGGGATGACCGATGCTCTCGTACGTTGTGTGTGCTGGTTCACCATTATGCAGCCCCCTAAATGACGGTTCTCGTCGACAGTTGAAGCTTTTCCCGTCTGCATCACATTCTGATAGTGTTGGAGTGTATACTAACGCGTCACGGTTAGTTCTGCGCCAGTGTACCACCTGGGACTGTTTCGAGAAAAAGTCACTCTTCAGCCGGTCGAATGTCGGTCGAACAGTCTCTTGTGACACGGATCCATCGTTAATAGCTGCCATCCAGATTACTCCAAGCTCCCTCCTTCTCCCACAGTTGACCAAGTCTTCGTATTGGACCCTTTGATCGCAACAGGAGGAACTGCAGTCGCCGCGCTGGCCATGATCGCAGACTGGGGGGTCCCAGGTGAGGCCTTAACGCGCATCTGCTCGAGAAATTGCATTCTAACCGATTAATGCTCAGTCAAGAACATCAAGTTGTTGTGCGTGCTGGCTTCCGAACAAGGATTGAAACTTGTACAAGAGGAGTATCCTGAATTGGAGGTCAGTAGGCCTTGCCTCTCGATAAGGTGGTTGATTTCTTACACATCGCAAAAGATTTGGGTTGCTGGAGTTGACAAGGAGCTGACCGTTCAAGGAATAATCTCTCCGGGACTAGGGGATTCGGTAGGAGAACCACTTGCCATGATTTTCGCCTTCTGACCACGTTTCATGGACAGGGAGATCGCCTTTTCAACACAATCCGCGCATGAATATCAACTGACGTCGGAACGGGAGGACTCCGGAGGAACGGAACGGAATGTCAATTTACGTAGCTTCCAAATTTATCGAATTATCACGTGATATAAGACGCGATCATTAGCACGGATGGCGGATTCGCTTTTCCGTTTCGCCAAATGAGAAAGGGCAAAATGCGGTCAAGGACACTGACAGATAGTCAAGCGGAGCTCTCTTCCTCCTCTCATCCACAAAATGGTCGTCAAAGCGTCGGGATGGTCAACACCATTCTCGTCGACAAGCACCCTCTCTTCGCCAGGCTCACCACGCCTCAGCAAGTCGGACGAGGCCGTCAAAGCTTCTCCATTCAATAATCCGCGCACACAAGCCTCCACCGTCATCGAGTATATTGCGTCGAGGCAAGGGAAGAGCTCCTCCGTCTACGTTTACGACGTTGCGGAGCAGGTCGGTTTCGGGACGCTCACCAAGGATTGGGCGAAGACAGGCAACGATGCGACGAGCGTCCATGACCTTCAAACGCGGGCGGGAGCTGGCTTGACTCTTGTCGGTCGTCTCTCGCAGGGGACCAGCCATGATACCGCAAAGGGAACCATTTTGACGGCGTACACAACCCCCAGTGGCCTTGCATTGATGGCACCATCCTTCACCTACCTTCCCCCGGCATCTCCCAACGCCCGCCTTATCATCCAGACACCGGCGGTTACTCCCGTTGGCGAGACATTGGTGTTGTCGCCCACTCTCTCCTCTTTGGCCTCTGTTTGGTCCATTCTTCCCGAGAGTGTCGCCGTCTTATTTTCATCAACCCCTCAACAAGCCGTCGATTTCGCTACCCTTTCCTACTGGGTAACTAATTGCCACATCGTCCACATTTTCGATCACCACAGTGCTGCTCGCGAAATCGGACATTCGATCAATCCTCTTCCAAACCCCACCGAAGCATCACCCTCCGTCCATGATGCGGTGCAAAAGGCAGGCTACAGCTTTTTCGAATATCACGGCAACGCCGACGCGACCGCTGCAGTTGTCCTATTGAACGGTCCATTGGCGTTGACTCTCAAAGTAGCTGCCAAGGCCAACCCTGCTGCGGGTCTCGGAGTTGTCATCGTCAACGTTTTACGGCCATGGGACGAATCCGCCATCCAGTCCATCATTCCGACCTCTGTCACTTCCGTCCATGTCCTCGATGACGTACCCAATACTGTAACGCAGGGAACCCTCTATGTTGACGTTTTCAGCGCTCTCTGGAACGTCGTCCCAAAACGATCCGTTGTGTCGCACCGTGTTACCCCTTCCCAAACCCAACACTTCACGAACGGAGCCGAAGCATTCCTCGAATTTATTCAGACGATTTCGCACGTAGAGTTCCATGGTCCGTCTGCAAACACCGCCAAGAACCTTCTGTTCTTCAGCATTCCCAGGTCCCCACTTTCAGCACTACCAAACTTCGTAGAGGAGCTGTTCGTCACGAAGACCAACGTTCGTGCTCGACTTCTGGCGGATTACGACGTTTTCTCGAAGCCGGGCGGCATCGCCGCCACTCGACTTCTCATTTCGCGCAACAGCGCTGGGGAGACCTCACCTATACCAGCTGCGTTGCCCATTGATCCTAACACCACCGGCCTCGCCGACTTTTTGGCTGTCTTGGACCAAAGTCTGTTAAAAACCCATTCTCTCCTCGACCACGCGAAAGTTGGTTCGATCGTTCTCATTGTTACTACTTGGACGGCAGAGGAGTTGCTGTCCAATCTTCCACCAGGCGCCACAGCCTTGATCTCGGAGCGCGGCCTGCTGGTGTACATCTTCGATGCCAAGAACGCCGCCTCAAAACTTGTCGGAGCTCAAGGACCCATCCATGACGCTGCCCAGAATGTGTTGGTCGAGCTCGCTGTATTGCGACTCTACCTCGGCTCTGCCGCTACAGAAGCTTCCGTCCTGCAGCTCGCCCGAAGCTCGTTCGGTGACGAGATTGGGGGCGTACCTTTGACTAAGCATAACGCTCATGCATGGGCTGGCCTTCAGGCTGTCAATGTTCCGGCACCCTCTGAGCCTGTTAACGCTCCTCCGTTGAAATCCTTCGAAAGCAACGCTATCGCTGTAGAAACAGAGGAAGGCAAAACCGTCGTCAATGGTGCTCGTCTGAGCACCTGGCATGACGCAGCCAAGCACCTTCTTTTCCCCTCCGTCTTCGTTCCCGCCCAGGAGCAGACGGATAACCTTCGCAATCCAGCTCTGCGTCCTGAGATTCCGGACACGACCTTCCTCGTCACTTGCACCGTCAACAAGCGCCTGACACCCCTCGAGTACGATCGCAACGTCTTCCACCTAGAGTTCGACACTTCCGGAACCGGGCTGAAGTACGCCATCGGCGAGGCCCTGGGCATCCATGGATGGAACGACGAGCAGGAGGTGCTCGACTTCTGTGCGTGGTACAGGGTCGACCCGAACAGGCTCATCACGATTCCGGTCATTGGTGACGAGACCAAGGTGCACACGCGCACGGTCCTGCAGGCGCTCCAGCAGCAGATCGACCTGTTCGGTAAGCCGCCGAAGTCCTTCTACACCGACCTGGCGGACTATGCGTCCACGGATGTGGATCGTTACGCCCTCAGGTTCATCGGCTCTGCGGAAGGCTCGTCGACGTTCAAGAAGCTCTCCGAGAAGGATACGGTCACGTTTGCTGATGTGCTGAAGATGTACCCGAGCGCGAGACCTGGAATTGAGCGCCTGTGCGAGCTGATCGGTGATATAAAGCCGAGGCATTACAGTATTGCCAGTGCTCAGAGCGTTGTTGGCGATCGTGTAGACCTCTTGGTAGTCACTGTCGACTGGACCACTCCTTCGGGTAAGCAGATTACCATAATTAGAAAGGTTCAATTGAAATCGATTTCTCTTCTCCCTTCCAGGTACCCTCCGATACGGGCAGTGCACTCGATATCTCGCCGGTTTGAAGGTTGGACAAAAAGTTACTGTGTCGATAAAGCCTAGCGTCATGAAGGTACCCATACATATTTTGCTCCTCGGCCCGTAGGAAACTAATGACCATGAAACAGCTACCCTCCAACCCCAAGCAGCCTCTTATCATGGCCGGCCTCGGCACTGGCGCAGCACCCTTCCGCGCCTTCCTCCAACACCTCGCCTGGCTCGTCTCGAAAGGCGAAGAGATCGGGCCCGTTTACTACTACTTCGGCTCTCGCTACCAAAGCGCCGAGTACCTCTACGGCGAGGAGATCGAGGCATTCGTGCTCGACGGCGTTATCACACGCGCAGGACTCGCCTTCTCTCGCGATGGCCCCAAGAAGGTGTACATTCAGCACAAGATGCTCGAGGACTCGGAGGCACTCGCGCAGATGCTACATGATGATGAGGGCGTGTTCTACCTTTGTGGTCCGACGTGGCCTGTGCCGGATGTATATAAGGCGTTGGTGAATGCCCTTGTTAAGTACAAAGGGTCGGATCCCGTCCAGGCGGGCGAGTACCTCGAGAGTTTGAAGGAAGAAGAACGTTATGTTCTCGAGGTATGTGTCCTTTTCCTCTCGACCACAAGAATGACTCGCTCACAACGCGCATAGGTATATTGATCCAAGGCAGTCATATGTAGCTAGTTTTATAGTCGGGTACATATATCCCAGTGCGTGGACATAGGATTCTACGGGTATTACTGGATGTGCTTGTGAAGGGTGCTGCTAGATCCTGAACGAAAATCGTCTCAAAAATGCCAAAAAAGAAAATGCCGGATAGAAAAGATGCCAAAAGAATACAAGTACAACAGAACAAAATAATCGTCACGAACACGGATTTGCTTAGAACTTGCCGCCGTCTGCAGACCGCGAACGATAGAGTAGGATGAGGTACCACGCCGAGAGGCCAATGAGGGCGAGGCCAACGACGGTGACGACAATGGCCATCGCTAGCGTTGCTTTCTTGTTGAGGCGCCCGGCCTCGCAGCCGTCCTGGTATGCAGAATCGCATGGACGGCCCTTGGGCTTGACCTGGTCGTAGGCGCCTGCTTGGAGGGAGGTGTAGTAGGGTTCTGAGGTGTCCGCGGCGACGTGCATGGCGGCGAGTGTGAGCATGGGTGCGTTGTAGTCCAGTGCGACCTGAAAGAGGAAGGTGTTAAAAGGCGATGGAGCGCGAGTTGAGCGAATTGTTTACCTCCGTCTGAGGCCAGTCACTTCGAATGTCGAAGAATCTGCCTCGCTTGTCCGGTCCGCCCACAACGGCACCATAGAGGACGTACGCCTCCTCAACGGGATCGGTGTCGATATTGCCAATGTCGATTCCACCTGAGGCCATTGCAGAGTGGGGGTTCTTCGGGGAGTTGGGGTTCACTCCAACGATGTAGGGCACTGCCCGATAATTAGCCTCGAGGACGGAGACGATATAAAGGGGAAACATACCATTCATCGAATTTTTTCCAAGGACATAGTCGACTTGGCTCTTTGCAAAGTCCTACGAGGATTGTGTGTATGAAACCAGCAATGGAGCCATGGGGGGTATGAAATACTTACTGTGTACGCCACCCTCTTGTCGACGCTGGATGCCATCGGGGCGAACCTACGGAGCAGCATGGCGGCGTTCAATGCAGGATTGAGACTCGCGTCATCCGAATCCCCATCGTAATAAAGCAGGCCATCTGCCATTTCAAAATGTTTCAGCCTCGTGCATTCAGCAGACCCCCCAAAATTGCCCACCTTGCAAGAGGTAGCCCGGACCCTTGTTATTGACAACATCGTCAAAGTAGTCTTCCGCTGTGTCCCTCCAGGTGCTGAAATTACCACCAAAGCTCGGAGATCCTTGATTGATCTGCGAGAACAGAACAGCCAGACCAGGTGTCTTCGAGTCCCAGTTGAACACGCGGTTCGAATCAGCGAGCTTGTATCTGGTGTAATAGGCTTCCGCTTCTTGGTACAGCGTCGCAGATCCAGTAGCCCATGAAAGGAAGAGCGCTGCCATCGCAAGCTCGTCTCCATAGCCGGAGGATGCATATGCCACACCAGCCTGAGGCACTGAGGTCTGGTACGTCTTCCGTCCACCTGTTGCGTTAACGGCGAATGAATAAAGCTGTTGGCTATGCGTCAAGAGGGTGTTGGCGTAGGAGTCATTTCTCAGCGACGCGGGTGCGGAATAGCTCGAGTTGCTGAAGCCACGCCCGGCGTACAGGTTCGAGCAGGCAGCAAATGCGGCTGCAGCCCCTGCAGCGGCGTCCGTGCCCGGGTTCGCGTTAGTAATCGTGTACACTGGTCGCGGCGATGGAATGCTCCGATCCCCACCCCAGTAGGCGTTTTGTTCGTCGGCTAGCGGGAAATAGAACGGTCAGGACCAACCGTCAGGTTGTACTGAAATTAAACTCACCGGATGCTATGAATACAACCAGCGTGGTATCGTTCGGGTGAGCCTAGGAAGGCAGCGCGTTAGATTGAGTCCATGAAATACGGTGCGGACGATACCTTGATTAACCAATCGAGGCCCCATCGTAAGGTGTCGTCCAAATAGGCCGTCTGGTTGGCCAGGTCGTAACCTTTGGGCCGGGTTAGACGGACACGACCGTCAGTCAAAGGAATGGGTGGCGTACCTTGGCCAAAATCTGTAGCCCCCCAGCATATTGACATGAGGGCGAAAGACTACAATTTTTCTTTGAGTATTGGACCGGTTTGTGAAGGAGATGGTACGAACTAGGGGGAAAGTGTCCTTGGAGAAATCTTGGCATGATGTCAGCCCACCAGGAAATATACTCTCGACAGGTAGAGTTTTAGCACCGACCTCCAGCGTCGTAGAATCCTCCTACAATATAATTGAGCTCGAAGGTCTCGATACAACAACCGACGACGAAGACAAGCCAACTGACCTGAAAGATCAATCCCAACGTCTCGACCCTCAAGAATCAAACTGTCGTTGCGCCATGGTACTCGGTTCGTGGACGGAAGTGTGCCGCTGCGTTGCTCATCATAGAAGTAGAGAAGTGTCCCTAACAGAGAGGACCATTTTGGGTTCGGGAAGCCTCCAGAGGATGTTTGTGCCCCAGATGCGATGTCCGGGGGGAGGAATGGGGGATTTGGGAGGGGAAGCTGTGCGACAACGAGGGCGGGGAGGAGGGAGAGGAGGTAGGGGACCCGCATTAGGGTATCGTGAGGTCGTGAATGCTGGTCTTGAGGTGGTCGTAACTTGGAGAGGTTTGCGGTTCAACTTGCTTCTCCGCTTTCGGACAGGTCTCGATCGCTTTCCCGCGCTACTCAACTCGCGTGATCGCGTCCATCAATGACGTCGCAGGCCGTCCCTTTTCTTCCTTCTCCAAGGACCACAAGCTCAGGAATACGACATATTTTTGCAAAATTACAGATACAACGAATGCTCAAATTCAAAGCCCATCCTTTTTTACTTCTCCTTCAGACCTAAATCCCTCTGTTCGATTCTCAGTCAGGTGCGTTTCCAAAGATTCCACAATTTGCACTCACATTAGACAATCCTTTTCGAAATGCCCGGTGTGAGCCAGGAGACCTTGTCATCGACACCCTCCTCCTTGAAAGCCTTCGCCAGTTCCTCCCCGCCCTGCTTGAAGTGGTTCCACGACTCGTAGTGCATCGGAACGAGCACGTCCGCCTTCAGCTCGCGGAACAGTCGAGCACCCTGCTGGCCATCCATCGTAACCTGCAGCGGACCGTTCGGGAGCTCGACCGTCGCAGCACCAAGGTTGAGAATCGCTACCACGACGTGGTACTTGTCTCGGATCTGGACTAGCTCGTCAATGTAGATGGTATCACCGGAGAAGTAGATCACATTGGGGAGCCCGTCGGTCGTCCCAAACTCCTCCGCTTCCAAGATGAACTCGATGCATTCCCCACCTGGCAGGTGCTCACAGGGGGTGGCGGTCACCTTGAATTGCTTTCCGCCCGCCTTCAGCTCCACCGTCTCCCATGGCTTCAAACCGTGCACTCCAGGTCTTGGCTGGAGTTTCTTCGCACCGTCCACGGTAGTGAGAACGCGTCGCCCATCGAGCAGGCGCCGGCCGACCTCGTCGAGGTTGTCTGGGTGGTCTTCGTGGCTGAGGAGGACGGCGTCGATGGGAGGAAGGTCGTGTAACGCGAGCGCTGGGGTCACGCTGTTTTTGAGCACGATGACGCCCAAGTCCCACTCGGTGCCCGCGCCAGAGAAGAAGGGGTCGGTGAGTAGGTTGACGCCATCGATCTCGATGATGGCAGCAGCGGTGCTGATGTGCGTGATGTTGACGCTGCTCATGAAGGTAGAAGTGACCATTGTCTAGTTCGCTGAAGAGGGAAACAGGATGTCGAATGTTCTCAGACATACAGAACTTGTCTCCTATATATATACCTCGAATACCTCGAAAGCTTCAGATGAAAGTGTGGTCATACTCATGATGTAAATATGGCGACTTTCGAGAGTGCGTCAGCTGGCCTCCTGCTTCGATCTCGGCAAGAGAATTCAAAGGTAGACCACCTGGTGCCTGCGATTGTTGGTGGAGGCACTCATTCCATATTCAGGGCTCGGACCAGGCTCGGACCTCCGCCTTATTGCTCGTAGCATTTAGCACTTAAGCCGGTCATCAGCAATGTATAATGTTTAGGAGACTCTTGTGAAGGCGTACACTTCGTAACACTCCCTCATCAAAGGATTTTGGGAGGAAACAAACGTGAGGATTAAATTAAGCGATCTTATCAGATTATCGACCTGTCCTTGCTGCACTGTCCCCCGTCCTCAAACGGTCGGGAAGCAAGACTGTTATGGATGACCTTTACCGCGACCAAAATGGAACCGGTTTGCAGTGCTGCACTGGACATCGCGACTTGAAATCTCTACGAGAGGACTCTCCCAACTTGGAAAGAACCAACGAGTCCGAAGACACCAAAAAGTTCGAGCGCAGGACAAGGCCGACGATCTTTGCGCATACACCTTCAATCGGTAGCTCTATCTTCAGTTGCGAATCTCCTCGAGACCTGGGCGAATGTCTCCTCGACTGTCTGATTGGTGCCTAATCATCCTTCCTAAATCTTTCACGAGCGCTTATTCTCTGCTGGCGGTATAACCAGATCTGTATCTATGGCTCCACGAGAAGGACCTCCCACCGGCAGTCAATTTTTCACATTATGCGATTCGCCGGCGATCCAAGCATGAGCTGCGAACTAGGCTAGTGTCTGATGGTCAGAGGCTGACCTCATACATGTAAGGATGCAACCAGGCGCTCTCTTTGCAACTCTATGATGCGCTGCTGAAAGCGCCGCCTTCTGCCTTTCAGGGATCTTGATTTCATCGAGAGCGATTACTTCTGGGCCTCTCGAGGCTTCCTCATCGATTTTGACGTTTCAGCACCAAATGACAACGTCAGCGAGCAAGTCTGTCATCGCCCCAGTCGTGTGGTATAGTCTCCATCCTCTTGCTATCTGTTTGCAAACCTGCTGAAACTTCAAGTGGCGCACCAGGGCACGATTGCATTCCTACCTGTCAGGCGCCTGTATATCTTGGCAGGCAGGAGATTTCAGCAAGCATCCACCATCTTTGATCCCGAATCGTTCGCCTGGGCCGCGCTCTTCCACTCCGCCGCGTCGCCTGATAGCTACGAGATAATCAAAGTGTGGCCAGATAAGAAGCCTAAATAGGTCACGCTTAGGAGATGCTGGTTATAAGAAGTATTGTACTGTGCAAGAGCTCTCTCAGGAGGACGAGTGGCTTCAAGTTAAAGGACGCTATGGCCAGCCTGTTGACCGTATCCGACCACTGTTCAATCGATGGTTATCTATCACTGAACGAGAAAGCACCATGCAAAGGAGGACTCATGAGGCGAAGAATGATGAGGAGCGAAGAGAGGTAACGCTGGACCACACGAGACAGTATATTGAGGCAGTTTATCAGGAGTTGGTCAAGTCGGAGATGAAAGAGGTGGTTTCTTGGTACTGAACCTGGATTTGCTTTATTCGTTGCCAGTTAACGGTGACAGTGAAGAGCATAACTTCAGCATTTGGACGGGAAAGCGGTCAAATAGTTTGTGCACTAGAATAAGGGCAAATGCAGTTAATATATAGAGCGTGCGTAGTAGCTTTCCAATAATCATGAATATCTACCGCCGTCCCAAGAAAAGTAGAACAAGCCCTCATTGTGGCCGCCCAACTAGGACCATGCCCTCATCCTCTTCCGTTTCCGTTCCATTTTCACTCGAGTTTGTGTTCCTTACCACAGAGGAGGCAGCAGAGGAGGCTATCGACGAGCTTGACGACTTCTTCGTGAGAGTGTTCGGAACAGGACTGGTCGGTAGAAGCAGATCGGCGACAGGCTCAGCAGGTTCTCGGACTTTCTCCTCCTGGGGGTTGCTGGCGGCAGCCTTCGAGCTGGATTCTGAAGGGACTTTGGGGGAGATTTCACGTAGGGCCTCAAGCATAACGTCTCGTACGCGTGTTGAGAGCGATCCCACATCAGCGGGTGTCAATCCTGTCGTCGGAATGGCGGGTAGCACTGCGGGGTATCGTTACAAATTTAGCATACCCTCGGCTTAACGGATAGATACTGAGCTAGCCTCACCTCGGACCTTAATAATACCACTTTTAAATACACCTTTCCGGTACAGATGCCAATAGTTCTCTGTGACGATGGGGAGGATCGGGAAGCCCGCATTGATAGCCAGGTGGAAGCCGCCTTTCTTCAAAGGTAGCATGGTTGGTTCGCGGGACATATGCCGGGTACCTTCGGGGAACATCCACAAGGACGTCCTGGTAGCCTTCATCTTCTCTCCAGCGGCTTCGAGAGAACGGACGGCGCGGGCGTTGTTGCCTCGATCGATGAATATGGCCCCGGACATCGCCATAAACGGACCGAGAGGTGTAAACTGAAGAGATCTTTTAGACGTCATGGACGTCCGCTTAGGCATCAACCTGTGTGTCTTGAGTCAGAAAGAAAGCGCAGGAGCAGGAAGAGCACCGTGAAAGATAGGTTCTCCCGGGAGCAAGATACTTACTTTCCGACGACGAAAATATCCAACATGCTCTGGTGATTCGCCATCAAGACAGCCGGCTGTGATTGTAGGTTCTCTTCACCCTCTACGACGACTTCCAGGTCTAGAGCTCGCGAGATGAGGTGGTAGAATACCCGAGCGACTAGGTGATTGACGTCGCTAGCGCGGCCGACAATGGACATGCCAGCTGCAGCGACGATGCTGCAGGAGGCGACGGTCATGAGTGTGCTGACGTAGACAACGACGCGGGCATAGTATCGACCGGGTGAGTTCGATACGGCGATCTGGCGGGCGAGAATGAGCGGGAGTGAGATGTATGCGAGCGGCTTGACGATGGCGGCGAGAAACGACATGGTGTAGTACAGGACGAGTTGGGTCTAGAGGGGGGTCTATGTGGTATAAGTAGAGGAGCAGAATGCACCGTGGCGGGGCGTCTGTGTTGGTGGCTACGCCGGCGCGGATGGTGGGGAAGGGTGAACTCGCTTCTTTGGGACATTTTCAAGCCGCTGACCGGAGTTCAAATTCAAAGTCTCGCTCTTTCCCCAACCATCCAGTATTCACAAGGTAAACTCCACCAGCTCTCTCAGCCACAATACCATCTGCCCACGACGATGTCCGAAAAATCAGGTGTGTCATCAACCACGCGTGGTGAATCTCCTCCAGTTCTCGCTTGTCATGGATGACGTTCTCATCTGCCAATTTCGTTAGGCAGGCCGGTAACCGCAAAACCTCTGGTCAACACGAATAGAAGCGGGACTCCAGCAAGTGCCTCCAGTGCGAGCGTAAAGTCTAAATCAAGATCAACGACAGCATCGGCGTCTGGAAGTGGCAAACGACCACCTCGACCACCAAGCGCGAACTCGATCGCGTCGTCGAAGTCTTCAGCGAGCGTGAGTGGTTCAAGGAAGCACAACAAGAGTATAGTCTCCGAACCTTCGAGTGTTAGAGGAGCGGAAGCGGAGGGCGAGAGTGAGATTAAGGTCACGAAGCTGAGCTCGACGACCGTAACACTACAAACATCATGGACACCTCCTTCCAAGCCCGTGGTACGTCGTGAAATCCTTGTCGTCCTACATTTTTCATCCTCAAATGACATCCGTACCAAGGCTTCGACACCTGCCCCACCACCTGCCTCCAACGAGCAGCAACCGACGCGTACTTCTGATCCTCTGCAAGTTGCTGCTCAGGCATACCCCTGGATGTTCATGTCCACAACTCTAGACGCGTGTTTCAAGAGTGCGGAAACGAGTGCTACAGTGCGTTCAAATCTGCACCCCATTTTGTCAACGCCTCTGATGAGATCCCCTCTTTAGAATAAGATTGAAGCGCGCACGAAAGAACTTGATGAGCAAGAAGCAGGGATTTCTGATCAACGCGATCGTCTTGAGGCAGAACGTGCCATTCAATTCTATGATGAGCTCGGTTCTGACATGGTGTGCCTATTTCGCCAGTTTAATGATGAGGATACACTTGACGTATCTAACTTCTGCATTCTAGTTTGCGAAAGAAGTCCCTGCAATAATGCAGTTATTCCACTCCCATGGAGACTCCTGCGATAAAATAGAACGAGACGCCCTCAAATTAGCCTCCCGTGGATCTCCTGACCCAAATGACGAAGAACCACTCAAAGACTATAATAACATGTTGGATGACCTAGGTACGCTTCTGTCTAGTTTACTTCCAAGGTGTACAGCACTGGGAAAACCTGACTCCTCACAATAGAGAGTTTACAAACTCAAGCCACAGATCTATCGAATTCCATCACTAAGTTGACCTCACAAGCAACGCCTGCAGCAGACAATGCCACTGCCGATGACTCGACAAAAACAGACGAGTCCGCCGCTCGGAACCAGATCATCAATATTTTCTCGGCCTGTCTTCCCGTCCTCCGGGCACGAATTGCCAACCTGTCTATGGCACAGGAACTTATTGACAGCGCACTCGAAAACGCCAGCCTCAGCCTCCGCATGGAGAGCATGGGTCTCACAGACTAGAGCCAAGCCGGATTGGGGACGATTCCCTAAAAAGGGATCGGAGAGGCCTAATAAGGCCGCATCACGCTTTTTGTTTCCGGTCTGTCAATTCATCGTAAGTATACCCATCCAGATACCGCACAATGATATCCCATCTCTCGCAACACTCTGTCGATAGCTCAATGTAAGCTACACTCCATGCTTCAGTGCTGGTATTATTGTAAACCCGATTATGCTTGTCATGGAAACAGGATTGCTGTGGATGGAATGGAGTGTTGGCCCCAGCACACCTCTGGCGTTTACTTACCAGATCACGCCAAAGTCCTATTGTTGCTGGGCGCGTCCAGTCCCGAGCGTGCGAGATGTACAGGCCACACAATTGTTGATTGGGCTTCGCATATGCGAGCGAAGTATGTCGGACTGTCAAAAGGACAAAAGGACTTCTATTTTGGGGCTGCCTCGTTTTGGTGTGGATATGCCGGAAGAAAGGGAAGGACAAATGCGTCTGGGAACCTCAGTGCTGCTTATTCTTATGGATCTGACGGCAGCGCTATGGCTTCTGACTGGTCTTCTGCATAAAAGTATCAGGAGGTAGGGCCTTGCTGTGCTTTGCTCACTTATACCCCGCCGACTCGGTCGCTGGCTGATACCCTCGCACTGTGATCCTGCCTGTCGTTCTCGAGACCGCTCTCTCGACTCATCACTCTTTCTGCATCACCACTCGCTTGCCCTCGTATCGCTGCTACCGTCCTCGCCGTCTCTAGTTGCTAATCGACACTACCGGACCTTGCTATGTCGGTCATCGTGACATCCATGCATCCCTCCCCGTCTCATTCGCGAACCCACCGCCCGCGAAGCACAAGCAATAGCGACGGAAGTCGTCCCCCACCGCGCTATTCCTCGCTCGCCGGGGCACTGCCACCCAGCGCCATTGCGAACAACAACACCACCAACAGCCTACAAGAATTATTTAACCAACATCCTGCCCTTACATGCGATACCAGCGACATTGCTATTACTGACATGCGTCCGCCGCGGTACTCGAGCGTCTTTCAGAGGAACCGAAGGCATCGTCAGGATAACCGTGCTGATGAGGCCTTCGGTTCAGACCTACAGACCCACGAGTACCACCTGAAAGGCGGTAGCCGTTCCCAACCGTGGGCGACGCTCAAGGTCCTCAGCAAGTCGTCAACGAAGATGTCAAGCTCAGCGTCCGCGTTGAGCTCTGCATCCGGCTCGGGATCTAGCAGCTCTCAGAAGGTGGCCAAGTTCACTTCAGGCGACCTGGTCCAAGGGAGCCTGGAGCTTAACTTGGAGTCGCCGCAGAATATTAATTCTATCAACTTGTCGGTGCGTAGTTTCTCTTTTTCATTTCTGGTCATTCTCTGATCGCTTATTGTTTCTATTTTGTTCTTTCCTTACAGCTTCGTGGTCGCATCATCACTAGCTCATACGAAGGCGGTTCATATACCTTCCTCGAGCAGTCCATCATCAACTGGACACGATCCAACGGTGATCCACGCTCTCCATCGCCTGAACCTTCCTCTGGCCCAAGTCCCGTCGCCCGCTCTAACTCCAACTCATCTGCCTTCCCAACCTCGAATGTACGCACGAAGAAATACGACGGCAAGCTTTCGGGTGACTACGCCTGGCCATTCGCCTTCTCTTTCCCTTCGGAAGTCTCCATGCCAGGCACAAGCTCTTCGACATGCCCAGCACCACAGACGTTCGTGGAGAAGGGCATCAACGGGACTGTCCAGTATGAGCTCGTGCTGCGCATGACACACGGGATGCTGAGGAGCGACTCGAAGTACGTTTTTCTTTTTGTTTCTAAGCTTTTTGTTGAATGAGATCTGATGCTTTGGTTGATCCTAGGCTCCTTGTCAACATCGTATATGTGCCCGACGTCACTCCTCCGCCTTCGTCTGTCCTTCGCCAGTTAGCGTACGGCGAGAACATGGGCCTGCCTGGGCCTGAGGTTGACCCGATCGGTTGGCATACCCTGCCGCCTGCTCTCGTGCGGGGAAAGTTGTTCAACGAACGGAACGTCAAGCTGCAGTGCACAGTAAGTTTTTCCAGCTATACTATTCAAGGATTTCGCTGATCACTTCATTGTTCTCCCAATTAGCTGTCGATTGCCAACCCAGTAAGTCAAAGATAAAGATCGTCTTCTTGCCTCCATTGACCACCGTTTGTAGCAATCGTATACTCGCGGCGCGATCATCCCGTGCCATCTGACGCTCCAGTCCAACGACCGCACCGCCCTCGACGTGCTCGCCAACCCCAAGTGTCTCGCCGTCCGCCTCATCCGGAGGGTACAATACCCCGAGGATGCTGCCCGTGCGTCCGCCAGCTCTCTGCGCGACTCGCAGGGACGCTTCGAGGACGTCTCCGTCGTGGAGAAAGCTGTGTGGTGGGTGCCCGGCGCGAACGGCGGTGCCCTCGAGGGTGAGGAGAACATTACTGCCTCCTCGTCTGGTATGGGCACGATCAGGTCTCTGGAGGGTGAGATTCACTTGGACAAGGACATGCAGCCTAGCTGTGACTTCCCGTTGTTCAAAGTTGCTGTGTGTTTTTTCTCTTTTCTAGATTTGGCCTTCTTCTGAGTAATGTTTTAATTTTCCAGTACGAACTCGAGGTCCTCCCTCCCAGGTCGCCCGCGTTCATGTGTAGCGCGACGACGCACACGACGACAACTACTCTCCACGGTGGCACGCTCGCTCCTGTCCTCATCTCGACGCTAGTGACGATCGCTACGCTGCATAGCGAGGGTCCTGCGCCCGTTGCTGTGACAAAGCCCAAGCCTCGCAAGGAGCGCAGCGGGCGGTCGAGGGATGAGCACACACCTGACGGCAGCTATACTCCGAACTCGCAGATGATGATGATCAACTTCAACGTCTGAGTATCCTCTCCTCCTCCCTTGCCCTTCCTCGTCATGACCCTATTTATCTACACGACCATGGTGCAAACGACAGCGTCGTCTCGCCAGCAGATGATCCGACACCTAATTTCTTCCTCCCTCACATCGGTCTGTTTATCATGCAAGTTACGACTCACTCACGTCTCCGCTGCTGGTGCAGTCACATCCTGTAATTTTAGACCGGGTCCAACGTTTTTACGACATGCATGTATTTCACTCCTCTCGATGAGCTTTCTTCTCCCCATATATTCTTCATCGTCCTCTTCATCCATCGCCTCACCTAGCATCCTCACATCATTTTTGTGTCCCTCACATTTTATCTCTATCGGTAACATAGAACCCTGTATCTTTATCTGTCGCTGTCCACCAGATAATTGCATTTCTTAACCAAATTTACTGTCTGAGAACCCGCAATACACATTGACTTGTGGTGCACGATGTGTAGGGAAAGCTAAAATAGAGTACTGTAGATGACCGGCATCTCGGTCACTCTACAGTCTCCTAAAATTTGGGCTCGTTACTCGTGCTTGTGGCAGAATACTGATACTGATACTCGGCACCTCGGTAATTATGTAAGTAGTCTCACACTTGTCTCCTCGAGCTCGTCGATGCTCTCAGCGAGCTATTTGGACACGTCAGCTCATAAGAATAGCTATAGACCATTGGGAAGACAGTCGGAACAACGGGGTCAATTTTTTTTGTAATTATTCCACTAATGACCCCCCAAAATGCAAAATCTTCTTCTTTTCAACATCGCCCCCTCTGGGTTGATGAAGGCACCTTTTGCCCATTTTTTTAATTCATGATCAGTGTGTGAGTAATGTGAAGATAAATTCAAAAATTTAACCCCAGAAGTGCAGTGCGTCGTGCGCTATGAGCGTTGTCGACGCAAGCTCGGAAAATGCCGAGACACCATTTGCGCGGGCGAGCCATTGCGATGTCTGTCCTCGACGAAATCTTATCTTCTTGATTTTGTGATGATCAAGGTGCACGCGGGCGACATCTAAGCTGTTGGATTTGGAGAGGCAAACGCGCCCGAGCAGCGCACAGGTTTCACGTATGCAGCTTGTGTCAGCACGGCCCGTCTCATGCTTGGAGATAGGTATTTTGTCTTTATGTTAACTTTCATTTTACTTCCGTCTACTCTACTTCACATCTAGAGTACATATAAACATTCTACATTATCTCGTTGCCGTTCTTATCATGCATCAGCTGCTCTTTTGTGTTTTATCTTCACATGGCTCTCCTGGGCAGTCGAGCCCATTTATACCGCGCCGTTTTCGTTAGCGCTCCCTCAGCCGTTTTTCCAAACGCTGAGGTGAGCTTTCTAGTTTATGATCTACTATTCATATGCTTACATCCTGTACCTAGCTATTCTTAGGTACTGGTCAATGTTACAGCCATTTTTCCAAACGCTGAGCTATTCTTAGTTGGTTCACAGGTTATGGGCCCCACTCCCTACGCTTAAACTCGATGATCAACCTCAGCATTTTATTTTTGCCTACACACCATGTCTACTGCCACGACTTCTCTCTCCGACACCCTTCCATCCTCCGTACCCAAGCTCGATGCGAGCAGCTTGAATTGGGCAATATTTGACGTCCGATTCCAAGATGCCGTCGAGGCTAAAGGCTTCTGGGGTCACTTCATTGGTACCGACCCTCACCCTGTTCCTGCGGCCACTCCTACCCCTGCCCCTACCCCTGCTACTGTTACTGCTGGTGCCGCGACCGCGGCTGTTGTGGGCGCTGCCCCTCCAACCATTGGTGCGACGGTGACCCCTACTGCGGCTGAGATAGCTGCTATGGAGAAGTGGGACAAGGACGAGCGTGCGGCAAAGTCTTTACTCACCCAGAGGATTCCTGATTTGACGTTGATGCGTATCCACTCGAAGAAGACCGTCTTCGAGAGGTGGTCCACCATCGTCAGCAAGTACACGGAGAAGGGCGCTTATGCGCAAACCGAGATGCGTATGAAGTTCTTGGGGTCGAAGTGCCCTGACAAGGGCAATGTGCATGAGTTCCTGGATTCCTTGGCCACCAAGAGGGAACAGCTTGCTTCGGTTGGTGTCGACATTGATGAGAAAGACTATCGCTCGACCATCCTGCAGTCCCTTCCTATCCCACTCTCAAACTTCGCATCGGCGCAGCTTGCTGCTGCCCGAATGTTCTCCCCAACTGGTACCATTGCTCCTGACACCCTCATTTGGCTTATCAGCGAGGAGTATGACCGTCAGAAGTCCCAACATTCTGGGCGCTTGGGAAAGGCGAGGGAGGATGACTGTGACGAGGTGATGGCAGTCTCATCGAACACTTTGAACAACATGGGTGGTGGACAGGCTGCGAATGGTGGAGGTGGCTCAAGCAGGGGGTGCTGGAAGTGTGGCGACCTTGGTCACCGCAAGAGTCAGTGCCCGAAAATGAGGAAGATTGTCGACAAGTTGACTCAGAAGGCAGCTTCTTCAAAGGCGGGTGGGTCTGCAAATGTGGTTGAGGTTGAGGAGGGGGACAGTGATGGTGTTTTCGCGGTCATGGTCGAGTCTGATGATGAAACATCAGTGCATGGTTCAATGGCAGGGCTCCAGTCAAATACCAACACGGTGATGGGGAGCGACGATTATTCCGACGCTGACAGCGACTCCCTCCCGGTGCCTCACCAGTCTGATGCGCTGATGGACAGTGACTGGTTCTCAGATGTCGGAAGTGACGCTGGAGACTATGACGACCCATTCTGGAGCTCTGAGGATGGATCCGACGAGGAGGAGGAGAGGTTGATGGCTGAGTTCTACACCATCATCAACACCGTCAAGGAGAAATTTGATGTCGAGAATGCCTTCCTCAAAACCCCTCGCATCGAGATCTACGACTCGGGCTCAACTCACCACATCTCCCCTTACCGTGAGGACTTCGTCAACCTCATGGAAATCCCACCGCAAACACTTCACGCTGCCAACAAAAACAACTTCAGTGCTACTGGGGTTGGCGAGCTCATCATTGACGTACCTAGTGGTGTCAACATGAAGCAGCTCCACCTCACAGAGGTGCTCTACTCTCCCGAAGTTGGCTATACACTTGTCTCCATTGGAAG